TAGCTGGAGACCTAGCTGGTCTAGGTGATTCGTAATTTCCATAGCAATGTCATTGTAGTGTTGTAAAGCTGGAACCAACGTTTAGCCCAGAAGCCAAGGATAAGTTGGCTCTTGTTGTGCCTCCCTCAAGGCTGATTTGCCTATTGCAAGAAACTGAACTGGTAAAGCTGCTATTTCTGCTATAATGTAGAAAGTTTAGTTGTAATTCAATACAAACAGCTTAGCAAAGGCTGCTGCTGCCGCGGCGACCGCAGAGCCAAAAGTGGGCATCGTCCCGCTACATTCACATTTACGTTCGTTCATTCATTTCGTTCGTTCAACGGCCACCGCTGAAAAGTGGATCGCACGACGTGCTCGTTTGGCGTATTCGATGCGTCCCTCGCCCGACCTGGCCTTTGTCGCAATCCTGTGGGCTATCGCTCTGGCGATTGCTTCTTTGATGCCTTTCGTTGGCTGTTGTTCCAGCAACGCGGAGTTGATGTGGGTGTATCAGCAGTACGTCAAGCGGGGAATGGCGAATTTCGCCGGTGTTATGGCGTTTTTGTGGAAGCCTACGCACGAGCGCGCATATTGGACCCTGCCACACCGCATGCAGAGCTTAGGCAGGGGGTTAGCGCGCAGTTCGAAACCGACAATCCACACGTGTCGCTGGCTGCAAAAACAGCCACGGCCATTCCTAACGAGCCGAGATATGCACGCACCGCTGCATCAGAATGCGCCGCTGTGGCTGCTTACTGCACGGACATGCTATCGCTGGGAGAAGGGCCTGTGGTCACAGCGGCATGGGCGAACGAAAACATCATACACTGGGTAGCAGTTGCCTTTCACCTTGACCGTTTGGCATGCCGATGGCTTTGGGTGTCGTGCTCTTTCTTACGCATATGGCGGCAACAGCGAAGAAATGCGCTTGACTTTTTTTGCGGGTCATTACGAACCAGTTGTACGGGCAGACCCCACAGCCCACACCTAGCAGCCGCCAACATGCAAGCATCCAACGAACCAAACCCAAACCTCAATCGCCGATCTAACCCCAATCTAGCCCAACAGCATTGCTGAAGTTGTGCGACCAGGTGCTGTTAGCCGCAGAGAGGCTGTGCATTGGCATACAATAGGCATCATCTTGACGCAAAAGGTGGGACAACCTACCCCTCCTTGCTAACAGGCTGTTTGACTGTGTTTCAATGGCGCGTGATAACTGGACGCACTGCGCTCGTCTTTTTATGGCGGTGGGCCAACCTAGGTTTTCAAGCATGGCGGACTGTTTTAGCAAATGTCCGGTGGTGCGCCTGCATGCATACTTTGGGATAGAGGAGGCTGGTGGTGCACCTAGGGTTTTGCTCTTGTCGACCCATGTTCCCGTTTCCACTAGCTCTACACACCGCCAAACCTCGCGTCGAATCACGGGGAAGCAGGATCCCACAGGCACGCCCACGGACCGCACTGACGCTTCTATGCATAGCACTAACATGTAATGCGCATCCCAACTGTACGACCTCCCTCCATTCCGTTCCAACGGAGCCAGCACCGATATGTCCTAGGCAAGACTTGATAGCGAGTTTGAATTTAATAAAGGGGGCGAGCCCCGGTGTCTGCGAAGCTGACGGGTTTCTATGTTCTGCTGTTCACTAACTGTCACACGGGGCCCCATCACCCTCTTGCATTCCATTGTTGAGTTTGTTCTCAGGACGTTCCTTTATTTCTGCACGGCATGGACGCCTAAGCCCCAAATGAGCTGCAATGTACACTTGTACACGAGCGACCTTAGCCTGCGGGTAAAGGGGCCCTTAAGAGTGGTACCTGCCTAGTCGGCATGGCCGTAGAGTGAAACGCTTAATTCCTGGAGTTATTACTGCACTTTGTTCCGATCGATAGCGAGTACCAAGCATTACACCGTAAGGTTCATGTTACTTGACCTAGTTTCTATGTTCTGCTGTTCACTAACAGGCAGACGTACGTGTCGCGGCGGGTTGGGGCTCTGCCAAAAAGACCGAGATAAGTATCCATGAACTGAATGACTTACTTGCTGCTACGGGTTGAGTGACCGCCAGCCGAAAAGAAAGCGTAGAAACCGTCCGCGAGTCCGGCGAACGTGTATGCAGGATAAAAAAATAAAACGGTGAAGGGTTAGAATGCAAAGTGATATACTCAAGCAACATATATAATGCAAGCACTAAAGGACGGGGTTCAAGCCGTTCGGCGAATTTCTGGCACAATTAGACTCCAGCTAAGTTCCGCCTCCGGAGCGCCGAGTGGTTCTAGTTACTGGAAAACCATCAAACGTCAAACAATGCATCAGGAGCCCCATGAGCAATGAACCATTTCGTTAGTCCAACACCGCTCACCGTTGGAGCCCGCCGACCACGCAGCCCTGCAGCAAAGGGCAGAGATGTAAAGCAATCAGCTCCATAGCGCATTTTGGTGCAGGAACGGCGTATCGTAAACAAAGGTACAAGATACATGGACTTACACTTGGACCACCACAAGAAAGAACGCATTCCGCATGCGCAAGGTTCCCCCAAACGATGCAGAGTGAGGCATTGGAGCCCTAGCTAGCACCGCTTTAACGGTGGCAAAGGCTTTTTCAGGAATTCAGGATTTCAGGATTCGCGCAGTCTAAGTAAAAGGTAAGTTATTTGTTGAAGATATGCTTTGCGTTATTAATAAGGACTGAGAATGCGAGAATTGCGGCCTGGCTAGACTTATTATGAGTGCTGCGTTCCGAGAGGTTACACCGGACGTATTTCTGTGACGTATTCTGTTGAAAGACCGACAATTACCGAGTCACGGCTTCGCAGACACCGGGGCTCGCCCCCTTTATTAAATTCAAACTCGCTATCAAGTCTTGCCTAGGACATATCGGTGCCGGCTCCGTTGGAACGGAATGGAGGGAGGTCGTACAGTTGGGATGCGTATTACATGTTAGTGCTATGCATAGAAGCGTCAGTGCGGTCCGTGGGCGTGCCTGTGGGATCCTGCTTCCCCGTGATTCGACGCGAGGTTTGGCGGTGTGTAGAGCTAGTGGAAACGGGAACATGGGTCGACAAGAGCAAAACCCTAGGTGCACCACCAGCCTCCTCTATCCCAAAGTATGCATGCAGGCGCACCACCGGACATTTGCTAAAACAGTCCGCCATGCTTGAAAACCTAGGTTGGCCCACCGCCATAAAAAGACGAGCGCAGTGCGTCCAGTTATCACGCGCCATTGAAACACAGTCAAACAGCCTGTTAGCAAGGAGGGGTAGGTTGTCCCACCTTTTGCGTCAAGATGATGCCTATTGTATGCCAATGCACAGCCTCTCTGCGGCTAACAGCACCTGGTCGCACAACTTCAGCAATGCTGTTGGGCTAGATTGGGGTTAGATCGGCGATTGAGGTTTGGGTTTGGTTCGTTGGATGCTTGCATGTTGGCGGCTGCTAGGTGTGGGCTGTGGGGTCTGCCCGTACAACTGGTTCGTAATGACCCGCAAAAAAAGTCAAGCGCATTTCTTCGCTGTTGCCGCCATATGCGTAAGAAAGAGCACGACACCCAAAGCCATCGGCATGCCAAACGGTCAAGGTGAAAGGCAACTGCTACCCAGTGTATGATGTTTTCGTTCGCCCATGCCGCTGTGACCACAGGCCCTTCTCCCAGCGATAGCATGTCCGTGCAGTAAGCAGCCACAGCGGCGCATTCTGATGCAGCGGTGCGTGCATATCTCGGCTCGTTAGGAATGGCCGTGGCTGTTTTTGCAGCCAGCGACACGTGTGGATTGTCGGTTTCGAACTGCGCGCTAACCCCCTGCCTAAGCTCTGCATGCGGTGTGGCAGGGTCCAATATGCGCGCTCGTGCGTAGGCTTCCACAAAAACGCCATAACACCGGCGAAATTCGCCATTCCCCGCTTGACGCACTGCTGATACACCCACATCAACTCCGCGTTGCTGGAACAACAGCCAACGAAAGGCATCAAAGAAGCAATCGCCAGAGCGATAGCCCACAGGATTGCGACAAAGGCCAGGTCGGGCGAGGGACGCATCGAATACGCCAAACGAGCACGTCGTGCGATCCACTTTTCAGCGGTGGCCGTTGAACGAACTAAATGAATGAACGAACGTAAATGTGAATGTAGCGGGACGATGCCCACTTTTGGCTCTGCGGTCGCCGCGGCAGCAGCAGCCTTTGCTAAGCTGTTTGTATTGAATTACAACTAAACTTTCTACATTATAGCAGAAATAGCAGCTTTACCAGTTCAGTTTCTTGCAATAGGCAAATCAGCCTTGAGGGAGGCACAACAAGAGCCAACTTATCCTTGGCTTCTGGGCTAAACGTTGGTTCCAGCTTTACAACACTACAATGACATTGCTATGGAAATTACGAATCACCTAGACAAACCCGCCAACAGCACTTTCTTTCCGCCAATATGTGCGACATTTGGGTCGTCTTCTGAGCTCTGAGCCTCTTACTTTTTCCGACATGCCATTGTATTCAAAACACAACAGCAATTACTACGCCACCTTGTCCGACCGAATCTGAGACCTCGGTGCAGGTACATACAAACTGTACAAGGGTACACATAGGACATGCACACGGTACAAAAAGGACATAACGCCTCGGCTCGGACTATTTTGAGTGAACGCTAAGACTACGCCCCTAATCGGGGCGAGCCAACACCAAACGGCACAGCGCCCGTGCCCGCATGTGTAATGGCACAAGGATACGCTTAGCTTGCCTTTCGAGAGGCACGTCGCAACATGCAATCACCTTTTGCTTCGTGCTCTTAAACCGTTACGCATGAGCGAGTCGTGCAGTCTGAGCGTGTTATCGAAAGTTATTTGTGGGAGACTTGTTTTACGTTATAGCCTCTCCATAAGGACTGAATAGCTGCGTTCCGACCGATATACCTACTCGTTGCGTACGTATATTCTGCGACGACCTTAAATGTGTCCAGGATTCGGTCGTTAGAACCGATTACGCAATCGCGTAATCGACCCCACCACCGTGCTTTGCCCTGTAAATTAATGGTATCAATTCAAATCCGCCCATACTCGAGAATGCACTAAAGGTCAGGGCAAAGCGCACACATGGCACCACCGGACTTACAAGACACCAAGTCCACTGACTTTTGCCGATGATACATGTTACAGGGACCCCTTTACGAGCCTTACCTATGGTGTTATTTAAGATCTGAAGTGGCTGTCGCTTTCCATAGCCAACGCGACTCGTTCGGTCCAGTTCTGGCAGTATGTTTACTTCTTTGCCCCTTAGTTGGCCTTGGTTGCTGACTTCGACCTTGAGAAATGGCAGGGGGGGAGGGTCACGTAATCTGCATCAAGGAAGGAAGCCTTACACCGTTTTACTTCTGCAAGGCAGGAGGTTTGAGCGTCGCGGATTGCAGGGATTGGGGTAACCAATGAAGGTACTGCCCGAGGGCAAATTGCTGGTGACATGGCTTGCGGAGAACAGCACGCGGCCTTGCCCCACATCAAGGCAAGTGTACGACGGCTAGGCTTAAACGGGACTGAGCGGGGGCTTGTGAAGGGGTAGGTCAGGAACGGCTATGTGTATTGCGGTGTTGCATGGGACTGAGCGGGGGCTTTTAAATCGACAGGGAGGGGAGAGTGACAGGGAAGCGGAGGGAGGAGAGGGCATGGCCGTTTTGGCTACGAGAAACGTTTGGGGCAGACACAGGAGAGCGCGGGGGGGGGGACGGAGAAGGGTGTAAGCAAGCGGAAATGCGACAGGAAGGGGGGGAGAGGGCGACGGGGAGGGGCGAGGGGTGCGTGGGGCGACGGGCAGGGGCGAGGGGTGCGCAGGGGCGACGGTTTTCCACGGGGGAGGACAGGAAGGCTGGAGGCTGCAAGGGCGCCACACGGAGAAGGGCATAAGGAGGCAGGGCCGCGCGTGTAAGGACAGCCTCATGGGGAGACAGGTAGGTATAGCGCGGAGAAGGGCCGGTTGCTGAGGAGAATGCACGTCAACATTGAAGCTTCTGAGCCAAATAACCTCTTAGCACAGAACCCAGATGCATTGAGGATCCAATTCTTGTGTACTGCAGATAAGCGTGTAATCCATGGCGATAATCGGTTCACCAGCACGAAGCAAAAGCCCTATGCCAGGATTGTGAATCTGCGGGGCCTTATGGCACATGTGCAATGAAGGGGGGAAAGGGGAGGGAGAGAGGAGGAGGGAACGAAGGACAGAGAGGAGAAAGAGGCGGGTAAGGAGATCATGCAGGTGTTAAGACAGGGAAGGGAAGGGAAGGGATACCTGGTAAGGGAAGGTGGAGGTGGAGGGTAATAAGAGCACTGCTGCAGGTCCTGCTGCTCTGTCCGCAATTGTTACCGCTTACTGTCTGTATGCTGTTGTTGCGACGCTTACGCTTTCCCCCACTGCCCCTCCTCCCGTTCCCCCTCCCCCCTAGCTCTCCTTCTAACACCTAATTCTCCTTCTAACACCTTTATGCCCCGCATTCGTGGCGAGCTCCCTCGTCGCCGTACTGATGGCCACCCTGCTGACCTCGCTGCAGCCCATAAGGCAGCTCGGACTACTGCTGAGGCGTCCCATGTTGCAGCATTTCGCGTCCATCGTCATCGCATCACCAGTCTCCTTCTTCAAACACCTCGTCGTCAGCCGCTGGCCCTTCAAGAAATCCTCCGACGTCGTCGCCAATTCCTCTCCGCCCAGCATGACGCCGATCTTACCTCCCACCCGGAACAATATGGCGTCATCTATGCGGCCTTCCACCTCCCAGAAGCTTCACGCAAGCGCTCCCGTGACCCTACTCTCGTCCCACTCTATGTCGGCCATACCACCGGTACTATCTTCGAGCGCCTCGAGAAACACCTCAGCCGCGCCGGGAATGACTTCCGTCATGGAGATCGCTCACAGCCCCTCTTCCACGAGGTTCTCCGCTATACCACCACAGACCGCTTGGTCATCGTCCCGCTGGAAAAGGTCGTCGTCCAAGGGCTCCCAGCGCCACTCGCCGCCTTCGCAGCCGCCTACCCGCCGCCTCCTCCATCCCTCTCCCCGGCAGGCCTACCACTCCCTCCTGCCATGCCCGCTACCGACACCTCCCCCGCCGCTCACCCCGCCCCAGCCCCTCCTCCCCCTCCAGCAGCCACCAACCCCGCACCAGCCCATCCACCCCACGCCCCCGCCCCTCCTCCCCCTCCCCCACCCGCCGACATCCTCTCGCCACCGCCTCCTTCCCCCCACGCCCCCGCTCCCGCCCCTCCTCCCCCTCCAGCCGCCACCAATCCTGCACCAGCCCCTCCACCCCACGCCCCCGTCCCTCCTCCCCCTCCCCCACCCGCCGACATCTTCCCGCCACCGCCTCCTTCACCCCACGCCCCCGCTCCCGCCCCTCCTCCCCCTCCAGCAGCCACCAACCCCGCACCAGCCCATCCACCCCACGCCCCCGCCCCTCCTCCCCCTCCCCCACCCGCCGACATCCTCCCGCCACCGCCTCCTTCACCCTACGCCACCGCTCCAGCCCCTCCTCCCCCTCCAGCCGCCACCAATCATGCACCAGCCCCTCCACCCCACGCCCCCGTCCCTCCTCCCCCTCCCCCACCCGCCGACATCTTCCCGCCACCGCCTCCTTCACCCCACGCCCCCGCTCCCGCCCCTCCTCCCCCTCCAGCAGCCACCAACCCCGCACCAGCCCCTCCACCCCACGCCCCCGTCCCTCCTCCCCCTCCCCCACCCGCCGACATCCTCCCGCCACCGCCTCCTTCACCCCACGCCCCCGCCCCTCCTCCCCCTCCAGCCGCCACCACCCCGGCACCCCTCAATCCTGCCGCTGCCCGGGCTGCCGTGGAAAAGGCCTGGCATGACCTCGCCGCCCATAAGGAAATGGTCTGGGCGCAGCGCTTCAACACCCTCCGCGACTTCGGAGGTACCGGCTTCAACATGCGTCTCGAGGTCCGCTGCCTCGCCATGCGACCCCTCTTTCCCATCCCCCACGATGCCTCCCCACCTCCTGACTTCGGCCGCCGGCGCCGTTGGTACGCCTCCCGCGATATCCGCCGGCGCCTGCTCTACCTCCAATGCCTCTTCCACAGTTCCACCTTCGATGACACCTACTTTAAGACGGCGGGCTACCGTACCCATACCCTCCACCGCCTCCACTCCTTCCTTACTTACTACTCCCCTGCCGAGATGGGATTGGACCCCGAGTTTGCTTCCTGGCTGGTTACCCCGCTCTCCGCCGCCCTCCACGCAGCTCTCCCTGCTGCCGGTGCGCCTGACGTCTCTGCCCGCCTGTGGCTCCCCGCCGGCCTTCGTCAGCACCTCACTGATACCACTATCCGCTCGATCCTCAGCCACCCTGAACTCCACAAGTGCCTCCCCGCCAACACCCTCACCCCTCCCCTCCATTGGCAAACCGACCCCACCAACAAGGAGCTCCTCTGCACCACCCCCGCCCTCGCCCGTGGCCTTACTGGCGACGCCTACCGCGCCATCCTCTCCCGCCCCTGTATCTGTGCTCAGCACCCGGAGCTTTGCGACCCTCAGCTCGGCCACATCCTCACTACTACCCCGTACGCCCTCTTCCCTGCCGAGCACCGCGACGCCCTCACGACCCTTTGGAACAAGGGCGCCAACTTCCGCCCCCACCGACCGCCACCCTGCCCCGAGGAGCTCCTCCAGCAGGTCCACGCCTGCGCCCTCACCTTCACACGCCACTACGAACGCCGTCAGCAATTGGGACGCGGTGACCTCGCCGAATGGGCTGGCCGCTTCACTGACATGGTCCAACATGCCATGGTTGCCGGACGTGAGCGCCCCTTCCACTGGCCCATTCTCACAGACCAGCAACTCCACGCTTTCCACAGCGCCCTCGGACCCCACTTCACCATCACCGGCACTGACAAGAGCTCGGCTACCCTGCAGGCCTCCTGTACGCGCTTCTATGTTGAACGCTGCACCAACGACCTCTACCAGCCCGGCCCCATCCCCAACTTCCCTCCCGGACTCCTGGTGGTCCCTGCTACTTCCTCATCACCCCCAGCTGCCCTCCCACTCCTCCCCGCTGCCGACCCCACTCTTCCACCATCCCCTCCCCCACCCCCTCCCCCTCCTCCACCCCCTCCCCTTCCCCCTGACCACCGCCATCCACCCACCCCACCGCCGCCAGCCCTCTCTCCCTACTACCGACCCTGCAGCCCAGTCTTCATGCGCGACACCCTCCTCCATCATAACCACAAGTTGGCCAAATGGCACCTCGCCTACACCACCGCTACCCGACACGATGGGCTCAATGTCTTCCACCCAGCTTACTATGCCGCTACGATCAAGATGCACAAGCAACCCCCGGCCTTACGCTTCCTCGCCTGCTCACACGCTTGCCCCTCCACCGCCATCAGCGACCTCGTCCACTGCATCCTTAAAGCCGTCGATCCCCTCTTCCGGCAGCTGTGGAGTACAACTATGCGCCCAGCCCGCGATTCCTTCGAACCTTGGCACTGCTTCTCGTCGGCAGCAGCCATCCAGATGGTCCATCGGTACAACGCTCGCGGATACCCTGCCGCGGGTGTCACACCCGCCCAGGCGTACGACTTCACCCGACTCTACACCAACATCCCCCACAGCACCCTTAAGCAGACGATCTCCCAGCTCGTCCGCACCGCTGTTACCGCCCACCTCGCCCCTGCCCATCCACCTCCTTCACCGCTCCCAGCTGCTTATATCATCGTCACCACCACTACCGATGCCTCCAAGCCCGACGCCAAGCCGTGCCATACTGTCGCCTTCTCCCGCGCCCAGCCCCCACCTCCCCCCTTCACACGCAACAGCACCTTTGGCAGCCACACCACCACCATTAAGCGTGTCTTCACCCTGGCCGATTTCGACCCCCTCTTCGCCACGCTGCTGGATTCCACTTTCATCCGGTTCGGGCCCGCACTGGTGCAGCAAATCTGCGGCATCCCCATGGGTATCTCCGCGGCACCATTCATCGCCAACCTCTTCTTAGCCTGGTTCGAGTTCCAGTTCATGTCTCAGCGCGTTCGCACCAACCCGCCTCTCAGTAACGCCGCTCGCGACATCCTGGCCCGCTTCCGTGACATGCAGCGCTTCCTCGACGACCTCCTTTCCCTCAACAACCCGTACCTCGAGCACCTCCTCTACAACGACACAGTCTAAGAAGGCTTACGTGGGATCTACCCGCCAGCGCTCACCGTGGAGGCCCAACGCCACGCCCACTTCCAGCGCGGAGAAATGCCTTTCCTGGACGTCTTGCTCGTCCCGGCCAATCGCGGCCAGAGTAGTTTCATCGTCACCAGGCTTTACGACAAGCGCAAGCAACCCGCCTTCGACGGCGTCCGCCTATCTCAGTTCGTTTCCCGGGACTCCAGTGTTAATGAGCCCAGTAAGGCTAACATCCTCGCTGGGCAGTTCCACCGGATACGCCATGTTGAGTCCAAAGCTGCCTCCTTCTGTGACAACATGGCCCATGCCCTCTGGCAGCTCAAGTGCGGAGGCTACTCCCGGATTCGTCTCTTCCGGCACTACGCACGGCTCTTGCATGCTCAACCCTTCTTGTACGCCGGGGAGCGCCGCCCCACACCTGCTCCCGGGCGCCGCCCTCAGCCGGGTATCAACCTATACCGCGAGACCCGTTCCCGCTTCCGTGCGCTGCAGCAAACATCAACCACATGACGGAGCTGTTCCCGGCCAAGGCTGCGGTTGTCCCCCGGGATCGATGGGTCGGGCATTGGGGCGAGTTTGGTAGTGCGTCGGTTCAGGGACTGGGTTGGGTCGGGCACTGGGTTGCGTCGGGCAATAGGGCGGGTCGGAGGCTGGTTTCGGTTGGGCTTTAGGTCGGGTTGGATGTAGAACTTTGGGGTGCGGCGGGGGCTGGTTTCGGTTGGGCACTGGGTATGGGTCGGGTCCCGGGTTAGTTGGGGCTGTGGTGCGCGTCTCGGACTGCGTCGGGCCGGGTTTTGAGGCCGTTTGGGCTTTGCGGCCGGTTGGGTATTCTCCGTTGTGGCACTGGGTCGGGCTTGGGTTTTGTGTTGTTGGGTTGTTGTTGTTGCCTAGTTTTTGGTGTTCATAGGTTGGCGTTGCGCAGGGATGGGTTGGGGTTCTTCGCCTAGTATGGGAAGGTATCGGGCCTGCTTGTCTTCGCTGTGGTCGTCGTGTTGTGTCTGTCTCGTGGGCCTTGTGTGTCCGTGGGCTGGCGTTTCGCGCTTGGGCAGGGGCCTGTTTGTGTAAGACCCGCGGTTCCCCCTGTCTCCTTACTCACTGACCCACGGGTCCCCATACACCACTACGCATCGTGCACGTCCCTCCTTAGGACCGTAGGGTTGCTTGGACCGGCTCCCATGTTTGCACCCCATGGTGACGCCTTGTCTTACGGCTTTGTCATAGGCTTCTTTGCACCTGTACATTAGGGCCGGCACGATCACACTGCAGTGACCGCCCGGATGGCACTCAGTGTTGTGGGGATCTGTTCACACAGACCGCACACTGTTTGTCTTATGCACCATTAGTATGCTGCCCTCCCGACCCCTCCTTCTTACTTCCCATTACTCTCTAACCAACCTGCCCTCCCATTCTCTTTTTTCCTTATTTCATCATTCGCCCCTCCCCACCTGCCGTACAGCATTGCCTTATATACTATTTCCAACCTGCATACTCCCCTTCCCATACGCCGCGCCGTTCGGTCCATCTTTCCCATCTAGGCTTAGGTTTAGGTCACAGGGAGTGTGTCGCTGTTCTTCTGCACTCGCATTTCCATGGACATGATAACCGCCTGGGCTGCCCCTTACCCTCCCTTTCCATATGTTCGCATGTACTACTACGCTGCTGGTCTTCACTTCTCGCGCCGGCCTCGTTCTACGTCCTTCGGTCGGCGGTTATTCATCCATTTCCAGGTAAGTCCGCTGGTTCTTCGTTTTAGCCCGTGCTGTCGTTTCGGTTTCGTCTTTGTGTTTGTTCGTCGGGTGCGGGTTCTGGGATTATTATGGACCGTCGGCGCGGCCGCCGACCCTCGATTCTTCGTCCACACCTTCCCAGCCTCCTTCCATGTTCCACCGACTCCTGGTAAGTACCACTTTTTGGTAAGTGCATTCTGTTCTTTCGGTTAAATTATATCGGGAAGGTGGGATGGACCGGCTACCATGTTTGCACCCCATGGTGAAGCCTTGTCATACAGCTCGTCAGTTGCTTCGTCAGTGTCTCATCATCATATATATATTTTCCCCCCTAGCTCTTCTTCTCCAACCACAAGGACACCGTGTCGCTGGGATCCATCATGCACACCGTCAGGGTGTGGGGAATGGGGGGTGGGGCTCAACCACCGCAGGGCCGCAGTGATGGGGGAAGTGATGTCCACATGCACGACACGCACGTGCGACGTGGCATCAAAAGGCAGCGTCGATGGCGGACCGGCACCCTCTGTTTCCGGTCTCGGTGATGATGCCCTGTGCGTCAGTCAGCGCGGCCGCCATGGGCGAATGGCCGTACCCGCATTCCCCCAACCTCCCCAACCCGCCCCTCCACCTCCGGGTCAAACAGGTGTGGTGCCTGCCAGACGACGACCTCTCACCCGTCCTCATCGCACCGCCAACGCCGTCTCAGCAGCAGCAGCAGCAGCAAGACCTCCCTCTTGCTTCCCTAACTAGGTACTCCCTCTTGCTAGGTATTCCTAGTTAGGGGGCGCTGGGCTTGTGCGTGCTGCTGTTTTTGCTCGTGCTGCCCTGCTCACTCCCCTCTGTTCCCTCCCTCTTCCCCTTCCTGCCCCTACCCCCACCTCTCATCCATCCCCTCCCCCACAAAGGTCGCTGAGCTGCTGCGGCGCAGTGGCGAGGAGCGGCGGACGTTCGCCCAGCAGTGGCGGCAGCGCAGCGCAGGGAGGCGGATGGGGGAGGGCAGGGCAGCGGGGGCAGCAGCAGCAGCAGGGGGAGCAGGAGGGGCAGCACCACCACCCCGTCCGGGGCAGCAGCAGGGGCAGGGGCAGCGGAAGCGCTCGGGCTCGGCAGCAGGCCTATAGACAGGCTGGTGAGGTAGGAAACGGGCAACGGGCGGGGTGGTAAAGAGGAAACAACCATCTGACCCTGTGATAAGGCGTCCTTGAGGTCATCACGGGTGGGGTGGGCCGGGGTGGGGTGGTCACGCGTAGGGTGGCAGCAGGGGGAGGACTAGACGGGACTAGACGGGCACTTGTAGTGGCAGCAGGGGGAGGGGGAGGGTGGCGCTGGTGGGGGTAGTTGGTGGGAGTAGTTGGTGGTTGGTGGTTAGCGCGAAGTACGGAGGCGGCACCGGCAGTAGTACAGGAAGGATGTGCTTCCAGCAGACCAGGCATGAGGACATGCGCGCATAGATTGCAACGACATACAGGCACATACACACCTAGGTGTGCTTGCCTAGCTAGGAACTCTTAATAGGTGACGGAGTGCAACGGTAGCTGCTTATTTTTACCTCGTTCTTTCCTCGCCTAATCTGTTACAACACCTGTTCTCTTGAACTCAAGTCAAACAGTGGTGGTGGTCCCATGCAGATAGGAAACAGGGGGCAGGTATATGCAGACTATATGTATGTGGTATGGAGGGCTAGTTAGGGCGAAGCTATAAAGCTTCCAGGTGGCGAGGGCTGTAGCTTGGTGTGGGGGTGTGAGGACATGCATAAGCAAAGTTGGCCGCCAACCATACCTGTCAGCTTTGTGTGAACGGTCTGTTGCTGGTACTCTTCTTATGTACGGATTACACATGCGTACGCTACCCAACCTGTCGTAACAGAGCCCATTGTAACGGTCATTCACTTCGAGCCCGCTGTAACCTTGAAGACGGCAGGTACCCGCAGAAACAGCAGGAACAAACTTCAAACCGGGCTCTGCCGGTGTGAGCCAAAGTAAGGCTTGCTGTGCAGGTTAACAACGGGACTAGCATACGTCAAGTCGATCAACGGCTTTGGTGGGTTCGGCTGCGCCTTGTGTTACGAGCCCAAAGCATTCAAGCATGCCCCAGTTCCCCCCTGCTCCAAGCCCAAAGCTACAGGTCTAGCTCCCCAACCCTGCAGCCCATCTGCTTACACGCCCCAGCAAGCAAGCCACGCCTGCAGGCTCAGCACCTACTCACTTCCCAGCAGGCCACGACTCGCAACCCTCCTGCCTCTCATCATTCCCCTCAACGTCACAGCCGCCCTCCATCCGCAGGACCTCCGTGCGTCCGCCGTACCACGCAGAAGGACCAGTGCAAACTGCAATATGAGATGGGACAGCCACTTCTCACGACCGCCTTGCTATGGGCCGCTGCTGCACCAGCAGCGTGCCAGTGATGATGGGATCCAGAAGAACGTGCCGCCGTTCCTTTACCACGCAGTGAGCATGTAACCAGCGACGGCGGTGGGCACACGCATGTCGCTGCAGGAAACGCCACTCACTCTGCAGCCCTGCTCATAGGTGGCCTCGCCCGCCGGCTTCGCCCTGAAGTCCAACTCTCCCTGCATGCGCTCCTTAGCATTCTGGAATGCCGCGAAATCCAGAATTGAGCCCAAGACACGAACAGGCACGAGCGCCTCCGCATCTTGCTTAAACACCTCTGTCGTCACTGCGCAGTGTGGGTAACAAGCCCTGCATGGCATGGGCGCCTCTGCAGCCGACTTCCCCTCCCCCCACCAACATCAGGCGGCGAGTGGGGTCGGGCAGCAGCCTAGGAGGTGGTGGCTGCATGCTTAGCGGCGATACAGCGGCGCGGTGTTGAGGGTCTAGAGAGGCTGCCAGGGTGCAGCAGGTGAGTTCTGGCGGGGGAGCTGTGCGGGCACAGAGCTGCCACAGCAGGCAGTGGAGGCACCGTTAATCCCGGCAGCAATCAAGTTAAATTGCTCAGCTGGGAGGGAAGCGTTTGAACCCGCCCAAAGGATGCGGTCAGGGTCCCGTTGCAGGAGCCGCGGCGGCATAGGCAGGGATGGCGGTGGCCAAGCAACACGTCTCAGAGCCACGCCCTCCGCTGTCAGCAATGCCTTTGCAACCATCAACCGCTAGCACCATCGCCACAATTACTAACAAACTTGACCGTCACAGCTGCGGCCCCGGGTGCCGCACATAGCGATACCGAGAAGCGCCAGAAGCTGAGACGACGCTGATGAAGCTAAGGCAGAGAGGGCGGTTTGGCGGATGCAGACGGCGGGATACAAGTAAGCGGAGTACTGGCGAGCGAGGGACAGGCAATATCTCTGCACCTACCGTGTTGCACACAGTACCAGCGTGCATATGCAATCCATTAGAGTTATGGAGCCGGTTTGATGTGTGAGAATTTGACGGGACAGATAGCTGATGGGTGAACGGGCGGGATGGGGAGGTGAGGCCTTACTTATGTACGCGCTTAGAAAGCAAGAAATCGCACCTGTACGTGTTGCCGCATACATGTATGCCCCTGCTGGACAAGCACTTACTGGTGCACCGCCTTGCCCCAACCCATGAACAAATATGCGCATGCATAACCGTGTGGCCTTGGATGGGCAGGGAGGATTGGTACGTATATTGTTGTTCCCCGCCTTGTCATGCCATGTTACCGGCTCATTTATTAAAGGGGGTCATCAATCGGCAATCGAGGTGCAACACTGGGTGCTGTCAGCACAATCGGCCACTAGTGCATCTTAAACATGGGTTGGGGCGTCGGAATGTGTGGATTAGGGTTGGGGTTCTTGATGTGGAGGCGACGTACGGTTGGTTGGCTTCGGCTTACATTATCTGCTGTAACGCATCACGGCAGCTAGAGCAAGACATCCATCTATCCGTCAATGCAGCCTTCCGGGCGGGTGCACTCTGGCAAAGGTCCACGGCTGGCGTGCGTGGTGCGGGGGTCAAGCAAGTTGGTTGGCTACAGCCAGGTATGGTTAGCAAGCTGCTGTGAGAGCGTCCACTTCATTTTTACTTTTTATTACAGACGGTATTAGGTAAGAAAGCTACACACGCGAAGCAATGCATGAGCATCTACCACACAGACAGGAAACCCACACCAGAGTAAATGTCACCCCCTCATCACACCAACGACCGGCTTGCTTGCCACCTACCCCGCCACACATACACTTAACACGATGCGACCGGCTTGTCACCCTCGTAACACACTTCAGTGCCCGTCTAATAAGTTACGGAAAAAAAACACCTATCCCCGGCCGTCCGTCAAGGGGCGCCACCAGCCTAGCCAGGGAAACATTTTCAGCAACCAATCAAGCAAGTAAGAGGGACTGGGCGGCCACTTATCCTGGGACTGGAACCGCTTGGCACAGCCCAGCCGGTAATGTTTATGAACGGAAGGAAGCTTCGCCACAGACATTGCTGCTTGAAATGGGGCGGCCCAGTGTTTCAGCACGCATGGTGCGGAATCGACTGCGGAAGGAACAAATTCAAAAAGTTATGGTTGCTCATAGTGAAGCCTATAAAGGTAACCACTGTTTCGCTGACGACAATGCATCATTGCATAGACGAAGGTCAGAAAGTTGCAAGCCGCGCTCAAGAGGAGAGCGGTATATATACGTTGTTTGTTATGAGTGCATTTCTAAGAAGGTTGTTTGAAGAATGCTGCACTGAAGAGAGCGTACCACTGAATACTAGCTGCTGCGACCAACATGCAGTGATAACACCCACAAACCCCTGCCCACGTAGAAGAAGACGAGTTTGGTGACGAGGCACTGCCAGCATTCGACGAAAACAGTGGTGTGCAGAGGTGCGCCTATACTTCAGTTGAAGCAGCAGAGGAAGCCCGCAGATCTGCCTTTGCAGAGTCCTGCTCATATGCCTGCTGCTGCTGCGAACGCAAGCTGTTCAGGCAATCAGTTGTGGAGGTCACGGAAAACATGCATGACACACTCAACGAGGAGTGGGCTACGAGGAGTATAGCCTGTCCAGTTCGTTTTCTTTTTTCTGCGCAAGCTTTCCCCCCGCCCTGTCCTCCCCACCCCTTGCTTCCTCTTGCCTTACCTCCCCTCGCTTTCCTTTCACCACCGTCCCTGTTATTGCTTTCCTATCCCTTCCCCTGCCCACTCCCTCCCACAGCTTCCATGCTTTTGTCATTCTTTCCCTGCAACACCCCTTGCCAATCCATCCCGTCCCCATGCCTGTGCTTCCATCCCTTTGCCCCTTCTGCCCTGACGACTCTTCCCTTTCATCCCGTTGCCTTTACTTCCATCCCTGTCCCTCCCTTGCCAAGCCTTGGCTCCCAAACTTTCTCTACCATCATCTCTCCTCCTTGTCCAACCCTTGTCGCCAAAACGCTTGTGACCCTCCTCAGCAGCACAACTTGCCCCCGAGGGGCGCAGACGCCTGGCTAGCCGGTGCAACGTGCCCATGGGCACAATTTGTGCCTTCCCACCAACCCAAATGTGACTCCCACGCGCCGCCCTCGTAAACAGCCGCAAAAACGCACCCAACCACCCCACCGCACCGTCACCCCGCCATGCTACACACCCATTTGGGCAGGCCACGAGATCGCTTGGGTCTGGTGTATCCTGTTCTCACAAACCCACGTTCAAACAGTTGTGGTGGCTCCCGCATGCACAGGAAACAGGGGGCAGGGTAGGAAGACGGATGTGTGGTATTATTTGTGGTATGGAGGGCTAGATAGGGTGAGGCTGCTGTACATACTATGCTTCAAAAGTGGCGAGGGCTATACCTTGGTGTGTGGGTGTGTGGATATGGCAAAGCAGACAGACGAGTTCTTTGCTTAAGGACCTGTGACGACCATATATATATGTGCTTTGGGGGGGGTTAAGCGATGCCGTACTACTCACGGTAGCATGGGATTGACCGAAATGAATGCATGGATGCCCGTTGCAATAATGCGGCATCGGAGGGGAACTAACACATGGTTAATGAACCCGAAATGTTGGAGCGTGGTGTAGAGGGAGGGTGTATAGCCGTATGGTTTTTCTGGATTTGTAACGGGTCAAGACGTTGTTGCCTATGTAGGCTATGTTGCCTGGACTCATACTAGCTTGATGTAGCATGTATAGCAATAGGTTGGGGATGCTACCTATCTAACTTGAATTCGTTGCACATACCGATACTCATCGGTCATTTATACCTATGCAAGATCTGTAAAGAGCATGTAATAAGTAGGTGTGTGGTGCTTTGGCTGGGAAGCGTAATAAGGAATGCACACTGTTAGAATTATCCATTGCACCATCGTTTCCCTTTAAATTTTAAGTGCGTGCCTCACGCAATGGAATAGGCAGCGATCCCCGATTCCCGATGCAACTTTAACTTTAATGGCCACCGTTGTAATCAATACCACGACGCCGCGTTGCGTTCAGGAACACCAGATCCAACAATTCTTTGCCAACACTAATGTACGGCAACTCATCCATCCATAACCGTACAAGCTGCATGAAACAACAAGTCTTTTCTTGGCCACATTGTCATGAAGCAGATTGGTAGAACATTTACGTTTGTAGCAGTGAGGCAATTGCAACAATGGCACAGCTGGCAAACGTACGACATACCCGAACGGTGCACACTACCAAAACACTTTTTAGCAGACGTCAGGATCGGAGCATGTAGTACCGGAAATGCCCGGGGCAAGCAAGCTGCAATTGTTGCATGGCTGGCTTGTCATGTATGCGAAAGCATACTATACTACACCTTCATTCCATACGTACCGGAACGGCCAAACGTTCATACACACAAATTTGTGTTCATAACACAAAGCATACCTGATGCTTGCCTTTGCAGGCAGCATTCCACAATAGTCGATTTTCCCTACAAACAAACTATGCAACCGGGTCCGATGCAACCACAGACAATTTGGGTAAGAGCCATTTTGCTCCTGCACCCTTCAATACGCATGCTGGGGTCCCCGTAACTGCTGTGCACGGCGATGCATAGATGCATGCGCACTCCATCCTTCCATTCTGCACTCGGGTACCACTCCTCTACACCCACGTGCACCTAGCAAACCATACACACGCCCTCGACCCTCCCCTCTTCTCCCCACTCATGTCTTCCGTCCTTTTTCGCTTACGACTCTCTCTCTCTCCATCCACCCTTCACGCAAAAGCCTTGAATCCCATCACGTGACACCCTGTATGTAAAACAGGCATCAAGCCGGCCGCACCCAACTTCCCCAGTTCACGCAATGCAGCAAAGCAGCAGCAACAACAACAGAAATAGCAGTTGCGCCATATCCTCTGTCACATGCGCTATCATAGACCAGTTGCCAGCCCCGATCGCCCCCACACGCCCAGCTTGACAGCCCCTACGCGCACCTGCCTGCCTCATCCTCCCACGTACAATACAACAACAGTCAATTACCCATGTTAATTGCACTGAAGCCCATTTGCACTGAAGCGGCCTTTCCTTCCCTTCATTTACTCGATCCCGGCTAGCATCCTAGGCGGGCAGAACACAATATCCCGATGTTCCCGCTTACGAGACAAAAGTACAAAAGTCTACCGTACAGCAGTTGCAATACAGCCGTAGTGCCGTACAGCCGTTGTACCGTAAAGCCATTTGTGCCGTACAGCGCCTGTTGCCGTGCAATCGGTGCGCATAGTTGCTAGCTGCTGCTAGCTCAGTTGTCGGCTCCAATGGCTCCCAGATCTCCCCTCTTGGCTGCGTCGTAGTTGGCACTAATGGTTTTCCAGTTGATGATCTTCATCCAGGCTGAGGTGTACTGCGCTCGCTTGGGACCGTACCTGTGGGTACGAACGAGTGTACGGGAGGGTACGGCATGAGGATAAGGGAGGTACGGGATGAAACAGCAGTAGCATGTACGGGTTGCCAAACATGAAGCAGGACGGGAAGGGAGGGTACGGCAGCGAAGCATGACAGAAAACAAAGGGGATGGAAAGGTGTTTCAGCAGCACCGGATACAAGACACGTACGGTAGTTTTCCTTACAACGTACGGTGCTTTCAATAAGCGGCAAAGCCTCGCATGGACATGGACAGCAGGACCTAATAATGGCTTCCACGTGATGACCCATGGGTGACCCCTTCTGCATGGGGCTTGCAAGCAAGCCCTGCCGTACAACCCCAGCAGCGCTCACCGCGCTGCTCTCCTGCTACCCCCCCCCCCTTCGTCCTCTCCCCCCTCCCCGCCACCCCACTTACTGCAAGTAGTAGGCATGCTCCCACACGTCGATACCCAGGATGGGAATGCAGGGGTCGGGTTGGACAACCTGAGTGGGGGCATGGAGGGAAGAGTGGGGATGGAAGAGGGAAAGGGAGCGACAGGCTGTGAGGACAGGATGAAAGACTAGGTATGCACGTGCGGCGGTTGCGGTTTCGGAGGGTCTGAACCGAAAGAGTGAGCAGCTTCTGCACCAGTGGTCCCCAATGCAGCACCTGAAAAGTCCGAAAACGCTCTAGATATCAGGCAAGCCCGCACGGCCACTCGTCCCCTCACACGCTCATTGTCAGCGGTCAGCGGCCACCAGCCTCCCCATTTCTCACCCCCCCTCCCACTGCCGTGTCCTACCCCCAAAGCTTTACCTAACCTTTGTGGACTCCTACGCTTTGGTATGGCCCCTACACTTTGGTATGGCCCCCCCACTCACTGAGCCCCACTCACTGACCCCCCCACTCACTGACCCCCCACTCACTGACCCCCCACTCACTGACCCCCCCCACTCACTGACCCCCCCCACTCACTGCCATGAGCGGGTTGTCCTGGTTGGCGGTGCTCATCACTCGCAGCCCGCCGCCACGCCCCTCGCAAACCCAGGCCCAACCGCTGCCGAAACGTGAGTCGGCGGACTCCTTCAGAGCTGCCTGTGTGCGTGTGTGTGTTTTGGGGGTGAAGGGGAGGGGGTTTTAAGGGTAGAGGGGTTAGGGAGAGGCATTGGGAGAGGTATGGGGAGGGGCATGGGGAGAGAAGAGGGGCCGAGGAAAACCAGGAGGAGAAGGCCGAGACGAGCGAGGAGCAAGTACGGTAAGTAATAATGGAAACATTGGACAGCATGGTCACAGGACAGCGTAGTTGAGCAGGATTCAGCAGGCCTGCTGGCATACCGACCGCTTGCATACCAAGGCGTGTCTCCCTGCTCTACTCCTCCCCCGCCCTCCCCGCCCTCCCCGCCCTCCCCGCCCTCCCCGCCTCTCCTCCTTACGTACGCCACATGGTGCTACCCCCAATATCCCGCCGCCCTCCCCTCCCCCGCCCTAACCCACCCCTCCCCCAACCCACCCGCCCTACCAGCATGTTATCCACGGACCCGAACGCGGTGTTGATGGCGGTCAGCAGCTGCGGGGAGATGGCGTCGCGGGAGGTGTTTGGGGAGCCGGGGGGCGACATCACCTGCAGGGGGGAGGCGGGGAGGGAGGGGAGTGGAGGAGGGGAGGTGGGTTGGTGAGCCGGGAGGAGGCGGCAAGAGGCGGGGGTCAAAACCAATAGATTGAAGTGCGAAGTGGGCCAAGTGGGTTCCACGTAAGACCAATCGCAAGGGTAATGGAGTGCGGTACGGAATGGACCCCAACCCCAACGCATGACGGAAGCCTCCGCACGATTATCTGTTGTCGTACAACCCAGCAGAGTCCACCCCACCCCACCCCTGCTGGCCCCGCCACAAGCCCCCACCCCCACCCCTCCCCCCCACCTTCCAGTACAGCTGGTGGTTCCAGTGTCCGCCTCCGTTGTTGCGAATGGACACCTCGGACTGGGGCGGCAGCGTGCCGCGACCCACCTGCGCGAGTGGGGGGGTGCAGGCAAGAGGCCGGTGCGTGAGTGGGGGTGTGCAGGCAAGAGGAGGTGCGTGGGTGGGGGGGTGCAGGCAAGAGACCGGTGCGTGGGTGGATGCGTGGGTGGATGCGAATGCAGGCAGGCGGGAAGGCATGGATGCGTGGATACAGGAAGGAAGGAAGGAGGGAGAGTTGAGGGGGGGTTCATGTTTTGAGGATTCATGTCGGAGGGCGAAATTAGGACCACCAGGACCCCACCTGCAGCAGCAGCTCCGAAAGACTGACATTGCTCCAGGGCCTGCCACCGCTACCTCCAGAGTTAGCCAGCCGCTGCCACTCCACCGAGCCGTTCTGCTCTCCGTTCTCATCGACGTCCTGAACAGCCAGCCGGGAAATGGAGCCCACACGTGCAGCCTTGCCGCCAACAGAAACGGAGGGGGCGGCAGCGAGGGAGGCGAAGGAGGAGGTGGCGTTGGCGGCTTGCCTTGCTGCGGCGGTTGCATCGATGGGGAGTGAGGGGGCGGAGGAGGAGGCCAGGGAGGAGGAGGAGGAGGTGGTGGTGTTGTCCAGTTGACGAAGGGCGGTGTTGGCTTTCTCAACGTAGGTGGCTTCGTGGGTGTCGTGATGGAGTTGCATGATCTGAGGGGGAGGTAGGTAGGGGGGAAGGGAGGTCGGGGAGGGAGGGGTCAAGGAGGGAAAGACTCGAACCGTACTCGATTCCGGTAATTCCGCTTGTATGTGAAGGCACGCGCGAGAGGGGCAAGGCCTTTATGTATGCCCGCGTATGTATGCACGGGGGCGCCTTTCCTTGCCAACTGCTTGGTGCGACACCTCTCGCCCTGCCACCCACCTTCCTTCCCTTCCCCACATGCAGGGAACCACAAGACGTGCTTTTCTTCTTCTTCTCTCCCGCCTAGACACTACTCTCCCAAACCCACCCACCCACTAATTATATATTTATTACCCACCCACCCACCTTTGTTGAGATGACGGGCTCCAGGGCGCTGTAGTCGTACGGCAGCGGCTCCAGTCGCAGCGGGCCGGTCGGGGGGGCCTGCTGGGTGAGGGGGCGGGTGGGCGAGGGTGGGGGGAGGTGGAGGGCGGAGAGGGTGCGTGGGGAGTAGCACTACTACTACAGTGGGGTATGCTGGCGGGAAGGGTGTTGCAAATGCAAACGCGAAAACGCGTAAGACACGGGTTCAGCCAAGCACGAGTACAACGGGAAACACGACTAACGGCAGCGTACTAACGGTAAGTACCCCGAGCTGCCGCCAACTCACGGTTGCTGTGGCATTGGGCGCGACCGCGGAGGGTTGCCGCTGCTGCTGCCGCTGCTGTTGTTGCTGTTGCTCGACTTGTCTCAGTTGCCGCAGTCCGAGCTGCACATGCCGCAGCCGGCGGAGGGCAACACCACCTGCACCCGCCCTCGCCACCTGCATCTCCCCCTCCTGCTGGTACTGCTGCTGAAGATGCTGCTGAGACGGCTGCTGTGCAGTGTTGATGGTGGCGGCATCGGCAGACTGATGCTGCTGTTGGGGGCTGCCGCAAGCTGCTGCGGCAAGTAGCGCGAGGAGGCCGGTGTAGAGGAGCGTGCGAGCTACGAGGCGGTCAGCTGCAATCATGGTGGATGGATTGCGATTCGTCGCTAGGTAGGGGCGGTTGTTGGGTGAAGGACGAGGTAGTTGGCGGTGGGTGGGTGTTGAGCTGTCAAGTTAAATACTGGGAAGGGAAAACGTGCTGCGGTAGTGTGAGGTGTTGAAGAGGTGGCGGCGATAGGCGTGTGGGCAATTTCGGCGCACGAGTAGTAGTAGGATAGAAGGCTGCTGCTATTGTGTGGCTAGAAATAGAGAACTGTAGTTATAGAAGAAGAAGAGGGCAGGTAAGCTGGTTGATAAGCTAGAAGGATTTGTTAGGCAGACCCTTGTCTCTGTGAAGGTAGGTAGGTGCTGATCGTTTAGTGTGGGTGGGTAGTGTGTTGACGAACAAAAATAGCGCTTCGGCGCTTTATATACGCTAAAGATGGATAGGAGCTAGCTACTCGATGGATGGTGACGAGCGGTTGTTTGCTCGCGAGCACAGCGCGAGTGCTTGTCGAACGAGCGAAAAGGTGGCGAGAAGTGGACGAGGTACCGGATAGGGCCTTCGTTAGCACGCCACAGTGACGCAATAAACATAAACCAAAATTGTTCCAGCTATTATTTCATCCACGTGTATCCGTATTCTTGCTGTGGAATGGTTTAACTATCGGTTGGGTCCAGCCTAAGCAGAAGAGCGAGAGCGATCGCGTTGCTTTTTTGGTTGCCTTGTAAAAAAACGATTGAAAGGAGGACCAGCCGGCGACCCATGGGTCCGTCCCTCGCTGAACTAGCTTTCTGCCCTTATGCAGCTTAGCAGTGCAGCTTGCAGCAAGTCAAGCTGCCTGCGGAGAAGCCCTTCATTAGAATGTTCAATCGCTGCTGCAGCATAGGGATGGATGGATGGGTGTCATCTCTGTGGGGTTGCGTGCGTGCGGCGCCGACGATGCCAAAGACTGGCGACACATCTAGCTGCCGCACTTCAAAAGCAACAACCGCAATCAGCCGGTTCTCCGCTGTTCCAGGACTACGCAAACACGGTTCCTTCCTTTCGCTAAGAGCGTCTCATTTTGCCTCCGTTTTCGAAAACGAATGGCTTCGGTTATGTCCCCGTATGTGTGATGTCCAGCCCAGACCGGGCGGCCGAGTCGGACTAGATGGACAGTTCCTTCTGCGGAGACGTCGGTTCCTGCTGCATGCTCTCACCTTACCTTTTGTTGCTATACCTTTTGCCCAAACGACCACCAGAAAGCACGATATGAACACAAGCCGCTGCTTGCTGTTGTATTTTCCCTGTCTCCCTGCTGTTTATCCAGTAGAAGCGCGTGGGGCAAAGCTGCCGTCCCCCAATAGAGCGCCCCTAAGGCTACCCAGCAACCGCATGAAATGGAAGCCTGCCAACTAAGCTTTTACAAATTAGCGGCCGCCGGCCGGGTATAATGCCGAGGCGCTCCCAAACCAAACCAGAAGCGCGCACATCGCACGTACAGTGAGCATATAAAAAATTGCCACAATACAAGGCCATTGATTATGACCCGTCGATGTGGGAATCCTTAGGTTTGACAAGGAATCCGTTGATCGTTGGAGTCAACGTGAAGCGGGCGGCAGCGGCGGCGGCGGCGGCGGCAGAGGAGGAGCAAACGCGCTCCGCCGGAAGCCGATTCGTTTATGTGTATAGTCTATCGCCCATTCCAACCGTGCGAGCAGGTCGCCGCAAAGGATTCCGTGACTGTACAGCGATATGTCCAGACCGCCGATCGCAGCGCACATGCAGCGGACCTGCGGGAGCGGGATCGTGTGTTTATTAAGAAAACTGGCCGCGAGTAGGAACGATATGATAATTCCTCCACCAAAACACGCCATTGTGTGTGCGCGATCGAGGAAAAGGAGAAGAAGCGCGTTCTTGTTTGCGTAACAGCGGTTGCATTCACAGGGAGGGACACACGCACAGCCTTACATTTGCGACCCATGGGTCACCCGTGCACCGCGCCACCCACCTGTTCCAGCCGCACGCCCGCCAGCTCCACCCAGGGCAGCTCCAGGACCTGCGAGTGAGGAGAGGAGCGACACAAGCGCCACATGTGCGTCACATGTGTGATGCGTCGTGCTAGGCTTGGCTCGGCAGTAACAGCGGTGACCCACTCCAAACCGTGCATGCGTTTCCAGCCAACCTGACCAGCCAACCTGACCAGCCAACCTGACCAGCCAACATGTGACCAGCCAACATGTGACCAGCCAACATGTGACCGGCCAAACCAGATGCAGAAGCAGGTGACGATGAAAAGGAGGAGGAGGAGGAGGAAGAATATGATGAGGAGGAGGGTGCTCCCACCCAACCACTCAACCACTTACCGAACCGCCCCCCACCCCACACCCCTACCCACCACCCACCCCCACCTGCAGCTTCACGCAGTCCCGGGGCTCCTGACCCACTCCCCGCAGGTAATGCTGCTGCTGCCCCGACCCGCCTCCACCTCCACCTCCTCCTCCACCTCCTCCTGCTGCTGCTGCTACTGCCGACCCCCTGCCTGCCCCTGCCCCCGCTCCAGCCCCCGCTCCTGCCGGCTGTTGCGGATGCGGCCTCGTCAGCAGCAACCCCAGCTCCCGCTGAGCTCGTGCGTGCAACATGATGTCCGCCCCGCATGCGCCCGAGTCCACCATCAACAGCACCGAACGTACGACACCGCTGCTGCGGGTGCTGGTGCTGGTGGTACTGGTGCTGTCGTCGCTGTTGTTGTTGGTGGCGGTGTTATTGCGATCATTGTTGCTGGTGGTGTGAGTGCCGGTGTGAGTGTCGTCCGCGGCGGCAGCAAAGGGGTCAGCGAAGCGCAGCTGCACGTGCGGTAGGTTGGCGATCTGAGGTGAGGCGGGAAGGGAGGCAGGGAGGGTCGTCAGGCAGGCCGAGGACGGCCGGTACACGCCGTAGGGATGAACTGTGCAATCAGCCACCCGTATATACTAAGTTCCTGACACCAGGCAGCCATGGTGCCATGAAGGTGAGAGGGATGCCGCTAAGGCTGAGGCCACCAGGAGACAACCAAAGAAGCATGCTGTCGCAAATATGGTTTGCCTCAACCGCCAACCGGCCCGGCCCGGCCCAGACTCGATAGCTGTATTACTCCGTAGCCAACGGACTCTACTTCACTTGTGGCGTTATTGTGGGAGGACTTCATCTTCCGGCAATCACAGTATGTTCCGCCTCGCGGCCGGTTACCACACCCACGCCCCCACTCACCATAACCAGCGGGTGCCACACCCACTCCCCTTCCCTGTCGTACTGCAGCGGATGATGCAACGTCAGCTCGTGAAGGCTGTACGGCAGGTCGCGAGCCGCTCGCCGCATGACACGCGCCGTGACGCTCCTCCCGCCGCCACCGCCTCCTCCTCTTCCTGCTCTTGCCCCTGCTGTTGCTGCTCTTCCTCCTGCTCTTGTTCCTCCTCCTGTATTTACGTGTGAATGGCTGATACTGCTGAGATCACTGCTAGGAGTCCCGCTGCTGCTGCTAATGACGCTGTCACCGGTGCCGACACTACTAACGCTGCTGCCTTGGTTGCTAGTACTCCTACTAATGCAAGTGCCGTTGCTGCTGCTGCTGCCGCTGCTGCTACAGCCCTCGCTGCTACCAGTGCTCCTGCAGTCGTCTTCATCGCTGCACGCTTCCGACCCCACACTGCTGCTGCTACTGCTGTTACTGCTGCTGTCACTGCTGCTGTTACTGCTGCCACACCTTATCGGTGTGCTACGGCATGCTGACGCCGACTGCGCCACTCCTGCACGACCGCCCATTTCCGGCGCCGCTGCTTCTGCTTCTTCTTCTATCGCGGTTGTTCCTGCTGTTGCGGCCGCCGCTGCAGCTGCCGCAGCGGCTTCCGGCCCGAACGCGGGCGTGCACTGGGGTGCCGGCGGCGGAGGGCCAACGAAGACTGCGGTGCTAGCAGGACTGCCACTGCTGCCTCCGCCACTGCCGCCGCCAACACCGCAACCATCGCCGTTATCACTTCCACTCGTCGTCCTCGGCGTTATGGGGGCCATTGGGAGCGCCGGCGGTGCCACTGCCGTCGTCGTCGTCGTCGTCGTCACGAGCGGCGACGGCGGCTTTGACAGCGAATGCGGCCTGGGCGGCGACGGCGACAGCGACTGAGGCGGCCCGGGCAGCACCCTCGGCATCTCCACCACTACCCGACGGAACAAGTCATACCCAAGTATCCCCACCACCTCCCCCGGACCCCCCCGCACAAGGCCCCCCAACTCCATGACCATTGCCACGGGTTGTCGTACAGTCATCCCCCCGAGGGACCAACTGGACAGTCGTACAAACCGAGTGGCGACCTTGCCGGAGACGGACGCGGCGTGCGTTTCGCCAAAGGACTGGCCGCCGAGACGAGCGGCGGCCTGTGTGACCCATGGGTCATTGCCGCGAGTGGGGAGGGATGAGGGTGAGAGCGGGCGGGAGGAACGAGGCATGCAAGAGGGGCTTCTCTATAGAGATTAGGAGACGATGTGTTTCTGTGTCACCCCCCTCACCCTTACCCTCAACCTCAACCTCATCGTCACGCTCGCGATCCCCACCCTCCCACCTGCGGGGTGACCACCAGCCCACTCGCCCCCGAGTCCAGCAGGAAGTATCCGCCCGGCTGGCCGTTGAGGTGGGGGCGCACCTGGGGGGGGGAGGGGGAGGGAGAGGGAGGGGGAGGGGGAGGGGGAGGGGGAGGGGGAGAGGGAGGGGGAGGGGGAGGGGGAGAGGGAGGGGGAGAGGGAGGGGGAGAAGGATACCCATGGCGTTGGGATGTGACATGAATGGGAATCAATGGGGGGAGGGAGACGGGGTGGGCGAAGCAGGGGGCCTAGGTGGACTGCAGGTACGGTGGGTTCATCGGATGGGATGGGGATGGGGGCCAGAAGCGGAGAGGAGAGGAGAGGAGGGGGTAGCTACCAACAAACCAAAGCGTTCCCCTTCCCTTTGAACCCGCACACCCACCACCCACTGCCTCACACCCACCCCACCCACCAGCAAATGCCCACTGGCTGCTCGCCACAGAGGCACCACCTGACACCCCCCGCCGCCTGCTGCCCCCCCTCCGCCTGCTGCCCCTCCGCCTGCTGCTGCTGTCCCTGTTGTTGCTCCTGCCCGCCCTGCTGTCCCCGCCTGCCGCTCCTGCTCCTCCCCCACCTCCTCCCGCTGCTGCGGCTGGTCAGCTGCTGTCAGTGTGTCACAGCCAACCCCGCCACCCCCCTCGTACGACGTGTCGGGCGGCAGCGGCGGCAGCAGCGGCATGGAGAAGTAGGTGGCGGCGGGGGGCGGAGGGCCCGGCAACAGCGGGGGACTGCTTGGCGACGACTGCGCTGTCTCTAAGAAGGGCGTTGCGGCTCCTGCTCCTGCTGCTGCTGTTGCCCCTGCTTCTGTTCCTGCTGCAGGTCCAGCTGCTGTCCTTGTCGCTGCCGCACCTGCTGCGGGCTCGTCTTCTTCCTCCTGCTGCCGCCGCCGCCCCTCCCACCCTTGCACCTCCTCCGCCGCCCCCCGCTGGGTGAGGTAGGCGTGCTGTCCGCCCGCCGAGGCGGAGTGCAGCACACTGGCGGGGTAGCGAACCCTGGATGGGAGAGGGGGGGGAGAAAGGATACCGGTAAGGGGAGTTGTGCTGCGAGGTGAGGGAGGAGGTGGAAAGAGGAGGCAGGAGAGGGGAGAAGAGCGGAGATGGAGGAGGGAAAGCCGAGGGGTCATGGTCTCATGAAGCAGCAAGCAAGCAGAAGTGCGGCGAGCCCTTAACCCGTTACCCCATAACCCCACCCCCACTACCCCACCCCCCACCCGCACCCACCCCGGCGCCCACTCCCGCCACTCCCCGCACTGCCACGTCTCAGTGTCCCCACACAGCCGGTGGTCGAACCCCAGCAGCCGCCACTCGCCACCGCGCACCCACACACGCACGCGGAGCTGCATGGGGGGAGGGGGGGAGGGGGAGGGAGGGATGGGAGGGAGTGAGGGGAGTGAGGGGAGGGGGGGGGGGGGGGGGGGGAGGGGGGAGGGGAGGGAGGGAGGGGAGTGAGGGGAGGGGGGAGGGGGGTGAGGGGAGGGAAAAGAAGAATACGCAATGTGTTGAATGACAAGCCGACGAGAGGAGAAAGACCGACGGGAGGGGACGAGCCGACGGGAGGGTGGTAAAAGTCAAGCATGCCTTGGATGGTGGGGGCGGGGAGGGCGAGTGTGTTGAAAACTGGCCGCGAGTAGGAACGTACTGGGATGTCGGAAGATGAAGTCCCCATAGAACCGCCGCAGGAGGGCGAGTGTGTGTGTGCGCGCGTCATTCGATAGACCGGCCCAGGCACGTCCTTCCCTGCTCGCGACGAGCCCACCTCACCTCGGTTACCCCGCATTGCCCCTGCGCCACCCCTCCCCTCCCCTCCCCGCCCCCTCACTTTTATATAATTTTCCCCGCCCCCTCACCTCACCTTCTTCCCTCGCACCCGGACCCCAAGAGCCACCAGCGGCGGGGGAGCCGCCGCCTGCGCCGCTGCAGCTGCGGCACCGCCGCTGCCGCTACTACTGCTGCTGCTGCTGGCGCCGTCAGTCCCGCCGCTGCTAGCCTTCTCGCCGCTACTGCTACTGGCATCGCCATTACCGCTGTTGGTGCTGCTGGCATCGCTGCAACTGTTCCGTCCCTTGACACCGTCATCACCCCCACCCCCACCACCCCCACCCCGGAATGCTGCTGGCAGTGAGGCCGGCAGCGGCAGCAGCTCCACCTCCAACCGCCGGCCCAGCAGTCCGGGCTGCAGCCAGCAGCCGCTGCGCAGGTAGGCGGCTAGCAGCACGGCCTGGAGGAAGGAGGGAGCCAATTTTCGGACCAATTAAAACCAATAAAATACAAAAAAATAAAAGGAGGGATTCACAAGGCAGAGGGAGGATTAGTGGAGGAGGGGGGGGCAGGCGGGGAAACAGCGGGAACAACGTAGCAGCAGTGGCAGCAGCAACAACAAGGAGCAGCACCATAGGCAATCGTGATTCATTGCGTGCACACCCCCCGGCGTGAATGCATACAGTCCCCGGCGTGCATGCATGCAGAACCCTGCAGTCATGCATACCCCCCGGCGTGCATGAATGCATGCATGCACACTCCAGCTCCCCCCCCCCCGGAGCGCTCGCACCTCGTGTTCGTCGCACTCCATCTCCCGCACGAGACCCGAACTGTCCACCTGTCGGGGGAGCGGGGGGGGGCGCCAGGTGTGTTCGGACACTGTACGGCAGCGGTCGTTAAGAGGTACGACAGCCGTTCCCTTTCTCCCACTACGATGGGCGCCATTTTCGTAGCGCCTCTAGGCCCTGATGCCGTACCTCCCAGCACCCGCTGCCCTCCCGACCGTCATAGCCCCACTTGAAGGACATCTGAGGCCCCCGGATCTCCTCGAGAAAGCTCCCGCCCGCCGTCCATCTTAGACTCCAGGTCACGGCGATGCCCAAGTGCTTGCCGCGCCCCGAAACCACCGCCTGGAAGGGAATGTAACATTGGTCGGGCACCTATTGATTGTGCCGTACACAACCGCCAACGGCTTTGTATGACTGGCATTGTTCTGGCTGTGTTCGACTTCGTTGAGTTCGACTGACCTCAACGTTAGGTTGCAACTCGTTGGTGCCATGTGCTCTGCGCAGCTCTGCCAGGACTTGCTCCACAGTCAATGACTGCTGCGCATTGCAGGCACGGTCCTCGCGAGCGGCATGCGTAAATGTAAGTAATCGTTGTTGAGCACTTGTTGATGGGCGTTGGCTAGCCGTCCAAGCAAAAGGCGCGAGGGCAGCCGGTCGAGGAGCTCGCTTTAAGAGACAGCCGCCTCCTATCAGCGACGCCCCACGCATTGTATATTAATCTCAGTTTATATTGTTCTGTTTTGTACAATTTGAGCAATAAGATGGTTAGATGGTTAGGAAACGTACATGCTCGACCTGGCGCGAGGGTTTCCTTGCGAGCGAGGGGCTACCCTAGACGAATGGGGATTTTATGTTCCTATCCTTGATAAGTGCAGTTCGCTCGTCTAAACCTGCGATACCATTCGCTAAGGGCGGCAAAGCCACATCTGTCGTACATCTGCTTGGGTATTAGTAGGTATCCATGGTGGAAACATGGCGGAGATCTTTCCTCGTCACCGCCCCCCAGCGCCTCTGTATTTCTGCTGTCGCATAAACCTCTTCGAGAAACCTATGCAACGATGGTGTCTGGGTGGTATGCTTAAACCTGCCAGACCCAGTGTAACCTGTTTCTTTCAACTTAGAACCCTGGCCTTCACTACCCCATTCAGATGTCACAACCTGGGACCTGGGGCCGAGAAGGCCTTCTTGCGCGAGAGTCTGCAGGGAGGGGCGATTGGGGGGCATGGGGTACACCCTTCCGGTGTGCTATGTGAGTTACGGTATGACATGCAAAAACATGGTGAGGCGCCTGGAACAGCGGCAGATTTAATCCAGTCTTATCGGGTTATGAAGAGGAAACAGCTCTTGCCCTTTCTTTACTTATCGCTCCTACACAGATTGTCTAATATGTACGGCAGAAGTAACTGGCTGATGTCAGATTGCCATCTGCAAGCCTTGCTATAGACCAATCGTTAGGTCAGAGAAGCATGGCCTTACAAGACGTCCATACGTTAGTTTCGATCGCGTAGACTGCAAATATTGTAGACAGCGTGCTCATGCAGATGCCCCGCTTCTTAGCTTACCGCAGTTTACGACGATGATTATTGCCCGCTAATATAACATTAATTATCGGCCGTGCTATCTGGACTAGATTTAGACGAGACTTGCTAGAACACCTTCGGCCTTGCCATGCCCTGTCCTCTCGCTTCACCACAACAACGGTTGTCGCTTCATAGATGCCGAAGAGAGCCAGGAAGATGTAGCTTACTACACTCGCGTGGCCCTTCCTGCCGTCGCTTGCCTGCGGTGGTGCGCTGTGCGTCGCAACGACCACCCCAAGTTGACGAGCCCGTTCAGCAGCAAACCAGCAGCTCCACAAACAGCCGGCAAAAAGAGCAGGAACAAGAACTTCAGTTTATTAGCACAACACTTCGGCGGACGGAAGCGCGGTATGAGGCCTTGGCGGCATGGGTGGGCGCAGCGGTGGCCTTTGGAGCTGGCATTTGGTATGTTCAAGGCGCCGAGAAAGCTCAGGAGTACTTCGCAGGATACCTACTGGAGCAGTCGCTGTCAGTGGACAACCTATTCGTCTTTGTGCTCGTCTTCGGCTTTCTGAAAACACCGCCCGAGGCGCAGGCAAAGGTGCTGACTTGGGGCATCGCAACGGCAGCTGTGCTAAGAGCGGTACTTATCCTGCTCGGTGTGGAGCTGGTGCGGGAGTTCCAGCCGCTCCTGCTTTTGTTCGCTGGCATTCTGCTATTCTCATCCTTTAAATTGCTCACCGCTGGCGACGACGACGATGACAATGACGACCTCTCGGATAACTTCATCTATAAGTTTTGCGCGCGGTTTATAAAAGTCACGGACAAGTATGACGGCAATAACTTCTTCACCGTACGCGACGGTGTGCGCATGGCGACACCCCTGCTGCTCACGCTGGCTGTCGTCGAGCTTAGCGACGTTGTCTTTGCAGTTGACTCCATACCGGCGGTGTTCGGCGTCACGCTTGACCCCTTCATCGTTTACACATCCAACATCTTCGCCATCCTCAGCCTCCGAGCGCTCTACAGCTTCGTGGCAACAGCCATGGGCGAGCTCAGGTTCCTAGACAAAGCCGTCGCTGTTGTCCTGGGCTTCATTGGCGCGAAAATGGTGCTCGGGTTTGCTGATGTGGAAATTCCCACGGATGTCTCGTTGCTGGTCGTCGGGCTGGTGTTGGGAGGGGGTGTTGCAGCGAGTTTGGCGTTGCCAGAAAGCAAGGAGGATTGAGTGCAAGACAAGGAGCGTTTGCAGGAGGAAGGCAGCATGACACCTGCGCCTATGCGCACTGGCAGGAAGGCAGTTGGGGACTGTTGGGTGTAGGATGCGCTGTCGGAGAGAGGCGAGTGTGTTGATGTTTGGGCAGTTGTGCATGCCGTTGGAACCGCTGTCGTTGTGACTCACAGCTCAGTGGGTTGAGTAGTGACTTGCTGTTGGTTGATGCGTTGGTTTCGGTTACGGTGTTTGAGGCGGTTGTGGTGGTTGCGGTCGCAGTGGAGCCATGCCTCTCCTTCACTTGCCTTACCCCGGACCTTATTGTTACATCGTTTCGTGTAGCAGCAATGGATGCCGGCCGCACATGGACGTGGCAGCAGCGATGGGGGCGATGGGGCCATGACTCTCAAGGAAAGGGAAGCGAAACCGATGGGAGGCGAAACCAGAGTTGACCTCATGCCTACGGTTACGTGGCGACCGTTGTGGAACGCAGGCTTGGCTATACCGGTAGGTGTACGGCAAGTACGTGGCCAAACCTATCCAACGGACATTGCCCTGCCCGCCGTGCGTATATGCTTCGTCCAAGGTTACTGTGCGACGGGTGGCCTAAACGTGCTTTGAGTGTTGGGACAGGAGTACAGCTGGAGATAGTTGGGCTGCCGCAACGAACGAAGGAGTGTGAGATTGGCGGTGGGCGAGTGTGCGGGGTTTTGTTAACCCGGGGAGTTGCAGGCTCCTTCGGCCCGCGGGTGCTTCAAGAAGAGGGGGCGTGTATGGCATGGGGCTTGTAAGGCCTTTTAAGCTGTGTTTCCTTTGGTTCCATGGTGGCTTGCAGGCGCAACTGTACGGTAGGGAGATGGCGTGTGCACCTCACGATCATCAATTTTGTATGTACTGCCCTGAGGACCTTGACACATGAGTGTCTTGTCACATACCGAGACGCGTGTTCTCAGCCATTGCTTGCGACTTTGGTGGCTGTTATGTAAGAGGGGTAGCAGCAGACGGAGAATTGAGCGCTGAGTGTGACAGTTAGGAAGGGAAATGGGAACCGTGTTTCAGGACTGGGTCGAGATTCCAGAGCGTCTGGGCGGTTTACATGCGATTGCGCAACCTTGATGGGTTTGAGCGCTGTTCCGTCGCATCCTGGTAGGTTATCTGGGGCGCGCTTCAAACGACAAGCAACGTGCATGAGCTGTACTTGAGCCTTCACGAAGCCATGATCCCCGCAAAGCTGGTATTGCTGTTGACGTCACCGGGCGCTTTTGATGCGACGTCTTCCTTGTGATTGCCCTGCTATGTTATCACATATGGCAGGTACACGTTGAGGCGTAAAGGTGAACTGAGAGCACGTAACAGGCATGTCCTTAGTTGCGGTTGGTGCTGAGTGAAAGGGCCTGCATCTCGTGTAAGGAGCGCTGACGCTGGAAAGACATGACGGGCATACAGCCGGGCGGCCGTGAGGAGGACTCTCATGCCTAGCCATGCGCGTGTTTTCACAGTGGCACAGGAATCCAGCACACGTGAAATTGTCAAACCAGCAGCTCCCCATGGCTCCATACGACAGCAGCCTCGGCACAGTGCCACGCCGCAAACAACCCAGTGCATTGGCGAGACACACTGACATGGTATCGTGTAGCTTTTCATTCCTGCTGCCGGCCACGATAGCCCCCCACTACAGCCCGCCACCCGCGTCCCGACGCTAGCCCGCTACCAGACTCCTCAAGAATCAGCCCCATTCTCACCATTCTCAAAAACACATGCCGCTCAATAACACACACACTGTCATCATCCCGCTTTTGCAACGCGCAGCTCCTACTCCTGCCCCTCCATTCCTTGCTGGCCGTCACCCGCCCCCAACACCTTGATGTCCCGCAGGTATCCCTCGTACATGCCGCAACCCCCATTCCCACCCGCATTGCCACCAGGGGGGCCCCCTCGAGGCGCCCCACCTGCACCACCGCCGCCACCCTCGTCCCCGCCTCCCTCATCCTCTAACCTGATGATCAGCGGCTGCTCGGGTGGCGGCCCCGGGTACTTGAGCCGCATGGTACCGTGGAAGTCCCGGATGTAGTCCATGAGCCGGGTTGCGAGCTCCTGGCCGTACAATTGGATCTCTGGATCCGAGCTCTCGGCCATCAGCTGGATGTCCTCCAGGCCCACATGCTCGGCCACGTAGCCCTCGGGCGGTACGACGCCAGCTGCGAGCAAGTGGGCACAGCAGTTGGTGGCAATGGGCAAGGGTTTACCGTCGCGTGGGTGAGGTGAAGTGCGTCGCGTGGGGGAGGTGAAGAGAGAGTGCCGCACGCAAAAAGGCGATGGGGTGCAGGAAAATAAGGGTGACGTATGGGATCCTAGTATCCTTGCAGGGTTTGCATCGTAGGCTAATACACCTAGTACAGTATGGTACGCGGCGCTGGCTGGGGAGCTCCTCTGCACCCACCCACCTAGCTGCGGCTCGAGGGCCTCGCTCGTCAACCGCGCCGCAACAATCGCCGTACCGTCCTCCACCAACGCCACGTCACCATCCAGCTGGTGGAACAGTCCGTACACGTCCAACGTCAGCGGAAAACCCAGCGCCGCAGCCGCGGGAGCCCCACCGGCAGCAGCAGCAAGCAGCTCTTCCACCTGGTACAGCTGTACCGTACCCGCATGGAATGAGGTTTCGGAACCGCCGACAGTGGCAGTGGCGGTTGCATGGGCTGCATGGCTGCTACCAGCGTCAGGGTCGGCCGCACATGGATCCTGGTCGAGGTCCGGATGGGGAGGCTCAAGCGGGTCGGGGGCGGCGGCATTGGGGCCGTAGTTGTGGTCCAGGGCCATGGGGTCTGCTGCATCGGGCGGCACCTCTTCTTCCCAGCCTTGGTGGTGCTCGTGCGGGGGTTGGTCGTCGGCATCGACAGCAGCAGCAGGTGGGTCCGGGTCATCGTACTCGGCAAAGGGGTAGTCCTCAATCTCGTCAGCCACGAATCCAAAGCCCTCCTCGGGATGCTGCTCCTCCAGATGCTGCTGCTCTTGGCCTTGCTCCTGAGCTTGAAGTGGACCAGCAGCGGCAAGGTTCGTGGCGGCTGCGGCAGATTCCTGAACGTCAGGGCCTTCGAGCTGCCTGGCCGGCGCTGCACTTGCTGCCAATGCGGCAGCCGAGCGGCCTGGCAAGCCACCGCTACCATCGTCGTCAACAGCACGTCCATGCGCCGCCGCTCCGCTAAAACCTCGGGCACTGTCGTACTCGGATGTGGGTAAGCGCGACAACAATCGCGGCCGCTTTTCCACCCCACCAGGCGGATCAAACGGCGGCTCAAGCCTGCTTTTCCCGCTATGCGTACGGACCCATGGGTCAATTCGTGGGCCGCCATGGCCGGTTGACGCCCCACCTGAAGAACCCTGCGCGGCGCCAGATCCACCAATACCCGCGTCGTCATCATCATCCAGAGACGCCAGATCCACCATCTCAACATCCGGCCCGTCAGGCAGCACTGCGCCTCCGCCGCCCCCGTCGTTAGCTGCTGTCCCAAGCTGACTCCGCCCGCCGGCTGCTGTGACCCTGGGACTAGGCCCCATGCCGCGACTGCCACCTCCCATGTAGCCACTAGGAGTCGGACTGCTCCGCGCCAGCGGCAGCGCCGGCTTCCGTCCTGCTGCCATACCAGCAGCCGCTGCGGAGCCGGATGACGTCACGGAGGGCGACGGTAACGCAGGGCGCTGAGCTGCGGCGACAGCAGCACCACGGGGCCCTGAAGGCGGCAGCAGACCGTTCGAGGAGGTTGGGCCGGCGGCATTAGCGGCGGCTGCGAGCGCAGCCGGAGGCGGTGGCCCGGGCTGCCGAATAGCGCTACCACCCAGCGCCCCTGAGTTCACCGATCCAAGCCGCTGCAGTCCCGACGGTGCCTGCTGTTGGGCCTGCTGCTGCTGGTTCTGTGGTTGGAGCGGACCTGGAGGGTGCTGCATGAGCGGGCCGGAGGCATCAAGCGAGATGTGCGAGTTGGAGCGACCCGAGGCGGTTTCGCTGGAGGACGTGAGCAGGACAACGGGTGCATCCACGCCACGACCGTTGCTGCCACCGCCGCCACCAGCATCGCCGGCATTCCAGCCTCCGCTGCCGTCTCGTCCCTGACTCTGCGCAGGCCCCAGCCAGCCGCTTCCGCCGGCTGCCGCTGCTGCTGCTCCGTTGCCGTGGCTTGAGGCCGCCCCTGGCTGGCCAGCAGCCCCACCCGCATCCGTCCTGAACAGCCCTCCTGGTGGCTGTGTGGGCATCTGTTGGGTGGGCGGAGTCAGACCTCGCGGCAACGTGGGCTGAGGATGCTGCTGCTGCTGCCATTGCTGGCTGTTGCCTGGAGGCCCCTGCCAGCCCTGAGACCCCGCACCGGCACCGTTGTGTGGCAGGGGCTGCTGCTGGGGATGCTGGTGCTGGTTGTGTTGATTGGGCTGCTGCTGCGGCGGCGGCGCTCCCCACCCGTTCGGCTGCTGTTGTGGCTGCTGGTGCTGTTGTTGCCGCTGCGCATGCGGCTGCTGCTGTGGATGCCCGTTGCCCCACGGCTGCTGCTGTGGCTGCTGCTGCTGCGCGGGGGCTCCCACCGCACCCGGCGCCGCTGCCCCTGCAGGCCCTGCCGCCCCCACATTCCGCCCTGCAGGCCCCTGCCCCGGCGCTCCTGCTGCTGCCGCCGGCGCCGCTGGCCCCGGATGCGGTCCGGGGGCCCAAGCCGCAGCTCGAGCCTCCCCAAAGATGTCCCGCTCGCCCGCATTCCCAGGTCGGCCCACTGTGCACAAGGTTAAGGTGGTACGCTTCTGTCAACAATGCAGGATTCTGTGCATGTGCATGAAACCCCTCTGTCATCAGCATCCCTCCACCGGGGCATGTACGGCTGCCATGCCAGCAACAATCCCCTCCCCAGCCGACGCTGCCCTACTACCCTCCGTAGCCGTGCATAGCTGCAACCCCAAACGACCCAGTTACCCTACAGCCGCTACAAATACACTCACCCCGTCTACCCACCCATAAGGGGTCCTCCAGCCCTCTCCGGTCTGGGCCAGTGTTCCAACACCCCAGACACATTACCGCACCCAACCCAGTGCACCTACCCACAGGTCGCGTCCACGCCGCCACTGCCCGCTGCCTGGCCGCCTCCAGCCGCTCCACCTGGCCGCCCAGCAGCGCCGTGTTGTCGGGGCCCAGCAGCAGCAGACCCCGCCGGATGGGCACGTTGTGGAGAATCACCTGTTGGTTGGCACATCCAGGTTGGCGCAGGGAAGGTTGTTAGCCGAGAGGGACGGGTGGGGTTTACGGAGCGGGGGACATTGATGGATGCTGGGGCTGCTGGGATTGAAGTAGGAAGGGGTTCTTGCAACGCTATAGGTTGCAGTGTGACAGAGACTGATGCTGCAACCCGAGTTGTCTCCTTCCTCTGCACATCCCTTTCCTTGCTTGCCGCTATTTGCACTTCATCAAAAACTGCCGCCTAGTTGTAGTAGGTGGTGAGCCAACTGCCGTACCTTGCTCCCAGCCGGGCAGTCCCAGGTGATGGTGGGCAGGTGGCTGTGCTCCACTCCAACCACTTGCTGGCAGCCTACATCGGGACCCAGAAGTAAGGAATGCGCGCTCACAAAACGTAGGCTTGGAGATACACGCCCTTGAGGGTATGATTGTCTGTGTCTGTACAGGCAAGTGGCCCCGTGCAATGCCTTCACACGCAGTGAACGGCAGCTTACCATCGGTCAACGCGAACTTCATACAGCGGTTGCTCGTCTGGTCGGTGTATCTGCGTACAGCGGTTGAGACCGGGCACGGAGAGCGCCACAAGGAAAGAATGGCTGTGGATACAAATGCAACCAATTTCAGGAAGATACAGTAGATGTGAAGGTCGTTGGCAACCAGCGCAGATCACTCTCACCGTTCTCGAGCAGCTGCAGCCATGTTTACAACTTCGTCGATTTGCAGAACAAACTTTCCTGCCAGTACTTGTTTGTGCATCTCCTGCTCGCATGCAACGCACTTCAGACGAGTGTTCCTATGGAAAAACATGTCTGGCTAGGGCTGGCTGTCGCAGACATGCTCACCTTCACGTTCGGTGGCAACAAAGCCGTTCCAGCTTGGTTCAAATCGCAAAACAGGAAGGATGTGAATATCTTTTCCAGGACCTGGACCTCGGGCCATGTCGCCAAATCTGGATGTGCTTGGCGAAGCTGTCCCAACACCTGCTCTAACCATTCCGATCTCACTCCTATAGCATACTGCTCCCGCAGCTTGCGCTCCCAATCCATAATCTAAGCTGCGGCTAGTCATTAGGGCCCAGAGCTAGCCGGGATTGTTTACAGAGAGCATGGATGTTGTCCTTGCCAAAAATAAATTCAAGACAGCAAGCACATGCGTATACGTAGTATGTATGTATTTAGCGTCACTATACATCAGGAAAGGAGGTCTGCTATAGAATGGTGCACTGTTCCAGCGTTTCAGGTGCACCGTATCGTACAGGATCCCGGCAACCACGGTACTTTACGGTTGCGTCCTTGCAATAACTGTCAAATTTGTCTACCATGATATGTTGCAAAATCCCCTGTGATACACAGCAAGAATGCACCAATCCTGTTACTCAGTACAGTGCGCGCGTGACCAGGCCCGCTACTACTACTGCCTTGTACGTTCAACCTTCTCGGGCTGCCAACAGCCCGGCGCCGCAACCACACATGGCCTTTGATGTATCTCCGCACATGGCCTCCGGCCCACGTCAATACCCAGACAGCTCGCTTCGTCAGGGGTCCCTGGAGCATCCCAGTACAGGGTACATAAACCATCCCGGTCAAAATGCAAAACCTCAAAAAACCCCTTGAGCTTCCTCCCAAGCAAAAGGCCAGCAGCCACAACTACCAAACACCCTAGAATACGCTGCCCGCGGAGAACTCAGCGGCGAAGGCGCCATCGTAGTGCTCGTCGTCGTTGGGCGCCTCCATCCCGTCGTCCTCGTCGAGCCCCGGCAGCACGAAGCCCTCCATGGAGGAGCCCAGGTCGTCCAGGGTCTGTGGGGCGGTGAAATGGAAGGAGGCGCACAACACACGTACCGGTAAACACACGCACACATACACGGCAATCACAGTACGTTTCGCCTCGCGGCCAGTTATTTGAATACACGTCAACAAGGAACGTTTTGGTTGCGGTTGGGCGCGATTTGTTTGCCATGCCAAGCTTGCTTTGAAAGCGAGTGAAACCCAAGTGGCGGTGTTGACGAATGCCTTCTGGCATCTGGCCGTGCTTCCTCGCAAGCCTCCACGCATGCCCCCGCGGGGCCGTAGGGTAAACCGAGTTCAAACCGAGCTCGGGGGATTCCAGAACCCACCCACCATGTTAACACTGGGCGCACGGCCGCTGTTGACGCTGGTTCCCATGCCCGGCGCCTCCACACTGAAGCCGCTCGCCTCGGATCGGATGGTTGCAGATGTGCCCCGCGTCAGCTCTGCGTGAACAGTGTTCCGGGGGACAGCGGCCGGGTTACATCAACAAACGTAAGAACACTTGAGCATAAGGCCTAGGACGCAGGAGCTTGCAACACGCCAGGGAGTACGGTCAGGGTACCGGTATGCATACTACAAGTTACCCACATGCTTACAACCAAGCCTGACAAAGGCATGGCAGCCCCTCAGCACGCCACCTCTTTCCAATCGCCACCCGCGTCTCGCCCCACTCCACTCCTTTCCCCTTCCACCCCCACCTCTTCGGTTGACGCTGCTCTGTCGGGAAACCGACCCCGCGCCTTCGTGGCTGGTTCGCCGTACAGAGCTCATCCTGCGCTGTACGGTCGAGAGCTCCGGGGCCACCGTGTCGTACGCCTCACCCGCAATGACGTCATTGGTGCTGTCGTCGTCGCGCGGCTGCAGACCGGGACCGCCAGCCGAGGGGCTGCCGCTGACGTGGCCGTTGTGACCGTGCATGGTTCCGGATACCCGACTGGAGTTGCGAGACAGTAGGCGCTGCCCGGCCGGCCGCTGCTGCTGCTCGTGATGCTGCTGTTGTTGCTGGGCGGCTAGCGTGCGCTCACGCTGCTCCTGGGTTGGGGAAACAATAGCAAGGAGGATTTCTAAGGGGTGGAAAAAGGAGGAGATGGGTGCGCAGCAACGGCGTGAATGCGAGCGGTGCATGGGCCTGCAACTCGAACTGCGGGCAGGCTGGAAGGCGTGGGGTTGAGTAGTGCTATGCCCACCCAAGATGCCCTACCCGCCTATCATGTCTTGTCATTGAGCATCCCGCTCCTTTACATGCATGCGGATTAGCGGTACGCCCCCCTCAACTTAAGAAGTTGTTTTGTCCTATTGCATTATGTCTTCCTTTTGCCCTCGCCGACCCCACCTGCAGCATCCGCATCTTGGCCTCCATCACACTCTGGACGTCCATCGGTGGAGGCGGCGGCGAATCTGGCTCCTCAACTTCCACCGGTCTCGCCTGTGCCGCCGGCGCAGCCGCCCCAACGCTCGTCGCGGGTCCCCTCGGCGTGAACCCGCTCACAATAACCAAGCCGGGAATGGTCGGCTTGGGCGGCGAGGGGTCAGGGGCTGCCACCGGAGTCGGCTCAGCAGGTGCAGCGGGCATGCTGGACACGGGCGCGGCTGCCGTTTGGGGCTTCAGGTTGGTTGTCAGCACGAGGCCTGGTGGCGGGAGCACCACGGGAGCTGAGCTGGGCGGGGGCGGCGCGGCGGCGGCGGCGGCAGACGGGCCCGCGTCGCCGCCGCTGGTGATAGCCGGGGTGGGTGTGGGAGTGAAGGGTCGCGTGTAAGGAGGCTCCGCGGCGGCCGCTTGTGGCAGCTGTGGGTCGGAAACAAGAGGAGCAGCGGAGATGTGGGTGGAAGAGGCACCGCCGGTTGCGGAGCTGCCTTGCCGCATGCCGGTGTCTTGGATGCCGTACGATATCTCCTGTGGCGGCGGGGGAGGCGGAGGCGCTAGGTCTGCGGAGGAGGGAGCAACGTCGCTGATGCGAGGGGGCCGAGACTGTGCGAACGGAGACGCATCCCGTGCGGCTTGCGGTAGGGTTGCAGGCGCCTCAGAAAGGGCGTTGCCCAGTCCGAATCCTTGGCTGTGGTGAAAGGATGATGGCGCCGAGGGCATTCCGGCTGCGGGAAGAGGAGGAGGAGCAGCGTGATCGTTGTATGGGTAGTAGGAGGGCTGCTGGTCCGCAAAACGCTGCTGTCGTTGCTGCTGCTGCTGCATGTTGCGTTCCCGGTCGTCCTCTAGCTGCTGTTGTTGCCTCTGCTGCTGCTGTTGTTGTTGGTGCCGTTGCTCCTGTTCCTGCTCCTGCTGTCGCTGGTTGTGCAGCTGATACGACAACATAAGCTGTTGCTGCTGCCAATCTGCGTGTGGGTCTGCTTCCGTTGCCGACGGCGGCGAAAACACCGACCGACCGCCTTGTGGCTGCCCCTGCGTAGGACTGCCGTGCATGACGTACGTCACGTACGGGGGTACGGCATCGGATCCATCCGGTAACATGTCACCCAGCAGCTGCTGGTGCAGGGGCTGCAGCTGTTGCTGTGTTAGGCCGGCGCCGGCTTGGTTGGAGATGGCCACACTCCGTTCACGCATCTCCTGCACAGGCCGGCGAGGGAAGGCAGGGCAGCAGAGCAAAGCACACCCAGGTTAGGAAGCCTTGCAACTGGCTGCAAGCATCAAAACCGGATACGGTGGTAGAAGAGCACATGGGCGCATGTGCAACGTGCGGTGTTACTGCTGCGCCCTGCTGTCCCCCCACCTGCAGCGAGGACATGCGCTTGCGGTAGCTCTCCTCCTGGCTGGCCACGATGTCCTCCTGCCGCCGCAGCCGCTCCAACCTGCACACATGCGACAGCACCATACATGGACATTTCCTCCGGCAATCAGAGTACGTTCCTACTCGCGGCCGGTTTTGCCAACACATAGGCCTGTGGGCAGTCGGCTTGCTGAAAGGCCGGGCCTTTGCTCTTGCCCGCTTGTTCAAAGGCCCGCTTGAACTTTTGAACAGTCTCATAATATGACCGTGTTCCCCCCACCCACCGCCACCACTAGCAGCAAAGAACCGTGTCCACTCTTCGCACGACCTTCCCATCATCCCACGCGGCAGCTCCAGCGACCCACATCAGTCACCTTGCATGGTCAGTGTATTTTGCCCCTTGATACGGTACGTCCCTCCCCATGTAACACACCACACCACACCATTTCAACTCCCCCACGTACCGGTCCAGGGTGGCATCCCGAGGGGCCGCCGTAAGCGATTCCGCATTCGACAACGCCGGTGTGCCCGCCGCCACCACGGACGACCCGCCGCCGCCAGCATTCCCCCCGCTACCGCTACCTCCTCCGCCAGCACCGTTCTGCGCGTACCAGCCAGGCCAGCCGTAGTGGTTGCCGTGACCACGGCTGCCTGGGGAGCCGCTGCCGGCAGCAGCAGCGGCTGCGGCTGCAGCATTGTTGAGGTTACCGCCGAGCGCCAGAGCGCTGAGGGCGGAGATGACTGCGGAGGCGGCGGTGCCGGAGGCTGAGCCGGCAGCAGCGCGGCGTGTTGGACTCATCAGCAGGAGGCTCCGACGACCCGGACTGTCAGCACCTGCGGCAGCAATGGCAGCGAGAGGTTGAGCGGGAGTGGATGAATGAATGACCGTTACCGGTACAGCGGTTCCCGAAAATGAGACATGCGAGGGACCACCCAGCCACGCGCCTGCGCTACCTTGTGGCTTCAGCCGTACCTGCTTTCGTACCGGCTTTCGTACCTGCCACACTCGTCACACAACATAGCTCTGCACCACCTCCATGCGGCCTAGCATCCCTACCTCCCCACCGGTTCCTACGTACCGTACCCGTGTATCCCCACCACCGTCCGCTTTCCCTTGCCTTCCAGTTTGGGCTCACTACCGGTAACAGCCATTCACCCACCCACTCATTCGTGCTTCCGAATGCGCTCACTGCATGAGTCGGGATATGGGATTGGGATTTGTTGTTTCACTTTTATATAATTTTTAACCCACTCATTCAACCACCCCGCCCCTCACCTCTGCTAGGCGGCCGCCTGGCTGCCGTGGAGGCCGCAGTGACCTGCTGCAGCCTCGCAGCCGCCAGCTCCTCCCGGCTCCTCGCCAGCACCCCCCGCAGCTCCACCAGCTCCCGCTCCAACTGGAACACGCGGAACTGGGACTCCTCGGCAGCGGACTGCGCATCGCCGCGAGCTGCAACCGCCTGCGCGGAAGCAGGGTGTCGTACGAAGTACAAGTAAATGGTCGTACAAGTATGATGCCACAAGGATGTCGTACGTACGCACGTGTACCTCGTACCCCTGACGTGGCTTCGCCTTCCAAAGGCATGTAGCTTGCACTGGTTTGACCTTTCACAACCATGTTTGCTAAGGCCCAACCAACCACATGGTCTCCTTTTCACAACATATGAGGACATGCATCACCAAGCCAGTACCACCAAACCGTGTACCTCCATGGACCTGCGGCGGAGCCCCATCCCCCCACCTCACAGCTCGTTTGTTGCCGCGTCAGTTCCCTTGCTTCCACCCACCTCGTCCATCAGCGCCTCCACGCGGCCCAGCTGCGTCCGGAGCGCCTCCACCTCCGCACCCGAGGCAGCTAGGGCCGCATGCAGGGCCATGCGCTCCTGGCGGGGGCCGACAGGGGGTGAATGGAGCGGGAGAGGTACGGCAGGTGAGGTACGGTAGGTGAGGAAAGGAGGAATCCCAACAGCCACATGTGTTCAAATCGCGACAACACTATGGAATAACTCCATGTTTACGGAGCCATTCACGATGTGTATCAGTCAAGGTGTAACAGGATGTGGCAAAATCGCGGAACATTGTGGCAGTCTGTTGAAGCCACCCACTGCGCTCCCCACCTGCTCCAGCTGGGCGGCTACGGCCTTCGCCGCCGCTGCCTCCTCCCGCGCTCGCTCTACTTGGGACAGCGCGTCTCGGATCTGGGAGCCAGCCGCCCGGGACGCAGCAGCCTCGGCCTGGATACGCGCAGGGTGAAGTGCACGGTGAAGTCAATTGAGAGGAGAGTATCGGTATATGTTTCGTCTTTACCGCCAAGAACCGACACGCCAAGACAGCTCATCACCACCTCGCACAAGTGCAGCCTCCAGGCAAACGCACCCACACGCGCAACAGTGCACACCTCATGAGCCGTACACTACATCCAGTCATTCATCGTTCGTTCATCCAGCATGCCTTCATAAAAGGTATGAGCACATCCTCTAGTCGCAGGGTTCCATACACATGCAGCGTTCCAGACGACGCGCGGCACCTCCCTTCCGCATGCTCGCAACCACCTCCACCCCCGCATCCCCGCACCGACAGTCGCAGCAACGCACACCCCAACGCGCAGTACCCACGTTAAGCATGTTCATGGCGCCCGCTGCGTTTTGCAGCATGGCGTCAGCGCCGTCGGCAGCCTGCGTCAGTCGCCGGCTAAGCTCGTCACGCGCCTGACTGAGCTCCATGGCCAGCTTCTCCGCCTGCAACAACACGAGGAGGAGGAGAAGCATGCAAGACGGCGATCTGGTTAGGTGGGGATGGGACTCATGGGAGGTGCAACAGACGTCCCGAACGGGGGCTTTCCAACCATGTAAGACAGCCCCCATGCCTTACGCTGTCTTTTACAACCCTTTTTTATGCGCATTTGTACGGTAACTACCCGCCCCCTAACAGCCCCGCGGAGTGCTCATGCGCACCTGCAGCCGGCAGACCTCCGCATCCGCCGCGTGCGCTGCCGCCCGGGCCTCCGCCTCCGCCCGCGCCGTCTCCAGCGACCGCAGTCGCTCCTCCTTGGCGCGGGCAGCCGCGATCTCCGCAGTGGCTTCGGAGCGGAGCTCTTGGATGCGGGAGCGGTCCATCTGACGGGGGTGGGGGTTGTGTGTGGGGGGTAAAAATAAGGAAAACTGACGAACTGGATGACGACGCATGGGGGGGTCAAAGAGCATGCCAAAGCATGGGAAACCAGATGTTCGGGCGAAGAAATGGGGAGCGGAGGTGGCAGGGTGCGGGAGGAAAGGGGAGACGGACAAGAGTGGAAAGGGGTGCGGGAGGGGGGAAAGGACACACCGACACGGCAGAGCATGCAGCAACCCTGGGCACGCCATCCTGCTACTGTGGGGCATACCCGGTGGGGTCTGGGTTGGGCTCCGGGCATGTAGTTCAACTTTAGTGCCCGATTTCTCCTTCTTCTGTACCCATCCTGCATGCATGCCCCGTCCATGCCCCGTCGTAACACACACACGCACCTCCAGTTGCATCCGCTGGTGCTGCAGATTGGACTTGAGCTCCAGGTACTCCCGCTCCACATCCTGTCGCGCCGCCACCTGCGCCTCCGCCGCCGCCTCCGTCGCCTGCGCGATCTTCTTCTCCGCGGCCGCCTCCCGAGCAGCCACGGCGCGCTCGCGGAGCTCCAGGGAACGCTCCAGCTGCTTCAGTTGCTCCTGCGGGCAAGATGGTTTCGGAGCACATTGGGAGGCGGTGGGAGCAGGTGGCGGAGTAGGGTTTAGGTAGACCAGGCGCGGTAGGATGTGGTGGAATGGGTGCGGTGGGTGTGGGTGTGGATTATATGATTGGTACCAGTACGCAGCTCGGCAGGGTCGAATGGTGCAAACCGTGCGTGCGATAGGGAACATGCAGGCGAGGGGAACAACCTCAGTCCACAGTCCACACATATCAACGCCCTGCGCACTGTCAGGGGCTCAACCATGCGAGAACCGGAAAGACGCTTCCGGTTCGAACTTTGCCGGGCCGAGGTCCCAGACAGCCACGCAGGAGGCAATCTGGAAGGGGCTGCGCCTCCACCGTGCTCCCCAACCTGCCGCGCCATGTATCCGCTACTTCTCAGTCCTCACCTGGCGGCTGTCCTGCTGCTGCTCTACCTCCGTCTTGTAGTTGCGCAGACGCTCCTCCTCCCGCAGGATGCGCTGCCGGTGCTCGTACGCCACGTTCTCCACGTCGCGCTGCACAAACACACACACAGACACAAATATTTTAACACACAGACACACCGAGAAACAGAGGGAAGCGAGGTTCCGGGCGGTACCGGTGAGCGGCATGGGTAGGAACACCTGGACTACCAAGGGTAGGGGCGCGGTTCACGAATGCAGCCGCCCACGCAGCGGCAGTGGTACCGGTACCCTCCGCATGCCAGCTATTCCCTTCTCATCACACTCCCCTGTCACTCCCATAACCCTACCACATTGCCCGCCATACCTCCCCCCCCCTACCGGCTGCCTGCGTCGTTTTACCCCAACATATGATTTCCCATGACTCGTGACATGGTCTTTGACCCCCCCCCCTCCTCCTACCTGCTGCCTGCGCAGCTTATCCAGCATCTCCTCCTCCCGCTGCCGCAGCTTGCCCAGCCGCTCCCCATGCAGCCGCTCCAGCTCCAACCGCTCCGCCTCCATGGCCCGCCGCGCCTTGGCCGCCTCGTCCAGCCGCGCGGCAGCCACCTCCATCTCACGAATGCGCTCCACCTGGCCGGAGGAGCAGAATACCGGTAACCGAGCCGCGGGAAATACTGAACCTGACCGTAGCATACCGGTATACCGGGGGAAAGCCGGAGGAAAGCACGAGTGGAAGCCTGACGCCCGGGAATTGGGAGAAGGGGGGGATCAGCACAGCAAGCGCACCTGGACAGCCCCCCCACCACAGCCCCAGCCTCCCAGCCCGCCGCTGCCCACCTGTCGCGCCACCTCCGCCGCCGCCTGCTCCTCCACCTCCTGTCTGTACAGCGCCAGCCGCTCCTCCAGCCCAGCACCCGGGGCGACACGGGCGCTCCGCAGCCGCGCCTGGTACTCCTGGTCCAGCTGCTGCATGCGCACCTCCAGCTGGTACCTGGGAGGCGGAGGCGGGGAAGGGGTGGTGAGGGGGGAGGCGGGGCTCTGCCTTTTTTCTTGTTGTGTGGGGCTGGGTTTCCGGGATATATGTTGGGTTTCCGGAGTAACGGATAACAGGTAGGTGCGGCACCTCTACCTTTTTCGCACCTGTCACCGCCAACGGTTTGCGTGCATGACTCCTTGCCCTTTGCTGCGGCCGCCTCCGAGATCGCAGTCAGCAGGTTGAGGATGAAGCAGGAGTCCGAGCCACCTGGGTGCATGTGTCAACATTGGGTCAACAGGAGGGTTGAAGGCGAGTTATCAGGTGGGCAGCAAGGTTTGAACAGCGAGCTTCGGCTATTATCGGTATTACTGAAGCCTGCTGCTTTGTGCTACCCTGGCGACTTCAGAAGTTGTCACATTGCCTGCACGTGTCTGTGTCCCATGGGTCATGCAGGACAGCAGCGGAAAGAGGTGTATACAGCATGCGGTGTTGTGCCTTCACGCAAACCCAAAGTAATCATCCCCTGTCGTCTGCGTACAGTGCGATGTTGACGTACAGCCTGCCTACCATGGGCCTTGGCTTTCATGTAAGACTGGTAGAAAGAGAGCTCCCGGTCGATCTTAAGGACGTCGAGCAGCTCATCCTCCGTCAGAAGCGGGCGAGACTCCATGCCTGACTCCTCCTTAAACACGGACAAAGAATAGTTGTACTGCACAGCGCTCATGTAGTCAGCAATCATGCTGTTCAGGGCGTGACGTTTCAGGCCAGGCCTGTCGCCCGGTGGAGGCCCAAGCTGCACTATATGGCCCTTCTGGAGCTGCGAGAGCAGCTGTGCTCGCAACTGGGACTGTAGGGCGGTAAGCGGCGAAAGGGAGACAAACCATGTCGTGCGGAGTTACTAAGTTTAGTTGACAGGTACCGTCTACCGTGTGAGGCGTCGTGCAACGTGTCGAAAGCCAAAGGAAAGGGTAACTTGCCTTGACTTGTCCGACGACGCCTGTGGTCGCCAGTTGGGATAGCATTTTCTTCTTGAATTCCGCCTGGTCCAGCTGTCCATCACGTGCATCGGCAGGCTCAGACATCGTTACACTTTACTTCAGATGTTCTAACTTTCTGCGTGTTTAGGTCAGCGCAGCACAGCTGTTAAAATGTAACCGCAAAAGTCAAAATAAGCCGCCGGGCGGCATTAAGCCGCATGTATCTAGCTACCATGCGTTCATAAAGAGTATCAACGTTGGTGTTAGGTCCTATTCCGATAAGGGCAGTCAACCTCTGGGAAATCAACTGGAATAGAACTAACAGCCCACATTTATGGTAAAAAGCAACGATGTATGCACGTGGTAACCTGCATACAACAATCGTTAGACGCATACCTTCGGTGCTGCAAGACCCCGTAGGTCTCCGAAACCCCGTCGGGACATCACCACAGAAGCCAAAGGGGCCAGCATTGCTCCTTGAAATCCATTACGACATTTGATCCACCATTGTCATACCATGGCGACACACCAAACCGGCACCAACAGCGGGCGCAACGACTCCCAACGACCATGCGGCTCCTTCAGCGCCCCAAGCCCTCAACATAATGCCGTAGCAAAATCGCCCTGCAACAACGATAAGCCTGACTATGCTTCCACAACTTACAATCACTCAGCAACATAACCGCTGCAGCTGCATACCCGCTACCATCATAGCGACTTTTGCCCTACTGGCACTTCGGGCTGCAAAGCCATGCGCGTCGGAAGCGTGTGCTGAACACAACACCAGATCCCTCTGGTCCCTCGCCCCGCAAGTGGTTCTTTCCCCCGAGCACATCCTCGATGTCCTGTGCTGTTCCGGCATTGCAGCCAGCAGGCCAGAACTGCCGTGCGCAGCTCTCCCAGCGAGCGGCCTCACCAGCTGCGCAAAAGCAGAGGCAAAGGAGCACAAAGCAACCGCCATGTTACCTTCAGTACCCAACGACCAATGGCAAAATGGGTAAATACCATGCAGAGACTAGCTGTAGCTGCTTGTGGTGAAAAGGTCCGACCAACCCAAACAACAGCAATCATCACCCAACGCACCGTTCAGGTCACGTTTCAGCAATCCATCCCAGCTCATTTCCGCTACCTCACACACACACCACCCTGCACCCACCTCTGTTGGGCATCACCCACAGCAGCTGAGCGAACCGCCACGCCAGCACCGCAACCGTCGACGCATGCACTCCCGCCGCTGCGGCCGTCCTCTGCAGCTGCTGCTCCTGTTGCCCCTCCCCCTCCTCCGGCCGCTGCCCCGGCTGCTGCTGCTGCCCCATGCGTGCGGGATCCAGGCGCAGCAGCTTGGCCGCCTCTCGGAACAGTCCCTCCGCAAAAGTCACGCGGGCGGAGCGCGAGTAGGTGTAGCCCAGCAGGGTCAGCAGTGGCGCCAGGGAGGGGCTGCGCTCGCCTTGGGCGGCTGCGTGGCGGGGTTGGGGATAAATAGGGATACATAATCGCGCATTAGGCTGGATTATAGGATTGCGTATATGGGGGGGGGCGGTACGGCATGGTATGGGCCAGGTAGGGGAAAACAAAACACTGTGAACGTTCCTGAACGAAACCGCAAAATAGACAGGGCGATAGGGCGGTTGCATGGGGGGGGCGGAGGAGACGTGAGAGCACAGGAGTGCGGGAAGGTTTCGAGTTACGTTGCCACTTGGTTGCTGGAAAGGCCCGTAGGCGGACGTCTATCAGGAGCGGATGGAGCAGGCAGGGTAAGAGCTAGCCGTTATACCCTAACACCCTATACAACAACTCATGTCCGCCACTACAGGATGTTGTAGCGCTGTGCTACTACATTCCATGCGCCTGTCCGCCGCCGCCCACTCGCTCAGCTATCCCGCGCACCCGCACCCCCGCACCACCACTCGCACCCAGCACCCCCACCCACGCCCGCACCCGCACCTTCCGCAGCCTTGAGCGCCGCTCCCAGCAGCTCCTCCGCCTGCCCCCACTCCCGCGCGCGCATCTGCAGCTGCGCCCGCCCCGTCAGCGCGTCAGCAGCCACCTGCGACACAAGGACAGTGCCACAGCAGCAAAAGGACGGCAACGGTAGGTAGGTGGCGGCCGTGGCGCCGGTGTGTTCCTTTTCTTCCGCTGTTTTGCGGCATCACAGGTGCCAGCATAGCATGTCGTGTCCTCATGTGTCTTCGCAAAAAGCCACAACGCCCTGTCAAGCTCCTATGTTGAGGTCTGTATGGATCGCAAGGCCCCTAAGAAGCCGCCGCCCTACTTGCGACCACACAACAACAGTAGCAAGTAAGGAAGGCCGCTAGGCTGACGACTGCGACTGCGGCTATAGCGGTGATAATCGTGATCGTACGCCCCTCACCCCACCTCATTGTCGTACTCCTGCCTCATCCAGGATCCCGGTGCCGTACTTGACCCCCCCGCCTGCGACGCCCCCGCTGCTGCCTCCGCCGCTGCTTTCGCTGCCGCTGCAAACGCCAACTCCGCCGCCTCGCCCTGCCCCTGCAGCGCCCGGAACAGACCCAACGCATGTACGGCATCCGCTAGTGTCGGATCCGATTGTACGGCAACGGCGGGATCCGGGCCCAACGCCGCCGCCAGGTCATTCGCCGCTGCTGCGTCGGCTGCCGCATTGTCGGAGGAGGAGGCTGACGAAGTGAGCGTTACGAGGCCCAGGCTACGAGTGCGAAGTGAGGATGCGGATGTGCTGTTGAGCGCGCGCTGGCATTCGGTTGCTAGCGTTCGTCCCTCGGCGTCTTGGCCCTGCGTGTGTAGGCATGGGCAAGGGCAAGGCTGAGGGCGAGGGCGAAAAAGAGTGAGGCACGGTCCCCGGTGGTGTCGAAGGAAACAACGAAGGAAGGCACACACGTTTGCGGCATGAGCCTTTTTCATGACCTTGCTGGCGAGATCCTGGCGAGAAGTACGGCACCAAAGCATATACCGGTAGCTTCCGCCAAGCTTGGCATGCAAGCCGGTTCGGTTCTACTTTCGACGTAAACATCTACGCCACTACGGGCCTGCCCCGTGTGTCGGCCTTTCCTTCCTGTTCCATGTCCGGGCGCCCCTTCACACCTGGACTCAAACATTTGCTTCAGTTGCTTCACTTTTCATTTTAATTTCTTTCCCACCCTACCTGAAGCAGAGCTGCTCGAACCCCCAGACTACCCGCCAGAAGCGTTACGTCGCCAGCGGTAGCGGCGGTCCCCACCACGAGGGGCGCTGCAAGGCGCAAGCCGCTGCTGGCGTGTGACAACACCTTGGTCTACCAGGGGAGGCCGCAACAAGTCAGGGGGGGGGGATACTTGAAGATATATCTCAGGGAAGACAGCACAGCACCACAGAGAAGCCATGGGAATAGGGGATGAGCGTTGCCCTCGGCTTGGCAGGGGCGTGTCGACTGAGACACGAGAATGGGAAATGGCAACATGCTCGCAAATTCGCGGTCCTGGGCCCTGACCCACCCAGTTATTGCGATCCGCCTCCACTTGCGCGACGGCGCAGTGCAGCCGAGCATTGCCCACGGGGTCCGCGTCTGGGCTGCTGTACGACAATCCCGACATCAGGACGTCAACAGCCATGTTGGCGTTGTCCTGGTGCAAAAGAGGAATAAAGAAGGGGGACTATGCTCGGAAGGGCTTAGAGATAAGGGAGACGGGGCTGGCGGATGGAATTGGCGACGCGGAGGGGTTTCGGGAGGGGCCCGGCGCACACTACTATGGATGGCGAAGGCGCTGTGGCAACGACGACGACGATGCAACATACTACGTAACGTTTACTAAAGGCGTGTCATAGACCTTCATACCTTTCGTTGACCCATCGCGTACTCAATCATTTGGTCCACTGCGGATGCGGGTGCAGATGTCGACGCCGTGGCTCCAGAGTAGGACCGCAGCGCAACCAACATCCTTCCTGCCGACCGGCCTGCTGGTCGCAACATGATTGCCTGGGACATGATGCGTTAAAGGCGAATAACTCTCTTGCTCCTATATCGGTACCGAGTCTGCAATCCGTCTCGGGGTCAGGCTTCGCAATCAGCCATTGTCAGTAAGGCCACGTGTGGCAAGAACCAGGCATTAACAACACAAAATACTGTAAAGTAGCTTACTGAAGCAGCTCCGAGACCAAATGCTAGGACTTTTTCGGATCCTGTGCTTCATAGTGCAGCTCCAATGCTTGTCAGGGAGTTCATCGTCAATCCAATGAACCAATAAACGCTACAATGTTCGGCAAAAAGCTAGATCTATCGGGCAAGCATGTGCTTATCACAGGCGGTTCCACTGGCATTGGTTTAGCGCTTGCAGTAGAGGCTGTTCGATGCAAATCAAATGTGACGATAATTGCACGTACAGAGGCTCGCCTACAAGCTGCCAAGGCGCAACTAGAGGATGAAGCGCGCAAAAAAGGCACCGACAGCCGGGTAGCGTACCAAGCCGTGGACGTCACCGACGCAGCCAAGGTAAGGTAGCAATGCAACGGTGGAACCCTTGCCAGCCTAGGCATAACCATGTACCGAAGGAGAAGCGGGTAAAAGCACGGCAGAACCCCAATCACGCTCGGGTCCATGCATGCTTATGCCTGACGTCCTAGAGCCCTGCTATGTCCTAACAGGGCATTTGGGTTGACTTGGGCTACGTTAATGCTTTGATGCAAGGGCATGGGCCTCCACTGCATGTTAGTCCTTGGAGAATGCACCTTGCCAGCGAGTGCATCAGACGCGTGCTACTGCTGCTCCTCCTGATGCCCTTCCTCTCAGGTACGGGAAGCGCTAGCAGCTGCTGTGCGGGAGATGGGGCCGGTGGACGTCCTCATCTGCAATGCCGGCAACGCCCACCTGGGTGGGTGAAGAGCGGTGGGCACGGTGTATGGGTGGTGCGGGTGATTACGGTAGTCTGGCCGGCGGCTTCGGGGATTGTGCGTCTGGAGCTTTAAACCACGTGCATTGAGAAGTGAGCTTCCATCAAGCGGTCGGTATCTCTTTCTTCACGGTTTCCTGGAGCCTGCATACAGTTCTGATCATGTCACACCAAAACGCCTCACACAACATGCCATTACCTCGAAACACTCTCAGGCTACTTCCACGAGACCGAGCTGGAAGTTTTCCACAGGCAGATGCAGCTCAATTACTTTGGCGTGCTGAATGTCGTACATTCGCTGTACGGCGAGATGGTACGGCGGAACCAGGGGCACATCGTGATGGTGGGATCCGCGCTGAGTGGATTCGGTAAGCGAGTCCGTGCCACTGCCTGGCCGAAACCATCGTTGGGCCTGACGGTCCGTTCCTGACTTATTGCACTTACCGAATTGCTGTGTGCTGCTTGGGGGATGGTACTACTGAGCCGCTTTGTGCTGCTTGGCGGGGTAATGCAACTGTGCCGCTGTGAAACGCCCGGCCGTGACCGTGATTTGGTTGTTGACCTTGTGTGTAGTTGAGTAGGACAAGAGCAAGCAATTGGGAGAGGTTCGCATGTGAACCGCGAGTACAGGCAAAACAGAGGAGGTTGGTAAGTTTAGATAGCAAACGCATTGACCGCATGCTGGATGCTGTTCCGGCGCATGCTGTCCCCCTCCACACCACCCGTCCACAGGTCTGGTGGGCTACAGCGCCTACTGCCCCTCCAAGTACGCAGTGAAGGGTCTTGCGGATGCGCTACGCAATGAGGTGCGAGGTAACAATGATAGGGCTGTCGCAACGGGGGAGGATTGGAAAGTGGAATGGTGTGGAGTTTGACTTGCGGGTTAAGGGTTTACGTTTGGCGGATGCGTTGCGCAGCAGGGTGTAACAGCGTGCAGGGCATGGGAAGGACTTAGACTCGTGGGTTAAAGGTTACCGTACAACGGGTTAACAAGGCGACAGGCAGAACGTGTTGTGAAGGGCAATGTGGCTCAACGAGAAGCGGCGACTTGGAACATTGCCTTGTACAGGGGTAAAGCCTGTAACGTTCCCCATTCCGACCCCACACTTACCTCTTCCCCGCAGCTCCAAGGAACCCGAGTCAAGGTGTCCTTCGCAATGCCGCCGGACACAGACACCCCGGGATTTGCGGAGGAATCCAAAGCCAAGGTACGACAGAGAGTGTACATGGCATTCTGCGGCATTGTACGGCGCAAGAACGGCACATGTCGGATTGGGGGAGGGGGGTGTTCATTTCCAGGCATGTGCTTTCTGGCGCCTAGCTGGGAACGGGGGCTGTTATGCCCCCTCCCACTTCACGGCATGTTCACATGCGGAACGACATGACATGGTCAAGCTGTTACCGAACGTGTTCACCCTCATCGTCACACCCCACACAGCCCCCCGAAACCAAGGAGATCTCGGAAGCAGGAGCCACGCTCTTCAAACCAGACAAGGTACAAGAACAAAAGTCGCGCGCCGCCTGGCCTGTACCACATACCACCCTTGCTTGCCGCACTTACCATTACAGTAGCCATCACACAGTACCCTCCATCACAGCACCACACCTACCTTCCTACACTCGCCGCCCCAGTGCTCTCTTAAACCCACCGCATCCTTCAATATAAACGCACCCTCCTCCCAACCGACCCATGGGTCACCTCATCCACGCCTTTCCCGTCTCCCCCCAGGTCGCCGCCTGCATCATGGACGGCATCCGGCGGGGCGTATATCTGCTGCCCAATCCCGATCTGGGTTTGCAGGTCAACGCGTTGACCACGCAGGGCCTGCTGCCGCGCTCCTTCCCGCGGGTGTTGCTAGAGATGCTGCTGGGCCTTCTGGCCCCGCTGCTGCACTGGGGGTTTGCGGGCATGTTTGACCGGGTGTCTGGGAAGTATGCGAAGAGGCGCTTTGCGAGCCTGTGGGGGGCTTGAAGAGCGGTTCAGGGGGAGCGGCGCATGTGTTGAGGAGGCATTGGGGGGAGAAGCAAGGGAGGGAGTCACAGGAGTGCTGAGCGTGAGGGGCCGCGTGAGAGAGGATCTAAGATGCAAGATGCAGGGTGAGGGAGGGCGGCACACGAAATCACGATATGGGTAGCCGCCGGGGTGTGTGTGCTCTTTACGCAGCGCTGACGACCGAATGGCCTATGCGCATTCCGAGCAGGAGGCTGAGTTCGTCTCTCGCGTGTTTTTTGTGCGCAGCACACAACGCGTGCCGTCGCCACTTTACCGGTAAGACGCTTCATGAATCACAATCGTGTACCAGAGAATAGCTTCGGAATAGGTTGCGTTGAGGTAGGCCTAGCTCCACATTTCGCACTTCGGGACACAAGACGGTAGAAGTCGTAAAGATAGTCCAGACGGACCGGCCCCCAGTCAACGTGAGCGACGTGAACGTCCGGCGTCCGCCCCAGACGCCATTAGAACATAGCCCACACCGATTCAACTACCGGTGCCACCAGCCAGCTCTCGTCCGCTGTATTAAACATTGCCTCCTCAGCCCAAGTCGCAGCCAAACAGCGGCCCGCAACCATCCACAGCTACCGGAGGTCCGTAACCGAAACCCCCCCAAACGTGATATGGGTTGGGTGTTTCCAATCCCACGCAATGCAGATCATCAAAAACGCATTAACCCACACCCACAAGAACCCCATAGCAGCAGGAAACACGCCAGACGGGGAAGAGCTAGTACCCCCGTGTATATGCAGGCTAGGCGTCCATGCATGCTACAGGCGGCACACGGGATTGACGTTCGAGCGTCACAAGAGTCACGGTCATTGGCACTAGCGGTCACTTAGCACACGCCATCCCTTTGGGAATGCTCAAGCGGGAATTTAAGCCTCAGGTACTACCACCTAGCCTTATTGGTAGCTCGCAACTAACAACTAACTGTAAGGGCCAACCAACCAACACTTAACGGCCCCACGAGCGCCTTCTGGATCTACACAACGGGCCAATGTATTGACGGTGCATCCTCTGTCTCAGGTTTAGGAATCCTATCAGATTCAGGAGTTCCTCTGAAAACCGCCTATCAAAGGTCGCCTAGGGCAGCACTCTTGAGGCCGCATCCACCAACCCTGTCTCCCCATAAACCACGAACATAGGTGTACGACAGTTTACGACAACCCGACAGTCTCCCCTTTAACCCAAAACACAAGCCCAATCCGCCTTATGCGGTTGTAAGGATTGTAAGTCCAAGGTCGAACCTCCGGCTCGCATGAGCATTGCAAGGTTTATTTTTGCTATAGTCATATACGATACCGTCATGAAGACGCAAGGGGAAGTAAAACGTTAAAACATCCGCACAAGCAAGTACCGCAGCCTAGCCCAGCTACCCGGCCCAGCTCCCTATGCCCGCATGACAGTCCCCCACGACGGACGACAGGGGGGCCTACTGCTACTACTCTGCTACCGCCATACAAGTGCCCCACTTCGCCACTTGCCATGCGCAGCCACCACCACACCTCCTATTTCATCACTCGCATCGCCCACTACGCCCCCGTCTAGACGCCAAAAGCCCCAACCCGCGCTCCCCTAACCCTGCTCCCCCAGACACCGCAAACCCCACCCCTTCCTGCTTCCTCATCCCAGCTCTCGTTAACCGTTACCCTCCTCAAGACACCACCACCAACACCCACCACCAACACCCACCTCCCCCCTATCCTCATCGTTACTCAAGCCTTACCGTACTGGTGCCCCTCCCCCGGCCCCCCGGCACTGCCCCCGCTCATGCCCCGGCCGTGCTGCCCTGCAGCCTCATGGCCACCCAGCGCCCCCGCCCCTCCCGCGATCTGGGTCATCTTGATGTAGTTGTACCACGCAAACCCCGTTAGCGACACAAGGTACCCCAGCCCCTGCACGCCCGTGACGACCTCGCGGAAGAACAGCACGCCAAACACCACCAACAGCGTGTTTTTGACGGTCCCGAGCACCTTGAGCGTGAGGCTGGAGGCGAGCTGTGGCAAGGGCGAGGAGGTTGGGAGAGGTTGGGGGATGAGGGAAAGGCGACAGGAAAGGGAACAGGAAAGGGAGAACAGCCAGGATAGGCGGTCTTTTGTCCATACCTGCGACCTCACGGCCGCACTGCCCATAATTGATTGGCGGCACTACAACTGACCTTGAAGATCTTCAACAATCCCCCACAACTCCCACACACACACGCATGCGGCATACCTTGATGGTGGTGTAGGCCAGGGTGTTGACCGCAAAGCCCATCACCGCCGCACAAAGGAACAGCCACACATTGTCGTACACAATTGCCATGTCGCCCGAGGCCCGGATGACCGGCAGCTCCACCACGGCAGCTCCCAGGAATAGCCAAACACAGCAGGCGGGTGCCAGATACATAAGGCCCTCAATCGGGTGGAACTTGAGACCCACAAGCAGGAATTGCGTCATCACAAGGCGGATGGACTCCGCGGTTTCGGAGGAGAACATGAGGATGAGGCCAACCACGGACATGCGGACTTCGCCGTAGGCTGCGGCTGCGGTGCCCAGGGCTGTGAAGAGGACGGATGCAATCATGGGGCGAGTGGGGTCTTCTAGCCGGGCGATGAAGAGGCAGACCATGGTGACGACGGGGGTGAAGGCTTTGAGCATCTGCATGGGGGGGTGGTGGTAGCGGCAAGCGAGGAGGAAGCGGAGGGGGGTATAAGGGTTGGTAGGTAGATAGGTTATGTTTAGGAGTTTGGGGGCGCAAGAAGGTCTTGGTTAATATGCTGTATTGGGGACCGTGACCTGCCGTGACATGGGGTTTTCGTCACGGCCCGGGCTCTGAGCAGACTCTGGCGTGTCAACGTGTCAGCTTCTTGCATGGGCGCCGAGACTAAACCGTTGTTGCAGTCTGCAAGCCACACCCACCTGAATGAAGGCCACCGTGAGGTAGAGATACACCTGGTTACCCGTCCACAGCGTCACGGCCATGAAAAAGCTGGCGGGTTGGGGAAAGGGGGCAGCAACGACGCACAACACGGAGGTCCAGGGTTGTCTACATGTGGTTTGAGCATACATACCACAGAGGCCAGTTGAGGCATGAGCTGTTTGGTCGGAAGTTGAGCAGCACCAACATACATATGTAACACACTGAATCACAAGGCGGCAGCTCAGTTTTTCTACACATGGCAGCAATGAGGCAGGCCCACATGTACGGCGTTCGGGCTGAAATTTGGTACGGCAGGGCGGTACGACGTCAAGGTGCCGGCTGGCGTATCCGTACGCTGGCGTATACCGGTAGAGCTAGGCAGGAGTGAGGCAAGCATGCTGGCGCTCATGCACCCTTCCCGCAATGGGATACATGGCCTCCCACATGCGGAGAGAAGCATGGGGTAAGAGAGTGAAAATATCAAGGGTTTGCAACAGCCCCTGTGCTGGATTTTTCCAAACCTAATTTCCTTTGGCGGATATGACGCTTCGAGCTTGACCTACCCTATTGGCAGTATCTTCACGACCCAGAAACGCGGTCTTACGACCACGTGTGTGTCCACTAAGCGGAAGATGCGACAGCATGCGAAGCCAAGCAAGCCGCTCATCGCCATGCCCATTACGCTGACGGTCATTGGGTACTTGAACTTCAAGTCCACCATGATGTATCTACGACAGGCAGGCGAATTCCGTGCCCAGGTAATTAGTTCCGTGCCCAAGTTAAAGGGGCAATCGCGAACTAAAGCGTCGGCGCCAACTTGAAGACGGGGCATTAATACGAAAAGCCATGGAAAAGCCAAATATGCAATAATGTGGTAACTATTACGGCTCAGTGTGCAAGCGGCTGTTGCAGCTCCAATCATGCGTACCGAGCTGTCCCTCTATGACTTACTTGTTAACGATAATCAATCCAGACGACACGACCATCCATGCCGTAGATGCCAACACGGCAAGTACCACGCGAAGCCATCCTGCCTTTTTGGAAAGGGGCTTGTCCTTTGAGTTATCTAGGAGCGGCTTTCGCTCCATATCTCCTCCAAGTCCTTCGTTTTGAGCAGCACTAGATTCTGCAAAATCACCACCGACAGGCAAGTACCGTGGCTCGTCAGGGCTTTTGGTATTCATAGAAGGCAGTTAACTACTCGCGTCCATTGGAAGAGATACTGCGGACAATCTCCATTTTAGCATGCTCTGAGCTATTGCTCCGTTGCACCTGTCTCCTTCAAAGCTATTCAAGTGGGGGGCGTTGAAGTGCCGTACTGTAGATGGCCCCTCGTCCTCTTTGCTTACATGATCGGGAAAAGCTTGCTCCCTCTGTACTATAGGTTTGCGATAGTAATCACCTGTTCTTGTCAATTCCTTGAGGAAATAGGCTGATAAGTTTGCGGCAAGCAGCTGGCGATCTAACAATGTTGCGCCAAATTATTGCCAAGGGATCTAAATATGGTTTGAGTCAGGCAACAAGCTGCCTTGCAGCGGTTGAGGCGGCTGGGTCGCGCGAGCTGTCAGGTCTGAGCTGCGCGCGCACTGGTCTGCAAGCAGCTTTCGTTACTATGCCTTTTAGCATGCTGGGCTTCGGCTTGCGCAATCGGCTGTCAGCGGGCATCGCTCCACTTCAATTTCGGTGTCACGCCGCTGCTGCTACCGCGGCAGCGCTAGCCACTAAGGCAGCACCATCGTCACCTAAAGGCGATGGGAAGGGACAGCCAAAGCCGGCGCCATCAGCTGCGCCTAGCGCCAAGAAGGCCTCGGGAGTTGCCGCTAAGCCAGCATCCAGCGCCTCCGCCAGCTCCTCTGCCGTTGCTCCCCCACAGCGACTCACGCTGAAGCAGCTGGTAGGGCTTCCGCGGAAGGAGCTAACCCGGATTGCTGCTCAAGCTGCACGTAAGGCGGCCAAGGACCCAGCAGACAAGACCAAGCAGCGGATCAAGGAAGCAGCGGAGAAAGCCCTCGCCAAGCAAAAGGCCAAGACCGAAGCGACAAAGGAGGCGGAAAGGAAGGCGGAGGAGCAACGCATCGCGCGCCCGCCAAGCGCCTTCAACCTCTTTGTTAAGGACTTTTCGAAGACCCCGGCCGGCGTGCAGGCGGGCAAGGATCGGCTCAAGGTAGCCTCGGAAGCCTTCCAGAAGCTCCCCGCCGATCAAAAGAAGAAGTACGAAGACCAGGCCGCTGCTGCAAAGGCGGAGACGGGTGCGCGGCGCGCTAAGCTCAAGGAGGCCCGGAAGGCCAACCGCGCCACCTCACCGTACTTGTTCTACTGCAAGGACACCATTCGGTCAGTGCGCGCCGCAAACCCCGGCATGTCTACCCGAGATGCGATCAAGCGGGCGGCGCTGATGTGGAAGGACCTGCCCGAGGAGGCTCGGAAGAAGTACATTGAGATGAGTGAGGCGGAGAAGAAGGCCAAGGGGCTGCTGGAGGCGAGCAAGAACAAGCCGGTGGCAGCGACGCAGCAGCCGCAGCAGCCGCAGTCACAGCCGCAGTCACAGCCGCAGTCACAGCCGCAGTCGCAGCAGAAGAAGTAGATGGCTGATGTGCTGATGAGAGAGACAGGCGGAGCAATGCACGCGTTGGCGGCAGGTTTAGGGGTTGAGAGCTGAGTTGAGGGATGGGGTGCTGTTGGGATGCCGGGGTCCGCGTTGCCAGCGTTGTGGTTGGGGCCTGGGCTCTGGAGCTAGGCAGGTGAGTAGGGTGGGCAATGATGGTTTGAGCTTGGCCTCTTTGAGGTTCTAGGCATTGCAGCGGCGGCAGCGGTTGTTGTGGGTCCCAGCGGTACTACGGTACATGGTGCATGGGTGAGGCGGGTACTGCATGGGGAACTGTGCACGCGTTGTGTCTGTCATTACAGGTGGCAGAGGAAGCTCAGTAACATACAGGCTTTACGGCATAACTGTAGTTAGTATCGACTTACAGACTGTCTTGATTTCTCAAGGGTTCTCTTGTCCTATATGGACGAAATGCAGGCAAGGCAGGCTGGGTTGCTTTACTTGCATGCTGGCTGGGAGATTTGTCTGTTGTTCCTATGAATTGGCCTTGACCGTAGTGGCCGAAGCCCTAACTGCTGGGGTCCCAATCACGTCAGACTCCAGTACATACTATGGGCGATAGCTGCGAGTGGTCTGATGTGGGTTACTGTGTTTTCCCGTGTCTTTGCTGGTTGCCGTCAGGAGGTTAAGGGATGCAGGGAGGCGCGTGTTGGGCACCCGATGGATTGGTAGTTAAAGAGCTGTCGAGTGTTTGCACGCTACGGCCCCACGCAACGCTTGGGGGTTGGGCTCTGGGCGTCAATTTTGTTGGACCCGCACATTATGTCTGCGACTCCGGCGGCGCTAATGTTTCGGTTATATCGCCTCATCATCCTGTCGTACAGAACACTCGAGGGAATCCTAATTCTGTGCTTTTGTATTCCGCTTGGTTCTAGTTCAGAAAGTACGGGACATCGGCAGCGCAGTTCACAGATTCCCTGCACCCAATGAGCTTCCCAGTCGATGACAAATGCCCCTCTCCCCAGAATAAAACCTTGCGCCTGCCCACAATAGGTTTCGTAGCCAGTGAGCCAAAACTGCCAATCTTGCAGCTCATGCATCTTTGTATACGACAGCCCCATGGGTCGCGCAACGTCCGCAAGATACGGGGCGTCCCTTGCTGCCCCTTGCGTCATACTTAGTTCGAGCAGCAGACGGCAGAATCTGTCATCTGAAGTCCTCTCCAGCCGTACACCGCGCACGTATGCTCTCGTCCTGCCACTGCTCACATGCCCTCTCATTGCGCCGGTCTGCACCACAGCCCCGGCCGTAGCATAAGCACACATCTCTCATCACTCTCTCTCAGCAAAAAGGTCCATACCTCGATCAGCATGGGGTGCCTTCCAGTCCCCAACCACCACGACTGCGTGGATGCCACTACTCCACTACCGCCCAAGTCATTCCCTAAAATTTAGATACCAGTACCACAGAAAGCGGAAAACGGTAGCGTCATATAACTCGTTCATTGAATCAACGGCAGTGCAATGCCAGAACGCTCCCAAGCGCAACCCTAAACCAAAAAGGCGGCCTTTAAAAGCAGTAACACCCAAACGAATGAGCCCCTTACTTGTATAGCTGCTCGGGCCCCATGCAAAGCTACACGTTAATAGCTACATAGCCCACAACCCCTCCAAGCCAGATCCCATCTTACCTTTCCTCCTCGTACGGCAAAGAGGTACAAAATCCTACACGCACACCTACTCGCGGCCAGTTTTCTTAACACACACGAATGACACGCATACCGGTACCCAGCTGGGCCTTATGCATAGGTGCCTGACAAAAGCCCAAACACCAGACGTCTATGGACCGGCATTCGTCGTCAAGCCTATAATGACGCGCAAACCACCACCTTCCGACACTCTCATTAATGTCGCTTATCTCTTCTCCTGTCCAGCTGCTACTGGCTGTCTTAGCTTGCTGCCCTCGCATGCTGCCCTCCATGCCATCAGGACTTTTGCCGCTTGGTTCCGCGCTCAACGGACCAGGGGCGGAGCGGGCACAAAACGTTACCTTCGTGCAGCCCTCAGGGCGATAACGTCCCCCTTTACTACCGTGTTGCCTTCCACCGCCAGCGCTACACCTAGTGGCTTCCTCCGGCATCCTCAGCGCCCCCCAACCAATCAGTGTTTCTTCGCGTGCTCAGTTAACCTAATCCCTAACCCTGAAGCCTCCTGACCCCGCCCCCTGCCCCTGCCACAGCTCCTCACTGTCATCCTCAGCATCGTTCTATTCCTTTCTCCCCTTTGCCTCCTCCCGCTCAGATTATCTACCTTTAAACCGCCCTCCATGTGAGCGGGTTTAGAGGTTTAGGTAATTTTCAGTCCCACTCAAATTGAGGGCGGCTCGCAGTCCCGAAGCATCCACAGCCCCGTCAGCTCCTCCGAGTCGGGGTCGGGCTGCACCGCCAGGAAGTGGACACCGCTGGGGGCAGGAGGGGGGGGGGCAGGAGGAGGGCGGCAGCGGGGGGGCCGGAGTGACCCATGGGTCGGGGCGGGGCGGGGCGAGGGGACGGAAAGGTTGACATGCGGGGCCATGCCACACCGTACAGTTTCGCGCCCTTACCCTGTTCCCTTGCACCCATACCCTGCTCCCTATCCAGCCCCCTCGCGCATCGACACGTCTACCAACCCCCGCACACCCATCCCAACCCCCAGCCTCCCACCTGACTCCCTGCTTGGCCAGCTCCCAGCCCTCCGCCTCCCCAACCGACTCCTCACTCGGCTTCCAGCTGCCGTATTTCCACCGTTGGTTCACGCCCGTCTCCAGCACCAGACAGGAGCGCTGCACGTCCGCCTTTACAGCGGCGATCTCAAGCCCGTTGGTCCAGGCGGCCAGCGGCAGCGCCCGGCGACTGAACACCACCACCCCCGGTATGAGCATGTCGCGGGGGAGGTCTTGCAGCCCGGAGGTGGCCAGGGAGAAGGTACCACCGAAGATCTCCGCCTGGGTGGGAGGTATTGGGCACGACATGACATGACATGGGAGGTTAATATGGGAACGTATTCCGCGTTTGGCTGGATTATCGGATTGCGTACAGCCATACTCGTTGGGCATGGGAGGTACGGGAGGGTTTAGGGCGGAGCAGCCGACATGCAGGTCGGCCGGTGCATCCCCATTCCTCCCACAACCCTTCGTAACCCTGTTTCGCGGCGCTGATCCGTGCAAGGGACACTTCGCGATCTCCCCAATCGCCGAACACTGCCACCGGTACCCCTCTAGCGTCCCACCACCTCTCCCGGCTGCGCACCGTTCCCTCATCATCCATACCACCCAGCCACCGCTCCCCGCTGCTCACCTCCTCCACCCGCCACCCCCCGACCCCCCCCCCCGCTGCGCTCACCTCCTCCACCCGCCACCCCCCGACCCCCCCCCGCTGCGCTCACCTCCTCCACCCGCCACCCCCCGACCCCCCACCCCCGCTGCGCTCACCTCCTCCACCCGCCACCCCGACCCCCCCCCGCTGCGCTCACCTCCTCCACCCGCCACCCCCCGACCCCCCCCCCCCCCGCTGCGCTCACCTCCTCCACCCGCCACCCCCCGACCCCCCCCCCCCGCTGCGCTCACCTCCTCCACCCGCCACCCCCCGACCCCCCCCCCCGGCTGCACTGCTCACCTCCTCCACCCGCCACCCCCCGAACCCCCCCCCCCGCTGCACTGCTCACCTCCTCCACCCGCCACCCCCCGACCCCCCCCCCCCCGCTGCACTGCTCACCTCCTCCACCCGGCGCAGCATCCCCAGCAGCGTCCCCAGCGGCAGCTGCACGAAGGCCCACTGCTCCCCGCGGAGCGCGTCGGGTAGCGCCTGCAGGCGGGGGAAGGGGGTGCGGCCTGTGTGTTGAGAAACCGGCCTGTGTGTGGTGTGTTAAAAAAACTGGCCGCGAGTCAGAACCTACTGCGATTGCCGGAAAATGGAGTTGGTAGAGTGTACAGTACCCGTAACAGCTGGCAAAAAGGCGCATGGAAAACGCTTTGCCAGGGGGGGCCTACAGCGACGCCTGCCTGCCGTAGACCTGCAATACACCTGCCGTACAGCAAGCAGCCTCAAGGCTAGGGTAGTACCCGCCGCTACCCCCCGGCGTGCTGCTGCTTATGTGGCAGGTGGCCGCTACCAGCCATGCACGTCGGATGTCAACCAAGCACACGCCGTCCCCCGCCCCTGCCCTGCCCTCAGTGGGACCCTGGCTGCCCAGCTGCTGCATGCACCCACCCTCCGATGGGGCTCAGCTGGTCGGCGATACCGTATGACGCAGCACACATGGTGTAGCCCTATAGCCCTGCTGTTGGTGACCCCTTCTCCCATCCCCTCCCGTCTTCTTTTCGTCTTCTATTCCCTGCCCTCCCCTCTTCTTCCACTCCCCAACGCACTGGGATTCCACTTTTTCCCCTCCCTTCCCTCCCCTCTCCCCATCCCCTCACCTCCAGCGGCCCCAGGTCCAGTTGGAACAGCGACTGCGCCTTGTCCGAGTAGCGCGGGTCGAGCCGGTACACCGACTCAAGCCGCTCGCCGATCCAGGCTGCGGGGGGGGGAGAGGGTTGGGGCCAGCGGCATCCAGAAGGGCCGTGGGGGGCAGCGGCATGCATGGGGAAAGTCCGCGGGGCATGGGGGCAGCAGCAGCAGCAGCAGCAGCAGCGGCAGCGGCAGATGGGCAGTAGTTGGGAAGCATGCGGGAATTGGGGGGAAAGGGGTGGGGTAAGGAAGGAGAACTGGTAAGTTTCAAGTGCTCGAAAACCCATCCAGATAACACCTGCATGCGACCAGGAACGTGTGGGGGGATAGCTCGAGGAAGGACCGAGGTGCATGTTGTGTGTTCTTACGTTTAGACAGTTGAGTCACAGGATCATGGGGGAGAGAATGCGATCTGGGTCGTGACGAGGCAGACTGTAACCTACGCCAAATAGTACTACCCAATGCAACACCACCACCCCTACTGCATCCTGCGCGGCAGCCACCTCCCCTTCGTCAACCCCCAATTTCCCCGCCCCATCTGCCCCCGTTATGGCCAATATCGAGGGGGTACTCACACATCACGGTAAAGCAGCGGCGGCTGGGAACCGCCTTAATCTGGCAGTCTGTAAGCGCCTTGGTGATGATGGTCTGCATCTGGCTGCGGAAGAACCGAGCCTTTTCTGGCCGCTCAGCTCCGGGTTGGGCCAGGATGCGCTCAATTGTGCGTTTAAGCTGCGCGCAAGCAAAGGTTTTTCCATGGTATACCGAAGCGTCAACAAGCTGAAAGGCTAGTCGTTTGGCCACCTACCTCTCCGCTATTGATTTTGCTATTTGGGAAGTACTCCGAGTACTCGAAATTGCGCTCTGGGTCGCAGATTAGGAGCTCCCAAACCTTCTTGCCACGCTCATCCAGTAAAGGCCGTGAGCAAAAATCGATTTCCCATACGCTCGAATTTGGCACTGTTTTGCTGGTGGCTGATGTACTTGGTTGCTGCACGGCTACTTCGCTGCTCAGCGCCACGACTTGAGGACGTCTTAGGGTCCGCCGCTGCTCTTGCTCCGGGGAGCGGCGATGCGACGGACGGGGCACAGGACCATGTGGTAATAATGACGACGAAAATGCTGCTAAGCCTCTCCCGTGCGTCGCAGGCGTGACGATGCGTTGAGTCCCTAAACACGACGACATGGCTCAAGCTATACTACGCCTGTGTGCGTTTAGGTAGATCTTCTGGTAGAAAGAATACCTGCTCACCTAATCTATTGGGTATTGAAATACTTGAGAGCTAAGGCGAGGAACTAAGGCGAGATGAGTGAACGACCGACATCCGATGGGATTTACAGCAATTGGCCGCCCAACGAATGCTTTCCATAAAAGACAGCAAGCGTGGACATATGCGTATATCCGAAGAGCAATGCTTAAACACATTGGCACACAATGGCCATAAACCATAAAGGAAAATTGCACCGGTCAGTGCCAAGCGCTAAAGCCATTTAGCAAACACCCACTACTCGCAAGTTCGTCCGAGCATAAATAATAGACGGTTCGCATGCTAGTCCGGGTGTCTAGTTGACGGGCATGTTCCCGCCAGGACACGGCGAAATTATTCACAGCCCGCTTCTTCCGCGACTCTTCACCAAAGTCCATCCATAATATAAAGCTAGCATGCATAGCTACTGGATGGGAGCGGCGCTTCAACGTGGACATCGAGCAGAACCTATCCTTGCTCAACCACGGCGCACGTCTCGCAACTGTCCGTCATTTTCGCCATTTCTCCAAACATACAAATACAGCGCTGTACATAGCAGTCGTAGGTGATCGTGGATCGCTGACGTGTAGCACGCATTGCCCAGAGGCAGCGTCTCACTTGTTGGCCTCCTCGCACGAGTCGAGCCAGTCGTGATACACGTCGACTGCGTCCGTCAGTGGCGTGCAGCGGCTCTCGTACTTTTGGCTGCACTGCAGCAAGCAAAGCACACGGGACAAACGTTTCAGTCTGGCGAAGAATTGAGCACCTTATGAATAGCGTGAATTACAGCACAAAATACTTTTAGGTTCCTCACGTTCGTGTCCCTACTTTCTTGTATTGGCATTTTGCAAGACAAGCGCGCCAAGGGACTTACTTGGGAACATTTTGCCGTCGCCCTCCCCATGTCACGATCGAAGTTGATAGATACTGACTTGCTGCTATTACAGAATGGGCAAGAGAACACGGTATCCAACTTTGGGCGCTGCTTCTTCGGCGGTGGCTTTGAACCACCCTTCCGCTTGCCCATATCGTATGTCGCCTACTACTAAAAACGACTAAGCCGAATACTGCCCTCTCACGCGTAGGTAGGGTGCAGTGTTGAAAAGTTAAGATGTCTGGACGGTTAGGTGCAGTCGCGGCTATATAATTGCTAATCACAATTACTCTGCCATTAGGTTCTAATCACGTAGAAAGCGGACAGCGGTGCGTGCATAATTTAAAGTGCACAGAGCTGTCCTTATGAACGGTTCCGATGGGGAATCCTTCATGCATGCGTACGACGCACATTTACACGCCCTCGCAGGGCAAGAACCCTAAGCAAGAACTGGTGCCGCAAGAACAACGCCTCACATCACGCAAATACTGCACAGCGCCTGCGTTACTGCTACCGAGGTTGTCATGGTCCCTTCCGTCGTTTGGTGGCCCGTAAGCAAAGGTCAGCTCTTCGCCAGCTGACATATCTCGCGTGGCGAACAATGCAACAGCGGGCAGAAGGCTGCCCCGACGGCGAACTATCACTTGCACCAGCGAGCCTCCGTCGCAGCTGCAAGGGAGCGGCAAGGGCGATCAGGCAGACCAAGCTCTTCAAGCACATTTAACGCAGTCCATCTGACCCAAATCGCGTCAACAGAACGCACTCCTGTAACGCCGCCCAGTCTCATGGCAGCAAGCACAACCAACCTTTCGTGCAACATCCTCAAGCAGCAGTATTTTGCAGACAAGCTCAAGCGCACCTGTGGTTGAAGAACCTCGCAATGTTGCCACGCCTCGTAGCATCTATGTTAACTCGCAGCGCCAGACCGCACGGCAGGACCTCCCGCACAACCTGAAACAAAAAGGTATACTGTTAATCGCTCGCTCGGTCATATAACTTTACGTGTACAGCAGGTGTACAGTGCAAAATTACATGTATGTCGGACCCGCCCAACGGTCCTGTCCCGGTCTTGCAGTTATAACAACCAACCAGTCCCGACCCTTCAGACCATCAGCAAGGACAAGACAACCCAGCCAGCAGGGGCGGTTGCGCACCACCCCTTCCCGCCCACCAGCTCACCAGCAGCGCATGCCCCTGACCCAGCTTGTCGTACAATCGCAGCCGTACGCCCGCCTCCGCTGTCGTGACGTACTCCCCATCGTAGCAGCACACGAAGCGGCCGGCGGGGATGTGTTCAGCAGCCACCACCCCCCAGCCCTGTAACACGTGCGGTAGATGGATGGATGGACGAATGGCATGTCGCTGCGTTTGTTCAGGCCCATGTGTGGAGGCCCGGAGGCAGGATGCGTGCATGGCTTGCTAGCGTGTCTTTTCACGCAAGACATCTAACAGCGGCAGAACGCCGCCCTGCTCACCTCACCGCCCTGCCCGCCTCCCCAAACTGCCTCCAACGTACCTTACCCACCAGCCACCTCAGCTGCAAACGCACCGCCAGACCGCCCTGCGTCAGGCGGGCGGGGCAGCTCCCCGCGCCCCGGGGTAACTCCCCCCCGCCGCATACACACGCACACGCACACGCCGGGCCGCACTCGAGCAGGTAGGCCCCCGGCCCCGCCTGGGCGGCGCTGCGCCCCGTCGTCTCCTTCACCTGGCCCTCCTGCGGAAGGTCACAAGGGGGACGGGAGCACGGTACTGAAGGCAAGCCCGGGAAGAGGACGAAGAGGCGGCCGGGCAGGAAGCGGGGCAATGGCTTGAATGGGCAAAGGTGGTGTTACTTCCCACATGATGCAAAAGACGGACGATGGCGCCTGTTTGGGGTATTTGGCGGAAGCCACAGCTGCGCCAATTGTGCCGATAACGCGGGAAGCGTTTCATGACATCATGAGGCGCCTTGCATGGCGTCTTCAGCCTGCCAGGGTTCTATGCTGCTGCCCCCTTGTGCTGCTGCGCTGCTCATCTGGCCCTGTCCATTCCTCATCAGCAAGCCCAACTCACCTGCCGCAGGGGCGGCAACAACACGCCTGTCTCCGGGTTATAGCCCGGTCGGCCGCCGGGCATGACAACACCGCAGCCGCATGCCTTGCTAACCGCCTTCCGCTGCAAAGCCCTGTGTGAGCCGCCGCCATCGCTGCGGCTGCGGTTCCTAGCAGGAAGGGAAGCTGCTAGGCTGCAAGTAGATTCCGAAGCTCCATTTGTAGCTGAGCCGCCTAAGCTCCCGCTGCTGCCAGGGTTTGCGTCTGCAGGATCGCGCATCTCTCCAGCGCCAGTGTTGCAGCAGCAGCAACAGTTCTCGTCGCAGCCCCCGCAGCCATCGTTGGACATCCCAAGACCGCAGTCCAGGGCGCCAACATGTAGGTAGGTGAAGTCAAGGGGTGCTGGTGGAGGGCTGAGCGGTCCGGCGGAGGGAGGGACAAGCATGGGGATGGGATGGCGGGGCTCGGCTCCCAAGGACACGTCGTCGCGTATGGCTGCCAGGTGTTGGTTTAGTGCTGCCCTTGCAGCCGAACAAGTTGAATAAAGGCGGCCTAGGTCGCGGCTGAGCGGCATATGAAGAAGCATTACGCTCCATAGCTGCTCTGGTAAGCTGCTACTGCTACTTGACGCCTGCTTAAAGTTACCTAACATTTTCACTTGTGTAACACTGGAGTCTGAAGTGCCCTGGGAGTTCAGTGTTGTTAGGACAACTGGTTGGCCGGACGGCAGCAGCAAGCGGATGAACGGTATGGCCAAATAACAAGGTACTTTGTGGACCTTTATTATAATATAAAGTTAATTGCAATAAGCGTGTAACCAGTATACAACCACATGCAGTGCTTAAACCCCGATGCGCGCATTGCGTCCTAGTCGAACGTGTAGCTTGGATCGCATAACAACACTTCGCCCCAAAGTCGCGTCTTTACTGCGCAGTATCCAACCTTCCAACTTATTGTTATCACTGGAGCGCTCGGCAGCGCGTTACTCGCACGTGACAATGATGAATGCGCCGCCGAGTGGCACAGGCGCTCTCGATTTGACGATGCCAACGTCTGATAAACATCTGGACAATACTGCCCAGCCAGACTTGCAACAACCCGCGGCAACCGGAACCGACCTAGTCCCCGAAGCTGGCACGGATGGTGCCCAAAAGCAGCAGCCACGCCGGCAGAAGGGGCAGCAACAGAAGCAGGCCCGGGGGGAGGGAGGGGAAAGGGGCGCACAGGCGCGACGCGACGCGGGCAGCAGCGGCGCTTCACGGCTCCAGCAACAACAGCAGCAGCCAACCTTCATCCCATCCGACCTGCCCCCTGGGACGCTCATCGAGGATGCCTCCTCCGCTCCGAAACCCGAGGTACGCCGTTGCACAGCTCCATTGCACTTCACATTACCACATTCCTTGGCTTGGTTAACCTTGGCTTACCATGCCTTTGCACCCTCACCCTGCCCATGCGGCTCATGCGGGTCATGCGGGTCGTGCCTGCCTAAGGGCCCATAGCCGACCAGTACCTGCCACCCTTGCACCAACGGCAGCTGCCCAACAGTTCTCTGTCCCCTCCCTTCCCCTCACCCTCCGCCGCTGCTCCCTCTTTGCCACCTGCACTCTCCCCTCACAACCCCACCCCCCGCCAGGACTACGTCTTCGTGGACGGTCTGCGACTGGTGGGTGCGACAGTGCTCCTCCAGGGGGGGGCGGGCGGGGGGGCGGGGGGGAAATAGCAGTGCAGCAACTGGAGTCCCAGTGCAGCAACTGGGGGGGCGGGCGGGGGGCCGTTGATCGCGGTTTCGCGGGCCGCGTGTGCGTCAGAGAGAAACATCAAAACGCCTCTTGTTCCTAACGAAACCACCAGGTGGTTGAGATATGCCTAGCCGGGTGGTCAGCTTCAACTGCCTAACGACCTGGCTGCCCCCTCTCCTCACCTCCTCACAACCCCTCACCTCCCCACCCCCACACAGGTCAAGCCCTACTACTTCGACTTCAAGTGCTATGTGAAGCAGCGGCAGGACGGCCGCTCCCTCACGCAGCTGATGGCGGATGAGTTCCCCATGCTCAGCGCCGCCTACTACGCAGCGGCAGTGGCGAGCGGGCGACTGCGGGTGGAGCCCTCCTCCTGCTTCCCGGCGACGAAGGCGGCAGCAGCAGCAGCAGCGGGCGGGAAGAAGTGGGCGGCGAAAGCAGCAGAGGTGGAAGCAGCAGAGGCGAAACCAGTCAATCAACCGATTGCTGCGGCGGTGGATGCAGGTGTGCGGCCGCCGGCTGCTGCTTCTGAAGCTCCTTCCTCCGCCGAGGGTGTGGGTGCCGCTGGCAGTGGCAGCGGCCTTGGCACCAGCAGCAGCAGTGGTGGAAGTGGTGGCGGCAGTGTCGGTGCTGGCGGCAGCGGTAGTGGCCCGGTGCCCTGTTGGTGGTCTCCCGAGCGGCCGCTGCGGGCGGGTATGTGCATCCGGCACTTCATACACCGACATGAGCCGCCGGTGCTGGCGGGGGAGGTGCAGGTGGGGGCGGGGAAAGGGAGGGGAGGAGGGGGAAGGAGGTGGGCTGTGTGAGAGGAGGGGAAGGGAACCGGGTAACGTGGGTGGCATGCAAGAAGAATGGTTGTTACAGTGACAGTCACAGTTGTGTAGTGATGGTGCGTGAATGGTTATTGAACAATGGGTGAACAATTGATGAACGATGCGTGAACGATGCGTGAACGATGCGTGAACGGTAGTGAATGATGCGTGAACGGTAGTGAACGATGCGTGAACGATGCGTGAACGGTAGTGAACGATGGGTGAACGGTAGTGAACGATGGGTGAACGGTAGTGAACGATGGGTGAATGGTAGTGAACGCCTCGTAAGCAGTTCACCGCTTCGTGAACGATTGGTAAACGGCTCCCAAACGGTTCCTTGGACCGTTCTCCTTGCTCGTTGCCATGCCGCCCCTTCAACCCCTTCCCCTCCCCCCCTTCGCCCCCCCTCACCCCCTCCCCCTCCAGGTCCTGGGCATCTCTGCTGACTTTGTTGCGGTCAACAAGCCCGCCTGCCTGCCTGTGCACACGGTGGGGCAGTACCGCAAGAACACCGTGATGGGGGTCGTGCAGGTGGGGGGGCGGGGGAGGGCCGGGGGGCAAAGAGGAAACAACTAACTCCGGGGGGCGGAAGGGTCAAATTAGGGAAAACGGACGAGGCAACTAACGAGCTGGGGTTGGAGGGGGCGAGGGGTGGTTGTTGGGGGGCAGGGGGTTGGAGTGAGAGGGCCGTGCGTTGCTCGCTATGATGCAGGAAGGGTGATACCCTGATACCTTTCTTTCAGGTTTCTGTTTGACAACTTACCGGTATTTCTTTTGCCCTCCCTTGCCTCGGCCCCTCACAGTAAGGTGGTTTCCCTTCCTTTTCCCTTTCGGTCACTCCACACCCGCACCCCCCACCACACCTCCACAACCCTCCTTCTCACCCACCTCCACCTCCCCCCCCTCCCACCTTCCCTCCCACCCCCCAGGCCGCCCACCCGCACCTCTGGCCGCTCTACCCCACATACCGGCTGGACAAACCCGTCAGCGGAGTGCTGCTGCTGGCTCGGTCGGGGGCGGCGGCGGGCAGGATGCGGGAGCTGCTGGAGGTGCGGGGCGGGAGACGGGGGGGGGAGGGGCGGGAGACGGGGGGGGGAGGGGCGGGAGACGGGGGGGGGAGGGGCGGGAGACGGGGGGGGGGGGGGGGCGGGAGACGGGGGGGGGAGGGGCGGGAGGGAGCAGGATGGGGCGGAGTGGGGCGGGAGGGAGCGTCGTGTTGTAATGGGAACCGCAAGTGGGGGCAAGGCAATAGGGAGGAGGAGGCGGTGGGATGGCCATGGATGGACGGGAGGGTGAGAGTAGGGAAACGGGACGACACTATAACTCCCACCCCTCACCCCTGACCCTCTCCTCGCCCCCCTCCTCTCCCTCTCCTCCCCCTCCTTCAAACAGGACCGCGGCTGTTCCAAGACCTACGTGGCCCGGGTGCAGGGTGTGTTCCCGGACACCTCCGCATCGGGGCCGCTGGTGGTGCGGGTGCCGCTGGCTTGGGACGCGAAGACCAACCACGCAACTGCCGTACCGGATGCTGCCGCCGCCGTACAACCGCAAACAGAAGCGGGGGCAGCAGCAGCAGCAGGAGCGGGTGGTGGGGGTGCTAAGCCTGCTGAGACGCACTTCCGGCGGCTCAGTGTGTCGCCGGATGGACTGACCAGGTGGGTGGGGTGGGGGGAATGGAGTGGTGGGGGGCAGGTTGTGAAAGCCATGGAGGCGCCTGGATGAGTCCTGATAGTTTTGTTGACGAGGTGTGTGTTAAAAAAACCTGGCGGTGGTGTTGGAAGAAAGCTGGCGCCGATGACACGAGAAAGCTGGCGCCGATGACACGCGTGGTACAAGTACGGTACATGCGGCGCCCTCCTGCTGCCCTTACCGTACCTCTAACCCCACCTCATAAGCCTTACCCCCACAACCCATTGCCCCCCCGCACCCACCCCCCGCCCTCCTCCCTGCCGCCTCCTATCCCCACTTCTAAACCCTAGTCTGTGGTTTCCTATGGTATGGTCTTTGAACCCCCGCGTCTCCCCCTCCCGCCCCCCCGCTGCAGTGTGGTGGAGGCCTGCCCCAAGACCGGTCGCACCCACCAGATCCGAGTGCACCTGCAGCACCTGGGACACCCCATCGCCAACGACACTCAGTACGGCGGCAGCTACGGCCTGCCGCTGTTCTTCCGGCGCGGCATGGGCGGGCCGGAGCGACCGCATGTGAACGGACAGCGGCGGTGAGGAATGAGGGGTGGGGGGGTGGGGTGGGGTGTATGGCAGGAAGGGGAAGAGGGAACCGAAGGAACCGAGGAAGGGCGGAAGGGGGTGCAAGGCAGGCATGGCTGGGTGATGGGATTATGGGTGATGGGGTCCTACTTGAGCCATCATCTTTGAGGGCCTTACACCGCGACGGCTCCTCTCCCATGCACCATGCAGAATGCACCAAGCAGAAGAGCGGGAGGCGGGCTGCAGTGACGCCGTGTTGGCCGCCGGTGCGCCGCCAGCAGCGGAAGCAGCAGCAGCAACAGCAACAGCAGCAGCAACAGCAGCAGCAACAGCAGCAGCAACAAGGTCCGCGGGTGCCTCGGGACCACTGACGGAGGAGCCACAGGTGGCGGCGTCGGAAACCCCAGAGGAGACCGCAGCGGCGGCGACGTGCCGTGGTTGCATTGGGGCCCCGCAGGAGCGGGAGCAGCAGCAGGGCGAAGGCGAGGCAGGCAGGGCGGTAGCGAACAAGCGGCAGCGGAGGTGCAGCGGCGGGGAGGATCAGGGCGGTGGCAGCAATGGCGGTGGTGCGGATGCATGTAGGGAGGCACAGGGAGGCGCTGCTGCTGCTGGCGGTGCCGCTGCTGCTGCTGCTGGTTGCTGTCCCAACTCGGATGCGGGGCTGGTGGCGCTCTCCTCGGAGCGCTACATGCAGCTCTACACGCGACCCGAGTTCCAGGTGGGACTGGGGGGGTGGGGTGGGGGGGGGGGGGGGGGGGGGGCAGGAGGGGGTCAGAGAGAAACCAGCCCAGTTGATAACGCAGGTTAGGGCGCGAGAGGGGTGGCGGAGCAGGTGTGGCAGGGGCCATTGGCACCTTCCCTATCCCGCCGTGCACCGCTCATCGAGCTCCGGTCCAAACCTTATCCGTGCTCCTACGCTCACCGTCTGAAAGGCGACACACAACTACACAAGGTGTACGGTATACCATGCTGGTGATCACGCCTGGTTTCCCTGCTGCTCCCTTTCCCCACCTCGACCCACCGCAACGCAGGTGCCGGGCGGCTGCTCCGACCCGCTCTGCCCGCACTGCCCCTGCCTGGTACCGGAGGGATACCCCATCGACCTGGAGCCCCTCTTCCTGCATGCGGCCAGGTATGCAGCGTCACCAGCAGCCGCGCCGGCACAAGGGGGAGGCCGTGTGGATGCACTGGGCAGCAGTGCTAGCGCTAGCGGTGGTGGCGGTGTGACAGAGGGAAGCCAGGAGAGGGAGCAGCGGTTAGGCGGGGAAGAGACAGGCGGCGGCAGTGTTGATGAGGGGTGGTGTTTTGAGGCGCCGTTGCCTGATTGGGCAAACCCGGATTACATTGCGGTTCCGGCGGGGAGGGCTTTGGGGCGGCGTGCGGGGGTAGGTGCGGGGGGAGGTGAGCCGGGTAATGCGTCGACGGCTGTTTAGGAACTCAAACATTTGAGATGCCCGCGGGGATTGACGTCGCGAGGGGGGGTTGCTACGTTGATATTTCACCGTGACCCTTGGGTGATCAGCTGATCACCTCTAAAAACTGCGTGCCCCTTGTGAGCGTGGGATTGTCACTGATACCGTGGTGGAGTATACGGGTACGTGCACGTGTGGTGGCCAATGCAAGCGAGAGGGAGGCACCCGCAAGTGCCTGCTGACCCGTGGGTCGTTTTTTCCAATGGTTTGTAGGACGTGCCTGTGCTTCACTAGGTAGGTGATTTGCTGAATTCAAACCATGTAGACCATGGTTGACCATGGTTGATGCAGCAATGCATGCACGCCCAATACCCAGGGGCACCATGCACTATATGAACATTACACCTGGAAATCACAGACGACCAACCGGTGAGTCATCAAGGTTCCTCTTTTGGACAAGATTTGATAACCGGGCGTGGAGGCATTCCCCCGCACGTTTTAGTGCTTTCTCGGCCTGGCAGCACCGCCGGGTCACTCGACGCAAGACAGCAAAGAGGAAGTTTGGTCAAAGGTGACTATGTACACAAGAAGCAACGTTCTTTCGCCCCTGCAGCCGGGGCGTTCCTGTTTAGGCCGCCACGTCCGGTTATGTCCGCACTGTCAGGTTATATGTCGGCAGCAGCTCAAGGCAGCAGCCCTCCCGGCCCTCTAAAGGCATGCATAGTGATATACCGCTAACAGAGTCGCCGTAACCACTCTCTCGCAGGTCGAGACACAAAAGCCGCACGCTTTAACTTAGCACGCACGCACTTACTCGCGGCCAATTTCCTTTACATACAGCCTTTTACGCACCGCTTCACACCCTTCCCCCTGAACCACACTCCCCGCCCTGCTGCACTGCGCACAGCAAGCGACCTACGTTCTCGCCCGCAATCAATTCGCTCCCCAAGCAAGCACTCATCATCCAATCACACATCCTCAACCACATCCCCAACCAAACAGTCAAGACGGGACTGCTTGCTCAGTCAGGACGGGACGGGCATGCTCAGTCATCCTCCTCCGGCAGCTCCTCCTCCACGAAGCCCGCGTTGTCGTCCTCCCGCAGACCCAGGTTGGCGGGGCCGCGCCGGTCCTCAGCCATGTCGGGAGCCACACCCAGCGCCTGCAGCCGAAGGGGGGAAAAATTATATGAAAGTGAAACGTCATTGGAACGGTGAAGCAACTCTGGAGTCCCAATCCCGCATCCGACGCGTGCAGTGAACGAGCGCTATAGGAGATCCTGTCATAGGTACACGCAGCGGGGAAGGGTAGGGAAGGGGATGGAGGAAAGGCCGCGTTGTAGCCCACGGCAGTGGCAACCCGGACCAGGGATGGGGGTTTGGGAGGTATGCGGGGGTGGTGGGGTATGGTCAGACGATGCAGGTGGCAAAGGGGAGTAAACGAGTAATGGAAGGAGCCCAGCCCGACTTCCGTGCCTACGTTGTCTTGGCAAAGACGGAGGCCCGCGCAAGGGCAAGGCACCCATGACACCCATCACACCCCCACACAGCGATCCCCCTTGTACAGCGATCCCCCTTGGTATATGCCCCACCTTGTAGATGTCTTCCACCATGCGTGTGTCCAGGTAGGGCGACAGGATGATGCCGCGGCGCCGCATGGCCTCGATGGCCTTGAACGCCTCCATGGGCTGACGCGCCTCGTACCTGGATGGGAGGGAGGGAAAAGAAGATTACCCATTGGGTTGGATGAGGGTGACATGTATGAGGGGAATTAGATAAACTGAGCCGCAGAAACACTGACCCGTAGTATATCAGAGGATGATGGCGTCCCAGATGTCAAAGTATTGATATCAGCGGGGAAGGGAAGAGTGATAAGACCTGACACATCGGTAAGAATAGCCGACACTCCAGCTCTACCCAGTAGGTCGTCCGTGTTTCACCACGGCCATGAGCATTCAAAACCTTCCCCATCTCTTCCCGGCTCAGTTTACCTAATCCCTCCTCCCCCACCCAACGCACCAGTACTCCACCATCAGCGCGTACACGTCCCCGATGCGGATGCCCGCCTCCAGGTCCTGGCTGTCGGGCGGGATGGTGCGCAGCAGCTCCTCACACACCCGCAGCGCCTCCGTGGGGTTGGAGCCGATCAGCTGCCGCGCCTCCACGAACTGCTCCGACACCGCGATGCGGTCGGAGATGGCGGCCAGGCGCTGGTCGCGGTCCTCGGATTTGGACTTGCCAACGTACTTGGCGGCCTCACGCATGGCCTATGGAGTGCGTGTGGGGTGCGTGTGGTGAGGGAGGTGGGAAGAAATGATAAGTGTGGGGAGGGGACGTTTGGAGAGGGCGGTGAGGGAGGGGTAAGGTGTGCAAATCATATTTCAGCAACTCGAAAATGGGTGATAAGAAGAGGATATGCTGTACATGCATGCAGCGCTGTTCTGACCGAGATGGGGAGATGAGTTCCAAACAACAGCAAGGTCACACAACAGCAAGACCCTCGCAACAACCCCATGTGCTCCACCTCCTGACCCTGCCCCCAGTAGTCCGGAGGTGCCTGGCTGGTGATCTCAGCTTCCTTCTTCCTTGCCCCCCCGCAGTGCAGCCCCCACCCATGGTAAAGTCTCATCACACAGTCACCACATCGGTCTCTTTATTTTTACCCCACACTCACAAACCCACCTGCAGCGCCTTCTCATAGTCCCGGTACTCGTCCACCTCAATCTGCGCGCACGCCTCGTAAAAGGCGGCCAAGCTGTCCCAAGCAAGCGCCTTGGAATAAAAGGAAATGATGTGCTTCATGAGCTCGGGGTCGGAATGCCAGTTCAGCGTTTGCAGGTAGTTGGCGGCCATGAGGTAGAGGTCCTTTTGCCGCGACACGCCGGCGAAGAAGACAATCTTCTCCGCGTCGCCGCCTCGCAGCAGCGCCTTCATGGCCTTGACCTTGTCGCCCGCTTGCGTGTACTTCTTGGCGGCGAGTTGGAAGTTGCCTTGGCGTTTGGCGACTTTGGCGATGCGGCAGATGACAGAGTTGCGTTCGTCGGGGCTGAGCTGGTTCTTCTCGGGTGTCATTGAGTCCGCCATTTCCTGAGGGGAGGGGGGTGGGAGGTGGGAGGGGGTGGGGGGGAGAGGGTGAGACCAGCACAAGGGGATGGGGGTGGAAACAACAACCACAACAGGCGTGACGTCAGGTTGAAGTGGCAATGATGACCAGCTCTACCGCATATACGCGTTTGCATGCCTTATGCCTCGGACACAAGGCAGAGAAAGGCTTTTGGTCTTCGCCCGCATTTCCACAAAGAATACATACAAGCATGAGGAGGAGGAGCGCAGCACGGCGCCCTACCAGTATCGTAGACGCTCATAAACAGCACATCACAGCACCCCACCGGGGCACTCCTCCTTACCTCAAACAAGCACAGCACAGCACCCCGCCCTCCTCACCTCCGAGATGGGCACGTCGTGCTCCACGCACAGCTCCAGCGCGCGGGTGAACTGCTGCGCCGCGATGAGCATCTTGACGGCCTTGTCGTTGTGGCCGAACTGCATGAAGAACTCGGCGCACCTGGAGGGGTTTCGAGGGGGGGGATAATTGATAAGTGGTGGGGGTAAAAAGAGGAAACCGACGAGCTGTATGACGAGGCTCCAACATGGGTTGCTAATGGGTGGGCGGGTGGGGCAGCAGGAGTGGGTGAGGGGAGGAGCGCGTGAGGGGGATGGCACTGGCCAGGTGAGGTGGTGACTTCCAGGGGAACACATGCAAGCGCGATTGGGGGTCTGGGAGGCTGCCAGCATGCAAAACCCCGCGTTCCGTCGCCCTAATGTGCAATTTCGTGCGGTTCCCCATGCCATGTATCCGACTCTGCCTGGCGAGCCAGTTGCCAAGGTAGCCACCCACCCACTAACATGTTAAGTGTTGACACAACCCATCGTGCACGCAACCCCATCGTGCACGCAACCCCTACACGCCCCCCGGCTACCACCACCTCATTTCCCTCCTCCCTCCCTCCCTCCCTCCGCTGCCCACCTGTTGTAGAGCGTGGGGTCGCTCTTCTCCGGCGTCATGTCGTCGGTGATGTGCTGCAGCACGTCGAACAGCTGCGCCGTGAAGCACATCTCCACCGCCTTGGACAGCTTGCCACCCTTCATGTACAACGTGGCGGCCTTCTCGTGCTGGCCCTGCAGGGGGAGCGGGGACAGGAGCAGGAGCGGGAGTTGGTGTAGGAGCGGGAGTAACAGGTTTTTACGCTTTTATTTTGACGGGGTCAAGGCTTTGGTCAAGGTCAAGGTCAAGGGTAAAGGCTTTGCTATCAAGAGGGGACATCACCTTCCGACAGTCACAGTACGTTCCTATTCCCGACCAGTTTCCTTAACACACGCACTTCTTGGCCTCGCGGCCAGTTCTCTTGACTACCCCATAACCACCCCCATATCTGCTACCCCCACCTTTTGGTTGAGGTAGTCCGCCGTGTCCACCATGACCGCCGGGGTGCTCTTGAGCGCCAGGTTCATCAGGTCACTGTCCAGCTCGTGGACCTTGGCCAGCCGCACGCCGTGGCTGTAGCGCTTGGACTGCGGTGCGACGGGGTCATGGGGGTGGGGTGGTGGGGGTGGGTTTGCGAGGTTAGGAACAGAGCAGCACACGCACAATGGGGGGCGACTGGAAAAGCCACCCGACATGGGCAACATAGCCAACATGCCTCCCCAAGTCCCCATGCGCGCATGTCAACAGGGCAGCACCGCACCCCTCTCCCCCAGCCCACCACCCACCAGCGTGTAGTACCGCACCGCCTCCGCGATGCGCCCCGCCGCCTCGTACTGCCGGGCCAGGTGGAAGGCAGCCGCCTGGTCGCCGCTGTTGCCGACCTGGTGGAGGGGAAAAAAGAAATTCCAAAGTGTGGTGTGATAATGATATAAGTTGCTGACAGTTGGAGGGGAGGGGCGAACAGGGCAGGAAGGCAGGAAGGGAGGGCAGCGGACGAGGTGACACATGGGGGAAGGAAGCACAGAAAGAACGAACGGGGCGGAACTTGGGGGCTGCACAGGCTGCAATACATACCTAGTCATGCATGTCGCAACGCAACTCAGGCCCTCCCCCTTCGCTGTGCCCCATCACGCCACCCTTCCCCCCTCACCTCCTCCTCCGCCAGCCTCCACTCCTTCTGGAAGCAGTAGATGCGCACCATGGACAGGCTGTCGCCCGCCTTGCGGTAGCAGTCCAGCGCCTTGCTGTACTCACCCAGCGACTCCAGGTACTTGCCCCACCACAGGATGAGTTCGCGGCTGTCGTTGGCCTGCGGGTGTGGCGGCGTTGTCGTTGCGGTTCGCAGTTCATTACGGGTGCGGTATTCGGTTTCCATCGCCACCATGCAGCAGGGCCTACCATGTAATGCCAGTTCATCACTGCACCCGCACACCACCCGCCCCGCTCCGCACCTGGATGTAGGCCTGCAGCTCGCTGAACTTCTCCGCCTCGAACAGCATACGCGGCACCTCCACCAGCCCGCAGCCGCTGGCCTCGTAGTGCTTCTGAGCGCCCGTCAGGTCGCCGCCGCGCTCCAGATACTGCAGGCGGGGGGTGGTGCGGGTGGGTGGAGTGGTGCGTGTGAGGGAGAAAGGAGCGGACAAAGGAGCGAAGCCATGCGTTGTTTGTGAGGATGCCTAAAAGCAACAACCAAGAGGTTCTTGGCCATGCGCCTTGGCTTACTTTGTTTAGTACATTCCGTATTGCCAGTGTTGTGGGAATTCGCAGTATGTAGCAGAGTGCGCAGCCCCCTCTCCCATGCAGTGCAGCGCGGTGTGCAGTGTGCGGTGCAGCTACCCAGCAGCTAAACCCACCCACCTGCGCGTACACGTAGTGAGTGGACTTGAGGTGGATGCGGTCATGCTTCTCCGCCACCTCCAGCGCCTTGTCCCACTGCCCGCACGCGCGGTACAGCTGGTTCAGCAGGTCGTACCTGGCGGGGGGGTCGTGCCATTGGCAACACCAACAGCAACACCGGATCAGTACAGCGGTAGCAGTAGCGGTAGCGGCAGGGTGGGGAAAGGAACGTGTGAGAGGTGGCACCGGCGCTCGATGCGCAACAGTGCACCGTAGCGGTAGCGGCAAGGCCAGGGTCACGAGAGAGCCGTCTGTTGCCGTGGCACAGCAGCCATACCATATGGTAGCGGCCAAGGCCAGGGTTACCAAGGTACCGGTGCTGTGAGAACTGACTACAGCAGCATGGTGCCACATGGCGCTCAATGCACAAGGAGTTGCGCTACCCCAAAAGAAGAAGAACCATGTGTTGAGCACCATGTGTTGAGTGATACCACCACCAAATCGTCGCCGCCCTCACCTCTCGCAGGCGATGTAGAGCTTCTTGGCGTCCTCAATCATGCCCAGGTGCACCGCCACGGTGGCCACTCGCGCGTCCGCCTCCTCGATTGTCTTGGCCTCACGCAGCGCCCGGGCGCCCCTCGCGTGCTCCATGTTGCTCAGGCAGTGCTCTGCGCGGCGAAGGAGGGGAACAAGGGAAGGGGTGCGGGAAGGAAAGAAGAAGAGGAGGAGGATATCGGCACGTATCAGCACTAGATCAGGACCCCGCACATTCCCCTGGGAACTTCCGCGTGGCCGGAAAAAGGGAGGTAACAGAAAGGAGCCAGCCGGTCACCTTACACGCCTAACCCCTCTGCAGAGCTCATGCCAGTGCAGCCCCCATCAGTCCTAACAGGCCTAAATACAGCCCTGCCGCCTCGCGCCCCACCTGCCACGTCCAGCCGCTTGTTTCGGATGCACATGTGCGCCATGTTCTCCCACACCGCGGGGTTCTTGATGGCCTTCACGGAGCGGAACGCCTCGTCCATGTTACCGGTGGCCAGGCTGAAGGAGAAGTCCAGCAGCGCACGACGCGTCTTGTCGTCCGAGTCCTGACGGGCCGGGGGCAAGCAGGGGCAACATGGGGGGGGGGATTATATAAGAAATGCAAACAATGGGGGGGTTGGCAGTCGGTAGAAACCACAAAACAATGACGACTGACACCGTGCATTCCTACGCTGCCGGCTGCGCGTACGGACTTATGGTATCTGTACCTTTGTGTAAAGAGCTGGATTTGCATTGCCGCATGCAGCAGTGCCGCAATGCATTATGCATTACAGGTGTCATCTTGGCATCATCCGGGTCAGCCCGACATGTGCCTACTGCGCGCCATACAACAAAGAGGCCCTCCCTCTCAGGCAGCCAGGCTGCTGCCTCGCTCGCTCGCTCACGGGTCTTTCCTTGCACAGCCAGGCCCCTGCCGCGCTGTCAAGCTCGCTCTCACCTGCATGCCGATGAAGCTGTTCATGAGCACCTTGGACACGTTGCTGGTGAAGGGCTGGAAGCCGCCCGAGCCCGGCGCCGGCTGCACCATGCTCTTCTTGTTGGTCAGCAGGTAGGGCGCCGCGGAGCCGATGCAGGCCGTGGCGCCGCCCTGCTGGATGGGCTGGTACTCCTGCGCAGAGGGAAGACAGACCCATGGGTCAGCGGGTCAGTACACCGGTAATTGAGGTTGCAATTCAAAGCCCACATCTCGCCAACCTATCAGAGCCAGTACCGGCCGTACAGAGGTTTGGTAACGCTTCAAGTGTATAAACCGCAAAACCCGTGAGCACTTGGTATACCGGTACTGGCTGGTGTACCTGGTATAGCGGTACAGTTTACCTACACATGTACTTAGTCAAGTACTTCCAGTCTCAGGTTTAGGGAACCAGGCTTGCCGACCGCAATCCATCTCTCCTCCACAAGATGATAACCACGATACCCATGCTCATGCCACAAGCAGAGGTTTTTATCGTCCCACTGACGACAAGCGGCCCTTACTGATGCTTACTGATTCCTTCAATTCACAGACGATCTGTCTCGGCAGGCGTCGGCATGCTGCGCCCCCTGGGATGACATTCCCAGATGCAGTTCCCTAAAAAGGAACCACCGGCGCGCACCCTCTGCCCCTCTCCCTCTCACCTGCAGCAGCACCCCCTTGTCCGAGTCCACAAAGATGATGGCCACGTCCACCACGTGGGAGTCGGCGCCGTTGCGGTCGTCCAGGTTGCTGTCGTTGAAGGTGGGCTGCGGGGGGGGGGGGGGAGAAGGGAGAATGTTCCATTCCTTAACCCTCATTCCACTCCGTTACCCCCCACCCCATTCCTCTTCTCCAGATCTCTACCCCCCTTTCCCTTCTTCACCCCTCTTTTTCACCCACTTTCCTATGGTTCGGTATGGTCTTTGACCCCCCCCCTTCCTCACCGCCGTCTGCACCACCAGCAGCTTGGGCTCCACGGTATCCCACAGCAGCCCCACCGGCACCCGCCCGTCGGTCGAGAAGTCGTGCACGTGGTGCGAGTTGGACTCGGCGCACCACACCACCAGCCGCACCGCACGCGCCGGCTCGGGGCCCACCAGCAGCGCCGCCACCAGGTTGCCGGTGGTGTTCACCTTGACGCTGGAGACCTTCCAGGACTTGAGCTCCGGGGGACACAGCGGCGCTGTGCGGGGCGGAGGCGGGGCGGGAAAAGGGTGGGGTGTGAAAGAGTGATGAGGCATCGCATTTTAGCTAGTACCTAGTACCGGTGCCTATTACTGTAGACGGGTTTCGAGAGTGCAGTGATTACTGCCAGTTGTTGCTACCGGTACGTTGGAATCGCAACGCGGGCGCGACGGTGTGTCACGCCCTCACAACCCCAACCGCTTCACTTTCAGGCCCTCACAGCCACCCCAAACCGCCCCCACTCACCTGGTCCCGCATGCGGCTTTGCCTCCCGGCCCGCCACCTTGAACACCCGCACGATGTTGACGTTGGTGACCGCCACCAGGAAGTCGCGCGCCACGTCCATGTGGGCGGGTGAGCCGTGGTTGTCGTCGAACATCACCGTCTGCTTCACAGTGCCTGCGGGGGAGTTAACAGGGGGGCAGGTGACGCCAGGGACGCGATGACACGACGAGACCTGCAGGTCCAGGCTACCGATTTCCATACTTGTATACCTTTCCCTGACGTTCGTAGGATTACAGCCCTGACGGAAGGGACTGACAGCCGCAGAGCCGAAGCCAACCCCCGGTCGCTCTCCCTGCAACATCCCTTGTACCCACCTGCCATGTTGACGACCTCCAGCTTGCCCTCCGCGGCGCGGTAGATGGAGTCGTTGTTGATGGCCATGCAGCGGCTGTTGGTCTCGAACTGGGAGGCCGCCATGATGTCGTTGGTCTCCGTCACCTTGTACACCTGCGCGGGCAGGGGGGCAGGCGCATGGGGGCAGGCGTATAGGGGCAGGCGCATGGGGGCAGGCGCATGGAGGCATGAGGACCATTGAGGAGGGGGAGTACAGCGCAAACAAGCGAGGAGAGCAGGGGCGTTAGGAGGCATGTGTGTAGGGTGGTGGACGCGCTACGGGGGCTAGGGTATGCTGAAAGCGTGGTTTGGGGGCCTTTATAACTGCGGCAGATGGTGCTGCATGCCATGCAGCAGCATCAGCAGCAGCCCTAGCAGCGCATGTCATGCAACACACCGCTTGCCACTCGCTGGAGCTGGCGGGGGTCATCCCAACGCACAACCCGCGGTAGGCCCCACGCACCTCTGCGCGCTCTCCATCCCACACCAGCAGCAAGCCCTTGCTGAGGTCCAGACCCAGCAGCTGCATGTCCTGTGCGGGCAGCAGCATCCATGCAGCAGCCAAACGTGTGCTAAGAAATGTGGCGGTGAGTAGGAGCGTACTGGACGGCAGCAGCATCCATGCGTGCACGCATGTGGTACACTGGTTATGAGTGACAGCAGCTAGGGAACAGAGGAACTGAGGACGGAAGGATACAACCCGGCTGACAAAGCATGCATGCATGCAGCCGAGAACAAGCTGCAGGACGAGAAGCAGTTGGCCGTCTGAGAAGAGCAGATGAGAACACTGTTATTACCTGCAGCTGCAGTCGTCCCGGTGGTCGCTGCGGGTCCACCTCCATGTTCTCCAACACCACCCGGTCCACCGCCACCTGAGGGGCAGGGCACGAAGGCGCGGCGTCAGTTGGGAAGAGAAGGAGAGAACCATGCCCCATGGAGCCAACTATCACTAACTGCCCGGCATTTGAGTAGCCGTTTGTTGTATTTAAGTAGCCTTTTGGTATCACCGTATGCCGATTTACGGACAACGGGCATGCAGTCCTTGCACCGTGCACCTGGCGAACCCTGCTGCCTACACCTGGGCTCATCCACCTCCGCCCCCTGCCCCTACGTGCATGGTCAACACATTGGGTATTCTTCTTTCCCCTGCCCCCCCCACCTGCATGATGGCCACCCCGTCTCGGTACTTGTAGCTGAGCATGGTTTTGCGGCACACGTTAATGGCGTCACTGCAGGCCACCACCATGAGGCGAGGGAAGGGACCCCACTCCATGGCCAACGCGCGGTTGCCCACCTGCAGCGGGGGGGAGCAGACAGATTTGAAAAGTGAAGCAACGGAGGGAAGAAGCACAGCAGATTCGCGAGAAATACTGACCCTGACCCTAGTATACTGGAGCAGCAGTGCAGCACACGGGGACATGGGCGCCCCATTCAAGACACAGGGCGAGCCGGCATGCAGCACCTAGCATTGGTCATGCGGCGGTGCCGCCGAACATACGCATGCCATGCAAATGTCATGGAGCGACCACGGAGCCAAGAGGGCCCAGGAACTTGTCCCACAGAGCAGCGCAGGAACAAGTCCCCGGACAGCCGTTCAGAAGTCTCCGTCCCGTTGCCGGCAACTGGAAGCACAGAACTGCTAGCTGGCTAGCTCGGCACATCGCACGCCCAGCCGCGTGCCGCCGTACTCACGAAGAATGCCGGCTGCATCTCCCAGCACTTGGCCAGGTCCAGCACCGGCTCCGCCCGCTCGGAGGGCTCATTGAACTTGTACATCATGACGCGGCCGTCCGTGGTGCCCACTGCAAGCAGGTGGTACCTGTGCCGCAGCAGCAGGGGGGCAGGGGGGGAGTAAAAGAGGGGTTGGGTTGGGTGGGAGAGTAAAACCAAGAGGAAACTGACGAGCTGTATGACGAGGGGGCTTCATCATGGGTTGCTACATTGGACCGGACCCATCCCACCCCACCAGACATAGTCAAGCCAGGGAACCGGCGCAAGGGGTAGGGAGTGGCCACGACATGTACTGGTAAGTAGGTTGCCTCTTCTATGTGCGCGTGCCACTCCTTGCCACGTCCAACATGAGGTTGACTCCGGGCGGGTTGCTCTCGCTACCCTAGTTTGGTTCGCTCTACCGCACCCGCCCGTCCCCTGCAAATGCCGCCCCTGCCACCCACCGCTGGTCGTACGCCAGGCACACCACGCGGCTGACCAGCCCCGAGTCCGCCTCCAGGTTGAGCACGTAGTTGTCCTCCGTGTCGAAGTTGTACATGCGCACCACGTTGTCCTTCTCGCTGGCGGAGGCGAGCGTGTGGTTGCCCGCCCAGGCAACCTGCGGGAGGGCAGGGCGGGCGGGAGGGCGGGCGGGGAGGGGCGGGGCGGGGTAGTAACAGGGAAGGGAAGGGCCAGAGCACGGTTCGGAGTTGGATAAGAGCAAGCAGGAGCAGCATGGCGTCGTATCCATGCCACAGCCAACTACTACCGGTACTACACGCCCCCGATCATGCGTGTGACACGCTTGCATGTGTAAGCCGAGTAGCTGACTTGCTGCTGTGAGTGTCAGGTTCAGCCACGCCGCGGGGCGCACACAGCGCAGCACTTCACTTGTGGCGTACCTGTGGGGACTCCATGTTCCGCAGCAATCACAGTACGTTCCGACTCGCGGCCAATTTCCTTGAACACACCGCACCATCACATTCCCAACCCAACGTCAGTTCGTCGGTTTCCTTATTTTACTGTCATCATCCTCCCGCAGCCCCCAACGCGCCCCACCTGCAGCCCCGTTGCGGCCTCCCCCGTGCCCGTGGCGAACTTCATCTTGGATGCCGTCACCCAGGCGCCCAGCTGCTCGTCGCGGCCCAGCACGTGGAGGGTGCAGGAGGAGCCGATCACCAGAAGCTGGTCGCGCTCGGGGTAGTGCACCAGCGAGTGAATGGACTCCGCCATTTCCTAGCATGGAAGGGAAGGTTGGGGAGGGCAAGAAAGGGGGGCCGCAAGCAGGCAGCCGGCGACGGGGGTGAAGAGAAAACCAACTAAATACGGGCAGAAAAACCGCACCCCACGTCGAACCCATGTGTCAGCCAAACCAAGACGGCCGACAGGAAAGCGGGTGTGAGGGTCTGGCAGTGGGAAAGCATGGGAGAGCTGACGCCGTTGGCCGCCGTCAAAGTCACGCACCCACAAAACGCTGTGTTGTAAGGGTGCTGATGATCGCGATGGGAAAGCAGGGTGCTGATGATACTGGTGCTGCCCGCCCCACCTCACCTGCACCACCCCGCTGTAGCCCTGGTCGTTGCACCACTTCACAACCGTGTGGTCGCCGCAGTCGGCCACGTAGAAGGCCACCACCACCTGGAACGGCCCGCGGGACACAAGGGGGGAGGGGGAGGGTGTGTGTGTGAGAAAAGCGCTGGTCACGACCCGGATCAGAGGACTGACAAGAGGAAGTTGTGCAGGTGGATGTACAGGTGTCATGTGCGCACTGCCGGTAGATCCGCCGGTGCTGAATCCCCTAGATACTCCCAGCATTGGCACAACCCCGAATGCACGCTGCGGGCCCCACCACCTCTCCGTTCTCCCTCCACAGCACCCTCCCCTCCGGAGCCGAGTCACGTTGTAACCCTTCCAAAAAAAGCCATGCTAGTAGCGAACCCGCCTGCCCCTCTCCTCCTCCTCCCCTGCTGCCCACCTGGCTGTTGGTTTCCGGCACCTCCTCCGGCAGCCCCACCACGATGTGTCGGATGATGGCCCCCGGCTCGTCGTACGCCACCACGTGGATGGGCCGCATGAGCCGGTCGGTCTTCCACATGGAGATCTGCGCGCGGGAAGAGGAGGGTGGGGAGAGGAGAGGAGGGTGAGGAGAAGCCGACGAACAGGCGTGAGGAGGGGTAAGAAGGATGAGTTTTGCGTACGATATGCAAAGGCAGCAAGCGAGCGTGTGTGTTCCGCATTGTGACTGCTGCGGCTCGTCAGGGGCCTAGTGCCGAGCAGCGAGTGGTTTCCCCAACACTTGCAGCAGCGGTGTGCAGCTGTAACTGTTACTGGCATGCATGCATCTTGGGATGGTGTAACTGCTATATGCCACGGATTCGAATGCCATCCGGATGAAGGCCTACTCTGGAGGTGCCCCATAACAACTTACGCGTCCGTTTTCATCGCCTGTTATTAGACGGTCCCCGCTGCTAGTCCACGCCATGCTGCTGATTGTGTTTCGGTGGATTTTGCTATCCTCCTCCAGCTTCCGCTCCTCCGCGTTCCAGAAGGAGATAGCTCCTGCAAGGGAGGGGGTATGTAGGCGCGTATATTGGGATACACGTGTATGGTTAGGGTGGGGAAGAAGATCCGGTCCTGGGGTGGATGCCAGGGCCCAACCCGCGCGTACAGCCAACACGAGCTGTGGAGGGGTGTGGAGGGACGCATAGGCTAGGAAGTCGCGGGGACGCTTACTCGGGGGGAATTCCGCCACGTTCGTACTTACCGTCTTTCCATCCAATTGCGAGTAGAGGCAATAATGGATGCCATGCCATCTTTGCACACTCCGTGCCGCGGACATTCTTAATGTTCGCCTCGTTGTTCGGATCAAGTGGTCGACCCTAGCAGTGGACAAACGTTTGTAAGTATTACGGTTGACCTATATGAAGGGGTCTGTTTTTGCGCACGTTCTACTTACCTCTTCATTGTAAATACCCACAGCGTTTGGGTTAAGCGCAACCGCCAAAAGAGACGGATAACCAGGTGCCTGAACAAAACATAATTCTTGTACAGTAACAACGGCGTTCTAAATGGCCCATGACTCGAAGCAGCGCATGTGCTCGCCTTTGACCATCCAGCGATGATCCCAGCCCTCCCAGCAATCTTTGTCGTGTAGTAGATTTCCATGTTCGCTAGGACGGCTCCGAAGGAGCCGCTAAGCCAGGTCTATGTGTAAGGGTAGCTGCTCGTCAGCGACATATTTAAACGGTTAGGCACGCATCCATGAGCAAGGACATAAAGATGATATGTGTAAACACCAAAAACCTTGAGTAAGGCGTCCTTTTCGTCATGCGATAGTTGGGCTCCGCAGCCGTACGTACTCGTGCCAGTTAACCGGCATGTGGGTGGTCGACAAGAGCCGCCTGTCGGCTGTATGTGAAACTAAATTACTCAAGATATACGAACGTGCAAAGGCAGCAGTAAAATTTAAGCCTTAATCCTTCAGCCCCGGATAGGTGAGCAGCCTAGAAGTCAGCCGCAAACACAAGCCACATTCGTGTGCTACTACGCTTCAAAGCATGGCGAGCCAAAAACCCCCGCCACTGCACTCCTCAAGGCGAAAGTATGGAAGAACCGTGGCCGGCTGTCCGACACCTGCAGCATTCTGGGTCCGAAACACCCGCACGCACTAATCCAAGCACCCTTGTCGTAAAATACCATCGGTGCCAAGCCCGCCGACGCGCACAACACAAACCTGTGCAGAATTTGAAACAGGGCAGCATGCAAGTTCTTTACTCCCCCGTGTCCCCGACACCTCTGCTGCTTACCCCGGCTTGCCTTCTTCACGGCCATATCATCAGCCAGGGCAGGCCTGTGTACAAGTATGGGCACTTAGCACTTAGTTCAGCATGAGGAGGCAGCATCACAACGTAAGCCAGCCTTACGCCCTACGACAGCATTACATGTTGCCTTGATACACAGACACAGCAAGACATCACCGTTTTTGCAGCGAGTTGTAGTTAATGTTCTGCCTCTGGGGCCCCCAGTTAAGTTGCCTTCCTGGCTGAAATTCCAAGGCCTTTACCGTACTTTATCCCAACGCGCTTTACTCCAGGTAACAGGCGACACTACACCTAAGGTTAATCACTCCCGTCGATTACCCGCCTCCCGCTACGACTGCAGTGGATCCTGTTATCTCTGGATGGGACGAGTCCGATTTGGTCCCGAAAGCCCTCGCTGGTGTGCACCGTGTGCTGAAGCACTGGATGTTAGCGTGCACCATGTCTTCCAAAATGGCAACTACTTGTTCGTGTTGTGCTGCTGGCTGTTCATGCACGTTGTCGCAGTTCGGTTAGGATCAGGCTTAGTAAGCCATGCCGTTTGCAGTGCACAAGGCCGCAGATATACGTTTGCGTTTTTCTATTATGCAGTGCTTATGGCTAAGAAGCCCAAACAACTTGCTCATTATGTGAGAGGGTAAGCACCAACGCGTTAGTTAGGGCCCTGAAGGCCACAAGGAATGTAGGATTCCGCATAATTTACGCAAGACGGGTTGCAGACGCACTATGTAGGACGTGTAGCAAGATAGCAAAGAGCAAAAAGTTATAACGATGGACACAAAAGTCAAATAGAGCAAGTCGAATATGGATGCTTTGAACGAGTACTGATGTGTACGTTCACGATTTGCAATAAGTCTGGTTTGATCATTTGGTCGAGTACACCCCAGTAACGTGTTGAACGGGACTTTGAAGTAGCCATGTCGGCAATTGTACACGTCTGCGACCCGGGGCAACCGGAAGTGGTCCGTGACTTTACGTGTAACATCATCACGCTCACGGAGGGCATGAGGTAATCGCGACTCGGTGCTTTTAGCCAAGTCCGCCCCGAATTTGTTAACACCCTACCTTCGGGGTTTCGCAGGTATTTTCGGGACTTTGTACATAAAGCAATCCAGGGACGCACCAGTCCTATCGAAATCTCGGTACAATGCGACGTGGCTGTCTTCGAATGGCTCTTGGGCTACTGCCATGGCCAGCACAACAAGGGTCATGTCACCGTGGATCGCGTGCTGGCTTTGTTAATCGCCTCAAACTTCTTGCAGGCACGTCTTTTGCGGGAAATGTGCCAGAGTTTGCATCTGCCACCACATCCACCCGCCTGCGGCTCACGACCACCCCACGCCTCGCATGCACGTATCGTCTAGGCATGTTAAGTCTCCTGAACCTGAACCTCCTCGATGTCACACCCCTATAAACACCATGGGCTTCTCTGTTGCTCTGATGCTGCTGCCCCCCTGCTGTTCCCCCTCGTACCACACAGATGGAGTCCCTGGTGTTTGATTGCTTGTCCTTCATGGCTGAGCACCTGGTGGAGGTGGCGCTAGCGGTGACGGGGGCGCAGCAGCAGCAGCAGGGGGGCCAGCAGCACCAGCAGCATGGCGGCAGGGGAAGCGACCTCACTGCGCTGCCGCAGGAGCTACTGGCCCGCTTGGCCAAGGTAAGCTTATTACCCCAAGCCCTTCAGGGTGAGGCTCCTCCGTCGTCAGATGGGGAGCCCCAGCTTGGCTTACAGCTCACAATCTTGCAAGCCTGGGACATGCCATCTGGATGACCGCTAGCTAGTTGTTCATGTGCTCATGTCCCATAAAGCCCAAAGACTGGGCACGTTGTGCGTCGGTTGTGCGTCCGTGCGCGTCGTCCTCCCTCACGCACCTTCTCAACCCCTGAGGCGAGAAACGCACCCCCCTTGCGGTCCTGAACTGGCCCCCACACCTCTACCGGGCTCCACACTTGTATTCCACCTCCTCCGCAACCATTCAACCCCGATCCGACCCAGATGGTTCCGGAGCGCGTGTTGGAGCGGTTGGCGGAGCTCGCGGCGAGGGAGGGACACGCCAGGTGGGAGGAGCTGCTGGCGCGCTGGGCGGGCGGACACGTAAACAGGCATACACGTGCATGCAACATGTGACACGTGGCGTATTGAGACAAGAAAGACAGAATGCCGCTTTGGCTTGGGTGTGTGGGCGTTTGGGCCTCCTTCCCGATGATACCTGCACCCATGCGTGCGCTGCCGCCTGTATTAAAAAGAACTTGCCGCGAGTCGGAACATGTGCCGCCGTGTGTAAAGGAAACTGGCCGCCGTGCTTGTGTGTCCGCCTGTTGCCGCCGTGCGTGTGTGTCCGCTGCTGCCCTGCTGCTGCTGCGGTGCAGGTTGATGCCGCTGGTTCACCGGCTGTACAAGTACAAGCTGGAGGGGTGCCTGCGGGAGCTGCGGACCACCGTGGCCAGGTGCTCCGTGTGCCAGGTGGGCAGGGGGGAAGGAGGGGGGAGGAGAGAAGGGGAGACGAGGAGGGGGTAAATAGGGATACATAACCCGCACTAGGCTGGAAAAAGGGGCAAGGAAGGTGTGAAAAGGGCGGAGGAAGGATATCCCCCGCCGAAGACGGGCCACAAGTAAACGTGAGTCGGAGATGATTCGGAACGTTCTGCCGGGATGTTGGAAGATCAAGTCCCCGCACCCGACCTGTGTGTCTATCCATGTCGGCCGTGCTCGCCTGCCTCCCTCCAGGGGCTGTTCAGTCTGGCGGACCGTGCTAAGCTGGAGTGCTGCGGACCGCCGCAGCCGACCGGTGGTGGTGGTGGGGGCTGTCGGGGCGCTGCTGCTGCTGGCGGGGCGCCATCAAATCGCAGGTGGGCAATGCATGTGGTACCGGTATTGTATTGGATTTACTACATCACATGGGTTTCATGATGGGCAGTAGGTAGGCGTTTGGTGGCGCTATGCCCCTACCCCTGCTGTCATGTGCCTCGCACCTTCCCACCCCGATCTGCTACCTGCAGCGTAAGCATGGTTTACCCTCCCCTGCCGCCCGCCCCAACGCGTTGCGGAGCCTTGTCATATGGTTCTGTTTCTCTCTGCCCCCCTTCCCCCGCATGCCAACATTGATGTCCTACAGTTCTAACACCCCCCCCCTGCCAAGCAAACACGTTTCGCGCCCCCCCGCCCCCCCATGCAGGTCCGCATGCGGTTCCGTTCACATTCCCGACGCCACCTGGCGCCTCCAGGACTACCTCGCCTCCCTGCGCGCGCAGCACATCGGCTGGCGGGGCATCTACTGGCACGTGTGGGGCCTTGCACACGTGCTGTACTGCCATTGCTGCATGCAGTACATTCCCGCAGCGGACCTCCGACGCTGTACCTTCCACCCGCAACCCCCCGTCTTCACGGGCGCCAGCGCATCCTCCTCTCATCAACGCTACATGGCGCCCTGCGGTTTCTATCCCTGCTGCGGCGCGGCCGCGAGTCGTGGGGCTGACCCACGGGTCGTTGCGGCAGGCGGCTGCTGCGCTCGCGAGCACCGCTTCCTGCCCAGCGGCCATGCGGCAGGCACGCCGCTGCCGCCAGGCCTCACCCCCGCGCTGCTGGACACCCTGAGGAGCTGTGCGGAGCTCTTCACCAATCCCGCGGCCCTAATGGTGCGAGAGGATCAGCAGCAGCAGCAGCCATGCGCGCACGCCGCGAGCCCCACCACTGCCGCGACCGCGATGGTACCGACTGGAGCAGGCGCAGCGTTCGCGGGGACTGCTGCGGCAGCCGGCCAGCACGAGGCTGCTGCGTTGCTAGGGGGTGCTGCTGCTGCTGGGCGCAGCGCCCCGACCGCATTCCCGAGCGGTCTTGAGGGGGGCAGCAGCAGCAGCAGCGGCTTCAGCCTTGGCAGCCGTGCCATCCCGCCGTCCATCCAGGCTGTGCTGACGGCTGCTGCTGCGGCGGCGGCTGCCTCGTCCGCGCATAGGCGCAAGGAGGGGCTGTCCGCACTGGGGCCGGCGACCGCCGCAGCGGCTGCTGCACTGGGATACGAGGTGGGAGAGCAGCGGCAGCAGCAGCAGCAGTCGGGGATAGCGGACCTGGGACACCGAGAGGGACCCGGGCCGCCCAGCCCGGGCCCGGGTCCCCCGCAAGCCTCCAGGCTGCAACAGCGGCCTGCCTCTGCGGATCAGGGCTACCGGGAGGTTTGCGGAGGGGAGGCCGGGCTGCAGCAGCAACCGCAGCAGCCGCAGGTTCAGCAGCTGCGGTCAGGCCATGCATGCGGGGTTGGGGAGGGGCTGTCGGGTGTCACGGGTGATCCGCGCCTGGATGCTCGGATGCTGGCGGAGGCTGTGGTACGGCGGCTGACGAAGAGCAGTGGCGGCGGCGGCGGCGGAGGAGCAGGAGGGGATGCGAAGGCGGCCAGTGGCAGTGACCGCACTACGGAAGGCGAGGCCGCAAGCGCTGCGGCCGCTGCGACGCAGGCAGCAAGCAGGCCGGAGGGGGGGCTGGATGGCAACGAGCTCTGCAGCCATGCAGCCGCGCAGATTGCCAGCTTGCAACATAAAGCAGCGCATGACACTACTGCGCATGCTGTGACCCGCGCAGCTCCACCCGCGGCGGCGGCGGCGGGCAAGGCAGGGCCGTTATCAGTTGTCAGCCGACCCACATCGGAAGGATCAGCTGGAAGAGCCCTGGCGTCCGCAGCCACAGCAGCAGCGGCAGCATCGCCTCCTCCTCACGCGGGAAAGCGCAACACTGGGGAGCAGCAGCAGCACAGCAAAGCGGCCTCACCTCGGCCGCCGGGTCCTTGCAGTGTGTCAGGGGTGCGTCAGGGGCAGCCACAACCGCTGTCGCTGCCACTGCAGCAGCAGCAGGAGTCCTCGTCCTCCTCATCGCCAAGAGGAGCAGCACTACGACCAACACGACCACGCTCCGCTCGTGATGGAGTAGGAGTCGGAGTTGGAGTCGGAGCAGGCGGGGGCGCAGCTATTGCTGCTGCTGCCGGCAACAGCACCAGCACCAAGCTGGATGCTTCTGCTGTTGCTGCTGCTCCTCGTAGCAGCCCTCGAGCTACCCTTGCTGCCCTGGCACTACTGAGCGCTGATAAAGCCGCTGCTCCTGCTGCTGCTGCTGCTCCTGCCGTTCCGACGACGCCGGCGGTGCCGGTGCCGTTTTCCCGGGAGCCCACGGACCTGGACAGCCTCTCGGAAGAGCTGCAAGCACTTGCAGCCATGCTCTCCATGGGAGGCACAGCATCCAAGACCTCCGCCGCTGCCGCGGCCGCGGCGATGGCTGCGATCCATGCATCTACGTCCGACTTGGCGACCGCAGCGCCAGCGTCCAAGGTACTCCGGCGCGCTTCCAGCATGCCTCCGCCGAATGGAACAGCAGCCCGGGTCGGAGCATCAGTACAGCAGGAGGAGGAGCAACGGCAGCGGCAGCAACAGCAGCAGCATGTGCAGGAGCTTCCGCGGCATCAGCAGCAGCAGCAGCCCTCGCAGCAGCAGGTGCAGGTCAGGTCGACTGCACAGCCCGGACTACCCGAGGCAGCTCCTCCCCCGGGCGGGCTCGCTGGGAGGCGCGAGGTGCGGCCGCCCCGGCCTGACAGCCACCCCGGAGCCAGCCTGGGGGCGAGGCGGCTGCATTCCGCGGTTGCTGCTGCTGGGGAGCGGGATGCTGGTGGTGTTGGTGGTGGGCTAGAGCGCCCGCGCGATAACGCGGATAGCGGGATAACACTTGGCGATGCCGGCGATAGGGTTGGGTACGGCGGCTTGGGTGCGGCTTGTGAAAGCAGCAGCAGTCCCCGAGCGATCGCTGGGGAGCAGCAGCAGCAGCAGCACACTCGGGCCCGGGCCAACGACACGGCTGCACATGCGCATGCGGCTACCGGACGTTGGGGCAGCGAGAACCCGCTGCACCGCAGCGTGTCCCTAGTCCTGCACCACCAGCAGCAGCAGCAGCAGCAACAGCAGCGGGAGAGGAGCTTGGGGGTGGCGTCGCAGCAGCCGCAACAGCAACGCATGGAGCAGGGCACCTGTGGATACGCAGCAGCAGCAGCAGCCGAGGATCCCGAGCGAACAGCGCTGATCGAGCAGTACAAGACGCAGCGGGTGCTGTCTCCTCGACCCAGCAACGTGCGCATGATCGCCATAACGGATCTGCCCGCGGGAGGCGGCGGCGGCGGCAGCGGCTCCTGCGAGGGCCACGTGGGGTCGCGGACGGCGGGTTCAGCCGTTGCTGAGGTGGGACACAGAAGCTTTGCGGCGTTCGTTCCCGGGCAGCATGCGATTGGAGGCAGGGGCGGCGGTGGTGCTGGTGCTGCCTCCGCAACGAGAGGAGTCATGACGCTTTCGGCGGAAGGAGGCATGAGGGGCGCTGTTGGTGCTGGTGCTGGTGCTGCTGCGGCGGCGGTGGCGGCGGCAGGCAGCAACCTGTTTGCGGCCGTGCCGGACGATGTGGATGGGCTGTTGGCTATGGCAGCGGCGACGACGGAAGAGGGTCGGCCGCAGCCGTACGGTCGCGACCGCAGGCTGCGAATGGAGCTACTGTATGAGGATGATGTAAGGCGTTTGGACGATTGGGTTTGCATAGGTTCAGGGTTGGGTCTCGGGCTGGTTTCAAGCACCGGTATAGCTCTGAGTAGGTTGTGCGTGTATTGCATACTTATCTTCGCATGCATGTTGACGGAGGGCGTGGGCGAGCGCTCAACCCCAGGTGTACGAAGTTAACCCCCCGCCATTTCAACCAACACCACTCTCTGTCTTTCCGCTATGTCCTGCCGCAGAACTACCGGATGGACATGCTCGTACGGCACTTGCTGGCCTGCAGGCCCTCCACCCGTACAGCAGCCCCTCGGGATCCGCGCCAGCTCCGCGCCACGCGGTCCTCTCTGGGCCCACCAACCCGCAGCAACTCCCGAGGCGCCGGCGGCAGCAGACCCTCCTCCGCCACAACAGCGGCGGGGACGGGGGCGTACCCTGGGCGGCAGCAGTCACGGCCCCGCTCGAAGAGCGTCTCCCACCTGCAACGCCTTCAGGGCATCTACACGTCGGGTCCGGCTCCGGGGGTAAGACCCGCAGGCGGGGGTGGTGTTGGCGTCAGGGGTGGTGGCTCCGGCTATGAGCGCACTAGTGCGCAGCGGCCACCTGTGGGTGGGACGGGAGTGCTGGCCGCGTACGATACCTGGGATGACGTGGTCCGGGGGTCATGGACGAGGCCAGCGGATGTGCCGGCCGGGCCAGTTGCTGCGGCTGGCCCGAGTGTACGGCGGTCGCATCTGCGGCCCGTCTCGGCCCCGCGGACCCGCAGATATGCATGACCACAGCTGGCGCCGTCGAAGAAGGGATGTGGGTTGGAAGAGCATTATCGCGTCTAAGGGCGATGTAATACCGGTAACTGGACTGGGCATCTAGCGTGCGGGAGAGTTACCGATACTTGTAATAACAAATGCGTCGTGGTTTGGTCAGGACCGTAGCTTCCTGACAGCGTCGAGGGCTGTATGGACGTGCAGACAAGGAAACGAGCCGGAGGACTGGAATGTAGGGCATCACGGCAGCAGCATTACATCCTACGTTTATTAGGGCCTCCTGGCTTACCCGGGACAAACAAAGTAACAAACGCCTGTGAAGCCCGCACTTCAACCACCATGCACACGTGGCCGTGTGAGACTACAATGCATAGGCCATATGCATTTGGCTAAGTAACAAATAGACATGCAAACGAGACGACACACGGAATTCCCTTTCAGTGAGTAATGCTCCTTGCGTCTCCGAATAGCGACGACACACACAAACACCGCACACATCAATGAGGGAAACACGGTGTAGGCGAAGGGAATGCACCGCACACGCACCCTGGCCGATTCAACAGGCTAGTAAAAGAGCAATCAATGGTTAGGATACCCAAAATACGGCAAAGACCAGTATAATTAAGAACATGCCGAACGGTGCCATGCTAACAAAGTGCCAGCAGAGCATCAGGATAGGTCAGGATAGGACACGGCGAACAAGTAGCCATAAGAGGAGGTCTACCCCAGACTAAGAATGATACTTCTTTTAATAATAGTACTGCAACAATCGTGCAATCATAGGAGGGTAGACCAGCCCGTCAAGCCAAAGTGCCGGTCACGCAATGAAGCGGCTATGCACAGCACCACTAGCCATCTCCTCCACAGGCGGTTCGCACACTAAAACCATACACAGCGCAGTCATTTTTTTACTGGGAGTCAGCTGGCCCGTGCCAAACCTGCTTGCTCAAACATTGGCCGCCTAGCGTCGCAATAGGCCAGATCAGCGTTCATTGGCCCTACACTGAAGGGTATGCGCGTCAACCCACACGCATTGCTACCACCTAGCAGCTAGAAACATTGGTGCCTAACAACCATTACCGAACAGCACAGCGAGACTGGCGTCGATCGGAACTTTTAGGAGGGTGCACAGTAGCAAGGAAAAGCACACAAATGTCAAGCCAGCAGCTATACCGCATGGCTGCCTAGTAGACTCAGCAGTACCCCTTTCAAATGTCGTATACTAGATTGCCCGGGAAAGCTTTCTGGCAACAAACGTGCTACATACCGACTGGGGCCAGCCCGCACGACCCATGGATGTAATCTCTGTAACCTATGCGCCACGCCCGTTAATCGTATCTGCCTTATACAATGCCGACAAACGACCAGCCCCATACCCCCATACTCTCTCCTCGGCACCGCAACGGGGGACCTCCATTCGAAGTACTCCACACCGACAAAACAGCTGAACTTGCACGCAACTGCACACTGTCCCAGCCAAGAGCAACAAGTCCTACGCGGCACAACACGCGACCACTTGGTATTCCCACCAAGCAAATGTAAGAGAACATCTGTTACTGAACTCCTGCGGCACTGAAGGCACCACCTGCATGCCCTTGCCGCAAGGCGCGTACCCTGCAGCTGTAAACCCCGGCTCAACTAAACAGCAGCACGCCCAAACGCAACTCTTTAGGCGAAAAGAACGCTCTCACGCATACGGTAAACGGCTTTCAAACCAAGTCCTGCACACTGCGCTAACAAGTCCTGCATGCTACCAGTACGCTAAAAAGGGCACAAAGGCGGCCCTCGTATCGTAAGGATTAATAGAGAGCCAATCAGGCTATACAAGTGTCATGTGCAATCCACTACACAAACCATCCTTCATTGCAAGGACGGAGCCAAGAATTCCCAGAAGAAAGCCCTCACTACCACCGGACCAGGCCAGCCCAAAGCTTCCTAGCCCACCACATCACACCACACCGCACCTCCTCTCTCCACCCACCAACTCACGCAAACGTCGGCATGGGGTCAACCGAGGTAAACTCGGCAAACACGAGCACCGCCAGACGCGGGTGCGGCAGGCAGTTTCCAAAAAAGTCACACACCTCCTGCGGCAGCACGCCCTTCATGACGTGGAAGAGCTCCGTGGACATGGAACCCAGCAGCAGATCGATGGGGATGCCGTCGGGACCCTGGTTCATGAGCAACACCTTGCGGGAGAGGCTGTGCAGGTGGTGTCGCAGCGCGCACACGGCCTGCAGGATCTGCACAAAGGCAGGGTCCTGCATGAGCTGCAGTCGCAGGTACGACATCTCCAAGCAGCGCTTGCGCTTCTGTACGACAGGCAGCTCGTGCATCTCGTCGTACAGCTTGGAGATGGGATGTAGCTTGTCGTAAAAGTCGTGCATGGACTCCGAGTTGAGGAAGTTGTAGGCCGACATCATCACCTGCACGAGCACGTTTCGAGCGGACACGAACTCCTGGAGGAAGCCGCTCGACAGCATGTGTTGCATGGAGGGCAGGTTATCCAGGCTGCCGCTGCTGCCGGCGCTTCCGACGCCGCTCGAGCTGCCGGCACCACCCGCGGAGCTTCCGTGACCATAGTTGGCGGGAGGCGTAGCTGCATGTGAGGGGCGTGGGGGCGGTGGTGGCGGCGGGCGGAAGTGCGGGATGCTGCTAGAGCTCAGGAGGGGGCTCGAGTGGTGATGCGACCACTCGCCGGGGACGGGCGCGGATAGACGACTCTGCAGCTGGGAAGATTTGGGAGGCGGAGGCGGCGGCGGAGCCCGGGGCGCGTGCGTCTGCATCTGGTTGCCCTGCGTTGCGAAACGAGACAGGGTTGGGGAGGAAGAGGGCGTAAGAAGGCTGCTGTAGGTCGTGGAAGGCAGTCTTGTGGTCTGCAGTTTGTATGTGACGGTGAGCAGAGGAGGCAGGTGAGAGGATGTGTGAGCAACACTAAAGGCAACGTAGACACGACCGTACAGTACAAGACAGGCATGGAGAAAGATGACCCAAATGGCACAAGCGCCGGACCGACCTGCTGCTGCTGCTGTTGTTGCTGCTGGAGATCTCCTGCCTTTGATAGCAGCACATCCACCAGCTTGGGACTCTGCAGGAGCTGCACTAGCGTTCCGGGATCCACACCTCGTTCCACGGCGGCTTGAGCCAGTGCGTTGGCAAAGACAATCGTGAGCTGTCCTTGAGTGGCGTTGTTACCGTCCCTGCTGCCGTTGCTGGGGCCTGAGCCCCCGCTGCCGATGCCTACAAGGCTGTTGGGCGTAGAGGGCGGCGGCGGTGGCGGTCCGTGGGGGTGGCCTTGAGGCATCTGGCCAGGTGAAGGCGTATGGACCGTGAGGAGGGAGGCTGGGGGCATGAGTAGCATGTGTTCTCCAGGCGAAACGAGCTGGCGGGGAGTCATGGGCGATCCGCTGTGGAGCGCGGACGAAGCGCCTTCGGTATTCATCGCAGGTGTTGGAAGAGAAATTGTTCCAGCGGATATGTTCGGAGTGCTTAGAGCGGATGTTCCAAGGCCCGCAAGTGCGCTGTCGAAAGGTTTCAATGGGGTGTGAGGAACAGACGCAGATGTATGCGTGAAGGCTGCTTGAGAGGATGCTTGCTGCGAGGCTTGAGGCGCGGAAGACAGACCCTGGCTCTGTCCCATTAAGCCGGCGTGCGTCGGGGTACCGCTGGAAGAGCTAGCTGCCGCGGCCTCAAAAGCGTGCTGCATGCGCGCCTGAGCCTCCCTTTCCTGCTCCACTTGCTGTGAATACTGCCTGAAGAGCTCCTTATGCTCCTGACTAAAACCATGAAGGCCGAAGTCCGCGCCTGAAGACAAAAGGAAACGGGCTTAACAGAAATGCCGAATTGCGAATTAGGCATACAATTTGCGCGGCCGCCAAAAACAGCATAGGAAACTATACAAGAATTATTTGCAAAAGGTGCAAACTGTATGACCCCGCCAACTTACCCCCAAACATGGCGCCTTGTGGCCTCTGGCCTAGGAGCTCATCGTTCGTAGGTCCCAAGTGATCCTGGAAGCCCCCGAACAAGTTTAGAGCGGGCGCCGCCATAGACCACGCAGCCGTAAAGCGAACGTCGGTATCCCTCAACGCCTCTTCAATGCCAACGCACGAGGGCATCAGTTTGCACACAGGCCAGCTGCTTGATATGTTATCTAGGTAATATTATTCAATTATGCGTCCGCAAACGGGAACGGGATGACGAAAGGGTTCAATTTAAGTGCATCGTAAGCCGTAACTGTACGCCGGTTTAAGGCGCGTCCTAGTAACCGCCCTCAGGGTGATTCCTGGCGCGCGGCGTCCCTGCTGACTCTTCCGTTTGTATGAGCTGTAGGCCTAGTTAGCACTGTAAAGGACACGGTCGTCCCGTTGGCAATTTTGTCGTCAGGGGTGCTGAAACGTGTTCTCGTGGGAGCAATTGACTAGACAAGGGTCGTTGGGGCTTGCATATGTTTGACGTAAACTAGTAGCATATCCTGCGCTTGCCTGCGCAGGCCAGCCTCTAACTGCTAAATGTCATGACAAGCATGGCACACCGTTAATTCCCTAACATTTGCCCAAAAGAAACGACGGCAGTAAGCGCATATCCAGCTTAACAATTCAAGTCATGGGGCTACGAGAGTCGACAAAGACCATAGGAAATCCGCCCAACAGCACCCACGAGCACGAAGACACTGTCGTGTCCGCACCCAAACATCCCAGCCACCGATGCAACAAAAGCGTTTTGTTAACGTCTGCCATGCTGGCAAGCAGTTTATGCAAAGAGAATATATCCTTCCATTGCCTAAGGTACAAAACCCGCTGAAACCCAAGTAAGCAGCCACGAACCTGCCCAACTTGATACCTCCTATACTCCAACCCTACAAGTCTCCTCCAAACAAACCCCGAATGCAAACCAAAGCGCCCCCATACCCCTCATAAACCCCCACTACCGCCACTACCAACCCATCACCCCCGTCTATCTAACCTCCTCCAAGCACATCACATCCCGTTGCACCATCACACGCCCGTGCCGCACTCCCACACCCCCAACCCACCCACCCATTGCAACCCATGCACTCCCGCGCACCCCCCCCTCCTCCTCCTCCTCCTCTCCTTCACTGCGTGATCTGCTGCCACACGCCGTCCACCGACTCCTTCCACAGCGTCACCGCATTGTTGCCGTCCGACACCGCCAGTATCGACCCCGTGGTGCTCCAGCTCACACGCCACACGGGGACCTTGAAGTCGTGCACCAACTTGCGGTCCCAGCTGCCGCCGCCGCCCGCAGCAGCCGCCCGCTCGCTCCACACAAACACCTGCCCGTCCTGGCCCGCGGAGGCAATGGTGTTCTTTGGAAGGCCCAGGCTGGGTGCCCAGGCCGCATCACGCACCCAGTCGCTGTGCCCCGCGAGCGCCTCCTCCTCCGCCCAGCCTAGCTCGCCGTACCGCCATACCTGAACGGGGTTTGGTGGTAAGCGGGGTTTGTGGGGTTAATTGCATGGATGCAAAACGGTAGGCATGAGGGGTTATAGATGAGCGAAGGCACGGCAGGCTAGGCGCGGCAGGCGTTCAGCTGTATGTATCGAGTGGCATGTGGTGCAATCTACAACGCAGGCTAGGTTGGGGCAGCCGGGTGTGCAGGGAAAAGGGTGCGCAGACGGCACAGGCTCTGCCGCCCTGACCACGCTTTCCCACTCAGACGGAGCAAGTTTTCACACCCAAACGAAGCGCCGGCGTCCCACCTTGACCAGGTTATCGCAGCCGGAGGTCACCAGCCGCTTCACGGGGGTCGCCGGGGACTGCTTGCTGCTGACGAGGGCTCCAGGCGCGTGTGCCGGGGCCCAGCTCACCGCCGTACACCCGACGCTGTGGCCCCCTGGGAGCTGTGGGAGAAGGGGCAAGCAGGTGCAGGAGAGGGGCGGAGGGCTCTGTTTAGTGCAGCCAGAGGATTCGACGTTAGTCAGGAGCACGCGAGAAAGTCGTACAACCCAGCAGCTCACCAGTTCACCCTCCGCGCCAAACCATGGTTCCACAACAGCCGAAAGAAACTTACCTTGGTGGTCTCCCATGTCCCGTCCGCCTTGTATTCAATGATTGATACCGTCCCATCAGACGAGGCACAGGCAAGGATTAGCCCTAACTCGTAGGGCGCCCAGCAAATGCTGTTTACTGAAGCTGTGTGCAGGCTGGCTGGAGTTATATAGGCCTGCAATAGATATATTCCTGTAAGAAACCGGCTACCGTAAAAGATACTATCGGCTCTCCCGCCTAAACTCCTTGCCTGCTGCCATTGGTTGCTCTGGCCTTCTTTCCAGACAATGACGCGGTGATCGAAAGAGCAAGACGCCAGGATAGAGCCATATTTTGGATGACCCCAGCAGACTTGCCACACGGGGCCTTCGTGTCCTCGCAGGTCGGCGAGGTGGGTGTGGTGATCCCCAACAATGTCAAAGACTTTAATGGTCCGATCTGATGAGCAAGTCGCAAGCCTACGTCCGTAATAGTCAAGTTGGGCGTCGTGCACCATATCAGTATGGCCTGACTCGAAGTTGGACAGGCCGGTCATTGTGCCCCGCCCTGCTGTCCCTATTGAGAACGTGAATGGGGCTGCAAATGTAGGTACAATACTAAAATGTATACAAAGTAAGCTACACTGTCAGGAGTAAGGTAGCCCCAGTGGTTATTGAATGAACGGTATACGGCAGGACGCGTAAGTCGCGTCCGTGGCGAATGGAAGCTCTGTACAGTGAATTGCACAACAACATGGCATGGTCTAAGTTTTGTTAGAGCCTGTAACACTGAATTGCACCATGATGGCCCCAGGGGACGGGTCAACCCTTGTAACAGTGCGAGATGCGCTTGCACAGATGGCGACAGCAATTAGGAGCGGGAATATACAGGAGGTACGCTTTGGCAATTACATCACTGCAATTAAGCGTGTGGCCGAACGCAGCTTGCTGATTAGTCGCACGACCGTCTAGGCTCGAGGCATCGGCGACCGTTGCGTGGTGCCGCTAAGCGTGACGGCCATGGAGCTGGGCATGTCAGGTGCGTAGTTAACGCCATCGGCGAAATTGGGAACTTGGCACGTGTTTCTCGACCGTCCGGTTTGGACCAGCCGATGGGTGAACACTAGGCAGCCAAGCTCACTCTTTCTGCCCCCCCCCCGCGTCCTACCTCTCGTCCTCAGCTGTCCATCCTAAAGCCCATATCCACTGCCTCCGTAACTCTCATATGCCTCCCTGCATGTGCGTGTGTGTGGCCGGCTCCTCCCCGCCTCTGCCGGTCTGTCCCCCTTCCCCTCTTCTCGCACCCCTCCTGCTGCCACAGGTAAGCTTTCCGAAGGCAGCGAGAGCACCGTGTACCGAGGCACCTGGCGCGGCCGGCAGGTGGCGGTGAAGAAGGTACGGCAAAAAGGGAAGCAGGGCCCCAGCGGAGCTCCGGGGATAACGCTCCAGCCGCAGGCCTTCCTTGCCCTTCCCTACCATCCCATGCATCTACATGCACAGACCCTTGCGGATACCGGTAGTCCCGTGAATGCTCGCCTCACCCCCTTCCCCCCTGCAGCTTACCCAACCCCGCATAAACACCACCCGCGTGCTCCCCGCTCCCCGCCTCCCCAACCCCTCCCCAGTCAGCTTTCCGTAATTATAACCCCGCCTCCTCCCCCCCTGCAGGTGCGCATCTCCACCTCCGCCGACCTGGATCGCTTCCGCTGTGAGGTGGCGCTGCTGGCGGAGCTGGGGGGACACCCCGCGGTGCTGCCGCTGCTGGGTGAGGGTGGGAGGGGGATACCATACCAAACCTTAGGAGACCACAGGTTAGGGCAGAGCAAAGGGACTAAGAGGCGGTGGGGTGGCACAATACAGAGTGTGGGGAAAGTGGGGGGAAGGAGCGGGGGAGAAGGGGAAGTGATGTGTATGGAGGAGGGGGAAGAGGGGGGGGTAATGAGTAGGAGGGGTTGAGGAGCTGGAGCTGAAGAGGGAAGGGGCGAGGAAAGGCGCATGAGGGCTGGGGGAAAATTGTATAATAAGTGCAAACAACTAGAGTCCCAGGGGCTGGGGGAGGGGGTAATGGGGAAGCTTAGCCGTTCTGGCAGGGGCTCCACCATGGGGGCTCTTCCTATCACCAGGCTAGCATCCCAACCTTTCGCCGGGCCCCAACCCCCATCCCGGCCCACCTGTCCCTCTCCCCCCACCCTGCCCCCCCCCCAGCCGCCCGCGCCCTCCCCCCCGACTACCTCATGGTGTTGCCGCTGGCCCCCGGGGGCACTGTACGGCAGGCGCTGTACGACCGGGGCTGGCGGCCCTCCTGGAGGCAGCTGCTGGGGCTGGCGCACCGGGTGGGGGGGGGGGATTATATAAGAAATGCAAACAACTAAAGTCCCAATCCCATATCCCGACTCATGCAGTGAGTGCATTCGGAGACACTATTCTAAAGACACGCATCTCAAATTACTTACCGAAGCGTTGCTTACCGTAAACCGAGACGACTTGAGAAGGGGGAGGGGGGTCCGGCTGGGGTTTGCGGTGGGGTGGCAGGGAGGGAGGGAAGAGGTTAACACCGCAATCATTGTTAAAGCGCAGGTGGGTAGGGTCCGGCTGGGGCTGTGGGACCGCAGCTTAGGGCAGAGCAATGGGGTTTGCGGGGGGGGTGGGGTGGGATGGAGGGAGGGAAGAGATAAATACAAGTGAGAATCCGCGCGTTAGGACAAAGCAATGTGAGCAGGAGGTCCCGTCCCCCCATCCCTTCACCCCCCATCCTTTCCCTCTCCCCCCACCAGATTGCTGCGGGTATGGAGCACCTGCATGCTGCGGGGGTGCTGCACCGGGACATCAAACCCGCCAACCTGCTGCTGTTGGAGAACCCGCCGACCGCTGGGCGGCAGCAGCAGTCTCGACAGCAATCCCAACAGGACCCCCCTCCGCTGTCGCCAGAACAACAGCAGCAGCAGCTGCAGCAGGCAGGGCAGCAGCAACCGCACCCCTCAGGTCCTCAGCCCATGGAGGTGGAGGGTAGTGGGCAGCCCGGGGAACAGGAGGAGCAGCAGGAGCAGGAGCAGGGGGACCGCATGGCTCTGCCGGCCGGTATGGATCCGGTGCGGGTGCAGATTGCGGATTTCGGCATTGCGGTGCGGCTGGAGGGAGGCGGTGGTGGTGGTGGTGGTGGCGGAGGTGGCAGCGCAGAGGGAGGTGGACAGCAGGGCTGGGCGGCGGGCAGCGATGCGGCCTCTGTTGCGAGGGGCGGGAAGCCCTCGGGCGGGTTCTACAAGCGGCAGATGGTGAGTTGGTGTTGGAGCGGGCCGGGGCGGAGAGAACTTAACTGAACATGCGGGGCGGGGGGGGGGGGTTGTTTTAGGGAGAAGTATGATCATGGGGAGGGCATCGGGAGGGGAGTGAGGCGGCGTTGTTTGGGGGGTGCTGGGAGACATAGCTACAGAAAGGAAGGAATACCATGAGAGGTATCGGGGGGACGTCGGGGCGGGACGGGGAAGGCACGGCGCCTGATCGCCTGATCCACACCGCCAGTCCACGCATGTTTTGTGATCAGTGCCCCCGACAACAACACAGCACCTGTACGTGCTCTCCCTTCTCCCTTCCCACATCCCCCCCCCTCCCCATTGTTTTTAGCTGTCATTTCACTGACGCCGCATGTTTTGCACCCCCTGCATATCTAGATCATCATACCCATACTGCGCTTGCGCTAAATTAAGCATGCTCGTCCCATGCCGTACTTCGCATCGCCGCCTTTCGCATAAATACTAACTCTCGGCATAGTCCCGTCTCTTTCATCCTGATAAGCCAGCCATCTTCATCGTCATACAGCCTGCGTCGATATACAGCGCAGCTCGCAGCACCAGCACAGGGATGCATGCCTGTCTTCTGTTCGCTCGTCGCGCCGCCTTCTTGTGTCTCTGGACGCTTTTCGCTCACTATTAACGAAATTTGGTACGTCTTCGTTGCACAATTTTCCCTTGCTACGCAGGTTAGTCGGGTTCGGTCGTGGGTGGGCTGGGCTAAAGTTCGACCCAGGGGTCACTTGCGCGGGCGGGCGGGTGGGATGTTTAGGTGCACACAGCCGCATACCAGCCACAGCTTACAGCGCACTGGCGCTCAGCAATGCAGTGGAGCTCAGACGGCAGTTTATAGCTCGTCAGTAATTCGTCCAATGATATGATCTCAGCACGGCCGCCAGCTTATGGAGCTTTATCACGGTTTGTACTTTGTGTGCTGCTACTAACCCAACGAATTTGACTATGCGCAATCCTAAAATCCAGCTTAATGCGGAATCTTCATCCATATTACCCCCTCCCCACCCCAGGTAGGTACCCTGGAGTACATGGCTCCCGAGCTGCTGCTGCGCACCGCCCCGCACAGCCCCGCATCGGATGTGTACGCATGGGCGGTCACGGTGAATGAGGTGGCCACCGGTGGGTGGGTGGGGGGGGGGTGCGTGGCGTGGGGGGGTGGAGGCGGCGGCGGTTCTGAGAGGTGCTGTCATGTGGAGTGGGAGGGGGTGGGAAGGAAGGGAGCAACGGCGTCGTCTGCCCGTGTCTGCTCCTCTCCAGACCCACCCAGGTTATCATGCACCTCGGCTCCTCCTCTGCTCCATTCCTCGACTCCTCTTTGACACCTGCTCGCTTCCTTCCACCGCTTACACCCCTCCTTCCCTTACCTCCCGCCCGAACGTTGCCTCAGGTGTGGTGCCCTTTTCGGATTGCACCAAGGTAGGGGGGGGGGTAAATAGGAAACAACAGGTCACTGACCGTGTGACCATGGTAGGGGGGGGGGTAACTAGGAAACAACAGGTCACTGACCGTGTGACCATGGTAGGGGGGGGGGGGGTAACTAGGAAACAACAGGTCACTGACCGTGTGACCAAGGTAGGCCCGACATCCCGAACGGGATACACCCGTGGCACAGGGGCAGGGGCGGGGCAGTGCATGGCTGCTTGGGTGGGGGTTACAAGACCCTCAGGATCAATTTGGGGTCCGTCAGTGGTTGATTCTGCGGACACCCTCCCCATCTCCGTTCCTCCCTCCCTCTCCCCCGAATGCGCTCACTGCATGAGTCGGGATTTGGGATTGGGACTCCGTTGCTGCACGTATCTATGATTTTCTCCCCCACCCGCCCTCAAACCCAGCCGAATGCGGAATATGTATCCCTGCCGGTATTACTCCCCCCGCCGGGCCGCCTTCTCCCCCAATTAACTTGCCCATTTGTGGTTTCATATAATCTGGTCTAATCTTATCCCGCCCGGCCGCCCGCAGGACAATCCGGAGGTCCACACCGTGCTGGAGATGGGCTACGGCCGATTGGAGCTAGCAGCGGCGGTGAGCGCGGAGGGGCTGCGGCCGCTGCTGCCTCGGAGCTGTCCGCCCGCGCTGGCAGCACTGCTGGGGGCGTGCTGGGCGGCACAGCCGGAGCAGCGACCCAGCTTCACTCAGGTGGGTAAGACGTAAGAGATAGCGGTAGGCTAAACCCTTGGAAAGCAGGAGTTAGGGCAACTAGTGATGGGGAGGGGAACAGGAACCGAAGCAGCGGCATGGTGTTGGGTACGCGGCGTTTTCTCAGGCTGGTATTTGTTGGGTTGGCGGGCGTGCTGTTTCGGCTAAGGATGCAACGCGAAGGAAACAACTCAGCCTTTCAATTCGTCTGAGGGATTTCCAAAGCATACTCCATTCCTTACTAGAGACCGCTATGTCAGATAGCAAGATTGCCGCGATAACGCGGACTGACCGCGTTATCGCGGCAATCTTGCTATCTGACCTACCGGTCTCTAGTAAAGAATGGAGTATGCTTTGGAAATCCCTCAGACGAGTGCTTCCGTAGCTGGCCGTAGCACCAAGTTTTGCTGTTTCCTTGCTGTGGTGGCGTCACGTGTTGAAACGCAGATTCGAGAGGCATTAGAGCGGATAGCCCGGGAGGACCTCCCGGAGTGGGAAGCTCAGCAGCAAGAGCAGCAGCAGCAACTACAGCAGCAGCAAGAGCAGGCGGGTGATGCTGATGACGATGATCATGGTGATGGCAGCAAGGTGACCCATGGGTCACATCCCCTGGTCGTCGTCGACGTGGACGTCATGGTTTCAGACGCGCTAGACGTCCCAGACACCGATCCTGCCAACGGCTACAGATCCATGGGTCACCAATCGACCGGCGGCGCCAAGGGCTCCCGTCTTGACGCCCCTGCTGCATGTGATAAGAACAATGGCGGGGGTTACAGCTGTGGTGACGGCAAAGGTCAGGTGCATGCAGTGGGGGGGCATGATGCTGCCGCGGCTCTCGCTCCTGCTCTGCATGCAAGCATGTGGCCCTTCATCCTCTTGCCCCCGGGTGGCGCCGGAGGCGGAGGAAACAGCGTGCAGGAGCACCCGGAGTCAAACGAAACAGCGGCATGGCTCATGCAGCTGCCTCAGCAGCAGCCGCTACCAGAGCAGCAGGACAGCGCTCCTGCTGCTTCTGCTGGCAGTACCTTGAGCATCACCAGCACCAGCAGCAGCGGTCTCATCTTCAACGGGGGAGTGTTTGAGGCAATCGGGCCGAGAGATGCCATGGAGGATCGCTGGCTGCTGCTGCAGGACCTCTGGGGGCGTCAGCAGCTGCTGCAGCCACAGCTGCAGCCAGAAGAGAACCATGCCCCAGCCGGTGCCGAAGCATCACACGCATTGCCACCGGTGCTCTCCCCAGCGCCACACCCTTCAGGGCAATCGCAGGAGGCATCATGTACGGCAAGCGGGCTGACGTCACAGCTGACGTGGGATGCCGTACCGGCGGTGCCGCTGGCGGCGGTGTTTGACGGGCACCGAGGCGGCGAGGCGGCGGAGTTCTGTCGGGGGAGGCTGGCGGAGGTGTTGCGGGACGCGGTGCGGGAGAGCGGGTCACCGGAGGAGGCGCTGCGTTCGGCGTTTGCGCGACTGGAGGAAGGTGGGGCGAGGGATGGAGGTATGCTACCGGTGCGGGAGGGAGAGGACATGTGGGCAGAAAAGCGAACACAATATTGCATGACGCTTCCATTGACTTCCCTCCTTTTCCTTTCCGCTCTCACCATTGCCGCTCCTCGAACCATGTTACCTCCCAACACCTCCACCTCTCCTCACCTTCCTCCCAGGCTATCACGCCCACTGGAAGCGACAGCGGCAACTGCACCCCCACCTCGCCACCGGTCCCCGTGCCTTCCCCGGCGCCACCGCCCTCGTCGCCCTGCTGGCCCCCGGCGGCCGACTGTACGTCGCCAATGCGGGCGACTGCCGAGCCGTACTGTGTCGCGGTCGTCGCGCGTTCGCCGCCAGTCGCGATCACACTGGGTTGTTGACGGACGAGCGACGGCGAGTGGCGGCGGCGGGGCTGCCGGTGCAATGGCAGCACGGCGGCTGGCGCATTGGCACGTCGGGATTGCAGGTGGGTGGGTCCAGATGAGGCAACAGGGAGGCTGAGGCAGCTTAGATACATGCCGGCCTTGCTGTGGGATTACAGGCGACTGCTGTTGTTCTGCTGCGTGTTATGATCCTGTGAACATGGTACCCTGCTTGCGTGTTTTGTCTCGCGTGCTTTGCCGGTGGTGGCGGGTTGCGATGGCGCCGTCTCTCACCGGCGCCGCTTCCCATGCTGCTATTGCCTTGCCGTACCGTGACCGGTATCTTACATCCTCAATAACAACGTTGGGGCGTTTTACAACATTGGGTCGGTCCTAAATTCCTCTTAACTGCCCCCCCCCTTTGGTTTGGTATGGTCTTTGACCCCCCTTCCCGCAGGTGACTCGCTGCATTGGCGATTTCGATGTGAAGGGTGGCTTGCCAGCCGTCAGCGAGGGCCCCGGAAGCGGCGTCACGGCAGCTCCCGAGATCACCTTTGTCCAGCTCCAGCCAGACGACCACTTCCTCATCCTCGCATCGGACGGCCTCTGGGACGTCATGTCCGTACAAGAGGCTACGGGATTGGTGTACGACACGGTAAAGGATCCAAGCCTGGCAGCCAAGCGGTTGGCATGCGAGGCGTTGATGCGCGGATCTGCGGATAACGTTACGGTGGTGGTGGTGTTCCTAACGCAAGTGGAGACGTTGGAACGAGTGTACGAATCGGTGCGAGGTGAGTCGTACGGTGTTACGGGTACGGCATACGGTAGCCGTACGAGGTTGGCTGCTGACAGGCACGTGACTGCTGCGTTGGATGAGATCCAGCAGACGTATTGAGGAGGGGCGTGGGCGTGGGGGCGCGCTTGATTGTTGTGTTTTGGATCCGTGGAGTTGTGGGGAAGAAGCCCGAAGGGTTGCATGTGGTTGTGGTGGTGGTAATGGTGGTGGTGGCGGTTGCTGTTGTCGCGTGGGGAGGAAGCTGCTATGCATGCATGCGTGATCACACCTTTGTTGCTGTGTACAGTGATATACAGTTGCGTTGCGGGGAGCATTTCTTTCGCACGTTTGCATATACGTGCGGATTGGGACGGCTGTATCGTGATGCACACCGTGCGTTGTGTAGAGCCGCAGTGAATTCCCTTACACGTCATCGGTGCTGCGCGAGAAGTATCTGCCCAATTATGGCCCAATGGCCTCTTTGAGAGTGACACGGAGAGACATGGGAGTGAGAGAGTGAGCAGCTGAGCACTTTTGCGGTTGGTTTAGTCTCTGCAACGGACGCTGGAAACCCTTGGCCTTGCCCGTTGCGTCTTTGGGAGGGAAAGCGTTAAGGCCTCCTCGTGATAGCAGCAGTTTACCGAGCTTTTGTCCCTTTCCTTCAGGGCGCAACACCCCTTAGACGATGGAAGTTCGTCGGTTGATTGGTATGTGTTGGAAATCCTTTTTCCTTATCTGCGAAGGGTGGGAAGGGGGGCAGGAGTCGTACCCGGCCCCACCCTGGGAGGGGAGCATCAGCCTCCTCACCGTATGCCGCACCTTCAGTGCTTCGAGGGCCTTGTGGGCCTTGTGTGGTGGCTGCGGTTTGCCGGACCGTGCCACATCTCGAGTCGGTTATGTGATATACTCGGGTCCCATTGGGATCCATGTTCAACCGAATTTTATCCGGTATAGTGCTCGAGCCACATTTCGTATTAATAAGTAGCAGTCACCGAAAGCAAAAATGTCCTAAACACCAAAATGTTCTTCCACCCCTGATTTGTGCAAATCATGGAACAGTGTCGCTATGTATACACGCAGCCCAGCGCATGGGGGCTGCTGTCCTCCATTCCAGTGCACCCGCCAGCCCCCTTGCACAGCGTCCTATCCTTGCTCCTGGACCTGCTTGCAAGAAACACATCGACTTCCTACCTACAGCCATCCATCGACACGACATGGTAAAAGTACCCCCAACCCCACCAGAACTGTAACCGAAACCGTCTGTTGAGGTGGGCACATGGCATGTTCGAATCCCTTGTTTCCAGCCCTAACGCGACGACCACCTCGAGAAACGTGAAAGTATCTTGTCAACAGGGTTTGTCCCCGTCAAACGCGCCGCCACCAGTTGCATTCCACGCATCATCGTTACACAGCGAAACATGAGTTTAGGGGTCTACGCACTTGAGACTAAGAACTCAATTGTGATACGTGTCTGCATGTCTTAACAAGTAGCGAATAACTCGTACAGCCGCAAGCAAAAGATTTGGGCACTAGTCTAGGCCCTAACAGCGGCCACAGGAGTCTAGGCCGCTGGGGGGCAGTAATGCCACAAGAAAACACCCATGCCCCCACCGACAGTCACCCATGATGCATTGTCTCAGCCACACATCAAGTGACACACATAGCACACAGCTGCCTGCTTGCTCCTCAGGACCCGCGCCTGTGCTTTGGTGTGGGGCGTCCCAAGCTCGTCCAAAGTCCAAATTAATGGGCGCAGCAGCAGCTGCTGCACCCACCTAGATCCCCGCATGCAACGCGCATTGCACGCCACACCTGCTCACACGCACATGCCGACGACACGCGTCCCGTGCAGAGAGGACTAAACCCACAGTCGAGGCACGCGTCGCACCACACATCAGCTGCTCTCTTCGCATGCAACCCACCTGCGCCGTGGTACGTACCTTCCCCCGCTCCCGCGAACGCAGGCTTGCAGAGCACATCATCCCTACCAATACCCTCACATCCATCGCGCCTACAAATCCGCGACCTGCCCTCGCTTTTGAGGGCATCCCCACATTAGCATTAGCATCACCATCCAACCCCAGCTACGGGCCTTGCCCCCCTTCAGATGCGCGTCCCGGACGACGAGGACAGAAGTGCCGAGGGCTGCAACCGCTCGCCGTACACGTCGGACCGCTGCCCTGTTGGCATGAGCAGCGACTTGCCCTCGTCCGGCCGACCGATGGGCTCTGAGGTGATGTGAGGTGCGGAGGCGGGGAGCACATTTGGAAACCATTATGCAGATGGAAGGCATGCGGATGGGAGACAATGAACAGGGACAGACAGCCGAGGGCCACCAAACTGCAAAAGACAAAACGCATGCTGGTGAGGAAAAGGCGTGCACTCCTTATAGCCCGCAGCCCGTGGAAAGCCCATGCGGACTACAGAATTATTGCGATTGGTATTTATTATGCGCACACTGCAGTTGTATAGTAGTACAGTTGTCAGGACTAGGGCTATGCACCCGGTAGGCAGAGCCTGTGTTGATTCCCTCGGAGCCAACGGAAGGAGCCAAGAGGAGGAGGGCCCACTTACGGTCTAGTATGGGCGCTGCGGAGGGCGTCTGCAGCGGCGGCACCCAGGCGGTGGGGATGAGGCAGTGGAGCACCACCGCTATCCCCGCTAGCCGGTTGACCTGCGGGGGTGGGGGTGGCGGAAGGCAGCGGAGGGCAGAGAGTCCTTACTCGCTTTGTAGGTGGGGGTCAGAGATAAACCAAAGCCGATTGATACCGCTAGTTTAGGGTACCCGGTACTAACACATCCCAATCGTAGCAACCTACGTTCACCACCCCCTCCCCCTTTCCTTCTTTCCCCCTCTCCACCCACCCATGAGGGTGCTTCCTTCCCGACCAGTTGCGTGCAGAGGTCGTTAGCGAAGCTGCAGGGGAGGGAGGGAGGGGGGGCAAGAGGAATGCGTGTCAAAACACATACACACAACTTAACTACAGACACAGGTTCTCATTCGTGGCCAGTGTTCAAAACACACGGGCTTGTCGAGAAGACTGGCAGGAGTCCAACCAACTGCCGTTATCATGCTCGGCCCCAAAGGTAAGCCGGCCCCCAAGCGATGGATCCCACAGGCGTTTCAAGGTTCCTCTGGCCCCCAGCACGCAACCACCCTGCCATGCAAGATGCAGCCGCCCCAGCCATGTAACGGAGCCAGCCACCAAACCCCGACTCACTGGTTGCAGTTGCGCTGCAGCCGAGCAAGCAACGCGACACCACACCGCACGACGTGCAACGGGCGGGGACGGAACGGCATGCGGGGAAGGAGGGAGGGATGGAGGCCAGTAAGAAGATGGGCAAGGAGCCAGGGACAGGAGCACAAGACATGGACAGCGAGGAAATGGTTAGGATACCTAGCCAACGCATGCCGGCTTTTCGAGCTAGAGTCGCTACTAAGCCCAGTTACCCCAGCATGTGTGCCCGGCACGCAGTTTCGGCAAAACCCGAGCCGAGTCATCCATGCCAACCAACCCTTCCTCGATGCACAAGCGTGTACCCCTTCCCTACACCAAATCCGCACCACACCTGCAGCAGGTGATAGTTGTTCCCCTTGTACTCGTTTCCCATCCGCTGCACCAAGTGGTGAATTTCCTGCTGGCTCAGCTCCGTCTCTCCCATTGGGATGCTTTCCCGGAAGATAACTGCCGTGAGGTGGGTTTAAGGCGAGTAGTGAGACTAGTAAGAGGACGAAGGAGGGGCTCGGCAAGCAAACAGCCAATAGGTCCATCCGCGATGGTGCTGTGGACTGATGAGGGCTACATCCTGCCCGACAACATGGAGGTAAACGCAGCGCCACCTACCTTGCCCAGGCGCGTCCCGCGGGTTTGTTGCGAAAACGCCAGAGTAGTCATAGTCGTGGCCTAATAGGGGGAATTGCGAGCAGGAAGCTCGTAAACCTAGTTCACTCATCGCGTCTGAAACTTGATTGCACGTCAGGCAGGTGTCCAGGTTAACGTACCTCCATATGCATACTCCACGCCATAGACTTCCACGCCTGAATGAAAGATTCCTACTCCACACCAATATGTCCAGTTGTTGTGCGGTGCTAAGTCATAGACATTCAAGGTAACTGGAGCCATATCAGTAATATATCTTAGAAACCAGTTTATATCCAGAGCCAAAGAAGGTAACACGCGCTTGCCAGCAGGCTATAGTTTCGTCGTCCTAGCTAGGTCTGATACGCACAGCCTAATAACTTGTTCCGGAGGAAGTATACGTGCCCACCAATCGTTGCAACCGGAACTTAAGGTATGTGGCTAACGTAGGGAAAAACGGCATTGGTCATGGCACTCAACTGCGAACGTCGGTGCTAATGTGCCAATTGCATGCGTTGCAGGTGGCTCTGTAATGGTATCTTGCGTCGTAAAGCGTATGCAGGACATCAGAGTTCAAGAGCGGCTGTATTGGTGCGCGGGAAAGGACTGCCGTACAAAGTCGCATCAAGGTAGCCGTAAAGACGTAAGGCGAAAGGCCGGGCGCCAGACCTAACAGGACCTGAACATCTTGGAACTCTCACCTACCAGCCCTGAGAGGCACCCGCGTTCACATAGGTAAAGCCTACAATTGCACACAGCGCATGGCAAAGCAACTGGAAGTGAACAGAAGCTCCGCAACAGCATAGCCCACGCAAGCTTTGCCACTTGCGGCCCGCTGCACCTCCATTTGCTTAACCAATCCTGCAACACCCAAGTTCCTGAAATACTAGCTCGGAACGTCCCATGGTTCGCTCGACAATAGCAGCTTAGGCCGCTCTTGTCGCACCAACCATCCAGCCTGTTAATCGCTGCACCAACGGTCCCTCACGCCATAACACCATAACATCACTCCAGCCACTCTTTCACGCCACGTTAATATCCACACCGAACACCACATGACGCGTGCGCCCATTATAACACCGTAACCACCACCAACTCCCATTCCCTTGCATAGCGCCCGACATATCTCACTCCACATAACCACCCACATCTATCCCAAGCCGCGCACACCAATTCTTAACCGCTCGCTATCACCGGGCGCATCGCTACCTGCCGTAACCTCCTGACACTTACCACCCACCGTCACCTGCCGTCACCAGACGATCACCGCCGCCCCGCCAGCGCGCGCTGCAGCAGTACCCCAGCTGCCAGCGACCCGGCAACAAGGGCCAGGGTCCCCAGCTGCTCCCGCTGCGGCAGCTTCAGGGCCGCAAGAGGGCACTTGCAGCAGCAGCGCTTGGGCGCAGGCGCCGCCGCCACCTCTGCCTGCTTGGAGGGTGCCTCCGCTGCCTCCTCCGCCTTGGCTGGCTCCGGAGCAGCTGCCGCTGACGACTGCATGCAGCAGGGAGGGGAAGGTTGTAGGTCTTGTAATGTGTTTACAACGTGGCTTGTTTAAAAGAGGGAAACTTGCACGTTGAACTACGGAAGCATGCCGTCGAGTCTTGCAGAAGCTTGCAACGAAATGGGCATGGCAAATTGGCAATGCATGCTTGGCAAAACCCACTGCACCGTGTGAACGATGCATCGGGGGCGTCCCTTGAGTCCCCACCCGAAACAATGCTACCGGTGCTATCCTCCACCCCTTCACGCTTCACCCCGGCCGAGCCTATTCAGGCGGCTGCTTATTTCTCATTCCTCGGTACCCTAGCGCAGCAAGCAGCGCTGCAGCTCCTCGCTACCCTAGCGCACCTGCAGCTTCCCCGACAAGAACCGCTCGCCGCTGTCCACCGTGTTGCGCAGCAGCATGGCGATGGTCATGGGGCCCACACCGCCTGTGAGTGTGTGCACACACATGCAGAGTGTCAGACTGTCAGTAATGTCCCCCGGGGGTAATGTCCCGGGGGTAATCCCCCGGGGGTAATGTCCCGGGGGTAATGTCCCGGGGGTAATGTCCCGGGGGTAATGTCCAGCGGCTGAGTAGTTGCTTTGCCACACATGCAGGAAGATGCAACAAAGGCAGGCATGACCTCCGTCACCTCTCCCATCTCTCTCTGCCCCTGCCGCTCCCCCTCCTTCACCCCTGTTATAGCCCAATGCCCCATGCCCCTGTAGCTCACCGGGCACGGGGGTGATGGCTCCCGCAACCGCCTTGCACTCCTCGAAGTGCGCATCACCCACCAGGCGGTACCCAGCAGCCTGGGGCGGAGAGGCGGAGTGGAAGGGGCAGCAGCAGCAGCGAGTGGGGCCAGCCGGGAGCAGCATGAGGAGCAGCGAAGTGGCGCGCAACCTACATGCATGCATGCATGCATGCACGTGGGCACGTGTCATCCTTTCCTTGCTCTGCCGTGCGCCCCCACCCGGCTGCAGCCCCCACCCGCTTCACCTTACCCCCTAACCATGCTAATCCGTGGTTTCCTAGGGCTTGGTCTTGTTTGCCCCACCCCCCCCGCCTCACCTTGCTTGTGTCGTCCACTGGGTTGGTCCCCACGTCAATGATGGCCGCCCCCGGCTTCACCCAGCTGCCCTTCACCAGCTGCGCCTGCCCCGCTGCCGCGATGATGATGTCCGCCTGTCGTACAATGGACTCCATGTCCTGATGGAAGAAGCAGGAGGAGGAGGAGGAGGAGGAGGAGGGAGAGGGGAACGGGATTGACAGGGATTAGGTACACTGAACCGCGAGGAACCACTGACCGTGACAGTAGGAAGACCCGTTGGATAAATAGAGACACATATTCCACATTACGGCATTAGGCTGGATGTTAGGAGTAGGGCAGGGAAAGAGACTTCACATCAGGGAGGAGAAGGATGTGGAGAGGGAGAAGCGAAGGTTGGGGCGAAGTTTGTTCACGGCGGCCAAGCAGAGCAGCAGCAACCATCAATCAGCACTACTCAAGGCGGTTCAGGCGGAGGGTTTCAGACACAGCCACAGCGGCTCATGGGGCGGCTCCAGGTATGTGCTGTGTCCTGAGGCTTCTGAGGCTCCTGCTCACAGGACGCAGCACACAAACCCGTGTCCTGAGACTCTTCTTTATCCCCAGTTCCTGCTCCCACCTGCGTTGCGGAGTGGCAGATGGTGACGGTGGCGTCCCGCTTGTTGAGCAGCATGGCCGCCGGCATGCCCACGATGTTGGAGCGACCCACCACCACGGCGCGCTTGCCCTTGATCGGGATGCCGCAGCTGGGGAGGGGCGGGGGGGAAGTGGGCAGGAGGGGGGGTCAAGATCATGTGTCACCGAACCATAGGGAACCCACAAGTACGGCAAGATGTGAAGCAACCGTGAAGAAGCAGTCGTTGCTACACTCCCTTCCGTGCAGGGGATCCAGAGCTGCACGGGTGCATGCAAGGTACTTGTGCCTGGGTGCCCTTGCCATGATCCCCACAGAGGCCCTCCTCCACCTCCTCCACCCTCGCCCTAGCCCTAGCCCACCCCAGCTCACCCTGTTCACTAGCTCCCCCGGCCCCTCTTTCTCAAACACCCCCCCCGCAGGGGCCACTAACCCTCCCTCTGCCTTGTAAATCCCTGCTTTTTTCTTTTTGTTTTCATATGGTTTTAATTGGTCCAACAATTGACCCCCCGGCGGGGGGCCGGGGAGCCCCTCGTCAGTTATCCTTATTCTACCCCCCTCGCAATTTTCGGTAACCTACGGTCAGGGTCAGTGTTTCCGCGGCTCAGTTTATCTAAAACCCCCCTCACCGGTCCAGTAGCTCGATGCAGCCCACCGGGGTGCAGGGGGCGAACAGCGGCTCGCGCCCCTTCATGGCCAGCCGGCCGATGTTTAGCGGGTGGAAGCCATCCACATCCTTCTCAACGCTGATGGCGCCCAGCACGGCCTGGTGGGTTGGAAGGGGGGAAAGAAGAATACCCAATGGGGGAGGGGAGAGGAGGCGGGAGGGGCGGGTGGTAAGGAAGCTAGATAAGGAAATTGCAGCCAAGCCTGGCCAGTGTGGAAAATGCCCATCTCCTCTTAACCCCACCTAATCGGTTGGGTTTAAACAGTTAGTGTAGTTAGCTTCCACTACCGGCACCCTCACTCACCTGTTCGTCGATGTGTTTGGGCAGGGGCAGCTGAACCAGGATACCGTGCACATCGGGGTTGGCGTTAAAGTCGCGAACCACCTGCAGAACCTCCTCCTGCGGGGGCGGGGGGTAAAATTATATAAGAAATGCAAACAACTAAGTCCCAATCCCATATCCCGACTCATGCAGTGGGCGGGGGGTAGGGTGCATGCCAGCGGGGAGAAGTTAAGAGTGTCGTGTGCCAGGGGATTGAAAGAGTGGAAAGAGCTAGGGGAAGGAACCAGGGCGGGGGGTGAAAATTATATGAGAAATGCAAACAACTATCCCATATCCCGACTGCGGGGGCGGGGGGTAGGGTGCATGCCAGCGGGAAGAAGTTAAGACTTAAGAGTGTCGTGTGCACACCGGGATTTGAAAGGGTGGAAAGAGCTAGGGGAAGGAACCAGGGCGTGGGGTGAGGTGCAGGGAAGGGGTCCTAACCCAGACAGCTTCACCCTAGCAGTAGCAGCCCTGGCAGCAGCTTCACCCTAGCAACAACAGCCCCTTCCATGACAGCCCTACTAGCAGCTTTACCCTAGCCCCAACCCTCCCCCCCATGCCGCACCTGGGTGGCGGAGGCGGGCAGGTCCGCATTGAAGGAGGCGATGCCCACCTCCTCGCAAGCCTGGAAGGGGCAGGGGAGGCGATGGTGATGGGCATCAAAATCGGAACGGACACTGCTTATGCACGCGGTGAACGGGGATCGCCTGTGTGTTAAAATAACTGGCCGCCTGTGTGTGTATGTGTGTACGGAGCATTTGCAGTGCGTATTGGCGCGAAGGCCCGGGCGTTGTGGGCTTAAAGGCGTTGAGAGTGAAGCTGCGTGCGTGTCCCACTGGCGATGATTTGGAGGTAGGCGAGTCGTCCAACGATCTACTATAGCTCGTGGTCCGGCTTTGCTCACCTTGCGCTTCATCCGAACGTAAGTCTGGCTGTCTTTGCGCTCGCCGACGATCACCACAGCCAGGCCAGGGACCTGTAGCCGATGGCAGTTAAGTAGGTTAGAACCGACGACGCCACATAATTACGCGCTTGCTTTACGAAAGGGCAGCTAGATGCAAACCCATATGCTACTGACAAGTAAACCAGCGCCCAACTAAAAGAAACGACCACGCGACGACGCAATCGGTGCAAAACAGCCCGATTGAGGAGTCGCCGCCAAGCGCGACTTACTGATGCATACAACACGGCACAACACAGCGGAAAGGTAGCGCTTAGCGCTTCTGTACGCTAGACATACCCTGTTATAGGTGGCTTTCAGCTCCGCCACCTTTGCAGCCGTCTCCTCCCTGATCTTCGCTGCGACGGCCTTTCCATCAATCACATTGTCTTTCATAAAAGGCGAAGCCATTGTTACTTGTGTTGAAAGTGCAGCGGGCGTCGCCGGTGTGCTTGATGCCGTTGATGACAATATGATTTGAGCTGTGGCGTATCTACTTCAGCACGGCGAAGCTACGACTGTAATGTATCCTATAGCCTATCGCGACAGTTATGCCACTTAACAAAAATCACACCGTGCAGGTACGCTCGCGCGAAACACGTCGTACAGGCTCTTCCTCACTCTGTACCTCGCAGATGCAACTCTTGTAGGTCACCTGGCATCCAAGCCAGGGGTCAACTGCGGCTCCATGTAGTTTATCAAACCAGCCACCGTATTCCCTGCTACCGCACCGTGGCTTGCTACCGTGGCCTCTCAGCCCCTTGGAAGTACAGGACTGCTGATCTCAGGCGCCAGGGGCAGAGGCGCCGCAGCTGTGCGGTGTCTTGCGCGCATACCGGTACGCTAGTGTTACAAAATAGGCCGGCGGGAGCACAGGTGCCGTGCGGCACACCAGGGCCTCAAACAGCTCACATGTATTGATGATGGGATGTTATAGCACATCGTTTGATAACCGTAATAGCCCTGCTTAAGTACTAGGTATAGGCTACACAGCCAAACATAACGTGCAGTGCAAGCCAGTGCATATATGCGCGGGCTTCGCTGTAATTCAATCCCGCACAGGCAATAACTAAGAAGCGCAAGGCTAATCGCAGATCACTCAGGCCCCCGTTCCTCCCTAAGACCTCCACCGCCGGGTGGTTCCAGCACGGCCCTTTTCACCTGCACAACTCGCCACCAAAGCACATGCTGTTCCAGTGCTAGTACGGCATAAAACAACGGCATAACAACGGTGCCTCTTCATCTTCAACGGTACGTCTCCGCCATGCAGACCAACGCATGCAGTGCATGTTGCAAAGCTGTCTTCTTCTGCAACACACGCCCAACACGTCCTCCTTCTACTGATACAAGATACATGCAGCTCAACGTTAACCAATAACGGTACATGAATTACGGTACATGCAGGAGAAAAAACGCTTCAGTCTGTTACCGGTACCCCGTACGCGGACGTGCCGGTCCTAGCCTAATGTAACGTACTGCAAGGGGCGCGCGCAGGAGAAACGCGGCCCCCAACAGCAACAGCCACCCACCCCCCATGCCAGGTTTACACCTGCATGCAGACAGGCCCCCCCCCCTGCAGCGGCAGCACAGCCGCTTCAACAAAACACAGAAGCGCACACACCACCCGTAAGACGCACAACAAAATGCATGCAACACTCAAGCGTGTTTCCAAATTCCAGCTGCAGTGACTTATCCTTCTTCGCGACACCGATTCTCCTTTCCCAACCTGCAACTCCAATGCACTCCGCAACCGCGATCTCGCAGCGCATGATGCCAGTGGTTTGCTTCCCGTGCGCATGCGCCTGAAACCAACACACGAGCTGTTGGCTGTCCTTGTCACTGTCAACACCCACCACCCGTGCCATCTCAGCCTGCCCTCTAACCGTCCCAGGCCCCGCACCTCGTTCCCCTCGCCCTTCCCCCATTAGTCCGCCTCCTCCCCCGACCGCAGCCGCTTCCACACCGGCTTCATGGCGTCCGCCGTGCGGCTGCTGATGAACTCCGCCGCCACACGCATCTTGAGCAGGTTGAGGGAGGCGGTCTCCGTGAACCTGGGGTGGCAAAGTGGGGGGGGGCAGGGAGGGAAAATTATATAAGTGAAACAACAGGGAGGGAGGGAGGGAGGTGGGAGGGCAGGAAGGTGGGGGAGAGAGAGGGAGGGGGGGGGTAATGCAACTGGACTGCAAGGTAGGGAATAGGCATGGGGCGCGACATGACGCCAGGGCGACTCGCCACTGCATGCTCTGCTTTGGGCATCGTCAGTCTTAAGTGCTAATGACGAGGGAACGGACGACCAGGCTGGATGCAAGCTTTTCTAGATTAGTTAGGTGACCAGGAGAGGTATCCGAGGCCTCAGATAGCGCACGCATGGGTTCACTCGAGCATGTGCATGACTGCCTGCCCTTGTCGCAACTGCCTGCCCTCGTCGCCTGAAGGGGTGGTTGCTTACTGCCCGCCTGCTACTCACGTTTGCCGCACGCTGGCAAAGCTCTCGTGCTTGCGCAGGGGAATGGGCAGCTCGGGCAGCTTCTCCCCCGTCGCCGCTAACCGCAACAGATCCAGGTTCTTATGCAACTGCCTCCGAAACCGAGCTTTGAATCGCTGATCCTCCTGCGGCCCTTCTTGATCGCTCTCTCCTGTTGCGGCTGCCGCAGTTGCTGCTGCTGGTGCAGCTGTGGCTGCATGGGAGGGGGCTCTGCTGGCGACATCGTTCAGTGCGGGCTGTATGGGACGGCTGCTGCGGGGGCTGGATCCAAAGGGACCGCCTGCACCAGTACGACAAAGGGGGGAAGGAGGAGTGTTTCAGCAGTCTGGTTGGTCAAGTGCTGGCGTGCACTGGGCGGCGGTCGCAGGAGAAGAACCAGAGAAGCAGTGCAGACAGGGCTGTGTAGCCATCCTATCGCTTTGCGTCGTGAGCATAAGCCTCCTCCCCTCTCCAACCCCCCCTCTCCCACCCGGCGCTGGTGTCGTGTTCGACATCTCCTCAGTCAGTACCACCTCCACCCCCTGCAGGGCAACAGCAGGGGCGAATTGTTTTCCGACGTGCAATGGTTTTACAGAAATGGAACCGGAAGACGAAATCGTAACCAGCGGGCGTTACGACAGGAGGCACTAACAGTCCTCTGCCAAGGTTAGCGTACGACAACAAGCAAGCCATCGGCAGGGTACGACAGCGAGCGCCCCAATCAATACCTCCAGAGTGCCTAAACAGCTTAATTCGTCCCTCTCTCCCGCCCTCCCTCGAAGCCCGGTGGGTTGGCTTCACTGTAATCCCCATCCGGTGGTGTTCAGGGTTGGGTTTCGGGCATTGGGAGCATTTGGGTTCTGCTGTTCGCCTTCCTTTTCCTCCCTTTCTCCCTCCCTTCCACTTCCTCCAACCCGCCGTACCTCGCAGAACGGCATCTGCGTTGGCTCCCCCGGACCCGCCGGCCGAGCGCCATTCCGATGTGAGGCGTATCCAATGCAGTAGTACTGAGTGTGGTTGCACATCGGGGAGAAAGGGCAGGTGTGAAGAGTAATGAGCTGTAACAGGGCACACACACCCACGGTGTAGTAGGCTAATGTTGACAGGGTTGGCGTTTTTCACTGCACCCCATAACTGCCTAACGATAAAGAAATAACTTATGCGGATTTCCAGCGATGAGGATGCAGGTGGGTGAAAAGCCGCATATGGGTGGGTTGCCGTCGCGTCACAGGACAAAGTTATCGTAACTTAGAATGCCTAAACAACCGTATCCGCATGAAACGTTTACTGTGCTGCAAAGTAAGCTGGCAATAACGGAAAAAGCTAACAAGGGCATGGGACGGTACTGACTACTGAGCCGACTTACCTTAAACTCGCCAGTCGAATCGCTAAGCATTTTAACATCATCATCAGCCTGGTCTCCATGCTTTAATTGCGCCAGGCCCAGGCATTTCTGGAGCAACGTAAGGAAGAGACGCAAGGATCGCCAATGCCCTACAGCCGTAAATCAGGACTACTTCATAAACAGGCTAAACGTATGCCTTGAACCTCACCGGTGCCGCCCCGTTGCGCTCGAGCGTCCTATTAAAGTAAGTCACTCCTAGGCAGCATTTCGCCCCAGGGCCTTCATTGCTGCCATTTTTGTTTGCCATTTTTTTAATATCGCAGGTTGTCTTACAGTGTCTACCAGTTCTGACCAGTTATGAAAAAAGCTCCCAACTGCAACACCGATTCTACTAACTGCCGTACAACAACGGACGGCGTCGATGCGCAGTGCAGAATCCTGTTTTTCGTACGACGCTCTGAAACTGCTTGAACGCTTTCCACAAGCTCGTGCCTCGGAGGCTGGTGGGTGCTGTCGGTAGCCGGCCAGGCCTGAGCTAAAATGACGTGTACCTCCAGGCGTTGCGGGGCGCAAGTGGCGAATGCGTCGAGCACCAGGCCCTCGCTGGTGTGGAGTGCTTTAGTGGCCCAGCCGGCGTGGACGGGGCAGTACAGCCAGACACGCTGGGGGCCGCATCCCAGCGAAGCAAGGGACCGGCCCGTTCCATTCCGAATAAGCAGCAGCCCTGAAAGGAGCCCATCGCGTCTCAGCCGGTTACTATTAAGGTGCGTGGCTGGGGCTGCCCTCAGTGCAGCCTGCTCGGTAAGAGGCCCTTGGTACCGCACTTCAGACTCTGACTGACCCACCCCACCATCTCAGCCTCATTCAACACATTGGGTACTCCTCTTTTACCCCATCGTCTGCTACAGTGCTGACTAGCTCCAGATTCTGTCGTATCCTGGGGTCGGGCTCGTCGTCCATCGTGTTTGCAGGCCAGCTCAACGGGGTGCCGCTGGCCATCAAGGTGCGAGGGGAAAAAATTAAGTAAGTGAAACAACGAGTCCCAATCCCATATCCCGACTCATGCAGTGAGCGCATTCAGGTGCGAGGGGGGGGTGGCAATGCATCGTCAGGGAAGGCTGCTGCATGTGTGTGCCTCCGCGCTCCATGATGGCAATGGTCTTGGTGATGCAAGGTCTGGGTGTGCATGATGAGGAGCACACCGGTAACTCGGCACCATGCACTGCGTCCGACAATGGAAGTACTGCCTGCTTGGCTGGTCATCAGCACTGCCGCCTCTCCTAGAACCCTAAACCCTAAGCTCTCCACCGCCACCACACGCCACCTCCATGCCACCTGCGCTGCCCCTGCACCGCCTCCACCTCCGCTATCAGCAGCCTCTCCACGTGTACCGTCACCGCCGCCACCACCGCCTCATCGCCTGCGGGCCCCAGCGCCAGCCGTGACAGGCAGCCGCACACCGACACCAGGCGGCGCACACAGGAGGAGCCAGCGGCTGCCTCCAAGCATGCGAGAATTGACGCCATGCTTGCTAACGGTGGATACCCAATGGTTGGCCGCCACGCTCACCAGCTATGCACATACGCCTTGTTAACACCAAGGTACGTTCACTTTTCAGCTTCAGTCTCAGCATGTGCACATAAAGCCACAAAGACTGTAGACACAGTGACAACCACGGGGCCAAAGGGCCTCATGTGGAACCCGATGCACCACCTGCATACATGGAGAGGCGGAACAATGTAAGGTAACGACACCTTTGCGGAAGTCCAAGTCAGTCTTTGGTGTGGGAATACATCTTGGTCACCCCTTCGTCCTACCTCTCCCCTCCTACCAGCGCCAGCACCGACACATTACCCACTATCGTTGCCCAAGTCATACACCATGACGTCCCTCACCCGTGAAAACATTGAAGCGCTGACCAATGGTTATCATCGCCGACACCGCGTCCTTGCAGGGCTCCAGAACCGCCACCTTCTTGGACAGTGCGTCCTGCACGCCCTCAATCCCGCACCGCTGCACGGGGTGCGCGAAGCGGTCGCGGGCGTCCTTGCAGTCCATCACGGCCTGCCACTGGTTGAAGGCCTCGAACGAAATGCCGAACTCGCTGGCAAAGCTCTCGAGGTCCTCCTGGAACTTCTGTGCTTTATCCGTCTTTCCCTTCTTCTGAAGGTGCTTCAGGCGCGAGGCGACTTCTGAAACATAGTAGAAGTCCCCCTCCGCTGACATGCGCTTCTCCAAGTGCTCGTTCAGCGACTTGATGAAGCTGCGGTTCGTCGCGTAGACAAGGTCCCCAACCTGCACTTGTAAGTAGTGCTCCTCGCTGAGCTGCCCCTGTACTGCGAACTGCTGCACATCGGCGTCTGCCACCTTCTTCGTCACCCGGTTGTCCAGGCAAACCACACCACGTTTGCGGCTTGGCTGCTGGCTTGCTGAAAGCTTCTCATACACCTCCCACTCTCCGCTGCGGTTCTTCTCGGCGAGCTCGGCCCACCGGGCAGACTCCGGCGACAACAGGTCCACGGTCGGATGCGTAAATGCAAATGTCTTCACAGGGTACATGGTCTGGCTGATGATGGCTGCATAGCTTTTTGTATGTAGCTCATGTTTTATCTCCGCCTGAAAGCGCTCGCAAAAGCCAATGTTTAAAGGAATGCTTAAGGCTTGCAAGGATGTGATGCGAGGTCTCCAGCATAGTATGTCAAACTACATGTGAGTAAACGGATGACCACCGTTACCCCCAGGTCCGGAGCAACCTAGGCGTACGGCACCAGCCATAAGAATTCCCGCTTTCTTCAGCTTTCTTTGCTTTAAAAAGCCTTACTAGCTGCCCAATAATTATTGGAAGTGATTGGTGTCATTTCGGCACAAACCACTATTGTTGCGCGATTGCGACCGCGTCGTCAGCCCTCCCCATCCAGCAAAGCTCAGGTGGCCTCCCCATTCACTGACAGCAGGGAAATTGTCTATAACCTGGACAACGTATTTACTCAGCAGGCAAGACCCCTGTACTCTGTTTGCTCTGCACCATAGTTCCGCGCGCAACCAGGCATTATGCATGTGCTCGCTTCCGGAGAGGTGTATCGAACCGAAGGTCAGCAAGCAGCCTGAGGAAGGGAAGGGTAAGGCTCTGCCGTGCATAGTCTGCCATAGTGTCCTTGGCCCCCCTGGCTCGTACGGACACACTGTACGCACGTTCAGACTGTAACTGTAACCCGGTGCTGCAGAGCAGAGGACACAGTGATCAGCTGCTGGCCCACCTTGTCGCCTGCATGTTTGTGTGACCAGAGGGCACATGGACCCAGTTTACAATGAATTTCGGCATATGGCCCGGTTATGTCGCAAAGGATGGAAAACCACACCCCAGCCAGCCCCAGCCCAGCTTATCATTCCGGGGGCGGAAGGTTGGGAGCCATAGCCTAACTATTCTAAGCAACGATTAGACATTGGGGCAAAGGCACGGACCACCCCATCACCCATGCTGGCATGCTGTGTGTACCCTGATCGTTGCTGCCCTCGTTTGTCCGCACTGCTACTAAACAACAACTGCAAGTACTACGATTTACTGCCAGTATCCCATCGCTTTTGTTGGCTGCCAGAGAAATGTTTGCCGGTGAAAGTTAGCGTTGCACATACCGGTACGAGGAAAGCGACGACTCCAGGAAAGTATGCAATGACCAATAAGCTTAGGTAGTAGTAAGCCATCGCTGCGTTACTCTGTCGAAATTGCCATCAGAGATAAAAGAAAGCACAGCGTAGGAAAGGCAGCCAGCAATCTTCCATGTTAAACCCTTACAGTTCTATACGTATCATGTATGCGAACCCTTAATTTAAAACCTGAGAATACAGGTGCACGCTCCCATGGTGCACCGTACGACCTAATATCCCAAAGTCGATAGGGGCATTGTATCGATCTTCCAGTTAGTACGTAGAAGGCTATCTTAGAAAGCACCATAAGGAGCGGACAAATTGTGCAAAGGGGTCGTGTTACTAGAACCGCTGGACCTTTGAGGAACTTACGAAGCCAGAATGGCAGAGCCCCCAACGGATCAGCCAAGCACAAATGATTCAATAGACGCACGTATTTTTGGAGCTGATGGAGGACTGCGCCCAGACCATCCTCTGCTGCGCCGTGCTCAGGAGGCACTCAGGTCGCAGTTTGAAGCCAACCGCACGCGATTGCAGGAGGAGCTCCGGGAAAAGACGAATGCATTACAAGTATGCCGGCTCTTTGCGTGTAGCCCCAGGGAGGTAGTCCACATCGTCCTCAACTACCGCATTTACCTCCCATGCAGCAAGCGAAAACGAAACGTGAAGCCCTTGGTGTTGAGCTCTATGGATTCCAGCAAAACCTGGCCAAGCTGCAGCTGGCGCTGGAGCAAACCCACCAGAACTACCAAGTTATTAACCGTACAAGGGAGCAGGTATGCCCATGATGTATGTCCACGCCCCTCGGCGTGCACCTTTTTCCTGGCTGCACGCCAACAAATGCGTTATACCATCCCGAGGGTTCATGTTCGCCCAATTGATGTGGAACACCTGACCTGGGTCGGGTAGGGTGAGGGCAGCAACTTACATTCTCACAGCACAACGGAGGTCCTTGCCGTGCCTCCGGCTGCCTGGCAGCTGCAGCTGGACCCCATGGCCAAGTCTGTGCTTTCCTAGCAGCAAGCTACTAGCTGTCGCTCTCCCTCCCTCCCTCCCTTGGCCCGCAGTGTGAGGAGCAGCTGCAGCAGCTGCGGCAGCAGATGGCGCTGGAGGAGACGGACACCAAGGGCGAGCGGACCCGGGTGAGCCGCAGGGGCCAGGGTTAGGGGGTCCATTGGCCTGGGTTGTGGTTAAACGGGTCAATGGGCCAGGGTGAATCGGTTAATGTGTCGACGCCTAGGACTGGTGCAGCAACCGGAAATGGGTCCAGGACCGGGCGGCCGCTCCGGGCGGCCCTTTGTGGGCCTGGGTGAATGGGTCACTGCCTAGGGCTGGTGCGGAAGCAGGAGAGGGGCCTAGGTCCCGCCTCCCTGGCCGCCTTTGTAGGTGGCTTGATTTGCGGTTGCAAGCCGTCTCGCAGCGCAGTTGTAAACACACGGCTCAGTCCGTTCGCCCACCGCCCTAACCCGCACCCCCCACTCACCCCCCGCGCCCTGCCTCATGGACCTCATGGTGTTGCGTGCTTGTTCGTGTGAGCAGGTGGAGAAGTTCCAGCTGGAGTTGGACCGACTGGGTGCGACTCTGAAGCAGGTGGAGGAGTACAACGAGGCCATGAAGGTGAGAGCGAGGGCGCAGGCGCACCCTCATCTGGGTTCGCAGGGTTTACAGGAAGCGGCAACGATACGGGTCACACGCTTTTGGCTGATTGGTTGATACGGCTCGACATGTTCATGGCACGGCCGCGACCCACATCGGTTCATGTTGATGGGAGTTGCATGCCTTCGCCGCTGCTGATTTTAGCGTAATGGCTGCCCCGCTACATGTTGAGGGGCTCATACAACCGTTCGCGCTAGCCTGTTACTCGTCACTCTAACCTCTGGTGGTTTGTACTGCCCCCGTTCACTCCCTTACGCACCCTGTACGCTGCCCTGTGCTAACCTTGTACGCTGCTAACAGGGCGAGATTGCCGTGACGCGGCGTGCAGCCTACGCGGCGGAGGAGGCGGTCCAGAAGCTGGAGAAGGCCAAGATGGAGCAGGACTTCAGGTGGGGGGCGGCATGCGGCGGGGGGGGGCATGAGCGGGGTATTAGATAAGCTGAGCCACGAAAACGCTGGGGCAGCACTGGATCACAACGCCGCATTAGAACCGTCCGGCACAGCCCAATCAGTTGGTGCTGGTGATCGGTGTGGGCTGGTGTGGTTCCGAGCGGAGCCCTTGGTACCTGCCTAGGGCTTTTATGCGGGCACAGGACAGGTACCCAGCCTTGCATGGCATGTGTCCTAGGGAACGCAAATACACTTTTAGGAATGCCGGCTCTGCCTTTTTGCGTTGTCGTGGCACCACCAGCGGGTATGGCCCGTATCGTCGTATGACACCGCCGATGCTTCCATCGGTTAATAAGATTGGAAACCCTGCCTCCCTACCTGCCCCCCTACCTACCCCCCTACCTGCCCCAAACAGGATCGACACGCTCCAAGAGAACATGAAGAGCGCGCAGCAGCAGCTGGCGCTGGTGTCGGCGCAGCTGGAGGCGCAAAAGCGGGAGACGCGCGCCGCTCTGGAGACGCTGGCAGAGGCTGAGGTACGACGGTAGCGTCGCAGGCATGTCGTATGGAAACCGTGCCAAGCCAGGCCGCATGTAGTCTGGGAAAACCAAGGAACCGAGGAAGGGGACGTTTTGGCGTCGTTGAGACTCGATGCGGGGCTGGGGTTGCCGTGTCCGGCGATGCGTATGGATGACTGAAAAGCAGGTCCTTGTTGTTGTCGTCCTGTGTCTTGTGTTCACCCTCTAACAACGCGTGCCTGCAGGCGGAGATGGAGAACGTGCACTTTGAGAAGAAGCAGCTCGTGGCGCAATGGAAGAGCAGCCTGCTCGCCATCCAAAAGTGAGTTTGGAGCCCTACAACATTGCAAACGGGAGTTGTAATGCACTTGCTAGTGTGGAGTCAGGACTGTGCCACGCCAAAAGGCATGCTTTGAGGCCCCTTGACCATCTTTGTGCTTCATGGGATGGTCATGCTAGCCATGGCATGTTGGGGCTGGGGACTCAAGCTCCCGGTGGCTTCCCTCGCCGAGGTTCTGCACGGCACGCCAGCTAGGTCCTGAGGTCCCTAATCACGGTGTTGTTGCTCCCCCCAATGCACGAGTTGGCAAAGCTGGTGTCGTTGCTTCCCACCGCAGGCGCGACGAGGCCTTGTCAGCCATCCAGGACGGCATGCGGGAGCAGCAGCAGCAGGAGATGTCGCTCATGCTGGAGATCGAGGGCTACAAGAAGGTGCGCGCGTGCGTGTGTGAAAGGCATGCGTTGGGGCTTTGCAGTAGAATTCTACCCGCCCACTTGCTGCCGTTGGGCTTCGCGAGCCGTGTTGAATTGTGTCGGCAATGCAGCGCCCATAGCCGTCGGGAGAGACCCACATGACAAATAGTACATACAACCCTATATGCCTATTTCGTGCCCGTAGCCGTGTTGCCGCTCTTGCTGCCATGCGTCCCATGGGTCTTCCTAACGTGTTGCCGTGACGGTCTTTCGCGCCGTTCAGGACGTGGTGAAGGAGCAGCTGAAGCACGAGGCGCTCACGGCGGTGGTGCGCAAGGTGGAGGGAGACGCGGTGTTCGTGCAGAAGCAGATCGAGGCGGCGCAGGAGCGGCAGGTGCGTTGAAAAGGATGCCATGCAGTAGCAGCAGCAGCGTGACAGGGAGAGCCATGCAAGCAGCGTGATAGGGAAACCCATGCAGCCGCATGACAGGTGCAGCTTGCACAGCATGCTGCAAGGGTACGAGAGCTACATGCACAGCACACGCTGCTCTCTGCCTTGCTCCAAACGCATAGCTACCGGTAGTGCGCATAATCGTCTGCTGCCGTAACTGGCGCATTTGCCATCAAGGACGGAAGACCTGCTGGCCTGTCCCGGTGCCTACAACGTGTGGCCCCGCCATACGCCCTCCTCCCTTCCCTCCTGGCTTGCCAACATTCTCAGCAGCATTGACTTCATCCCTGTGTTTCCCCTACTGGCCCTTGACCCGTGGCACGGTACCTCTCCCGCCCGCACCCCTCCTCCTGCCCCCCCCTCCACAGGCTCGCCTGCAAGAGATCCTGGCCAAGCTGGCCAAGTCGCTTGAGCACACGGAGGCGGAGGTGGCGCGAGTCAACACAGAGAAGAAGGCGCTGGAGGTGGGTTGGCAGCGGGGGACGTGGAGGTGGGAACGTGGGTCAATGTGTGTCGGACTTCGTGGCGCTCGTTGGGGGCAACTCTACAGCAGCTGTTGGGAGTCTTGAGCGTGCTGCGAGGGGCCATCTCTCCTTAACGTTGCGACTCCCAGCAGCTCCCAGGGTGTTATTTTGCATCCGTCTAAACTTGCACCAGCTGATACTCGTGTGCATTCTCATGCATGCATAACACACACTCGTCACCATACTATCCAAAAGCCAACATGGTCTTTCCCTCTTTCTTTTCCTTCCCCCAACACCCCACGAAAAAAACACAGGGCGAGGCGGATGCGGTGGACCGCGCCATCACCAAGGTGGCCGCTGAGAGCCGCAACATCGAGGAGGAGATGCTGGCGGCGCTGTCGGACCAAACCACTGCGGAGAAGGCCACCTCCAAGACCGCCTCCGACACCGTGGACCTGCGCAAACGCATTCGCGCGGAGGAACTGGCGGTGGTGGAGACGGAGAACGAGTTGGCGAAGCTGCAGGTGAGGGCTGAGGAGAAGTGGTTTTAGGAGATTAAGACATTGCGAGAACAACGGGTGGAGAAGTAAAAGCCGCGGAATGTGTGTTGCCGGCAAGGGTGACCTGTGGCATGCGCATGAATGATTGTGTGAAAGCACGGGGCAGCGCAGTAACTGGCCTCATACTCTCATTATGGGTTACAGCATCGACCAAACCAACCAACTGACACGCCCGGGCTGTCCCTGGCTGTTTTGCAGGTGGACATCCTGAACACCGAGGCCCACAATACCCGGCTGGCTGAGACGCTGGGTCTGCTGGACGAGGAACTGCGTGACAAGGGGCGCACAATTGAAAAGTACGAGCTGGAGATCAAGCGGCGAAACGATGAGATCGAGAAGAAGACGCGCGAGATCGACATCCTGAACCGAAGGTGGGTTGTCACATGGGTGGATGAGTACTCTGGGTATTGTAGAGCCGGCATGCAAGCCAGGCGGCGCGGCTTCCAAGTACGCTTTCCTTCGTTGACGGCGGTCGCTTGCTTGCTTGCTTTACCTCATACGGTTGGCCCCCCCCCGCCTCCTTCGTCAGTGTCTCATATGTATTTTTTACCCCCGCCTCCTTCTCCTTTCTTCTTTTCCCCACCCGCACCCGCAGATATGAGCGCATCCTGGACGCCCGCGGCACGGGCGAAGAGACGGGGCCGCTGGAGGCGACCATCAAGAACCTGCAACGCGAGATCGACACCAAGGCGCAGGAGAGCAAGGAGCTGCAGCGGCGCTGGATTAACTACCAGCAGGTGTGTGCGGGGGCCAGCCGGAACCGAGGAGTAGAGGGTTGGATTGGATTGGTTTAGTATTAGGTAAGATTGGTTTGAAAGATGTACTTTGGATGGAGATACCGGTAACTTGCTGTGTTCACGCCGTGCTGTGTGCGGGCAACTGGGCTGCCGGCTTTTTGCCGTTTGTGTGCGTGTTTCTTGCGACCATTAACCAACCAGCCTCGTAACCCACATGCGTGTCTACACGCGTGCGTGCGTGTCTTCGTGTTCAGGAACTGGTGAGCCTCCAGAACGAGAACGGTGTGCTGACGGAGACGCTGTCGCGGCTGCGAGCAGAGCACACCGTGCTCTTCCAGAAGAAGCGGTGAGTCGCTGTCCCCAACCACGTATCCGCGTATTCTTGCATGGCGGTGGCTGGAACTGCCTAACAGCTGAAGCCTCCGACACCTGACATCCAGTGCAGACACCTAGCGTCGTGCTTGCAAGCTGCAGCCCTCCTCACATTCACCTTCAACGCGTCCGTGCTGATTCCTCCCGTCCCCGCAGGCGGCTAGAGCAGCAGCTTGAGGGCCAGGACAAGGCCATCAAGGCCCTGGAGTCGGGCATGGGTCGCCTGCATGTGGACTTGCAGCGCGTGAACGGCCTCATCGCCACCAACGCAGCTGCTCGCGCGGCTCTGGCGGAGGACAACTTCAACCTGGAGGGGCGGATCATGGCGGACCTGAAGCTGATGGAGGAGGAGGCGGCACGGCTGAACAGCCAGATTGAGGAGGTAGGGCGTGCGGAGGTGGGGGGCGCTCTCGCGTTTCAGAAGGCAGGCAGGTTTCAGCAGGTGGAGCTTCCTGGCAATTATAGGTTCTTGATGCGGCCTGGGATGAGGCTCCCGGGTGCGGGGACCCTGGGGATTGATCGCGTTCTTCCTTGTTGGTATTCGGGAAGGGAGCCTTTCTTGGGTTTGGGAAGTCCTAGCCCGTATACCCCATACCCACCTCTTCACCCCTTGTCCCAGTTGCAATACCGGTACCCCACGCCACGCACCACCAACGCCATACACCCCCCACGTCCTGCTCTTCCTCGCAGGGCCGCTCCACCAAGCGCGACACGCTGTCCGAGATCGTGGAGGCCGAGCGGCAGATTATGCTGTGGGAGCGCAAGATCCAGCTGGAGAAGGAGATGGCGGAGGTGCTGGACCCCACGGTGGGGCAGGACGTGGTGGCGGAGATGAAGAAGGAGATCCACCGAATGCAGCTGCGGCTGGGCGAGCTCATGAGGCTGCAGGTGTGTTTAAGGGGGGGGTGCATGGGGGTGTATATGCCGGTATACCGGTGTAGCTAGTGCTGCTGCTTGGGATATGCTCATGTACATGACGCCGGCGCAGGCGACGTGTATCGTGCAGAATGCCTCCCAATGGCGGCCCCATGTGATCCATAGCGACACAGCCTGTACGCACCACATCCCCGTGCGCATCACGGATACCGAGATACGTATCTTCGTCACCAATTCCTACCCTCCTACCCTCCCTTCCTGCCCGCAGGAGAAGCTGGTATCCGACATGGAGAAGGCGCTGCTCAAACGCGACATCATCACCGTCAAGGGCCGAGCCACGGTGGCCAAGGGCAAGGCCAGCGCCCCCAGCAACCTCGCGGGCAACAGCTCCCGCACCTCCCCCGCCAGCTCCGCCATGTCGCCCCTCACACGCAACCAGCTGGATAAGGCCACCACCGACCTCGCGCGATCCATCAAGGTACCGGTGCCAGTCAGCCGGGCCGGGCTGGGGGCCTCTGCGGGGCCGTGCAGCCGGGGGCCTACCTCATGTGTTAGCTTGGCTACCGTATTCCTAGCTCTGCGGCGGTGGCATGGTTGGGACAGCGTTGCACCAAAGGGCTGAAAAGGCGGCTCGATTGCGGCAGTTTGATGATGCGGCACTCCTAACGACCTGTTTAGGCCATTGCATGGCGGCGTCCTAGGATTCCCTGGATGCTGCCCCTTCATGCATGCGTTACATCTACTAAATCCTCACTTGGGTCTCCATACCAACAACACGTCTGTGTATTTGAGCGGAAACAACACGTATGTGTATGGTTGTTGTGCAGGACACGGAACGCGAGATCACTGCCACCGAGCAGCGCATTTCGGTGCTGGAGCAGCAGCGGGCGGCGGTTTCGGAGGCGGTGGCCGCCACGGACGCGGCCTGCCAGCAGCTGCGGGGCAGCGAGGAGGTGTTGCGGCTGGAGACGGTGTCAGCGGTCAACAACCGCTACGGGCTGCTGCTGGCGACGGCGCGGGCGCAGCGGACGACGAAGCGACTAGAGGTGGGGCGGGAGAGGGGGGGTGCCAGGGGGAAGGGTGCATGGAATTGCGCGACGCTCTCGGCTCGGCTTTTTGGAGGGGTTATGCGGTTTAAGAGATCTCTTGCCTAGTAGCATACCTTTGGACCAGCCATCACGCGGACTGCCTTATCGGTACTTCTGTTCCACATCTTCCTATCTTTAAACCCTGCCTGCTCGTCTTGAACCCGCCCGCCCGCCTGTCTCCCCCAGGACCTGGAGTCGGGTCGCTACCGGCCCGTGGTGGAGGACCCGGGGGCGGTGGCAGCAGAGCTAGCCAAGGCGCAGGTGCGTGTGCAGCGGCAGGTTTAGGAGGTTACAGGATTGGGGCGCTAGAGGATTGCAGGTAGCAGGGGATGGATACTCCGCACATCCGCAGGTTTAGGGGAGGGGCCACAGCTTCCTAGCGGGGGTAGCTTTCGCACGCCCGTACAGATGCAGATGGAATTGCAAAAGGCACTGCCTGCAAAGGGCATTGCCTCCACGTGCCCTGTACGTCTGGCCGCACCCTGGTTGTCGTTCCGCTTCCGCTAACAACCCACGTGGCCATGTCGCCTCGGTAACCCACCCCTCCATGCACACCGCTGTACCCTCCCAACCCCTTTTTCATTGCTTCCATTTTCCTTTGTTCCTTACCCTCTTCTGCCATTCCTCCTGCCCCCCCTCAAAACAGGACAAGCTGGGTCGTGTGGTGGGGCTGCTTGAGAGCCTGAAGGCCGCTGCGCCGCATCTGTCCGGGGAGTTAGACAAGGTGCTGTGCCACGTGGCGGATGTGCGTGGGTGATGCTGGGCGGGGAGTGGGAGCTGCAGTAGGGAAGAAGACCCTTGGAGGAGCTGTAAATAGGGGAGTACTGAACACTGCCTGGGCAGACGAGGACACGTAGGGAGGGAGTGGAAGGAAAGGGTGAGGGACTAGGGGCCGGGGAGATGGGGAGGAGCCGGATGGGTGGATGTCAGGTCACAACTTGACCAGGGGTTTGGGCTTGAAAGTATTCTGGCAGGGAACCGTTGGGAAACGGACACGCGTGACCACGTTTGTAGCACGGCCGTGGGTAGCGAGCCGAACCTGTGAAGGAAACTTATTGGGCTGTGGCACGAGAGTTGGGATTTTGGAGTGAGCAGTCGGGGCAATCTGGTGCTTTAAGGAGATGCGAGGCCTCCTATCTAAGCCGTCCAAAGCGGTGTATAGGTGATAGACTGGACAGACGGCACTGATTGCTTCTCTGGGTAGAACTGAAAGGTTGGGAACACGGAAAGCACTGCTGAACTGCAATTGTGGCAAGCTATGCGTGAGCTGGTAATGATTGTGATCTGAGTTTGTGGCATTAATAATCCCCTTGTTTGTGGGAATGGACCTGGGCAGGCTTGCAGGGCCAGCAGGCCTGTGAGCTCCCCATAGTTTATACGTGCTTGCTCTATCTATGGGTCGCTACTTTGCATGATAACTGATTTATAGCTTCTAGGTTTGGACTTGTCTGAGCCGGCGCGTTGGCTAGTGCAACCCCTAGCTCTGTACATAGGGTTTGGGAAATTTCGTATGTACTGATGTGAAGTGGGCGGTGGAAGTCAGCTAGCTGGCTGAACCCCTGATGGGGGTCGCCGCGGGTGATTTTGTTTTAGGGGTGTGGTACGGAGGAAGTTAGAAGGAAAGCGGTGGAATGGGATTCGAAATCCGTAAAGGGGGTCATACACTCCGTCGTGTTTTACGCCAGGAGCCATTGTTACCGGGTATGAGGAGTGCTTCTTGGTGCAGCAAGTCGATGACGACAGCCCCTCCTCAGCAGCGTGGGCTGGGATGCCGTCGTCCAGCGGGTCAGACCACTCGTCATGTGCCTTCTCCTGCTGCTCGGGATCAGAGCCACCGTAAACGTCTCCCGGAAGCCGCCGTACTACCTTCCTCTCCCCAGCTGAAAGCTTCATCAACGCTGGCAGCTGCCAAGTAAGCGCAGCACCACCCTTGTCCTCCTTGCTGGTGAAGTTGCTAGGGTCCAGGTAGTACGCTACTGCCAGGGTCGCAGCATCGTAGGTTGTGCTCTTGTAGGGGGGTAAAGAGGAAACAACTAACTGACCGTGTGATTAGGTGTCATCATGGTATGCAACACGTGAGCCTGCCTGACCCGCCCAGCCCGACTATTGTAGCAGGGTTGATGCAGTCAGGTATCAGTGAAGGTATGGCCAGGCAGGTGAACGCAGCCAAATACCACTACTTAACGACTGTTGGCTTCCTGCCACCAATGCGATTAGTAATTTAGTCTGCCAGATTGTCCAGCGGCTAGTTACGAAACAGCTGGTTGTGAGGCCGGCTTCAAGGGATGAGTCTAGGAACCCTTGCAACTTGCAAGCTCGGTCCCCTTCAGTAAAAAGCTTCGGAGCCTACATGTTGTACAAGCGGAGATTTCCTAGCATGCTGACATCAGTTGCAAAGCCGCTAACAAATTGTTTGCATTCCTTTCAAAGAGCAACCAGGTGTCTCATGCGCGCTTTCGGCTTGCATTTTAGCCGGGCAACAGCGCTTCGTGCACGTATTTTCCAGCGGCCTAACTTGCAACAAAGGTTTGCGACCATGGACAAGTCAGTAACGGTTAGTAAGCAAAATCTGTAATTGACATCCGTACGCCCTACCGCAACGCGCCAGTCGCCACGCTTCATCACCCACATCCCTTCGTGCAGTACAAGTTTGGACCACACCCCATCCCCGGATCTCACGTCTTTGCGCTAACGGACCTGTCATACGGGTTTGTCAACCTAAAACCCGTCGTGCCAGGTGACGACCTGGCTAGGGCTGCCTCTGTGTTGGTGGGCATGTAGGTGGCCACCTACATGCCTGCATGCACCCAACCTAGGACTTCAGCACGAATCTGCGCACGGCATCAGCCCAGCAACCAGCTAACTCTCCACTCGCAGGCCACGTGCTCGTGAGCCCCAAGCGCCAGGTGAAAAGGTTCGCGGACTTGTCGCCTGAAGAGGTTTCTGACCTTTGGTAAGCCCTACGGAAGTGCTTCCTATGAAAGCCTGTGGGCCCAAGCAAAACCACCCTGCCAAGCTTGATCCCCCGGTGCCGGTACTCGGCATGACACACGGTAGACGGCCGCTAATGCGGCTGCTACAGCTGCTGCTGCTGCTGCTGGCAGTGACGCCGCTACTGCCGCCGCCGCTGCCGCTGCCGCTGCTGCAGGCTTCTAGCTCAGCGGATAGGTCGGGTGGTGGAGGGGCGGTACGGCGCGCAGTCACTGACGCTAGCCATCCAAGACGGCCCCATGGCGGGTGGGTGGGGGCGGGAAAACTAAACCATGTAGCGGGGGGGTTGGGTGGCTTAGGTGGTAAACGGTCGCTTTAGCTAGGGTACCGGATCTAAGGGAATGGCGTTTGAAACCAAGTGCGTAAAACCTCTCGAAACGAGGTGTGGACACGGCAGACGACAGCTGGGCACCCAACTAACCTGAATTAAAAAACTTCACGGCACTACCGTACTCCGTACAGGCCAGACCGTACCGCACGTGCACATCCACATCCTGCCGCGCAAGGCGGGAGACTTCCCCAAGAACGATGAAGTGTACGACGCGATTGATCAGGAATCGGCCGAGTACAAGAAGGCTGTCAGGTGAGGGGGCATGCCCGCATGCGGGGTTGGACGGTTAGTTTCCAGGTCGCCAGCCACGAACTCACCTACCTGGAGTAGTAGGCGAAAGAGGTACAAGCGAGGCGCCCTTTTCCGCATGCTCTAACCGCTACCCGCTGCTGCACTTCCGCGCTGCTGTCGCAGCAGCAACAGCAACCACAGCAGTGGCGGTGGGCAGCCGGAGAAGCTGGATCTAGACAAGGAGCGGCGGCTGCGAACCGACGAGGAGATGGCGGAGGAGGCGGATGTGCTGCGGGCGCTACTGCTGTAGAAGTGGCTGGGGTGCCGTACGCTTGCTCCGTGTACGGCAGTACGTTTTGTACGGTAAAGTGTGATACCGGTTGTACGACCGGGCGTACCGTCAAGTTCCGTTTGGTTAATGTGGTACCGGCCGTACATGGCGAGGTACGGCAGCGCATGCTGAGGTGGTGTTGGTAGTTGGGTGGGAATTTCGCACCGAGGGAATTGTGAAGAGAGGCGAGGAGGGGGAATGGAAAAGGGGAGGGAACGTAAGAGGCTGTGTGTTGAAGAGCGAGGCAGGGAGCGCACATGTCCAGGAAAAGGAAGTTTGTAGACGGGTAGATGCATGCAAAGCTCGAGGGTGGTGTGGTGCGGCAGGAGCGCGTGTCTGTTGGTTGCGTACGAGGGGATGCCGTGATGCATCTCGCATTCGTACATGTCCTGGTTAGGTTGGCTTCTGAGGATCAACGTGACAGGTGGCTGAGGTTAATTTCTTAGGGCACCGACAGCATGGTGGCTTGGTGATGCTTATCAGAGCAGCAGAGCTACTTGTGTGCGGGAAGAAGCTAGCATGAGAGGATGACAGAGACCCCAGCGAGTCAAATGCCATGCTCTCCATGGTTGTGGTTGCTGCGTTGCGATGGTGCTTCAGGCGCTTGTGGAAAAGATTTGTGATTAAGGTCGGTATCTGAGTGTGTTAGCAACGGTGTACCAACAAACATATCGTCAAAAGTTGACGCAAGAGCGGGCATGTCCAGATGTCGCTTCGGCCTGCTACCCAATGAAACTTCAAATATTTATTGAAAGAGTAAGGCGACAACCGTATATTTACACCCAAAGCCTAGATATCTAGATCAGGCCAGCGTGAAAACACGCGTCACACTGAAGCCATCCAAACCCAGACCAAAGCAGAGATACGTACGCACGTACAAATGATGCGATTGCGCGAGTTAATGTTACTACTTCTACTGTCTTACGGCGTCGTCTTTGTGACGAGTACGGTTGAAGGCCGTACGGCAGAGGCGTACGTATGTACACATGTGCGCCGGTGCCGTGAGCCTAAACAGCACACACGCACTTGGCCTACCACCTCGTAACTGCCTTTGTATGTTTGCTATACTACATTGCTGGTTTGGACGGTTACGGGTTACAGTAGGGATACGAGACAACCAGGAAGCCATGTACAGTTAACCGCACCTAAGCCCAAACACATTTGCAACTGTACAAGGTTACGTAAGCGTGTACAGGTCACGGATAGTAGTCAGGCGCGGTACACTCGCGCAGGCCTTCGCACTTCCAGCAGAAAGGGCACACGGGGATGAGCTCAGCCAAGGCTGGGGTGCTTCAGCTAGCATCACAGGCTGGCGAGGTGCGTCGTTCGCCTTATGCAGCCTGGTTCGCCCTTGGGTTGCGACTTGGAGAGCGTCAGCGAACTGTGCATTCTATGCTTTTTAGATTCGGTGTCTTACCCGTTACTGCGGCTATGCTGAAAGGGAAATGCAACTGCGATATGCGAGGGCCGTGGAGAATGATGGCGTGTGTACTGCTAGGCTAGTTGACCGCTGTGTACAGCGTTGTATTGCCGGATCACCTAATGCCTAGGGTCTTGGCCTATTTTTTAATTCGACTAAGCTGCTTCGTGGCTATCATCAGCAGGCCCCGCGTCGGCGCATGCTCGTTCCTGGCCCCTGACTTTCTACCAGAACCCCTTACTTTGATTGCAGCAAACAAACTGTTATATCGACGTTGCTCGCATTTTGGTCCTGGGCACAAGATCGTTTTACAACAACAGCACATTTTCAGACATTACTCTGGTCTACCCTGATGGTCGCCAAGTACGATGTCACCAAGTCCTACTCTCCGCCTCCAGCAAGCGCCTCGCATCCGTCCTAAAAACAGGTAATCCCTCTCGCCATGCATAACCCCTAAACCACAATCTGCTGCTATCGCCCTCTCATTTTCAGCAAGAGCACCTTGCTAGGGGTGCTTGTCCCCCCCCGCATCCCCCGCTCATTAGTTGCCCCGTCAGTTTTCCGTATATTTACCCCGCCCCTCCCCCGCTCAGGTGACTTCACGGGTGCCCGGCTGCCGGTCCAGGGGGTGGACAGCGACGCCCTAGATGCGCTGGTGGAGTCGTTCTACACGGGGGAGTGCCCGCTGTCGCTGGACACCGCAACACACATATACGATGCGGCGGTGAAGCTGGAGGTGTGTGTGGGGGGGGGGGAGCGGAAGAGTGGGGAGGGAGGAAGGAGGGGCAGCTTGAGGGAGGACGGAAAAGAAGGGGAAACCGTGTGGTGAATGAGGAGGAAGGGGGGAGGGAGGGAGGGAGGGGCAGCTTGTGGTGATGCAGCTGCAATCGTGTGGTGACACCTGCGGAGGAGGGAAACGGGTGGCGCAAGGAGGGCACCGTCCTCCTCCTCCTCTCGTACCCCATGCCGGCATGCAAGTAGACACCCCAGTTACGCTTCTCAGCAACCGAGGTTAGCTACCTGAACCCTGTCCGCCTCCTTCCCTTCCCCCGCCCGCCTCTTCCCCATCCGCCATCCCCCATCTCTCCACCCCACCCCCCCTCACCCCCCCCCCCCCCCAGGTCCAGGGCCTCCCAGCCGCCATCGAGCAGTTCCTTGCCGCCCAGCTGAGCCCCGCCAGCGCATGTGGGGTGCTGGAGCGGGCGCTGGCCGCCAAGACGGGCCGGCTGGCGGAACTGTGCCTGCAGTACATCCGGTCCAGGTGGGGGTGGGGGGAGGGGGCGGCAGTACATCCGGTCCAGGTGGGGGTGGGGGGAGGGGGCGGCAGTACATCCGGTCCAGGTGGGGGTGGGGGGAGGGGGCGGCAGTACATCCGGTCCAGGTGGGAGTGGGGGGAGGGGGCGGCAGTACATCCGGTCCAGGTGGGGGTGGGGGGAGGGGGCGGCAGTACATCCGGTCCAGGTGGGGGTGGGGGGAGGGGGCGGCAGTACATCCGGTCCAGGTGGGGGTTACGTAAACTGAACCGCGGGAAATACTGGCCCTGTCCGGGTGGTGTCAAGGTGGGGGGAGGGGGCGGCTCGTCTCGTGGTGCCGGTACCCTATCTTGGACACCCGTGGGGTTTTTTATCCCATCTGCCACCTCCCTCTCCCCACCACCACCGGCCTAATGCGGAATATGTATCCCTGTTTACCCTCCCCAAAACTCTCCCCTCCCAGGCTGTCCGATGTGTTGCAGACCCCCGAGTTCGGGTCCTCCAGTCTGGATGTGGTGGTGCAGGTGTGCGCCGACCTGGCAGCTCGCCACCCGCCGCAACTGGCGCTGCAGGTGGGGGCTGGGTGGGTGGGTGGGTGGGTGGGTTGGCCTGGGTGGGGGGCAAAAGAAGAAGACCCATGTATTGAAAATGGGTTGGGGCGAGGCAGTGGCGACAGGTAAAAAAGGGGTTTAGGGAAGACCACGACTCTACACTGACTCAGCAAACCCCACCCAACAAGTACTGCTACGGTACCCCCCGACACCTGCCGGGTGCTGCTATACCCGACACCTGCCGGGTGCTGCTATACCCGACACTTGCCCCCGGGACACAGGTGGCCGCTGCCTGGCTCCGCGGCCCCCCCTCCAACAGCACCACCACCAGCAGCAGCAGCTCAGCCGTCAGTCGCCTGCGGCAGCTACCCGCCCTGGCGGAGCAGCTGGGGGTACCCGCGGAGGTGCTGCACGCCTACATGCGGGCTGCTGCGGGGGGGACTGCTGCAGGAGGAGGAGGAGGCGCCAGCAGCAGCAACGGCGGCGGCGGTGCGAATGGTATTGGCGTTGTTGGCGGCGGTCCGCTGTCCTTGTTGGGTGGCGAGCCGTCGCCCCTGGGGGGAGCCGCCTGGGACGCTTCTCCTGCGCCGCCGCCGCCGCCTCAGCTGTCGCTTGCCTCCCTGCCGCTGCTGCAGCTGCTGCCGCCGGGTCAGCTGCAGCAGCTGGGTATGTCGGCGGGTTGCGGTGCAACGGGGGCGGCGGCGGCAGCAGCAGCAGCGGCTCAGCTGCTACAGCTGCAGCAAGGCGGCAAGGGCAGCGGCGGAGGCGGTAGCGGAGGCTGTAGCGCGTCTGCGTTACGCGGTCTGTTAGAGGAGGAGGCTGCTGCTGCTGCTGTTGCTGCTGCTGTTGCTGCTGCGGGCGGAGGTGGCGGTGGCGGCAAGGGAGGGGTCGTGGGTGGTATCATCAGTGGCAGCGGCGGTGCTGGGGCTGCCGGGGGTGAGAGCGCCACCGGTGTTGCGTTGGGTTCGCGGTTGGGCAGCCTGGGCGGGGGAGGAGGAGGAGGAGGGGGCTTCAGAAGGGAAATGGAGGAGAGCGGTACGGGTTTGCTAGCGGAGGCGGTGGCGGCGGCGACAGCAGCGGGGCGCGTCAAGCGGGCTCGTATTACTGACGACGGACGGCGCAGTAGCGGCTGGGAGCTTGGTAAGAAGTGTTTGGTTGGGGGTAAAGAGGAAACAACTGACTGACCGTGTGATAAGGCGTTGGCAGGGGGCGTCAGCTTGGAATGGGGTTATTACTGCTGTGCGCGTGTGTTTAGGAAACTGGCCGGGCGAGTCGGAACGTACTGTCAGGAAGATGGGGAGAGGGCTATGAAGTTTCGCAGGAGTCTCCTGTCCATGCTCACCGCTGCCCTCCTGGCTGTCGCAAGCCCTTGTACGGTGACCCTGATTCCTTAAACCCTTACTAACGTAAACCCCACCACGCGCGCGCCTCACGCTACCCCCGCAGAGTCCTCCTCGTTTGGCGGCAGGGGGGTTGCGGGTCTGGCTGGGGGTTTCCCGGGGGCTGAGCAGGAGCTGTTGATGCTGACCTCGCTAGCAGGCGGCGGCGGCGGTGGCAGCAACAGCGGGGCAGCTGCTGCTGCTGCAGCTGCCGACGGATCCTCCATGCAGCTAGCGCTGCCGCCGCCGCTGCCCCCCCTGCATCAGCAGCAGCAGCAGTCCTCGTTCTCTGACCCCGTAGCGCCGCCGCCGCCGGCTCTACACGGCAGGGAGCGTAGGACAGCCCAGGTGTGTGTTAAGAAAACTGGCCGCGAGTAGGAACGTACTGTGAATGTCGGAAGATGAAGTCCCCACAGAACCGCCGCAGGAGCCGAGGAATATTGTAGCGTATGTAGATATAGAAGTCCAGTACTGGTGCTGAGAGTAAGTAGGACGTAAGAAGCATTCTCGGAAAACGACCGGACCTAGTGTGTGGGGAGGTGTTAAAAATAACAAAACTGACGAACTGCGTGGGTCGCGTTGTCTTCCCTCCGGTCGTTGGTACTGGTAATTTGTGCAAGGGGGTAGGGGGTAATGCACATCCCCTGCACATCCAATACTGGCTCTTGGCGGGTGTCGGCTAATAAGTCCCAAGCTTATAAACCCGTAGCTTTACCACCGCTCGTTCCAGACCGCTTTCCTGTCCGCCTGTCCGCGCCCCTGCTGCCCCTGCCCCTGCCCCTGCCCCACTGCTGCTGCCCCCCCGCCGCAGCTGAAGGGTGTGTGCCACGTGGAGGGCTGCCTGCAGGACCTCAGCGGCCTGCGGGATTACCACCTGAGGTACAAGATATGTGAGTAGCTGGGGGTCCATTCACCAGTGCTCTCTCCCCTCGGACAGCGTTAGTTCCTGTTCTCTGTTAGTTAGTTCCTCTCTGTTCGGTCCCAGCCGTGTCCCTCCCTCTCTCTTTTTCCGCCCGCGGCGGTGGTGGTTGTCCCCGTTTCCTCGTACGCATCGCGGCTCAGTTTATCTCTTGAGTCTTCCTCCCCTCTCTCTTTTTGGGCCAACGCCGGCGGCAGCGGCGGCGATGTCCCCCCCGCCCGCCTGCAACAAGTTTGACTATACGCGATCCTACAATGCAGCCGGATGCGGAATATGTATGGATGTATCCCCAATACCCCACCCCCCTTCTCATTTATCTCCCCCCCCCCCGCGGGCCCGCAGGCGAGTACCATCTGAAGGTGGGGTCCGTGTTGAAGGACGGGGTGGCACAGCGCTTCTGCCAGCAGTGCGGCCGCTTCCACCCGCTCACGGAGTTCGATGGAAACCGCCGCTCCTGCAGGACCATGTAAGTGTGCGTGTGTGCATGTGTGTTAAGAAAACTGGCCGCGAGTAGGAACATACTGTGATTGTCGGAAGATGATGTGCCCACCAAAAAGAAGTGTGCACCTGTATGTGTTGGGTGTGGGTATCGCGAAGCGCGAAGGACGAGGCGTCCCCGCTTTGTTGTGTGTTTCCTCTTTCACGACGGTAGTCGCCTTTCTAACAGTCTCTCACGACAGCCTCCCATGGCATGCCATCTTAGCTCCAACGATGGGGTCTTGTAGAGTCCTTGCGTCTCCTGACCTTCCCGGTCGCTGCCGCGCGCCTCGTGCGGTTTCGTTGCCTTCAATGCAACCAGGTTGGCTCGGCACAACATGCGTCGAGCCAAGAAGCTAGGACAGGGCTGCGGCGCTCTGGGCGACGACGGCGGCATCAGCAGCACTGCTGCTGCTGTGGGTGGCGGCGGTCTGCTGCAGGGCGGAGGAGGGCTAGGTGCTGCTGCTGGTGGCGGTGGCGGTGGCATGCTGGGCGGTGCAGCAGCAGCGGACCTAGGCGCGCAACTGCTGCAGCAGCTGGGGCCGGCGGGGCTGGCGGCAGCCATGGCCTCTCTAGGCGCCGCATCCCACCACCCCCACCCCCAGCAACAGCAACAGGGCCAGCAGCATCAGCTGATGGGGGTGGGAGGGGGGGCGGGCGGGCTGGTCCCGGGGGACGCGGTGATGTTATCGGAGGCGGTGGCGGCGGCGATGGCAACGGCGGGAATCCCAGCTGCAGGGGGCAACAGCGGCGGCAGCGGAGGTGGCAGCGGAGGTGGAGGTGGCAGCGGAGGTGGTGGTGGAGGTATTGGAATGGGTGCCATGCGTGGGCTGAATGAGTTGCTGGAGGGGCTGGGTCGGGTGGGAGGCAGCGGCGGGGGGGCGGGTGCGGCGGGCGGTGGGGGAATGTCGCTGGGAGGAGGAGGAGGAGGAGGAGGAGGGCGGCCCCCTAGCGGGCAATTGAGTAGCCTGTTGAAGGCTATCGCTAGTAACGGCGCTGCTGCTGCGGCGGCGGCGGCGGCGGTGGAGGAGATGGGTGATGCTGGGCGGGTGAAGGAGGAGGAGGAGGAAGCAGGGCGACGGTATGGCGATGAGGGGGAGGAGGATAATGAGGATGGTGAGGAGGAGGAGGATGCGGCGGCAGCGACAGCAGCAGCCCGAGCGCGGGGGGATGCAGTTGCAGCGCTAGCGGCGCTGGTTGCGGCAGCGGATGCGGACATGGCTGCGGGCCGGGGTCCGGGCGGGGTCGGGGCGGTGAAGTGCGAGCGCCGCAGCAGCGGGGGCGGCAGCAACGCCAGCAGCAGCTGTCAGGAGCGAGGAGGAGGGGGAGGAGGAGGCGGGGCGGGACAGCAGGGAGGGGTGGTGAAGGTTGAAGGGCTGTGAATGCGCTGAAGGATACCGGTATGTACGGGCGGTTCCTACGGTATGGATGTACGGAGGGTTTGCCGTGGGTTAGGGTTTGGCTGGGGGAGTATGACTACCGTACAGGTTTGGATTGAGATATGACGGACGACTATACCGAGGATAGTACGATCATAATATGACGGAGGATAATGCGGTAACGGTATTTTGTAGTCGTCGTACTGTAGCCTGCACAAGCGCTGCGAGGTGCTCATGAGATGGCAGAGCACTAATTTCAAATTTTAAACATGACGGACGTTGACAGCTGGGCATCCTGTGACGACGAGATGACGTGTTTTCTTGAGGGCTTTGGGGCTTTTGGTTTTGCGGGAGGTATTTTGCGGATGTGCTGCTGTCTGTCTGTGCATGTGTATGGTGCTGGAGCATTAAAGGTACAAGGTTGGCTGAATATGGTATGGAGTGGTAGGCTGGTATGGATGCGACACAGCGACACAGATGTGCATGCATTTTGCGACGAGAACTGAGATGCTGCTGCTGTGTTGTCGTCCGTGTTCGCGCAAGAGCTGTTAGACTTGCTATACTTTATTCACGCCAAGGGGGTGGCCTTGATGCTTTTGTTGGAGCCTGCCGCCGTTGGGAGATAGAAGGGTGGATGTCTTGGCGTTCCATGCAGAAGCGCTGCCTATCTCCTGTTGTCGTAGAACACATGGACGTGACACTTTTGTGCTTTGGGGGACAATGCTGCGTGAGCCGATGTGAGTTTCAGTCTATTTCGAAAACCCATTTGGTATACAAAAGGAACGGAACCACAAGCGGAACGCAATACCGGTAGAGGTGCGCTTAGATCTGCACCCCACGGGCTGTATTGGACTGGCGTCACGTCTATGCCTGTCGTGTTGTCCATCTGCCATGCATGACCTCCGTTAACTGGCGGCTTCCGCCTAGGATACTGCTACCTCGTCGAGACCAGGGTGTTGATGTTGTAGGTTTGTACGGCATGCCTTGCAGTACGGTATGCTTCGCTGTACGCCATGCTTTGCAGTACGGTATGCTTCGCTGTATCTATGCGGCTGGGGACAACGGTTACTGTCGTGTCGTGTTACGCTGTGTCGTGCGTGGGCAGGTTTGCCGTGCAATTGGTTGCAAACTTGCTCGTAAATAAACAACAACACGACGTGTTAACACCACCACAACACAGGGCTGACACCGCTGTCTGCAGTATACACCGCGTGCCACACGCCTTCCCTGCTACATCCACACGCGGGCGGAGGTCTGAAGCGCTGAACGGGCGCGCTGGAAGCCCCCCGGGGCCCATGTTGCATGTTGGGACTTCTTTGAACACCCGTGAGGGCAGCAAAATCCACAACAAGATACCCTACCGTTAGGCGTGTAAACGACGTCCACGCATTGCCGGTATGCAATTGTAAATCCAGTCATCGAAACCCAGTCATCCCGTGTCGCCACCCTCGCAAGGCGGGCACACATCTCCGCCCCCCAGCCTGCTGGCAGGTGTTTTAGCATTAGCGTTCCTGCCTCACCCTCTCGCATGTGCCGCAAGCAAACCAGCATCACAGCCCGGCTACACGTCAATAATCTCCTCCTCTTGCTGCTGGTTGTTGTTGTTGTTGTTTGCAGCACTGCCCATCAGGTTCTGTTGCAGTCGCCGCCGCTTCTTCGCTCGCTCCACCTCGGTAGCCGGCACCAGGTCACAGGCGCGCAGCAGCTGCGTCACACCTGTGCGGGCAGGGGCGGTGCATGGGCAGGGCGTCACAGGGCAGACAGGAATGTACCGATAAACAGCCCGTTCAAAACTTCAAATCCGTTGCTGGTGGGGACAGCACATTGCGAGTGAGGGTATAGAGGGCGATGGGGAGTTGGGGCGGCAGGTTGCCATAAAGCAAGAGGTAACCCACATGCCCCCCACGTGTGCCCCCACCCCCACCCACCTGCCACCGGGTGTTTGTGTCCGTGCGGGTGGTGTCGCAGGTACTCCATCACGGCGCTGTGCTCGTACACGTAACCCAGCGGGTCCTTCACGGGGCGCTGCAGATCCAGGACCTGCATGGGCGGGAAGGAGGGGAAAAAAGAATTTCCAAAGTGTGGTGTGATAATGATACAATGACTCCGGGAAGGAGGGGGGGGCGAGGAGGCAAGGGGGCGGGGGGGAGTCAAGGGGGCGCATGCGGGGAAATGATGTTGGGTGGTAAGGGATCAAAGACCGCATGCAAAACCACGGGAAAGTCAAGTAGGGCAACGCAATGGGCGGAGGGCCCTCATTCCCCCCCGCGTCCTCCCACTGAGTTGCCTCACTTCTCATCTATCCTTTCCTCCCTCCCTCATCCCCCCCCCACTCACCTCCTTCATGCTCAGCGGGCACTTGTCATTGGTCCACTGCCGCCCGCTATCCTCGATCTCCAAATCCTCGTCATCTCCAAGCTCCTGATCCCCACCACCCTCCCCGCCACCTCCTGAAGGGCCCCCCGCGTCCCCCGCCAGCGGCCCCACCGCCTCCAGGAACTCTTTCATGTGCCCGTCCGAGCGCGGGTTGTACCTGTTTGTGTGTCGTTTTTGTTGTTGCAGACATGCCAAGGGATGGGGGCACAAGATTCCTTGACTTAGCGGTGACTGATAGAGGAAACTCTACCTGTGCTTGGAAGCACCAGTAATGTAGGAGGAAGACAGGATGAGGGCAGGGAGACACGAACAAGGACTGGGGAAGGTAGGAAGAATTGGGCTAGGGGTGGGGTCGCGGGTGGAGGCGGGATGCGAAGGGTTGCTGCTTGGACGACCCGGTCAGCATGCCCGCATGGTTATATGAGGATGTATGAGTGGGCACATCTGGGCACATGGCTCCATGTGTGTGCAAGGCGGCGTGCCTAAGCGGGTGAGGGCTGTTGGTTGCGTTGGTGGAGTGCTGGAGTGCTGGGATGGGTTACCGGTAGTTGAAAAGCAAACTACATGTGGGTGCTGTGGGAGCTGCTACTACTCACGGGTTGCGCTGCAAGTGGTCTTTGAGCCGCTGGTCCAGCACTGCCTGGAAGTCTGTGGTAGCTAGGGAGGCCTGCGATTTGGACCGTGACAGCCTAGTCAGATTGCATGCGTACAGATTTCGGGCATGGAGGCACCGGGCGGAAGGAAGGTTAATATATCGACAGTCACCAACACTTCCCCGCATATGGTTATCACACGTTTAATCATACGTTTAGATGGCCTATGAGTCGTTGCCCGCTCGCTTACCGCATATGACTGGTCGTACGCTTTCAGCACTTCTTGGTGTGACCGCACCTCGTGAGCGAGCTTACCAAGGTTGCCCATCAGCTCTTTGTAGGTTGCTACCTGTTAACAGACCACACGGTGAGGGAAGGGTGCTGCACAGCAGTTGCTCCATTTGGACTTTTTCTTGCCTTCTCGCTGTCCCCCAAAACTGCAAGGTAATCCGCCGACGTAGCTATTGAGTTTTTCACTACATCAAGGTTTGCCAACAGCGCCTTTTCACGATCGACAAGGCTCGAGATGGTGTTCCGAACGCGTTGGGCGGATACTTCGACCTGGGCCGGGTTTTGTGACATATTTTGTGACATATTGTGTATACTAATTGATTACTTCAACTATTGTTGTTATGCTAATATCACAGGTGAGAACCCATCCTTTAGGCTATGCGTGGCAAACAGCCAACGGTATAAAAGCGCCGTTAGTAGGGACACGTGTTTAATAAGTGTCAGGGTTCCGCTCAGGAACAGGAAATTAGCTGTCAAAACAGGTCGAAAGCCGACATTCCCGCCATCCGTACTCGCAGCACACTTCACATGGCAGGGACACCCTTGCCTGCTGCGTCCTTCACGGATTACGGGTATCCAGGGAAAGCGCAAATGGGGTCTCCGCTAGCCTCTTATCCTTCCGAGGACCACTGGGAGTCGCCATGCACCGCAGGCGGCCGGCGGGAGCCGAATCGTCGCGCAGCTTCCGCTGCCTGCATTCTCACTATCCCCATTGACCCCTAGCGACTGCACACATCCGGAACACGGGCGCTTCGCAGCACAACCCGCGCAGCGTGTTTCACGTGTCATCGTTATTTCTCAGTTGTCGCACCTGTCTCCTGAGGGTCCGTGGCTTTCAAAGCCTCTTACATAGTGTTCGCTCGCGTGTACGATCCCTCCATTTACACCAATAAGCTCAGCGGCCGACCCCAAACAGCTCAGTTGCCGAGTTTTGTCGCCAGTGAAACCCCCAAACTCAGCTAACTCCGGACTTCCTGGAAGCCACCCTGCATCGCCCTAGCCAACAATTAGGACGCGTCAATTAGCACGCGTCAATTAGGCGCACATCATCCCCTCTCCGATTGCACCACTCTCCACCTGCCAGCACCGCAGCGCACAATATGTACACGAGCAACCTGCGGCAACATGGAGGGAGTTCGAGGAGGACAGCATGCGTGTGTTTTAAGGGGGGGCTTTCAAGACCACACCAGCCGCAGGATAGGCCACGCACCAAAATGACGCAAAGGACCACCAAGACATGCAATTTCGCAAGTACTCAACGCCTGGGCATCCACTTGTTTTCCAAACAGCGCATTACCACCACCACCACCACCACCTCCACCACCACCACCACCACCACCACTGCCACACGGAGTGTCGTTTGCGCATCTCCCGTGTTAATTGGTATCGGTACGTGGCAATTTGCAACTTCTAACGCTTTTTGTCCCGGAGAAAATGTAAAAACAAAAATATTCCCGAATTCACAGAAAAAGGGGGCTACGGAAGGGCGCCAACCGTGATTATGTACCCCCTGTCATGCAACCCCAAACGGAGGAAAAGGTCGCGGTCCGGCGCATACGTTTGCGGCCCAATACGGCCACAACACGTCACACAAAGCACCCTAGCCGTACAGATACAGTACGGCTGTACCTTGCTAGGGCCCTTTTCCGCTCCCATGTAGGGCCATCCAGCACCCTTTAACTCTAACCCCGTAATACCGGTAAGCCAGACATCAACTACGAACAACAACCGAACAACAGCAACCCCCCGAGTATGCGATTTTATAACTCCCGGCTTTCCCCAGTTGTCGCGGCACGGGCGTTTGCTCCAGGGTTCCAAAACCAACGCCTGCTACGCCGCCTCTCACCTCAGCCATCCTTCATCGCATCCCTCGCCGCATCGGTTACAACAACCCGGTTAGCGGTTACACCAGCCCCAACCAACTGCAGGAAGATCACGTCCTCTCCCTCACCAGCCGCAGCACCCGCACCCACACCCGCACCCCGCCCTGCCTCAACCCACAGCAACGTGCCTACTACCAGTACCGCAGTATTGGTACCAGCCCCCCTGGCCCCTACAATGTGCAGTAAAGCAATAGCCAGGTAGGCGCTTGCAGCCTGCCTTATGCGACTCCCTGCGACGCAACATTCCTCCTCCTCCTCCACCTCCTCCTCCTCCTCGGTACCTCCAGCGCTACAGCCCCCACCCCCCTGAGCTGCTAAGCGCAAGGGCATCCCAACCCCGCCCTCTGCCCCTTGCCTCTCTTCATATGCCTCTTCATGCCGCAGCCTGCAAGCTGTCCCGCGCTCCCGCCCCCGCCGCGTCACCCCCACCCGCCGCCCCGTTCAAGCCCCCCTGCCCTCCCTTCTCCTCACCGCCGCCCACAACCACATGCCCGTTACCCGCCACCCCCGCCTGGTGATGCTGTCCATTCCCATTCCCTGCCACCGCTGCTGCTGCTCCCGCTGTGTGGTGATGGTGCCCGTTAAGACAACTGACCCCATTCAGCCTCCCCCCCTCCCCAGCCACAATCCCGGACGCCGACGCATGGCTGACCACCCCTCCCACATGCCCCCCATTCAACCCGCTCCCCGCTCCCACTCCCCCCGCCCCCGCCGCCGCCTGCACACCCGCCTCCTGCTTCAACGCCTCCAACGGCAGCTCATGCAGCTCGTCCATGGAGCTCTCCCCCACCGACATCATGGACTCGTGCACGCTGCTGGCATGGCCGTAGTTGTTGACACGCGAGAGGGTGGCCACGGCTCGCAGCCAGGCGTGGCTGATGACCATATACACAGCAACCATGGCGGGGAGCTGGCCGGCGATGGCGCCGCCGCAGAGCAGCAGCAACACCTGGGGGAGGGGGAGGGGGCAGGGAGGGAGGGAGGGGGGGGGGTTTCAAAGGCCGCATGGCAAATAGGAAGCCACAGGTTAGGGCACAGCAGTGGGGATAGGAATCGACAGGAGGGAGGGAGGCAAGGAGGAGAGGTGGGCGGGACCCGGTGCAGGTGTGAGGGCTTTGAGCGCGCTGGAAAGGAGCGCGGTTCCCGAGCTCTGCTGTAAGCCGGAATCCCTCGTCTGCAGCGATCCCCCCCGCCCGCTACACTTATCACTTACCATTCATCCCCCCCGCCCCCTGTGTCCCCCACCCCCCCGCACCCCGCTCCCCCACCTGTTGCAGCACGCTGCCTCCGCTCTTGCCCGCCTGGCTGCCCACCACATCGATCGCCGCCTTGCCCTTGGTGCGCCCCTCCTCGTCCAGCGATATGTACACCATCTCCTCCGCCGGCTTGAACAGCGAGAACTTGGCGCTCTTGGAGAAGACGTACAGCAGCGCGCCGCCGTACACCAGGATCTGCAGTACGGCGGTGCTGGCGGCGGTGGCGACGGCGGCGGTGGAGGCGCCTGGGTGGGAGGCGAGGGGGGGAGTGGGGGTGTTGGAGTGGTGAAGGGAGAAGGGAGTGAGCAATCTGGATGTCAACTCGAGCTTTGGGTTGTTTCTCCTGTCCTAATGGACGCAATCCCCACCCTTTCGCCTCCCTCCCGCAAGCGTACTTCTTCTTTTACTAACGTAAATCCTTGCATAAACCCTCCCTCCCTCCTTTCCATACTATCGATGGCAGTACGGCAATTCGTCTTACCTTCGCCTCGCCTCCCTCACTCTGCCCCCTCCCTTCCCTCCCTCCCTCCCCCTCCTCACCCGGAGTCAGCAAGAACTGGTAGGCGATGGCGCTTGCGAAGAAGAACCCGCCGCCGTAAAGCAGTATCTGGGGGGTTGCCGCCGCCACACCCGACCAGCCCATGCGCTCAAACATGGTGGGGGACAACACCATCAGCAGACCTGGGGTGGTGGGGGGTGGTGAGGTGGGGGGGTTGGGGGGGGGTGGGGGTTCAAAGATTTACCAAACCGTAGGAAAAAGTTCGGGCAGGGGGTTGGGAAGGGCGGGGGCAGGGCGGGCGGAACGGGAGGTTGTCGGGCCTAGTACAAGAGGCTGCCTCCAGAGCCTCTAGGCTGGCGGCACAGAGCACAGAGAGTCCGCCGGGGGCAGCAGCAGCAGCTGTGTTCAGCTGGTGCGAGAGAACAGCAAGCGCGTCGAACCCCCCCACGACAGGCACCATCAAAGCCCCCATCGCATGATACCCCTCCTCCACCTACCCCCCATCTCCCCCCCTCCTCCCTCCCCCTCCCCTCCCCGCCCTACCCGTCACGATGCCCTGCCAGGTGGACACATCCCCCAGGAAGCTGGTGAACTCTGCGGGAGTGGGGTAGAGCAGCCGTATGTGGCTCTTCCACGCGAACTCCATGAGGTTGGTGCACAGCCCTTGCGCCATGGACATGACCACCAGGCAGCGGATGGGCACGGAGGAAGCCAGGGTGCTGGGGAGGGGGGAGGGGGGGGGTAAAGAGGAAACAAGGGGGGGGGGGATTATATAAGGGGTGTAAACAACTAGAGTCCCAATCCCATATCCCGACTCATGCAGTGAGCGCATTCGCAGACACTATCCGGAGGGAGGAGGCAGGAAGCGGGGAGGGATGTAGAGGAGGAAGGAGGGGTAAAATAAAAGGAGTGAAGCACAGCCCCATGTCCCCAGGAGGGGAGGAGGGAGGGGAAGAGAAGGCAGGGGCAGTCCCATTGGCTTGACCTAACCTGTGGTTTCCTATGGTTTGGCATGGTCTTTGACCCCCTCCCGATTCTAAATCCGGGCATCTATCCATCCCCACGCGCAACAAAACAGGTGCAAAGCAGCAGCAACACCGTGGCTCCCTCCCCCTCCCTCCCCTGCCCCCCTCCCTCCCCTGCCCCACCCCCTCCTCTGCCCCCCTCCCTCACCGCCTCCCTCACCGCCCCCCTCTCACCGGAAGATCTCCGCCAGGCTCTGTTTGGACGCCTTCCTCCGGGGTGCCTGGCTGGGGTCAACCGGGGCGGCTGGGGCCGCAGGAACAGCAGCCGCAGGCAACGGAGCAGCCGCCGCCACCTCCTCCCCACTGCCGCTGCCGCTGCTGCTGACACCGTCAATACCGGCAGCCGCCGCCTCCGTCGCTGCAGCAGCCGCAGCCGCAGCGGCTGCCTTGGCCGCTCGCCGCTCGCGCCGCTGCTGCCGCAGCTGCTGCCGCTTCATGTTGTCTTTGACGGAGAGGGAGTGGTGCAGTACAAGAGCAGCGACGGAGAAGACGAGCACCACCGCCATCAGCGCCTGGATCTCACCCGTGAAGGAGTCACCGGAGCTGGAACCGGAGAAGAACTGGGAGGAGGAGGAGGAGGGAGGAGGAGGAGGAGGAGGAGGAAGAGGGAGGAGGGGAAGGAAGAATACCACATGTGTTGAATGAGGATGGCAAACAAGCCGACAAGCAAGGGAAGGAGTGGGGGTTTGTAAGGACCAGATTTTCACTTCAGGTCTCTCCAGCAGCCAGCCAACACCTTACTAACCCAGTCCCACCACCTCCCTTTCGCTCCCCTCCCTCTTCCCACCTCCTTTCCTCCTCCTCCCTCCATTCAACGCATTGGCTACCCTTCCTTTCCCTCCCCCTCCCTCCCCTTCCCCTCGTTAGTTGCCTCGTCAGTTTCCTCTTTTTACCCCCCCCCCCCTCCCCCCCTCCCCCTTCCTACCTTGAGCACGAACCCCGCCAACGCCTGCGCCACATTCGCCCCCAGCCCGAACAGCGGGTACAACGTGGGCGCATCCGCCAGGCTGGTCGTGTCGTTGGCAAACCCCCAGAACAGCAGCCCCAAACACACGTCCCCCCACAGCTCAGACATACAGAAGAACAGCGTGAAGGTCCAGTTGCGAACCATTCCCACCGCGCCGTCCAGGCCCAGGGGCAGGGAGGCAGACAGGCGCTGCGCCCAGCCGGCGGGGTGCAGGGTGGCGTGGTTGGGGTAGAGGACGAAGGCAAAGGCGAGGAAGAAGGCCATGAAGACGCTCACGATGCCGTTGAAGAGGGCCTGTGGGGCAGGGAGGGAGGGAGGGAGGAGGAGGAGGAGGGGAAGGAAGTAGGATGGGTGGAATTGAAGGTGAGCGTTGTGGCCGGATGCCCGGGTATCCAGGCTGTCTAGCAGTCCTTGTGAGTGCTTATTCCTGCTTCGCTGTCATGTCGCCTTTGACCTCCGCTCAGCTAACACCACCGGTCCGTTGTACTGACAATACCACTTCTACTAACACTACCGTTCAGTTTTAGTTTCCCCTTTGTACCCCCCGCACACAGCGCCCAGCCCACCTGCCCCCCTCCCCCTCCCTCCCTCACCCTCCTGCTTCACTTTCCATGAATTTTCCCCTCCCCGGCCCCCTGCCGTTTCACCCTCTGCGCCCACCCCACCGGCCCCCCTGCCCACCCCCCTCCTCAGCCTCCTCATCTTTACCCCCCGCCCGCCCCCCCGCCCCCACCTGTCTCCTGAACCGCTGCGATGCGTACGAGTACAGCAGCAGGAACACCACCGAGGAGGGCAGCACCGCGTAGACCGTGAGGTAGGGGATCACCTGGGGGGGGGAGGAGGTGGGAAGTGAAGCAACTGGCGTGGTGGGTTGGGGGTTGGGAGTTGGGAAATGGGGAAAACCAAGCGAGAAGTGAAGCGCGGATGAGGGCAGGGGAGGACAGGGCAGGGCAGCGGAGTGATTATACGCACTGTGGCGAGGGAGGGAGGGAATGTCCCCACCGCCGCCCCCGGCCCATCCTCCCACCCCCCCCCACCGTGATGATGCCTTATCACACGGTCAGTTAGATGTTTCCTCTCTACCCCCCACCATGGTGAAGCCTCGTCATACAGCTTATCAGTTGCCTGTGTTTACCCCCAACCCCAACCCCCTCACCAAGGGGGTTACTCTTAACCAAAACTCTGTACTTAAGCATCCTGCCGCCTCCTATTCCCGTTGCTTTGCCCTAACCTGTGGCTTCCTATGGTCTGGTGCGGTCTTTGAACCCCCTCCCCTTTCCACCCACCCCCAACCTCGTCAGTTTCCTTATTTTACCCCCCCACCCCGCCCCCCCCCCCCCACCCACCCCCACCCACCCCCCTCACCTGCGCCCCTCCCCCCGCTGCCGTGATCACCAGCGTGTCCTTCAAACTGTCAAGAATGGTGTTCACAAAGGCCAGCATGAAGAACAGCCCAACCATCGGCATGAACTTGCCGCTCAGCTCCCAGAAGCGAACCGACTGGTGACGCGCGGCGGTCAGCAGGCCCCGCACCTCACCGCCAAGACCCTTTGCGGGTGCGGCGGGGCCTGGGGCGTCGCTGGCAGCCGCTGCAGTCACGGTACGTGTCCGGCTTGATGCTGCTGCTGCTGATGAGGAAGAGGATGATGATGATGATGAGGAAGATGGGGACAGGGATTGAAGTAGAGCTGTCCGGCGGAGTTGGGGTGCGGAGGAGGCGCGGAGCTGCAGCGGGAGGAGGTGTCGCCGGGCGGACGCATCTTGGGAGGGATGGAGGAGAGGGCAGGCGAAGGGACGCAAAGGGTGAATTCGGGTAGCGGGGCTTGGATTTGTTGGTAATTGTGAGTATGCGGAAAACGTTTGAATATGTTTGGTGTGGTGTGAAGAAAGAATCGAGGCATAACTGAACTTTCGCAGTCTCGTCGTTCCGTGCAATTGTATAGCTGTCGACGTTCGGGGGCTCCCTCGCAATCCGCTTTTGTCCGCCAGAGCAATTGATGGTCATGGAATGCTTGCAACGCATGCTAGACTAAAGGCTGACAAACGCTTTGGCGGCCCCTTCCCGCCGCCCCCGCGCCCCGCCCTTACCGTGCAAGCCCAAGGGGCTAAAAGGTCCACAGCATCCGACAGCGGGAGCTTTATGTAGGGTAATGCGGCTTCTGCACGGCCAAGAGGTGTCGGTGACTACTAGCGGCCGTCGGTTAAGCAATGGCCCGACACCATGGCACAGCCTTACCGTAACACGCCGCATCGGGGGTCTCTAGGGCCTGTTTGTATAGGCCCCTTCGCTATGGCGCTTGACGCCATTTGCTAGTTAGCTTCACAGTATCCTATGGCGCGATGGGTTGACGCCTCGGGCGCGAATCGAAGCCACCTACTCCACTAGGCTTTCCCAAGCGGTCCTTGAAACACTCCGATTATTAAAAGCAAGTTGTATACTAGCAAGAGAACGTTTGAGCCAATTTAGGTAGGGCTTCTCGAAAGTGGCGAAAAAAGACGTTCTACCCAACGTGTCAAACAATGTCGTTTGCTACTGTTCATACGCCTTATCTACCACATGCAACCATCTACGAGGTATGCCGTGCCCTGGTTGCTGGCGTGCATTTACTGCTTGTACGGAAATATTTGCCAAGTGCACTTTTCGGTTATTAACACTTTTTGATCTGCTTCTGCACGTGCACACCAGTACAGTGTGGTTTGGCTGCATCCGGCCCCAGTGGCGGCGATATTCCAGTTACTGCTTGCCGCTGTCGCAAGTCAGCCGGTTAAATCGCTATTATGACTCAGGGCAAAACAAATATGAACTGTTTTAATACCGATGACAACAGCAGGCAGCGCGATGTTGGTAGCGATGGTCGCAGCGACGACGCAATGAGAGAAGTTAAGGGCGACCAATGTGTTGCTTCTTCTGCGGAGGATCCAGGGCCGCTAGAAACCCTTACTAGGGCGGACGTGGTGGATATAGTAGAGTACGCGCTTGCCACGGGGAGACCAGTTCGCACCCTCATGCGTGCAATGGATGAGGTGGGTCTCGCTGGAGTGGAAGCCAACCATTCGCCTCCCCATAACTGTCTGTCGTCATATGATGTTTGTTTAAGACCTTCTACGCTGCTTACGCCACACAGCTGCTTCGGCCTGCTGCTGATGCGCAACCGACAGCTGCCCCTCCAGCCTAAAGGACGGAAGGATGTGAAGGATGTGAAGGAAGGCACACTCCACCCGCCTCATACCCACCCAACCCTGCATCCGTTGCTCGGCCCCGCTTTTCCCCCTGGAACGTCGTTCAATCAGAGCTTGGTACTTCTTCTGCTTCTTCGTTACCCTCCTGCTTCCCTTGACTCTTCCCCCGCAGGCGGGGTGTCCCGTGGGTCGCGGCTTCTTCCACGTGCTCCGCTGCGACGCGGCGGTTGGGGGCGGCTTCGCGCCGGACCATGGGGTGAGTACGGCATGGACTTGTACGGCAGGGACTTGTACAGCAACACGTGGACTCGTAACACGGGGTAGTAGTGGTGGCTCCCTCGGGCTACATGACTCCTGCGGCCCCGCCCCGCACCCCTGTATAGCTCCCGTGCTGCTTCCCCGGCTGCGGGTTGCCGCCCCCTCCCGGTCCCCCACCCCTTAGAAGCCACCCCAGTCTCCACTTCCCAACGCCTTCCCACCCGCATGCGTCGGGACATGGAATTGGGACTGCGTTACCCCCGTTGCTTCATTCATTGTGCCCCACCGTCTAACATGTATACATGTCTGTTTCCCTAGAGGGAGGGTTCGTAGTTGGCTTCCTGCCTTTCCTCGTCACCCCCCAACCTCCCGCCCACTGCCCCCCAGGTGATCCTGTGCCACAATCGGCTCCACACGCAGAGGGAGGTCACCAACGCCATAACCCATGAGCTCATCCACGCGTACGACCACTGCAGGTACGGCAGCACGTGTATTGCCGTACGGCGGCAAGTGTGGTCCTGTACGGCAGCACGTATAGTGGTCTCGTTTGGCGATTTCTGGGGACTGTTTGATTCCGGAGAAGCAGGAGAACACCTTAGGCCAGGACTCTTAATGTCTTGTCTGGTTGGGAAAAGAGATAAAACTGAGCCGCTAGGATTACTGACAGGGACCTTGGAAGACCAGAAGTTGATGTCTGCTGGGACTCTTAATCTCCTGGTGCCAATGTCACAGCGTGGTACCTTCCGACTTGCCCGCCAGTCCTTTGTTAACACACTGCCGTACGGTACGTACGGTTTCCACCGCAGGTACGGCGGACGGGGGGACGCCTTCCCAACCGCCACCGCTGCGGCCGCGGAGGGTTCCACCGCTGGGAGCACAGCTGCTGCTGCTGCGGGTGCTGCTGCTAGTGGCAGTGGTAGTGGTAGTGGCAGCAGCAGCAGTGGGGATGTGGGATCAGCCTCAGCGGCAGCGGCAGCAGCAGCGGGGTCTAGCATGGGCAGTAGTGGTTGCGGGATTGCGGCAGGCGGCAGCAGTCCGGAGCGAGGGGGCTGCGAGGGCGGGGGTGGAGGCAGCTGTGAGGGCGGCAGCAGCGGGTGCAGCGGAGTGGGCAGCACTGGGGGCCTGGACTGGAGCAACTGCAGGCATCATGCGTGCACTGAGGTGGGTGGGTGTGGGGGGGGGAGATTGCAAACCCCAGATGTTACCAACCCTGAGCGGAGTTACATACTCTCGCGGCCAGTTTTCTTAAGACACATCTTTTCGCGCTTCTCCCCATTTCCCCCCCCCCCCCAACCCAGATCCGGGCCGCCAACCTGAGTGGCGACTGCAGCGCCTGGCAGGAGCTGCTGCGCGGCAACCTGCCGCTAGCCCCCACCCGCTGGGGGGAGCAGCAGCGGGCCTGTGTGGCGCGGCGAGCGGCGCTGAGTGTGGCCATGAACCCGGCGTGCGGAGGCGCGGAGGGCGCGGGGGAGGTGGTGGAGCAGGTGATGCGGGGCTGTCTGGCGGATACGGCGCCGTTTGACGCGAGTGAGGCGGCGGCGGCGCCGTGAGAGGGGGGAGGGAGGGAGAAGGAGAAGAAGAATGTCCGATGTGTGGCGGGAAAAAGAGGAGAGAGGAGTGAGCTGGCTACCGGTAATAGGGGATGACAGTTTTCCGCACTGGGTTGGAATATAGGATCCCTCCAGGAGGAGGAGGGGAAGGAGGAGGAAGAAGGAGAGCGCTGAGTTGTGGGTGGCAGGGAGAGGGAGGGGTGAGGCGTGCGGATGTGGGGGGGGTAACGTGAGGGAAGGGCGTGGCGAGGGGGGGAGCGGGGTCGCAGTCGTGCCGAGTGGAGTGGGAGAGTGAAGTAACGGGGGGGTACCGTAAGGAGGGACGTCTTCTTCCTTTCGAGGCAGCTTTTAGGCTTGTTTAGTGTTTGATAGTTCTCATAACAGCGCTGAAGAGGTAACATTAAAAGAAACGTGTGAGTGTTGCATTTCCAGGCTCCTGGGAGGCGTGGCTAGAGCAGCAGCGCAGGAGCGGCAGCGGATGGCCCACCCGTTGAGGACAGCCGCTGCGAAGGCAGGAGGCAGGACCCGGCTTGTTGGCTTCCTGCTTGCACGACGCTGCTGTGATGTGTGCTGCGATGGCACGGGGTGAAGCAACGGTGAGGGCGCAGGAGCGGCGCTCCCAGGTACCACGGCAATCTGGAGAGGCGGTGGGAAGGCGGCGCCAGAACCCGTCTCCCAGCACCCCTGCCAAAGGAAGGCGCAGGTTGGCAGGTGGTGAGCGGCGGCGGCAGCTGTCAAGGGCGCGGAGGGGAGTGTCCCGTGGCCGCATTGCGTGGGGTGAGTGGCAGGTGGCGGGGGTGAAGGCTGAAGGGAGGGGTGTCAGGCGGTGGATGGGGAGGGGAGGAGCGGGGCGTGAAGGGGCAGCAGCTGGGGGCTGTGTTAAGAAAACACATGCCGCCAGTTGGAACGTAGCGCAGTGCACACACGAGGGGTGCAGTGGGGTTTGGCGCAGTCACTGTGTTGTGCGGTTGCAATGGGCTGGCAATAGCGTGGGCTGGGTTCGGGATGGCGATGGTTCGGCTGGGTTCCTGTTTCCTTCTGGTTGTCCAGTGTTGCAGTTCTTGCCCCGTGTTGTCCGACGCTAACCGCCTCACGCCTTGCGCTACTCCCCATCTGTTACGTCATTTGACCCCGCTTGCACTCCCCTTTCTTTGCTCTCCCCTCCATGACACACCTGGTGGGTTGTTCGTAGATCGAGCCGCGTCAGGCAGGCAGTCATCCTGATACCGTTATTCAGAGCAGTTGCGGTTACACGGGCTGTCGAAACGCGAACCGCATGTCCGTACGGCTCCGTACGAGGGGCCAGGGAGCCCAAGGAGGAGACTATTTGTGACTAGTGACTCTAGAGAAACACGACCGCCATCCCTCCCTAGGGGGGTGCTGCATCGTGAGCACGCCGCGGTTCAGAACGGCCTTGCGGTACCGGTATGTGGCCTTCAACTACACAGGGGGGACCGAACTCGGGGGGACCGAAGTAGAGGCGGAAGGCGGTGGGTGGCTCTGACAACCCGCGCACTGAGAGTGTAGTGGATACATGCTGGAGTGGAATGGACACATGGATAACCGTTCGTGCAATGTGACTTGAAGCTGCTTGCCGGGCTACTGGGTCCACATACGTTTCGTAGCGGTCGGTTGGTGCTGTCGGTAGGCGCTGTCAGGAGCTACGACATCACGTGTACATGCGTGTTACCGGTATATCTCACATGAGCACACGCTACATGTACGGACTGCTTCCATCGCCACCGCCACATGGCCAACACGCGGGCCCCAAGGTGAACCCCAGTAGACTGGTAGACTGAACTGCACAGCCGCTTACCGGTAGCTTTCCATACGGTAGCAACCAGCCTCTGGCCCTTCCTGACAGCTTCCCCAAGCAGCCGCGCCACCTCACTTGGGGGGCCCTTCCACGGAGCCCGGACCTCCTCAACTCACCATACGACTACTACGAGAGCCTCAAAACACGTTCCAGTCTCGCAATGCGAGTGTCTCGCAACGTTCCAACCTAGCTTCTACCTTTTTTCTCCAATGCGAAATTGTTACAGAGATAGAAGCTTCTGCCCTAGCTTTCAACCTCACACCCTTCCACCCTATAGCTTCCGACCTCACACCCTTCCACCCTAGCTCCCAGCCATGCTGTTGCTGCCCGGAGCACGGCGCAGTGTCGACGCTGTTGAGACCAGGTACATGTGAGGCCCATCGCTCTCAACATTGGTGGATTGCGACGCCATCGCCTGCACCTCCGCCCGAGCGATGCCAGGCGCTGCTGCTGCTGCCCCTGTTGCTGCTGCTGCTGTTGCTGCTGCCACAGCCCTCTGAGCCCCATCATGCCGCATCGCATCGTCACCATCCACGCATGTACCCATGTCAGGCCTGAGGCGGACGATGACGCCGGCAGCTGTGCGCTGCTCCTTGCGTTCGCGTACGTCAGTAGTTACGGAGTTGCTGGCCTCCCTTGCAGGTGCTGCGGATCCAGGCACCGCACCGCCTGCCTCAGCCGCTGTCGCTTGTTGGCTATCAGGGAAGGTGAGTCGGATTATGAAGGGACACAAGAAGACAGCATCCAGATAGGCGGTGACACGAAGCAGCCAGGACACGACCTCCGCTTGTACTGCAGCCGCGTCTAGAGACAGCAGCGGAACTCGCTCGGGAAAGCTGGCTGACTCAAAGCTTGAGCGGTGGTTGCGGATCACCCGTGCCGTACACCAGCGCGCCCCGGGTTTGTTAATGTTGTTACTGCAGGAGTTGCCGGAGTTGCTGCTACCGGTTTTCCGGGTGGAGCTTGCGTCAGGGGCGGCAGCGGGACTAGTTTGAGACGTAGGGCCGGCCTGAATACCGGTACGACTCGCATCCCTGCCGCTTCCAATGGTGCTTCTTGCTGTGCTGCAATGGACACTGCTGCAGTGCTCCTGCGAGAAGCCGTGTAGCAGCAAGCTGGTTGATTGGGGAACTCTGTTCAGCCTGACGCGCTTCGACTGGTTGGTGATGCCGGGAAGCAATGCGGCATCCGTCAGCCAGGCAACACGGAGTAGGGCCGTCATGACTTGTCGGCGGCACACGTCTATATGGTTGCTCGCATAGTCCCTCCATGTCCGGCATACGAGCATTATGCCAACGAGCTCTCGCGCTGGGTTCGCAACTAGCCCATTGCGGTAGGTTGGCGCAGCGTAATCGCTAAACACGAAATCCAGCACTCGGAGTTGTACTTCTTCTGGCATCCAGCAGGATGCTTTTGGGTCTAACGCTAGGGCCGCAGCCCTTGCTCGCTGTCGAGTTTGCATAGCACTTGCGTCGCGATGAGCACGGAGATTATTCGAGATTTGGCGTTATGTGTGCATGAAAGTAGTAAGCAGCTACCAAGGGCTTGGCGGCCGTGAAAGCCGCGGTCAGCAGGATGCCTAATCGCCGCTCCGAGACCCATTAACGTCTATCTAGCTCGCCGCAGTTAGCGTTGTTCATGGGACTCTGCACATTACTGGCTTGCTTCTTAGTGCTGAATGGCTCTCCTTTTGCGGACTCGTACCGCTTGCGCAGTTGTGAAACAGCGACGTAGTGTACCTTTTGCTTGCGCTCCTCCCTTAGCCCCTCTCCGCAGCACACACGTCACTCGGGCGAGAACTGAAAGCATGGACCTTCCCATTGGCTCTCCTGCGCCTCACTTTGAGGTAGGTTAGGACGGGAAACGTTGATACACAGGCCAAACGTACTCTGCAAGGCATACACCGGGATAATTTTTGATAGAGCACAGCTGCCACAGGGGATGCAATGGATGGGCAGTACGCCATAAAACGCAAGCTCTTGGGGGCATGGGTGTTGTAGCATGCTGGCCATGAAGCGCCTGGTGCACCCATGTAAGAAACAGACTTTCTAGCGGGCAACGACTGGTATTGTAACATTTATAGACGACGTCTTTGGGCAACTGCCGCGTATTGTTGACTGGTATTCTACAACATCTCTTTAATGCCCTCTCCCTTCATCGGCGCGTTACTGTCCAACTACGTAACATCGCTGTCCTAGCTAGGTGTGACCGCTTCCAAGCTTCCTTGTCCGAGCCATACTCGAGGTCCCGCTAAAGGTCCCTTAACCTTTCACATTACTCCCCGCTCCCGCTCGGCCCTCGCCTGCTGCTCTGTTGCCCCAGCTGCCGGATGTTGTGAGCGGCAAGACGGTCCGCCTGAGCGACTTGAGGGGCTCTCCCGCCACCCTCATCATGTTCATCTGCAACCACTGGTGCGTGTTCATCGCGGGTTGGCCGTTCAAATCGCGGCAACCCGCGTTAGGTCTGCAAGGCGTAGTGTGGGTGCGACATACGGACTTCCCCCGAGCTAGCAAACCTGGAACCAAGCCGCAGCGCTGCAAGAGGTTTGCCGTGACGTGTTGTGACAGTGAGGTCGCACTCACACGCCAGTCGGCCTCCTCCAAACATACAAACCCTTAGCCCTCCACGTTCACTCGTTGCGCACAATCCTCCCTGAACGGCTTTACCATCGCCCTTCTTTCCTCTTTTCCAATGCCTGCCCTCATGCTCGCCTGCCCCCCGCGCCCACTGTAAGAGTCGGGATATGGGATTGGGACTTCAGTTGCTGCACTTATGTCTTAAACTTTTGCCCCCGCCTGCCCGCCTGCGCAGTCCCTACGTCGTCCATCTGAAGGCCGCCCTGGTGCAGCTGATGGCAGAGTACGGCCCCCGGGGGGTGCGGGCGGTGGCCATCAGCAGCAACAGCCCCGTCACACACCCGCAGGACGGACCGGACAGGATGGCGGAAGATGCCCAGGTGAGGGGCGCGGAGAGAGAGAGGGAGGGATACACTTGCCGCAGTTTGGGTGGGTTATAGGATTGCGTGTAGTCGTACATGTTGGATAAGTAGCAGCGATTAAAGTACAGGTGAGGGAGGAAGCGAGAGGGAGGGATGTGACAGAACATGTTTCCGCGTTGCTGCTGGGTGCTGCTGGGGGCCGGCTCGTAGAGAGCGGAGGAAGTGCTTTGACGTGCTATGTTGCTAGCTCATTGCCCGCCTACGACCGCTTCCTCATTCTCATGTGATATCTGATCACGGCTTCGTTCGTACGGCTTCATGCATGCAGAGGTACGGCTACAACTTCCCGTACCTGTACGACGAAACGCAGGAGGTGGCCAAGGTATGTGTGTTAAGAAAACTGGCCGCGAGGAGGAACATACTGGGGTGTCGGAAGATGAAGTCCCCACAGAACCGCCGCAGGAGCCGAGAAATATGGTAGCGTATGTAGATATAGAAGTCCAGTACTGGTGCTGAGAGTAAGCAGGACGTAAGAAGCACTCTCGTAAAACTACCGGACCGAAGGCCCGTAGTAGTAAGCTGATATTATGTAGTACAATATCGAGTAGAGTGTGTGTGTTTGGGGGGGTGGTGAAGCGGGAGCTGGGGGGGTACTCATCTTGCGTTTCAACGTGAACACGCTCTGGGACGGGGGTCCCCGACTAGCGGTAGAAGGGGGTGGTGTGTGCCGGTACTGCTCATCGAACAATTACAGTACACGCGGACCTCCGGCGTAGAGGAACACAGCCGTTAAAGCCATTTTAAGCGAATTACCGGTACGTTAAAGCCTTTAAAGGCTGTGTTCCCCTTTGTGATGTCCCTGTTGGCTCATCCCTTGTCCTGATTCCTCCTCTGCGGCCCACAGGAACCCCTCGTGCGCCCCGTGTCTTGATGCATCACCCCACCACCGTTCCCTGTTCCGCAATGTGGTCCTCCCCCACCGCCACTCCCCACATACAGGCCTACAGGGTGCCTACAGAAGGCGGCAGGGTGCCTTGTCTTGCCTTGTGGCACCCTGCAGCCTTCCCTGATCTATCCCCTTTGTCTTGCCCTCACTTGTGGCCTGGTATTCCCCTTGACCCCCATGGTATTCCCTTGGCCCCCCCAGGCCTACAAGGCTGCCTGCACCCCCGAGTTCTACGTGTTCGACTCCGAGCACCGGCTGACCTACCATGGCCAGGTGAGCTAGCGCATGACCGCACGAGGCAGCCGACCCACCAGCAGGACGGTTCCAATGCATGCTGGCATAGGTGTGTGAATGCATGCATCCGCCTACCTATGTCGCGCTGTCTGCCACGAGGTGTGTCCGCTGCTGTGTACTTCGTGGTCTTTGGGACGTCCAGACTTACGCTGATGGTCTAGAGCCTCTCCGGCACCCTTCTTGTAAAACGCCCTTATTGTAAATCACCTACGTGCCGCCGCCTGTCGCGTTGCCCCTCAGTTCGACTCCACGCGGCCCCGGCAAGACCCCCCGCAAGTGCCCACGGGTGAGGGCAGCGCTCCAGAACGTGATGGAATCCTGCTGGCATGTGTCGATGTTTGTGTAAATTCTTGCTGGCATGCGTGAAAATCCAGGTTGGCATACACACGATTCTAAAAACTGGCAAACGAGCCATGTGTGGTTGAACCTCATCCCGCACCATGGTGTTCGGTGTACAGCTACATGGTATGACCCGTGGGTCAGCAGCCTTGGGATCCGCCGCCATGCACTCCGTTCGTCTACGTTTTGCATGTTGCACAATGGGACATGGCACATGCTACCCTGCTCCCAAGGCATCACGTGCTCCCTCCGCGTGTCCTGCTTTCACGATCAGTGCTCGGAACCCTGCGCCCGCCTGCCTGCCTGCGCACGCCTGCATGCATCTCCTCCCGTCGTCAGGACGTGACCTCCGAGCCGCTCTGGACGCCACCCTGGCCGGCCAGCCCGCCCCCGCCTCCCGACCTAGCATCGGCTGTAGCATCAAGGTGAGGGTCCGTATCAGGTCCGCCATAGCTATTGCCGGGTCCAATGAAGGGCAGCGCAGCAATCCACTGATGACCCGGCCGGGTAGCAAGGGGGCTGATAAGTGCGGACTGGGTGCCGTCTGTAGCCCGAACATTGCGCTACTGCGTTGGCAGCAGGGTGCAGCGGGGGGCCCTGGGTTTCGTGGGGAGCGACTAGTAAGCGTCCTCCCTTAGGAGGCCTTTGTCTCTCAGATGGCAGGGCGATCCAACCCATCCTGCCGCTCCGAACTGCCGTATACCGAACATTGGCGCTGTCGTACTGAGCACCCGCGCTGCCGTATACCGGTACTTCAGATGTCGTGCTGAATCCTCCCGGGATTCTCCTCCTTGTTGCTGTTTGTTGCTGCTGCTCGCAGTGGGCCCCCGGTAACGAGCCGGAGTACTACGGACGGAAGTGAAGGGGGCGGCGGAGCGAGAGGAGCGCAGTGCGTGGAGAGTCGGGGAGAACTTGTTGTGCGTTTTGGACGGTCAGGGCGTTTCGGAGAGTCAGGACGTTACGGCGCGCACCGCGGGAGGGATGCAGAGCGCCGCTTTTAGGTGGAACGGCAGCTTAGGCTGACACATGGGAGATCCCGTCGATCATGTGGCAAAATGGTTTAAAGGGTGTTGGTCGTTACTGTCTCACTTTTGGGAGTTGTAAAGAAGTAATAATAGCAGCATGTTGTCGTGCTTCATGTTTTCAGTTGAGCGGACCAGGAGTGTTTCTGGTGGGTTTCTCACGGTCGCCGGGGCCACCCTGACGTGCGCTGCTGCTGCCTGCCGTTGGTACGGCTGCCGCGCAGCACGGCAGTACTACTCGGACGGCAACTCTTTTCTCTCCAAGCCTGGCTAAATATTATAAGCATATTGTAGTGCCTGGCCGTGTTGTACATGAGAGTCATTAAATGCCTCGGAGTTGCCAGGGGCCATCCGGAGGCCAGGAAAGCAACAACCAACACGCGACGTGTGAGTCGAACTTCACAATATTTTTATGACGCACAGTGAAATCTAGTGCAGCTGAAGGGAAAGATACAAAGGATGAGCACCCGGCGATAGTATAGGAATGGCTTCGGAGAATTCGTTAGACTTGCATACCTCAGCTCAAGCCCTGGACTACCTGCATGGTTGGCTAAATGGATGAGTGCCGTTGCTGGCTTCATAAAACACACGACGACAAGTCCGCAACATAGACGTCGCCAGGCCAACCATTCACCCAGGGCCATTGACTTGCGCTGTGCCCTTCACATCCATTGGAGTACAATTGAACATCACCTGAATAGCCGGTTTGTAGATTTTAGCTAAAAGCCGGCGTCACGTCCCATTACTAGGCTTTTCTCAAGGGCCATGGGCCTCTTAGCCCTCGCTGGTCTGGTACTCGCTGGTCTGGAAAGTTGATCGTGCTTAAACATGGTGTAATGACACTCTAACGCGTCTTTAGCTGAGCTGGTCTTGACTACCCTGGGCGAGCGGGCGCGAGGGAAGATGCGGTTATCAGTAGTTCCTGGCCGCTTGCTGGCGATGCAGCCAGTTCAGCACCACTTCCGCGGCGACGTCAGAACCTCAAGGCAGTCCCAATACGCCTCAAAGCTCAATCCCGTCCCTCCTTTAGTCGCACCGCGCACCCGGGCATCATCGCTGCTCGTAACCTGCTCAACAGACCGGCGCCGCTCGCTCATAAAGCGACGCAGCGTTCCCCGCGCGCAGCGCAAAAAGCAACGCTACCGCGACGACTCCCACAGCGCAGACCTGGACCCCAGCTCTCCTCGCTTTCCTGGGCGCCTCACCTCGGAAATCAACAGCGCCAGCGGGCCGCTGCAGCTAGCCAAGCTCATCCAAGAATACGGACTGCATTTCAGCGGAACGCAAGCCACCATGACACTAGCCCGTCTAGCCGCTTTCGCCACCTTCCTCAACCTCAGCGAAGAGCAGTTGGCCGCTCAGGCTCGTGCTACCAGACGCTGCGTGCTGCTACTGCGCAGCAAGGTGTACGAATGCGACCCGCTCAGCTACGCCCGTGGGGCTTATGCGCTGGGCCGGCTGGGCGTGTACGACGCGGATCTCATGGCGTTGGTCGTACAAGAGACGTACGACAAGCTGAATCTGTTTGCGCCGGAGGCCCTGGCGGCGTTGGTGTCGGGGCTGGGTGCGCTAGGACACGTGCCGCCGGAGGAGTGGCTGGACCGGTTCGCCCTGGAGGCGTACACGCGGTAGGGGGGGTAAAGAGGAAACAGCTAACTGACGTGTGATAAGGCGGTAGGTGGGGGGTGACGAGGAGGTGCGCATGCGGTCGGCAAGGGCTGCCCGGGGCTTGCGGGAGTGCGCTGGAGCCCCGGTTCGCTGTCGTACTCACTCACGGCTGTCGTACTCACGACGGGAGCTGCTCTCAGCGGCTCTGACAATGCTGTGAGACGTTCTTCGCAGCGTTCACTACCTTGCGACGGCATGCTTGCTGCAAACGCTTGGGTGTATCCCGAGTATCCAGGGTCAGCTCCCTAAGGACCGATGCCGCAGCCGAGCACACCCCGCACCGACACCACCTCACCGCTCACCGTCCTTTCCTTCCATGCTGCAACACCCCATGGCGAATCCCTGTCACATGCTTACCTCAGCTCTCCCTCCTTACCCCACCCCACAACCTCTTCTACGCCACAGGTTTACCCGCTTCAATGCCTCGGAGCTGGCCAGCCTGCTCTACTCGCTAGCCCGGCTGCAGCACACCCCAAGCACTGCTTGGAGTGAGCGCTGTCTGGAGTGCTTCCGAGCGACCATGCTGCTGCCCGCCACTCCGCCGCTGGCGCCCGCCATGGTCAAGTTCGCGTTCGGGCTGGCGTCGTTGCAGGTGTGTGGGTTGCGGTGGTCCCCCTCGCAATTGGATGCGCTGTGGTGGTGACGGTGCTGATGCTGTGGTGGAAAGCAGAGCAGGTTGCGGGCATGGTTAGGGCCCCGGACTGTCCTGTCTGAGGGCCCTCAGGGCGCAAGCGGCCAGTTGACGGCCATTGTTTACAGGCATCGTTGGTTATACGTTTCGCTGCACACCCTGGCTGGCGCGTGACGCCCCACCCTGAACAGATCCGACCTAGCTTCAATTGGGCTGCTGCGTTCGTGGCTCGACTGCGGCCGCTGCTTGACTCCCTGAGCGCTCGGGAGCTGGCGCTGCTGATGTGGGCGCTGCCCCGCTTGCTGGGTGCAGCGCAGCCGCCGCAGCTGCCGGCAGCGGCGCTGGCAGCAGGAGCAGCAGCAGCACGCCTTCCAGCTGGGGAGGTGGCGGCAGGGCTCGACCAGGCGCCGGCAGGCACCCCGCCCGGACTGCCAGCGGCTACGGTGCCTGCTCAGCAGGCGTCGGCTGTGGCTACGGCTGCTGCCGCGCCGGCTGTGAGTCTGGACAGGGAGTTTTTGGACGCTTGGTTTCGGTGCGCGGCACGCAGCATGCCCAACGCGGACGCCTCATCGCAGGTGCTGCAGCTGCATGCCCTAGCGTGGCTGCAGGTGGGACGCTTAGGGTTCTGCGGGCCCCGTGTGGTTTGAAGACGTCGGGAAACCGCCGCTGCTAGGAACTTTGGGGCAAAGAGGAAACAACTAACTGAATGAACGTTGGGGCGGCCTATGGCTGTGTGTGGTTGTGGATAGGGATTGGTAGCGCATGGGAAGTCCTTCCAGGGCCAAGCTATAGCCCATGAGTCAGCACTGGAACATGGAGCGGCATGCATCATGCCCCCCCCGTTTGCGTTTATTATATAATTTCCCCCCCGCTGCCGCTCACAGGTGTCCCCTTTGTCGGCCAAATACGTGGTTGCCTTGCTAGCACAGTTGCAGCAAGCGATGCCGGCGCGTACGACGCGGCCGGGAAGGGTTAAAGCGGCACCAGGCCTCCGGCAGCAGGTGACGGAGGGCTCCAGGACGGACAGCCTAACTGGCGCCCAGATGGCAGCTGTCTTGCTGAGCCTGGTGGCCTTGCGCATCCGACCAGGGCCCGATTGGATGGAGGCGTACATGGGAGGTGGGTGTCTGAATCTTAGGATTCAGTGGGCATGCATGTCTGGTGGGGTCGACATGAGGTGATGATGATGGCAGAGTGACCAGGGGAGCTGGAGCGATGAGGGGGGTTCCACTTGCTTACCCTGAAGGCAGCTGAAGGCCCCTTTTCATTCAATTGTACCGGTACGTTTCCCCCCTCAGCGCTGGAGCCGTTGCTAGCCAGTTTGGAACCCCAAGCGCTGTGTGACCTGGCCTGGGCGCTGGGACAGCTGGAGTATCAACCGTCAAGCGAGTGGATCGCACTCTTCGTGGACCAGTGTAACATGCTGAGCAGCGGCTTGAATGCGCTGCAAGTGCAAACGCTAGAGTGGGCTTTCCGTAAGCTGCATCTTGAGTCCGCAGGCAACTTGCGGGAGCTGTGGACACGTGGGACAATGCACGGGGTTGACTAGGCGATATGGCCATTGCTTTGAAGGACCATTGAGGGGTCTGATGTAATACAACTGTGTCTCTGGTTTCATATCTCGTGCATACTGCATCTTTGCGACTGGTTTCGAGTTCGTGCTACTGGACATAGGATGGCCTCTGCCGAAGTCCGGATCCCCCCGATTCCTTGCTTTACGGATGTGCTCCAAACAAACACCGCAGTGCCGTCCGTGACAACACACGTACGTCGTGACGTACGAGCCCCTGCCCATCAGGACAAAATCCCAAGCCTACTACACTGAAGCAAATCCCAAAGGTGGTGTGAGCGTGAAGTCGGTAGATGAGACAGTGCGCGGGAGGCGGAGCGCTTACTAGGTTGAAGGCACCGGCGGAGGCCCTCACGAAACGCGGGCCGGGTCCCAGGTGGGAGAGTCAGACTTCAGGGGAGGGCGTGCGAGGCCGCCCATGCGCAGGACTTGGCGGTGCGAGTGTTGCTGTTGGGACAGGTTGCTGGTTGAGCCGCAAGGTCAGCGGCGGTGCTTCATTGGGGTCACGGGGGAAAAATTAAATGAGCTGGGGCCCTGCGGCATGTGTGCTTGAGTGTCGGCTGAGGACACCCAAGCATGGTCCTTGGGTGTGTGTTCTTGCTTCCTGTGTCGGCGGTATGCCCTGCAGTGTTGGCTCGCCCCGATTAGGGGCGTAGTCTTAGCGTTCACTCAAAATAGTCCGAGCCGAGGCGTTATGTCCTTTTTGTACCGTGTGCATGTCCTATGTGTACCCTTGTACAGTTTGTATGTACCTGCACCGAGGTCTCAGATTCGGTCGGACAAGGTGGCGTAGTAATTGGTGTTGTGTTTTGAATACAATGGCATGTCGGAAAAAGTAAGAGGCTCAGAGCTCAGAAGACGACCCAAATGTCGTACATATTGGCGGAAAGAAAGTGCTGTTGGCGGGTTTGTCTAGGTGATTCGTAATTTCCATAGCAATGTCATTGTAGTGTTGTAAAGCTGGAACCAACGTTTAGCCCAGAAGCCAAGGATAAGTTGGCTCTTGTTGTGCCTCCCTCAAGGCTGATTTGCCTATTGCAAGAAACTGAACTGGTAAAGCTGCTATTTCTGCTATAATGTAGAAAGTTTAGTTGTAATTCAATACAAACAGCTTAGCAAAGGCTGCTGCTGCCGCGGCGACCGCAGAGCCAAAAGTGGGCATCGTCCCGCTACATTCACATTTACGTTCGTTCATTCATTTCGTTCGTTCAACGGCCACCGCTGAAAAGTGGATCGCACGACGTGCTCGTTTGGCGTATTCGATGCGTCCCTCGCCCGACCTGGCCTTTGTCGCAATCCTGTGGGCTATCGCTCTGGCGATTGCTTCTTTGATGCCTTTCGTTGGCTGTTGTTCCAGCAACGCGGAGTTGATGTGGGTGTATCAGCAGTGCGTCAAGCGGGGAATGGCGAATTTCGCCGGTGTTATGGCGTTTTTGTGGAAGCCTACGCACGAGCGCGCATATTGGACCCTGCCACACCGCATGCAGAGCTTAGGCAGGGGGTTAGCGCGCAGTTCGAAACCGACAATCCACACGTGTCGCTGGCTGCAAAAACAGCCACGGCCATTCCTAACGAGCCGAGATATGCACGCACCGCTGCATCAGAATGCGCCGCTGTGGCTGCTTACTGCACGGACATGCTATCGCTGGGAGAAGGGCCTGTGGTCACAGCGGCATGGGCGAACGAAAACATCATACACTGGGTAGCAGTTGCCTTTCACCTTGACCGTTTGGCATGCCGATGGCTTTGGGTGTCGTGCTCTTTCTTACGCATATGGCGGCAACAGCGAAGAAATGCGCTTGACTTTTTTTGCGGGTCATTACGAACCAGTTGTACGGGCAGACCCCACAGCCCACACCTAGCAGCCGCCAACATGCAAGCATCCAACGAACCAAACCCAAACCTCAATCGCCGATCTAACCCCAATCTAGCCCAACAGCATTGCTGAAGTTGTGCGACCAGGTGCTGTTAGCCGCAGAGAGGCTGTGCATTGGCATACAATAGGCATCATCTTGACGCAAAAGGTGGGACAACCTACCCCTCCTTGCTAACAGGCTGTTTGACTGTGTTTCAATGGCGCGTGATAACTGGACGCACTGCGCTCGTCTTTTTATGGCGGTGGGCCAACCTAGGTTTTCAAGCATGGCGGACTGTTTTAGCAAATGTCCGGTGGTGCGCCTGCATGCATACTTTGGGATAGAGGAGGCTGGTGGTGCACCTAGGGTTTTGCTCTTGTCGACCCATGTTCCCGTTTCCACTAGCTCTACACACCGCCAAACCTCGCGTCGAATCACGGGGAAGCAGGATCCCACAGGCACACCCACGGACCGCACTGACGCTTCTATGCATAGCACTAACATGTAATACGCATCCCAACTGTACGACCTCCCTCCATTCCGTTCCAACGGAGCCGGCACCGATATGTCCTAGGCAAGACTTGATAGCGAGTTTGAATTTAATAAAGGGGGCGAGCCCCGGTGTCTGCGAAGCTGACGGGTTTTATTTGCATGCTGCGGTGTGCGTCACGTCCGCTCGTGTACCTATGCGCATGCGGGCGGCGTGGCGTGATTGGTGCGGGACTGTAGCTTAGTCATGGGTGTGCATGTATCTTTGTTTACCCGTGCCAAACCAAACCAAAAACAAAGCTGTAAAGAGCCAATGCGTTCATGCTGAAGTATGTCGCCAAGCACACCTATTTGGCTACTGATGATGAGGTTTCGAATTCGTGTTACACGACAGAAGATGGCCCCTGCCGATCCGTCCGATTCCTCGCTTTCCGATGTGCTCCCAAACGAACACTTCATTGCCGTCCGTGACAAAACGGCAACACACCGTTGACCGCGACACACGTACGCCCTGACGTACCAACCCCTGCCCATCAGGTCAGGTTCCTAAGCCTACTGCAGTGCAGCAAATCCCAGTGGTGACGTGCCACATGCAAGTCAAAGCACTTTCGTGCCAGCCCCTCCCCTGAGCGTTCCCGAAGCAGCTAAGCCGACCCGCAGGCGATACCACTGAACCTCGTACCCCAGTAAGCACTAGCAAAGCGGCAGTGGATTACGGTGTGGCACACCAACTATCAACGTTGGTAGTAGTGCGAGCAGAAGCACGTCGCCCGTCACAAGTAGCCGTCTAGTCGCTCGTAACGCTGGTCCCGGAAGCTAATCCGTAGCACCATGTGCTGCTTACTTCTTGGGCAGCGGCACCTTCTCGCCCTTCTCGTTCAGGACCTGAAAGGAATCGGGGCGACGACACGATCAGCTAAGTTGCAAACTGGCCTTGGTACGGGGCACGGACACACGAGAAACAGCCCCATGCCAGCCGAGGGTAGTCGCAAACCCGCAAACAAATCGCTTACCATGTTCTCGCTGGAAATGGCCTCCGCCTTGAAGTCCTCCTCCAGGCCGTCGTCGGCCTCCACGACCTCCTCCTTGATCTCGGAGGCCAGCTTCTCCAGGCTGGGGACGTCCTTCAGGGCCTCGCCAGAGGCGGCCTGCAAACATGAGCGGAGTGTATATGTTAGCAAACAAGCAACCCACATACGCGTACGACATTTGTCTAAGGCTTCCACTTCATTTCCAAGGTCTGCAAAATACATGACCAGTCCCCATGGACGCAAAGGCTGCGCACCTTCTTGCTCTCGTCCCTGCGGCTGGCCACCTCCTTAGCCAGCTTGTCGGCCTTCTCCTCCACCTCGTGGATGCCGCCCACCATGTAGAAGGCCATCTCGGGAAGGTCATCGTACTTGCCGTCCAGGATACCCTTGAAGGCAGCGATGGTGTCCTTCAGGTCGACGTACTTGCCGGGGGTGCCGGTGAAGACCTCAGCGACCTGTGCACATGTTTTGGCAGAAGCGTTACATTGAATCTCGGGAGCAACAACGAACGGTGGCGCCCGAATTACCTACATGCCGAAGAACCCACATGACCCTGCTTTCGCACCTGGAAGGGCTGGGACAGGAAACGCTGGATCTTGCGGGCGCGGGCCACGGTGAGCTTGTCCTCCTCAGACAGCTCATCCATACCCAGAATGGCAATGATATCCTGCAAGTTCTTGTAGTCCTGCAGCACCTTCTGGACACCACGGGCCACGCCGTAGTGCTCAGCGCCGATGATGTTGGGGTTGAGCATGCGGCTGGTGGAGTCGAGGGGGTCCACGGCGGGGTAGATACCCAGCTCAGCAATGGAGCGAGACAGCACAGTCGTGGCATCCAAGTGAGCGAAGGTGGTGGCGGGGGCGGGATCCGTCAGATCATCGGCGGGCACGTACACGGCCTGCAAAACAGAGGGGAAAAGCGTGGCGTAAGGTGATGAGGCATACTTTATGAGGAAGGCACATGGAAGGCATGACCAACCTTAAGATCTATCCTAGCATTAGCAAGGCATACCGAGCTTCACCCTCCCCCGGCAGGGTATATAGTTATGTATAAAAGCCGACACACCTGCACGGAGGTAATGGAACCCTTCGTGGTGGTGGTAATGCGCTCCTGCAGACCACCCAGATCGGTGGCCAGGGTGGGCTGGTAACCCACAGCCGAGGGAATGCGGCCCAGCAGAGCAGACACCTCCGAGTTAGCCTGGGTGAAGCGGAAGATGTTGTCCACGAACAGCAGCACATCCTGGCCCTCCACATCACGGAAGTACTCGGCCACGGTCAGACCTGCAGGAATTGGGTTTGCATATGCGTGTGGTTAGGACGGCTTCGACACGTTGTGTTACATGCCGGGTTTGGTAAACCGGGATTAGCAAACCCAATGCAAGTGCGCGACGTACCCGTCAGGGCGACACGGGCACGGGCACCAGGGGGCTCGTTCATCTGGCCGTACACGAGCGTGCACTTGGACTCGCCGCGCTTGTCGCCCAGCTTAATGACGCCCTGCAAGTGACGTGGCAAGGGATGACTGTCATCATCCCCCAGGGCTCATTAGAACCCATTGCTGCAGATGAGGTGTTGCTTACCGACTCAATCATCTCACGGTACAGGTCGTTACCCTCGCGAGTGCGCTCGCCCACACCGGCGAACACCGAGAAACCACCTGTAAGGGATATAGTATGTTAGCGTTTATGGCGAAACCAAGTAAGCTTGATTCGTAGGTAACAACAAAAGCGGCTTTAGATGTCGACGCACCGTGCGCCTTAGCGACGTTGTTGATGAGCTCCATAATCAGCACGGTCTTGCCCACACCGGCACCACCGAACAGACCAATCTTGCCACCACGCTGGTAGGGGGCCAGCAGGTCCACGACCTGCAAAGGTAGCAGGCAAGGGTGAGCAGCCGCAACAAGGGAAATTTCCGACACTGATGACAGAGGCGGCCAGCGCGTCGCAACAAAAACAAGTAGGACTACATGTTGTTAGAAGCTTTAATATTATTATTGGCGTAAATACAATTGATAAGAGCTATCGACACACCTTAATGCCGGTCACCAGGATCTCCTGCTCAGTGCTCTGCTCAGTGAACTCAGGCGCCTCGCGGTGGATGGACCACACCTCGGAGCACTCTGCGGTTAACAAGCATATTTTTTATTGCCATGAACCCCGAAACAGCCGACGGAATATATTTTCGGGCTGCCTTCTTACCGATGGGGCCCTGCTCGTCGACAGGCTCGCCAATCACGTTCATGATGCGGCCCAGAGTGCCACGGCCCACCGGCACCTACGTTGAGAAGCCCAAAGCCCGGTTAGTGAAGCGATGCATCATGTCGCTGCTCCACCATCAAGAGCCTAGCTCACCTTAATGGGAGAGCCGGTGTTCTGCACCCTCTGGCCACGAACCAGACCATCAGTGCTGTCCATGGCAATGCAGCGGACGGTGTTGTCGCCCATGTGCTGCGCCACCTCCATGACCAGGCGCACGTTGTGGCCCTCGACCTCCAGCGCACTGAGAATGGACGGCAGCTCGCCATCGAAACGGACATCCACCACGGGGCCGATGACCTATAAGGTAGGGCGAGGATGATAGGTTATGTCGGCTCCTTCCGGGACTCTGATGATCGATTGTTCCGGCGGCCGGGCGCACCTGGCTCACGAAGCCAACATCAGCAGACGCAGCAGCAGGCTCCGCAGCGAAAGCACGAGCGGTGTTAAGCAGAGCGCTGTTGCGGCTCTGGGCGGCCTGCCTGAGGCAGGTCGCCGCGAAACGGGTCGCCCCCGAAAGCATTCTGCACGGACCCACGCTCAGCCCGCTGTCGGAGAGGTAGCACCAGAGGAACCGGGAGCCTACAAGAGCGAACACAGTAATTGTCTTTGTAAAAGTCTTTCGGCCGGAGCCGTACCCCTCCTGGAGTTGTACTCCGCTGGCGCGAGACGGTTATGTCGCATCTCCAATCATGGGCTATAGGAAGGTTTATAATGTAAAGTATTGTTACCCGAAATCCTGCGGCTTTATCCCTGTGTGTCCTTCCAGGGTAGTAAATGTTGCCGACCCAAGTTCCCGCTTGGTGTTGTGTAACGTTTAGGACAACTGTCTATTTACTCTTATCAGCAGGTGTCATCCCAGGATGCCTTTGTTGCTGAGGATTGTAGCGACCCGCGGTCCCGATAGGAACGCTATGGAAAAAGCTAGGTAGCCTTTCCTTAGTTAGTTTTGCAAGAATGTTTATAGAGTCCATTCTTGCAAGCCATGCGCCATGGCAGACGGTGGCTCCTAAGGACCGCTGCTGCATCCTGGTAGTATCGGTATGGCCAGTGGTAATCCCCACCCATTATTCTACGCGTATGCGTCGCTGAGCTCTTGACGTCATAAGGAAAAGCATTAATTGCGCTCCCGGAAGGCAAAGCCTGTGTTAAGGCTGTAGCGGAGGATGGCGGCGTTTATCACACGTTGGCACGGGGATTGCGTGCGGCGTAAACGCGTGACGGTAACAATACCACCCATGCGTCTGGTTGTCGCGAGTCTGTTGTGTCTCAAGGTAGATAACCAGCAAGCGTGCGTTATACTGTCAGGACACGACTGGGGGGGGAACCATGCGCGTGACACCATGCACTCGTGCTTACAGTGAATGGGGGAAATGGGGGAAACGTAAAGCTATACGGTAGCGAAAGGAGCGAGGAGGGGGCAGGTAGCTGGGAAAGGACTTGGGTAGATTGGGACAAGCGGGGGAGTTGGGTTGGGAAGATAAGCGTAAGGCTACATGGAAACTGCAATGCCCCAAAGCCCCCAATGCTCCCGGTCCCCTTATGCATGCCACCACTTCCGAACCACGTCCGCTCCTACCACCTCTTTTCGCGGCTTGTGTCCTTTACTGTCCCTTGTACACAAGCGCTAACGGGGCACTGCATGCATATATTCGTGGGTGCATGGTTCTTATTACACCGCACAATGCCAAGGTTGGGGGGCATGTCAACAACTCGCCCCGCACGGCGAAGCACCAATAAGAGCACCAAGGCTCCCGAAAATGCGTGCGTCGAAGCTCACCTCCATGCAAATTACTTGTGACATTTCCCAACCGCAGGTTTGCCTGCGTGCTACCCATACGGTACACATACATCCACACCAACGTAAACACGGAACCTCCTAACGGAAAAAGTATGCGAAAGCAAGCACACGCATACGTATACGACACACGCGACATCTACACAACACCCCCTCCCGCTTTCGGACATTGGAGCGGCTCCCTTCAACACCGCGGCCCCCAAAGATGGAGAGTATTACTCCTTCTGCAGAGTTCTGCAGTCCTTCTGCATTGTTACGCAAAACACCCCGGCCGCCAGGAGAGGATCACTTTACTCCTCCTTCTGCAGTGCGCGTGTGGCCAGCAGGCTGCACTGCGGGCGGTGGGTGGGCCAGTGCTGCCGCTGGCAGGCCTCCCCGCAGTAGCGCGCAGTGAGGCACTTGGCGCACTTGCGCGGCTTGATGCCGGCCGCACGATCTGCAGGGGACGATAGGGGAGAGGCACGCGGGGGAATGGAGCGCTCCCAAACACAAAAAACATGGATCCACAAGAGGAACATGGGGGAACATGCGACGAGCGCCCCCCACACACGCAGCCTTCACCAGCGGTGCAAACGCAGCACCCAAACACCCCCTGCATGGGGTCAGGGTCAGTGTTTCCGCGGCTCTGTTTACCTACAACCCATGCATGCCGCCCGACTGCTGCAACGCTCCACACCGGTCCCACCCTCCCTTACTGACTGAGAGTCACGCAACTTCCACGCCGGATACCAGCCGCACAAGGCCACAAGGTCAGGCAGCAACAGCACAGGACACGTTTCCGGCTGCCGGTCGGTGTTGTTACCGGTATATACACAACACTCACCCTTCGCCTTGCCGCAGCACCAGCAGTGCGATTTGTCCTGATACGGCTCCAATATCAGCTCCTCCTCCTCAGAGGCTGCTGCTGCTGCCGAGGGTGGTGCTGCTGCTGCGGGCACCGGGGGCGTTGGGGTGACGCTTGCAGCAGCGCTGACCACCGGCGCACCCGCCACGCTCTTCACGGCACCAGCAGCAGCGGCTGTGCCATTGGGCGCTGGCTTAGGAGCCGCACCCGGCGGCTCCTGCGCTGCTTTGCTGCTCTTCTTCGCGGCACCGGAAGCAACCCCGTTCTCGCCTTTCACAGCCCTCTCAGCAGCGGCCGCCCCGCTGTTGTTGTTGGAGCCCGGGGGGTCCTGTTTCTGCGCTGCAGGCGACATCTTAGCCGTCTTCGCCTGTTCGGACGAGGAGACAGCTGCTGAGACAGGCGGGGAACCTGCCTGCTGCTGCTGCCCCTGCTGCTTGGCTGCCTGCACAACTGCACCCGCGGCCGGCGGCGCTTCAGCCTTCACCCGCACCTCAGCAGTTGGAGAACGCTGCCCGTCCCTCTTCTGCTGGCCCTCCTGCGTTGCGCCGTTCGCCGCCTTGTCGTCCCCTCCCGTCCCTTTCCCAACCCCATCCGTCGTCTTATCCGCAGGCAAAGGCTGACTGGATGCCGCCGCCGATGACGACGACGTCTGCGCCGGCTGCTTCCCCTGCTTCTGCATCTTCGCCTCGTTCCCCTCCTGTCCCTCCTTTGCAGATGAGCTCTGCGCGGACTGCTTTCCCTCGCTCCCCTTCTGCGCCTCCTTTGCAGATGAGCTCTGCGCGGACTGCTTTCCCTCGCTCCCCTCCTGCGCCTCCTTTGCAGATGAGCTCTGCGCGGACTGCTTCCCATCGTTCCCCTCCTGCCGCTCCTTGGCCTCTCGCAACACCCGATCCAGCTCCGTCAGCAGATTGCGCCGCGCGGTGCGCAGCGGCTGCTGCACGCGCTCAGCCTCCTGCCACATCCAGCGGCGCAGCGGCTCGTGTACGGAGGTCATGCCGTACGCCACCAGCACCTCGAGCAGCTTGGAGAAGCTGGCCCAGGGTCCGTGTGGGCTGGCGGCGTCAGCTGGCGGCGGAGGGTACGGGTGAGGACAGGGTGGGACACGGGACACGGGACGGGACAGAAGGACAGAAGGGTTGGTATGATGGTAAGGGGTTGGGCCAGGAGGCAGGAACAGAGGGAAGGGCTGTGGTGAACCAGGAACGTCAAGCGGAAAGATGTGTGTTGAGGAGACTACAGATCTGGGGTAGGGTTGACACAGTTTGCAGCTATCGCCAGGCTGTTTCGAGGCTGTGGGATTCCCGCCCTTGTTCCTCATTCCCATAAGCACGTTTTTTCGCCCCGGCACACAGCCCACGGGTACGGCCCCCACCCACGCACGCACCCATTCTCTTGTCCTTCGTGCAGCGCTGGCAACCCCGTTTGACGCCCGTCACGCAGGCCAGGAAGGGGCTCTGGAAGGCGGTCAGCAATGTTAACTCGAACACGTTGCGGCACAGCGGCAGCGCCATGTCGCAGGAGAAATCCACCCACTGCCGGGGCTTGGGGGGCACCGGCATGGAGCCTGCAGGCAGGCAGGCAGGGACGCAGGGTCGCTTGAGGAAACGCGAAAAGGAGGAAATGCGAAAGGAGGGCACACCAGCAGGACGTTAGGTTAGGAGTTTAGTAGCGTTCGGCAACCACAGTACGTTCCGACTTGCGGCCAGTTTCCTCAACACACATGCAGCAACACCCCCACTCCAACCAACCCAACCCCACGCCTCCACGCACGCACGCACAACGCACGCACCCAGTTTGCGTTTGATCTTAAACACCGCCTGCAGCTCCCGCCACATGCCCTGCTCTGCAGCACACACCAGCGGCACGCACTCCGCTCGGTCGGCAAGCAGCGGGTCGGCGCCCGCCTTGAGCAGCAAGCGTACGGCATCGGGGCCGTACCCTCGATACATGGCGTACAGCAGGGGGGAGAAGGTGGAGACACGGCCGCCCGCGGTTTTGTTGTGTGGGATGTGGGGTTTGATGGGGCAGCCGGCGGCGACTAGCTCTTGAAGGATCTGGCGGGCGGGGAGGGGCAGCAGCGGGGAGGGGATGGCGGACGAGGGGAGAGCGGAGGAAGGGAGGGAGGGAGGCAGGAAAGGAAGGGGATGATGCAGCAGTGATGAGAACGGAGAAAGGAGGGAGGCAAAGAAGGGGAGGCGGATGCAACCGAGGAGAGAGCGGAGGGAGGGAGGCGTGGAGGAAAGGAGGCGTAAATGAGCCAGCACTGCGACCGAAGCGGAGGGCGGAGGGGCGGTATTGGCGTATCACACCCACCCCAGCAATCCAGCCCCAGCAATCCAGCACCAAGTCATATGCTGCGGCACTATCGCAAAGGAAGACAACAACCGTTATGCCCCAGGCATTCAGCAAACAAGACATCGGGGACGCGTCAAGAGCTGTATCCCCAGAAGTCCCCAGTGAGCTCGGCGCGTGCCGTACGACCAACCGAGGATGCCGCACCTCTAGATCCACCGCATTCATGGTGGGGTCGGGCAGGTTCAGGTGGTGGGTGGTGAAGGTGGCAGCCAGCTCCACCAGGCCATGCCAGCAGCACATGCCCTCGAACTTGACTGCATCCGGAAAGATTGCGGCTGAGGAGGAGGAGGAAGAGGAGGCGGCGCGGGTGGCACCGGTAGCGGCTGAGGAAGAAGAAGACGGGGATGATGATGTAGTGGCGGTGGTTGGGCCGCTGCCAGCGGCGGGGGGTCGGGGTGACGGCCCCGCAGAGGGTGCGGGTGAGGAGGGTGAGGAGGGTGAGGAGGAGAGGCCCATGTAGCGCCGGAAATCACGCATATTGGGATTGGCACCTGAGCGGGCGTCGGAGATGATTCCAAACACCTGACGGGGGGGGGTCAAAGACCATAACAAACCATAGGAGACCACAAGTGAGGGCAAAGCAATGGGGATAGGAGGGGGGGGGAAGGAGCCGAGGAGGCGGAGGCGGTCCATTGCAACGGGCGTTCATTCATTCAGTCAAGCTGCTCAGGAGATAAGAGACCATGCGGCAAATCAGGCGAAGAAGAGGTAAGCCCGGCATCAGCGGTAACCCCGCTACCCGCCACCCCACACACCAAAGACCCCCCCGCCCCCTCCTCCCCCCCCCGCCCCCACCTCGTACGTGTTCCTGAAGCGCCTCACATACTCCAGCACCCCCGGCGTGTCGCGCCACAGGTCCCCGCAGCAGCGCACGTAACCCACCTGGCAGCCCACCGACCCGGCGGCGACGGCCATGGGCGGCAGCGGACCTGGGGGGGAGCAGCAGCAACAGCAGCAGCGGCGCAGGCAGCAGCAGCGCATTAGTGCATGCGTCCGGCCACTGATGAGACCTGCTACAGGAGCCGACCCCGGGCAGCGAGCAGCGGACGCCCATTTCCTCCCCCCCCCCCCCACCTGAATGCGCTCACTGCATGAGTCGGGATATGGGATTGGGACTTAGTTGTTTGCATTTCTTATATAATTTTCCCCCCCCACCTGACGGCACCGGCATGTCCCCCAGCAGCATGTCAACCATCATGGGCAGCCAGCAGCAGCACGCGGCCAGCGCCATGCCATTCCGCAGCTTGTCACATGCGCCTCGCCACACGGGCGGACACTTGCCGGCACCCCCGCCGCGGCGTTTGCAGGCGCGACCGCCACCACTGCTGCTGTCGCTGTCGCTGCCGTCCCCACTATCCTCGTCATCGTCTTCATCGTCGTTGCAGCAGCCTCGCGCGCCGTGGCTGCATGTCAGGTTGGTTTCGTCCTCCGCGGAGCTCAGACTGGTCCACATGAAGCCCTGTGTGTGTGCAGCGGGTGACAGCGGGGATTGCACCCACAATAACCATGAGAGAACACCAACAACACCATCATCCCAGGCGGCCGCTCGGAGTGCGGAGCTATGAGAGTGAGAGAGTTCCCAGCCAAGCGAGGAGTGCTTGTTGGCGGGGCAGGAACAGGAACAGGGTGGCGGGACAGGGTGCAATGCCAAAGGGCGTTAGGTACGGTAGTTGGGAGCTCCATGACCCCCAAGTCACACGGCACGCAAACAGAGATCAGGACCGCAGGCAGCAGCAGGGCAGCACGTCAGGCCGCAGCACGTCACGCAGCAGGGCAGGGCAGCAGGCAGCAAGGTTACAGTAACACGCGCTCGCGCACCTCCTCCTTGTGCGTTGCGGTCCAGGCGAGCGCATACGTCGCGATCCACCACACCTCCCCGCCCCCCCACTCGAACGCCTCGCTGCACAGGTGCTTGTTCATCCAGGACAGACAGCCGGCGGGGCCGCGAGCCCTGCGGGGAGCAGCAGCAGCAGCAACAACCGTGTGTGAGGTGTTAAGAAAGCTGTAGGAACGGGGCCGCGAGTAGGAACGTCGGACTGGATTGCCGGCAGATGATGTCCCCACAAGGTGTGTCCGCCGCCGCCCCCCACACGCGCAGCCCCCCCCCACCTGAACACCACCTCCGGGGCCAACACCCAGGCACTCAGGGCGGGCTGCTCCTTGAGGGGCGGACACAGCGACAGCAGCTTCTGCAGCAGGGAGGGAGCAGGGAGGAGGTAAGGAGGAAGTAAGGAGGGGGGGAAGAAGAACACCCAACACAGCGCCTGCAGTACGTTCCTGCTCACTGCCAGTTTACATAACACACGCCCCCACCCCCACCCCCACCCACCCACCCACCATGAGCCGTGTGTACGCCTCCTGCGGCCGCCGCAAGCGACACAGCGTGTAGATGGACCCCTCCATGCAGCGAACGACACCCATGTACGGCGGAGAGGCTGCCGTGCACTTGCCGTACGCGGTTGCGCAGCGGGCGATGCCGTCAGGGCTCATGACCTGCGGAAAGGCCGGAGGGGTGTGATTTCTCTCTAACACTGTTAACTGGACTACACGGTATGTGGCGCCAGGGGAGCAGGATCGCTTAACGACGGGGTCAGACCTAGCAGCGTCTGGCCCCGTCGTTAAGCCATCCTGGCCAGACGCTGCTGGGGGAATCACATCCGCAACACCGCAGGTTGCACCGAACTGCACAACGCATGAGGGTTGTTCCGAAACACTTTGCATAAAGCACAACCCTTTGCTCCACACCAGCTCCTGCACCGAACTGCACCACGCACGAAAGTCCTCCCCTCCGAAACCCCCACAAGCCCCACACAAGCTCTTCCTGCCTTGTCGGGTTCCAGCACGCCCCTCTCGTACAGCTCCAGGGCCTCCTCCAGGCTCTTGGCTTTGAGACGAGCAAGAAGCGCGTAGGCGTCCGGGCACACGGTGCACAGGGACAGCGCCTCCTCGGCAACCCGTACCGCCGCAGCAGGGTTGCGCTCCACCATCGCGTAGCCGCTGAGCGCGCGTAGGGCTGTCTGGCAAACGGCGGAAGATGCATGCCACTGCTTGTACCTGCGAGGGCGGTGGGAAAAAGCGCAAGGAGTGCTCACAGCAAGCAAAAGAGCCCTTACTGCCAGGAACGCTGTTGGCGATTTTCGATGAGGGAAGTATCAGGTTGTTGCCGTCGTCAAAAGCAGTAAAAGCAGGATGATCTGAAGCTGGCTCGTCAAAGCTACACCGTACGTTAACGCCAACCGTCTTTCGAAAGACTGTTTGACTTAAAGTACGTATATATCATTTATCCTAATGCCTCTTAAGGTGTCAGCGTTCCTCGCTTCTTGCTGGTATGACCAATGAAAGGCAAGTTGCTAGTTGCTTACGTCGAACCAAGCCTTTTAGCCGTCTTCGCCAGCACCTCCCCAATTGTTGTTGTGGACATGCATGCCCGATACTCCGCATTGAAAGCCGCGACCACTCGGCAATACTCCTCGAGGTCGCAACGCGCAGGGTCGGGCTTTTGGGCGACGACCGGCTCCTCGCAGGCAAGCTCGAAAACCGGCAGAGGCCCAGCATGCTGATATTTGAACGTAAAAGGGCAGTTGTATATTAGGTTGCCGCACTGCGGGCAAGGGCAACGGAAGCGCCGGCTCTCCCGCTGCGCAAAGTGGCGATGGCTACCACTCATTTCGCCTAGACGTGAGGCATAGTAATTGTATGCTTAGGACAGGGTGCTGGACGTGGCGTCTGCCCTGATTCTAGGATGGTCCGAACGCTTTGCCGTACGGGCCTTGGATCCCATCGCCGAGTCAGTTAGGACTTAGGAGGAAATTTGCTTTCGTTCAGCTGCAGCCCAGAGCAGCGCAGTTGTTGTTTGCTGTGGTTTTCTTTGTCTATTTTACGAAATACCTGAGCAGTCAGCACTCCGTCCGACGACGCACGGAGACGTAGGATGTTGCACCTTCCTGGTTGTGAGGCTTGCGACTTCGACGGCGTTCACCGCAAGCAGCTTGCACCTGGAACCCGTATGCCGTGCCGATACCAGGAGTCCTTGCCTGCTGGATGCAGCCCTAGCCGGCTCCTGAGTGATGATGATGAGTAGTGTAGCCCGATTGTGAACCCAATCGGCCTCCAGCCAGGAGTTTGTGTGTGGATAGATAGGTGCATGGATGGATGGGCCATGTCCTGTGGGGGGTTGAGTGTGGGGTATATGCCAGCTGCTGCCAGTACCTTGGCCCTACGCTCCTACTGTCTAAGACTGATACGAACACGGAATGTGCTGGGGACAGTCTATGCCATACCTATTACCCCCATAACCAGGCAGAACGTGGCTTGTTGGGAAGTGCGACCCCATTCGCGACCCTCATTAGTACCGGCAAGCCCTGTTGGGACCTACCTTGCCCATGCTCACTGCCTGGTTAGGCGGAGGAAACGCAATAGTTACAGTACCTTGCATGTACTGTAAGATTGCAGGCGACACCACTCAGCGGTTCCGTGCACCATTGCTTAGCGGGTTCCGGAGCGCCATTGATGTTGGCGCGCAACATGGCCCGTCGGCCCAGTGCCCCACACCATAGTCCAGTACTCTTTCTCGTGTTGCTTGATTAATTGCTCAATTAGTTTTGTGAATAAAATAAGGCTACGTTGATTGGCGACAACTGCAGGGACCCTGACGTCGAAACCGTTTACTTTGCGAAGGGCTTGCAATCTCGACACAAAGCTATTCACTATATATAGCAATATAGTGTATCCTTACCAATGCTTCAGCACGTAGCAGATGCGCTGTGCTTGCAGCCGAGGCTTTTGGAGTACAGTTGCAAAATTCCCAACACTAAGGCAACATAGTTATGACAGGTCACACTGCTGAGAAGGCACGCTCGGTCCTGGAACGGTTTACTACGAGCGGAAACGGTGCAACCTGGGGATGTCATCGTTCCCAGCAGGGCATGGCAACGCAAGCGCTGGACCTGACGTAGCACTTGAAACCCAAGTAACCTTAACTGGCCAGTCCTTCACGTACCTAAACACAACACCACACTTTGGGACTTCTTGTGGCGAATGGGGCGCAAACCTCACTGCGGATGCGGCAGCGGATCCCTCCTCAGCCTGCGCGGTGGAGCTGGAGCAGCATCCTTGCGTGCTAGCGGGCTCGGAGCCCGACCCACTGCTCGCCCTCGCAGAGGCGCTTACACCAGGAGCAGCAGCTGCTGATGATGACTTTCCTGCTGAATCCCGCGAGGATACAGCACCCAGCGAGCTGAACCAACATTCCATCCTACTTGCTCCTAAGCCAGCAGCAGCGGCAGCAGCTCCGGTAGCAGCGACCCAGGCCTTGACTTCATCCGCCCTGGCTGTCTTGGACTGCTGGGATGCCACCCAACGTGACGGAGTGGGTGTCATTGATGTCAACACAGATGCTCCTCCACCCCCGCCAGAGGTGCCTCCCGCTTCACCCTCAGCCCATCAGGACCCCGGAGCTGAAGCGCCCGGGAACCCCAACCTCCCCGCATCGCTGCCCACAACGCAGCCCCTGCCGCCACAAGAGCCACCACCAACGCAACCGCAGCAACCGCAACCGCAGCAGCAGCAGCAGCAGCGCATGTTAGGGGTTGCGGCGGCGACTCAGCCGCCGCTGCTGCCGCCCACCCAAGCCCTGCGGCCCCAGCCAGCGCCCCCCGCTGGCTCCCACCCGCACCCGCAGCACGGCAACACCCAAACAGTGTTGGATCCCGGGTTGGATCTGGCCGCAGCAGCATCACCCGCGTCCGTGCCGCCCCCGGCCCGGGCCCTGGCCCCGGGCTGCATGACTGTGACTGGCACTGCTGCGAGCGGCCCGGCAGCGGAGTTGCTGCAAGCTGCGAGCCGCTTGCAAGGTGTCATAAGTCCACAAGGGGGTGCCGCTCGCACTGGGCAGGGGGGCAGTCAGGGCCCGGGCTCTGCTTCCCCGTCACCGCCGCTGTGGTCGGGCCAGGCGAGCCCGCAGGCGCGCGTTGCCTCACCGCCGCTGCCGTCTTGCACGTCGAGTCAGCAACGACGCGTCCATCAAGCAGCAGCAGCAGCAGTTTTCGAAGCCAGCGGAGGTGCTGGAAGCAGTGAGAGCGTGCTTGCTCGCCAGGGATCCGGTCAATGTCATCCGCCGCCGCCGCTGCCAGCATCGCAGCAGCAGCAGCAACAACATCGCCTCTCTCAACAGCAGCAGCAACACCCCTCGCAACAGCAACAGCGGCCGCCGTCGCAGGGACTCAACCCCTCCCAGCAACAGCAGCAACAACAGCAGTCACAGCGGACCTTGTCGCTGGCAGACGGGGCAGTGCGGCGGAAGGTGAGGCCAGGCTCAACCTCCCCCAGCGCCTCCCTCTCTGGGGCGGCAGCAGCAGCAACAGCAGTTCCCTCGGTCTCACCAGGAGCAGCAGCAGCAACCGGCATGCTGCCGCCTCCGCCACCGCGGCCGCAGCGGGTGTTCACCGCCCGGGAGGTGTGTCGCCGCAGCGCTGTTGCGAGGCACTACGCAAGCCTGATGGGCATTTCGGAAGGTAAGGTGGTTGGCTCAAGTCGTGAAGTGTGGCCTGAAGTGTGGCCATCAGTGGGTCTCAAGCGGGTCTCAAGGGGCGTCCAAGAAGCTGGAGGTTTATGTAGACCAGGGACTATGCGAATTGTTGCGGACAGTGTATGGTGTTTACCGGAACCCCCACCGTTTACCCTTTAATTCCTCTCTGACCCTTTCACCTCACCCATCTCTCGCCATCTGCCCTTCCCCCCCATCCCGCCCGCCCTGTCCCCACCACCCACGCGTCCGCAGCCGCACCCGTCAACGACCCCGTGCTCCTGGAGCTCAGCCGGCTGTCCGACTCGTTGTTGGTTCCGGAGCAGCTCCTGGCAGCCAGCACAGCTCTGGGGGAGCTGCCCAACGCTACCGTCAACCTCTCCGCCTCCTCCTCCTCCTCATCCTGCTCCTCTTTCAGGCGGCAGCAACCGGACGAGGCGGCAGCAGCAGCAGCAGCAGTAGGGCTGCATGGCTGGGCTGTCCGTGGCAGGCCCGCAGCTAGTGGGAGTGGGGCGGCTGCGGGGAGTGCGGGCGGTAGGCCGGTGCGTGGGGCGGCTGGGGAGGCGGTGGGGGAGTGCTGGCAGGGACAGGAGATGAGTCGGCGGCAGCTGCTGTCGTTGCTGCAGGCGCTGACAAAGCCGCCGCCGCTGCAGCTGATGGCAGGTGAGTAGGAGTGGGTGGGTGTGGCTTGGCGGCTGTAACGCATGTGTACCACATGGTACGACAGTGAGTAGGGCGCTTGCTGGGATTATGGGAGTCATAATGCTCCTCCTCCTGATGCTGCATCTGTCTGCATCTCCGCCTGCTGGCCTTCCTTTGAACTCCTTTCTTACCGGTATGAGGCCGGTATGCTATATCTCGCCGTACCCGTTAGCAGGCCCCACAGCCCCCACTGCCCCCTCCTTGTAGCATCCCCCCCCCCCAAGTCATCAAAAGGACGCCCACACCGCCCCCTAGCCCCTCACGCCCACGTACCGCCCCTCTTCCCGCAGGCAATGACCATCCCGGACTGGGCGGCGAATCCCATCCCCGATCCCACGCTACCGCCGCTGCCCCCGGCACCTCCGCAATGTCACAACCCGGTGGCGGTTTCAGCCCCAGCAGCAGCTCGACGGGGGGTGGCGCTGTCGTGCTGTTGGGTTTGGATCTGTCCGGCCAATCGCAGCTGGACGACCGGGTTTTGGAGGAGGGGCTGCTGGCGGGTCTGACGGCGCAGGGGCGGGGCAGGTGCAGGCTGAGGCACTTGGGGCTGGCAGGCTGCTCGCTGACAGGTGTGCGCTGTGGGGAGAGGGGGGAGAGAAGGGAAGGTGAGGTGTGCGCTATAAAGGGGGGTTCAAAGACCATACCGAACCATAGGAAACCACAGGTGCTGTGAGGGAGGGGGAAATAAATGAGAGGTGTCCCAATCCCATACTCTGCTGTAAGGGGGGGAACGGCGGTTGGTTTGGGTTGCATGGGAGGGCCCACGGAGCGCCTGGCCTAGCGTCATGCAGGAGGGTTTTTTCCATTCAGAGCTGCAGCAGCAGTACATTGCTCCTTGCTGTTGTACGTTTATACTTCACATTTGTTGGGCTTGTAATGTATCCCTAAATTCCTAAAACCTACATCCTTTTGCATGCCTCTTTGCAAACTCACCTCCTTTGCATGCCTCTTCGCAAGCCTACCCCCCCCCTGCATGCCTCCCTGCACGATGCAGATGCCAGCCTACTGGGTCTGTCCCTGTGCGCCCCCCTCAAGCTCACACTGCGCCACCTGGACCTCTCGGGCAACCCGGGTCTCCAGTGGGACGAGGCGGCCTGGCGGTGGGCGCTGATGGGCTGCACAGCGCTGCAGGTGTTCAATGTGCAGGGAGCAGGTGGGTGTGGGGGGGTCAAAGACCATACCAAACCATAGGAGACCACAAGTTAGGGCAAAGCAATGGGGGTAGGAGTTGGCAGGGCGCCACAAGACAAAATGTTGGTTAGTATTCCCTACCGGGGGGGGAGAGACTGCATAGCAGCCCATATGGTGGGTCAAGGGCCGCAAAGCAGCCCCTAGGTATGGTCTAGGAAACCACAGGTTGGGGCACCCTTCCCTTAGCGTGCCCCTGAACACGCCCTTCAACCGACCCTCCCCCCCCCCCCCCATGCCGCAGGACTGGACACCCCCGCGCTGCGGGCCCTCACCCGCACCCTGCAGGAGCTGCAGGAGCTGCGGAGGACGCTGGCGGTGGTGAAGGCGGGGCCGCCCACGGACCTGCGCATGCTACCGCCGCGGGAGCAGCAGGAACAGCTGGGGGATCAGCCGCGGGAACAGCAGCAGCAGCCAAACCCACCGCCAGCAGAGGGCTCGGACGCAGTGCAAGTCGCGCTGGTGCGGACAAGGGAGGAGGATGCGGAGGCTATCAATGGAGCGGCCATAGCAGCAGCAGCAGGTGTCGGTGTTGAGGGGGAGGGTGGGCTGGGCGCATCGCCCGGAGAGCAGGGAGCTTTCGGAGCTGCGCGGCCGGGAGGACCCATGGGTCAGCCGGGAGGTGGCGGTGCTGGTATTGGGGAGAGCGGGCAGCAGCAGCCGCCTGCTGCTACCACACCACCACCACCCCTGAACGGCAGCAGCTGCTGCTGGCCGCTTGCAGCGGAGGAGCTGCAGCAGCTGACCCAGTGCTTTACGGCCATGCCGGCATTGCAGGTGCGGGGGGTAAGGAGGAAAACTCTAACTGACCGTGTGATAAGGCATTGCAGGTGGGTGGGCAGCGGCGTGCTGATGAGGGCGATGATGGTGATGGCGCACTAGGATGTGTATTAGGATGTGTGTGCCCGGGCGTATACGGCGCTCATGTACGGCGCACCCCGTACCGTCAGTAACAGACCCCAGGACATTCCCACCGCCGCTCTCACTGCCGCATGTAATCCTGCGTGGTCATGCTGCTGTGGTGTTGCTGTGTGGTGTTGCTTTGGCGTGCAGGTGTTGGAGCTGCGCGGGCTGTCAGGTGCGCAGGTGGACGAGGTGTATGCGGCGCTGCTGGGGCGACCCACGTTGAACACCAAGGTATGCACGAAAGGGGGGGGGGGGCAGGCATGCCGGGGGTGCTTGCGACTGTGGTGGCAAGGCCGTTGACTTCATATTGTGTGCTTATGTAGAATGCTTGTTATTATCACGAGCTGCTATATACATGGCCCCTGTACTGCTGTTGATGTCCTTGATGCAGAGAACTTACTGCACCTTAACTGCCCATCGCAGGCGTCAGGCGGGGGCTGGGTGGAGTGGATCAGCCCGGATACGCCGCGTATCTCCTTTGCCAACTGGTAGGTCTGCGTTTGATGACCCATGGGTCATCACGCGTGCCACCCACACCGTCCTACCAACCGCAACAGAACCCCACTACCAGCTGCAGCCTCCTTCTCCATCCTCTTTCCATCCGCCCTTCACCACCCGGGCCCCCGAGCCCTCACCCCTCGTGGACCCATGCAAGTTGAAACCCTAATCATACATTCCATGGGGTGGAGCCCCGTACCCCGCTCACACGGTTTTATAGTTCTTCGTCCCCTTTCCTCACGCCCGAACACCAGGCGAGGCCTGCACCGATGCGACCGCGAGCTCCCTCCCGGCGTGTCCGCCCAGCGGGGCTCCCTCAGCCTCAGCCAGCTGCAGGCGGCATACGGCCTGCAGCCGCCAGGGGAAGCAGCGGCGCTGGGACCGCACGTGTCAGCTGCTCCGCGCGACGGCCGAGCAGGCCTGTGGCAGCACGCTGGGGCGGCCGAAGGGGGCCGCCAACCGGGATATGGTGCCGTCACCGGGGTAGTGGTCGGGCAACATGGGGACGGCACAGCAGGCGGGGGGCTCGGTAATGGCCCACGGGTCACTGCGGAGGGGCACGGGGGTAAGCCGACCCATGGGTCATCTGGACTGCCTTCCGGGGCTCCGCTGCAGCCCCGGCAGCCGCTTTCAGGGGCTGAAAGGAGGCATGGAGGCGGCGGTGGTGGCGGTGGCGGTGGTGGTGGTGGTGGAGGGAGGCTGGTGCAGCTGGGTATGGCGCAGTTTGCTACACGCATGGAGCCCCCGGGGACCGGTGGCGGCAATGCAGCGACAGGTGAGGTAGTGGTGGTTGCCGAAAGGCGTTTTTGTTTGTTTGAGTGGCGCCTTGTGCTATGTGCAACCCCGTGCAGGTTTATTTAGTGGTTTAAAAGTCGCGACTTGTGTCAAACGCCCCAAAAAGCATGTAGCTCTCCCTTTCCCGTCTGTTTTCGCTTGACCTACCGGTATGAAATACCTCTGGACCTCCTCCTTTCGCATCACGGCGCCCCCCGTCCTGCCCAACACCTCCAGGCCACCAAAGGACCAGCCACGTCAAGCGGGGCTCCGTATGGGTCCCCGACCGCCCCCCCTCATCTCGCAACACCAGCGGCGCCCGCGGCAGCGGCGGCGGCGGCGGCAGGCACTTCCTTGGTGGCAGTGGCAAGCAGCTGAAGCTGGGCCAGACCCGCATTACTTCATCCTCCGCTTTCAGCAAGGACCTGGATGAGGACTGGGGCATCGGAAGTACGGACGAGGACGATGACGGCGGTGATTTCGTACGGCATGCCGGCGGCGGCGGCGGAGCTGGCGGGAGAAGCGGCAGGGGCCAAAGCGGCGTTCCCAGGGCTAAAGCCGTACAAGGCGGTGGTGGTGGCGGCGGGGGTGGCAGCGGGAGGCCCCGCCAACAAGACGAGCGGCGCCGTCAGCAGCGGCTGCTGTTGTATGAGCGGGCGGGGCTGCAGAGACCTCGTTCGGCGTCCTCGCAGGGCAACCACCACCGCAGGTATGTGCGCTGCCTTGGGGGTGGGGGGGCACTGAACTCTGGGTGATGAATGTGATGAGCCCCTAGGAAGCACTCTTGGGGTAGCGTTCTTCCGTGCAAGGTCATTCCGGGAAGGCGTCGTCCCGGTTCCGGTCCCGACAACGTGTCGTGCCAGGGCAAGCGCAGCTATGCGCTTGCGCTTTCCCCAGGGAGGGCTGGGTCGGATAAGCGCCCTGGTTAGCGGCTGGGGAGTACCGCTCACACGGCCATTGCAAGCCGATTGCTGAACCACTGCATGGGTGGTGGCGGGTGTCAGCCCGCCCCTGGAATTACCCATAGTATTGCTCTTGTTGTTGTTGCTGCATGCATGCCGCATGCAGGGGTGCCGCCGCATTTGGGCGCGCTGATGGGGTCGCGCAGAATGAGCCCATCACCATTCTCGACAGCGACGATGAGGGCGACGACGACGACAATGCTGACGACTTTACGGACGGCATCAACGTCACCCGGGGAGGGCAGCATGCCAGTCGGAGTCGAGCCACTGACAGGTACTCGTCCGGTGCTCGGAATGAGGGAGGGGCTGCTGATGATGGTGACGAGGAAGAGGAGGAGGAGGAGGATGACATGTTGTACGGCAGGCGCGAAGGAGGCAGACGAGAGTACGGCAGGAGGAGCCTGTACGGCAGAAGACGAGGGTACGAGAGTAACGGTGACGAGGCGTACGATCTGGATGACTTTGTGGACGACCGGGTGCGGATGTCGACCAGTGAGGATGATGATGACGAGGTGCGGGGGGAGGCGGAGAGGCGAGCGATGCGGTACGAACGAGAGGAGCTGGCGCAGGTGGGGGAGGGGGGGAGGGAGCAGGGAAGGAGGGAGGGAGGGCGGGGAGAGGGTGGGGGAACAATATAGATAAGTGCAGCAACGGAAGGGAACAAGGAGGGCGGGTGGCAGGGAGGGAAAGCGCTTCCGAGCGTGCATGGGAGCTGCGGTAGGAAGCACTCCTGCGCTCATGTTGTTAGGGCAGGAGGGGCTTACCATGTCTTGCCTTGCTGCATCTCACACGCCTCCTGTGCACTTCCTTGTCAGGCTACCCGTCTCCCCCATGTCATCTGTTATTGTTTTTTCTTTTCCCATCTGTCCACTCTCTCTTAAAGCCGCAGCTTGCCACCCACTTGCAAGCACGTCCCTCCACTGCTCACGTGTCACGTGTCATGTCATGTTCCTGCAGGAGATGCAGGCTCTGCTGCCTGCATTGCGGCGGGATCACCTGCGCCGCCCCTCTCCGGATCCCGTCGCTCACCGCCGTACAACCTCCAAATCCAGATCCCACTCGCACGGCGGTACGGCCGGCCGTACACCCAACCCCAACCCCAGCCGCAGCCACAGCCAAGCCCACAGTCTCAGCATTAGTCGCGGTCGTAGCCAGAGCACGGGGGCGGGACGCAGGGCAACGTCGGGGCTGTCAGGGGGGAAACGCGGCGGGAGGAGGTCTGCGCGTTCTGAGGGCGGTTCGCTGCTGGGTAGCGACAGTGACAGCGGCGGCAGCGGCAGCGACAGCAGTGCGGTTGCCCGGCGGCAGCCGCGGCGGCGGCGGCAGCAACAGCAGCAAGGTGAAGACGGCCTGACGAGGGAGGCTCGACGTCTGAGAGAGCAGCAGCGCGCGTTCCGGGACAAATCCCCAGGCAAGCCCAGACGTCAGAAACCGACGGAGGCCGCGACAGAGCGTACCGCCGCCGCCACCACTGCGGCTGCTAGTGAGGGCGGAGCCCGCACTGGTTCGCGTCTTGCGGGCACGTCGAGCGCCGGCGGCGGCGGCGACAATGCGAGTGGCGGCGGCGTGCGCACTCGCCGACGAGGCGGCGGCGAGGGGTTGCTTGATAAGGATCAGCTGCTGCAGATCGCGGCGCTGAATCCAGAGCTCCGGAACCTGGTGCCGTACGCATGGGATCGGCGCGTGGCGCTGCATCCGTTCAATTTGGATCAGGTGTATGCGTTGGGAGGCCAGCGGGGGCGCGGCGGCAGGGGGCGGCAGCAGCCCGAGGAGGATGAGGAGGCGTTCAAGGTAGGGTCTGATGGGTTGCATGGTTAACAGGTGTGTGGGGGGCGGCTGGGGATGCGGCATGCGGCATGGGATGTTTGGTGGGCAGCCGTAATGCGCTTGAGACGCGTGTTCAGGAGAGTGTTCGGCTGGGATGGTTCGGCTGTGTTTTGCAGAGGTGGCCTTCAGCGATAAACCTCATGAGTAGATGGTATAGTTTATTACTAAAAGGAAGCTGTTACGTTGTTGTTAAGTGACGCGACGCATTTGCTTTTGTGGACCTCCCTGCCGCACAGCCCACGGGTCGTTACGCGGGCCTGGCTGAACGGCTCCGACGCGGCAGTGGGGAGGAAGATGACGACGACGAGGAGGAAAGCCGCGACGGCGGTGGTGGTGGCAGCGGAGCAATCGGGGGGGTCAGGGCCGGCGGCGTCAGCAGTGCCAGTGCTGGCGGCGGCAGCGCCAATGCACGCCAGAAGCGCTCCGGGTTGGCTGCGGCGGCGGGTACGTCCTCCGGTCAGGCCGCCGCGGCTGTTTCTCGAGGTGGCGCGGGCGATGGCGTTAGCAACGGCGGCCAGGGTGGTGTCGCAGCGGCTCCCGCTGAGGCGGAGGCGTCTGGCGACGCCGCCGCCGCCACGGCAGCGGCTGACGCTCTTGCGGTTGAGGCGACGGCGCGGCTGAACAACCGTGTCAATCGTGAGTTGAGGCTTTTGGAGCCGTTTGGCTGGGACCCCCGCCGCACCAAGCATCCAGCCAATCTGGATCTGCTGGGGGTGCCGCAACGACGGACGCGGCAGGGCGTGGCGGGAGCTGAGCGAGGCAGGGCGGCGGAGCAGCAGCAGCAGGGGCAGGGGCAGGTACGGTGGGTCCAGCTTTGCGACAAGCTCCAAGCCCCTTGGTACGTGCTTGTTCGTCGGTAGTGAAAAGCCTGGGAAGCCGAAGTCATGCAAGATGTACTTTGCTATCTGTGAATACCAAGGACCTTGAAGGTGCGGTGACACGGTGCCATCCGTGACAACCTGCCACTCCCAACCCGCAATCCGCAGGCAGCAGACGTCGCAGGCCGCTACGCAGCCCTCGCTGAGCGCCTGCAGCGCCACAGCAGCGACGAAGACGAAGAGGAGGAGGGTCAGGGCGGGAACGAGGCAAGGGGTGGACGAGACGACAAATGCAACGGCGGCGGCACGACTGGAAACCGCAACCACGCCCGCCAGGCGGTTAGCGGCAACCCTGCTGTTAGTGTTGTACGGCAGGAGGCGCCGTACGGCGGCGGCGTCGTGTCAAGTGGACAAGCCGCCGTACGGCAACTGGGGAGTGACGCCCGAGTGCCGTACGCTGAAGCGTCTACGGCGTTTGGCTTCGCGGATGGTGCTGTTGGTACGGCAGCGCATGCGTCGGCATTCACCACCGCAGCGGGTGCTGCAGCGCTAGCTACTGCCGCTGCCGCCGCCGTCATGGCAACTCCAGGGACGGCCACCGCAGGCGCCGGCGTCACCGTCAACGGCTTCGGCAGCGTCTCCGTACGCACTACTTCATCACTCGGGACGTCCGTCTACACTGGGACGTCAACCTATAGCCTGTCAGGCGCCCCAGACGAGGAGGAGGATGAGGAGGAAGCGGCGCTGATGAGCGGTTTCGGAGTTAACTGGCGCCGTCGAAGCGCCAAACGTAGAGCCGCTGTACGTCGACGCACTGTCGTACTGGACGGATCCGAGGAACAGCCGGATCTGGCGCCGCCGCCGCCGCCGCCGCTGCAGCCACCAGATGCTGGGGAGCATCGGAGCGGCGTTAAGCGGAAGCTGGCGGCAGTTGAAGAGGAGGCGCCGGCGGCGGCGGATGGTAAGGCTGGTGGTGGTGCCGCTGCGTTGGACGACGGAAGCGGTGGACGGCAACGGGAGCAGTCGGCGGCGCCGTCGGGCGGAGGAGGAGAAGTCGGCGGTGGGGATGCTGCTGGTAGTGGCTTGCGCGAGGGCGGCCCGAGCAACGCGGATCGCCATCAGCAGCAGCAGCAGCAAGGGCAGCAGCAGCAGCAAGGGCAGCAGCAGGTTGAAGCGGGAGACACGGTAGGTCATGGTGGTGGTGGAAACTGGGGTGTCTGGGAAATGGGGTGTCTGGGGTGGAAGAGACCAGATGTCTTATCGTCTAGGTCATATAGTCATTGGTGGTTGCAATTGGCCACCAATCGGGCAATGCTGGCTGGGGGACGTGAGGTACGTGTGTCCCTGCTGCCCTTCCTCCTCCTCCTCCTCCTCCTCCTCCTTTTGGTTTCTTCTGCATTCCTGCACAGATCCCGCCCCTCCTCCCTTGCGGCACTCAAATCTGTTCCTCCCCTGTTGCTCCACCCTCCCCCCCCCACACACACAGATCCTGCGCAATCTGCAGCATGAAGCCGCTGTGCTGCGGGAGGCGCTGGAGGCCGTGAGGACGAGGGCGAGGACACCAACAGCACCAGAGCAGCAGCAACAGCAGGAGCAACAGCAGGGACAGGTGCAGGAGCATGTACAAGAGCAGGGCCAGCAGGAGGAGCGACAGCAGGGACAACCGCAGCCGGAGCAGGAGCAGCCGGAGCAGGCGGCTGCTGACGCGGCCCAGCGAGAGGTGGAGCTGCAGCGGCAGTTGCGAAACGTGGAGGCTCGCATTCGGCGGGTCACGAGGGAGCTCCGCAGCATGCAGCCCTGGGTGTGGGACGAATACAAGGTGGGGGTGGTTGGGGTGGTTGATGTGGTTAGTAGGGGGCAAATGCATGCATGCATGCATGGAGAACTTTGAATAACCGGGGGTACTGCTGACTGCAGGGCTGCTCCTGATACGCATGTTTTGCATGGCCCTTGAGCCTTGCATGGCCCGCTTGCAAACACCACACCCTGTCTGGCTGCTCTGACCGCCCGCCTCATCCCCGCTCCTGCCCCGGCGCCTGTCGAACAGGACGTGCACCCTCCCAACGTGGAGAAGCTCGGGTTGGCGCCGGCGGAGACAAAACGGCAGCGCCGCGTGCCCCAGCACTACAGCCCGGGACAGGCTGGCGCGGCGGAGCGGCCGGGCCGGCGGCGGGGCCCGCATGCCGGGGGGTTAGATGCGGGCGGTTGGGAGGCGTACGATCCCGCTGCGCTGAGCCCTGTCGTACAGTGGGGGGCGGCGACGGCGGCGGCGGGAGCTGCTGCCGGTGTGGCCACTGCTGGCGTGGCGGCGGCGGCGGCGGCGGCGGCGGCGGCGGCTGCTCCGAAGTCAGGCGTGGGTGGCAAACGGCGAGGCGGCGGAGCAGAGGGCGGCGGCGGCGGCGGCGGCGGAAAGGGGCGGAAGCAGCCGTCTGCGAAGCGCCAGCGGAGGGCTGCTGCCGACGGTGGCGAGGTGGACGGCAGCAGTAGCAGCAGCTCCAGTAGTAGTGATGAGGACCTGCCTATCGGACTCATTGCGGCTGCAGCACATGCCACCTCCACCTCCCCTGCTGCTGCTGTGATGACCAAACGGGGCCAGGGCGAGGCAGGCAGTCGTAACACCCCCAGCGGCCAGCACAACAGCCGGGGCAGCACTCCTGCGCCTGCTCCCAGCAGCAGTGTCGGCAACCAGCCTCGCCCGCCTCCTGCTGCGGCTACTGCGGCTACTGCTACCCCGGCTGTTACTCCGGCTGCTGCTGCGCCTGTTGCTCTAGCTGTTACTCCGGCTGCTGTTACCCCGGCTGCTACCGCTACGACACCCATGGTGGCGGAGGCGGCTGGGGCACCAGGCCCCTCTCAACCCTCCGGGGTCGCCAAGGGCAGACAAGCGCAGGCGGCGGCAGGGCCCGCAGCAGCCCACACTACTCCGGGGCCGAGCGCTGCTGGGCTTCACCGAGCCGCCGTACCTGCCGTCGTACCTGCCGCTGCCGCCGCCGCGGGCACAACTGCTGGTGGCCCCGTCCGGGGGCCCCGTCCGCCGCATGGGCTTGCTGCTGCAGCCGGTGGCGCTGGTACCTTGGGGCCGGCCATGGCACTTGGGGGCGCCAGCTCCGCCGGGTTCATGCCGTCGGGCGGTACGTCACCGGTGCAGGGCAGCTGCGGAGCTGGTGACGTACCGCACCTGCCGCGAGATCCGCGCCTTCTGACTCCGGCTCATGCTGCTGCCCGACAGCCGACGCCTCGGCTGCCGCTGATGGCTACACCGCATCGCCACTTGCAGCAGCAGCAGCAGCAGCAGGACCCTCGGCAGCAGCAACAACCGCAACAGCAGCAGCAGCAGTTCCCAGTGTCGATGGCGCAGCTGCGGGAGGGAACGCCACAGCCGGTGGCAGCAGTCGTGGCCGCGGCCGCGGTGGCTGCATCGCAGCATACACCCCATCTGACAACGGCGGCGGCCCAACGGGGAACAACACCTCCAGTAGTAGCAGCTCCCGGCCCTTCCGACTCACTGCACAGCCGCCTGCCGCCTGCCGCCCGGGACAAGGAGGACCAACAGCACCAGCAGCCGCTCATGAGCGTGGCGGACCTGTTCCAACATGCAAGTGAACATCCTGCAACAACAACTTTAATCACAACGCAAGAACAACAACAACAACAAGACGTCGCTACGCACGAGGGCGTCAGGGGGGCCAGGGCAGGAGCGGGGCCGACGGCGGCTGAGACCTGTGCTTCAACGCCGCCACCACCGCCGCCGATACCGGGTAATGGTGTGCGGCAGTTTACAGAGGCAATTCAGCCGGCCACGGACAACGGCGGCCGCACACCACATGCCGCTGCGGCAGCTCCTGCACCGCCACCGCAAGCCTTCATGCAACCACCGCCGCCACCGCCGCCACCGCCGTCGGCTGCTGCTGTTGCCGCAGGTGGGCCCTCTTCCGGCTCACGTCGGCCTTCGCCGTCACCTTCTCCGTCGCCACCACCGCCGCCGTTAGCACGCGGAGGCGGCGGCACCAGCCTCTTCGCCCGCCGGTCCGGGCCGTTACCGCCGCCGCCGCCGCCGGTGCCGCCGTCCCTTGCCGGCGGCAATCCCAACCCGTCGCCTCCCTTGCCGCAACGAGGAGGCCGCACGGGGCTTCTGGCGGCGCTGCTTCAAGATCCCTTCGGGGCCTCGGTCTCACCTTTGGCGGCGGCGGGAGTAGCGGCGGCGAGACGGTCCACCTCGCCTCCTTACCTGCTCGCTGGAGAGCGGAGGACGTCTAATGGATCGCAACCGGCTTTGTTAGCGGGCGCTGCGGGGGTGCGGGGGTCGTGCTCGCCGCCGCCGGGGCCGTCACCGCGGGTCATAACTTCGCCTGGGGCTGCGGTTAGGGGTACGGCGGGTGGGGGTAGCACGGCAGCTGGAGGAGGAGCAGAGGGGGTGGAGGATGAGGTGTTGAAGGCTAGTGATGATTCGCAGGATGAGAGCGGCAATGAGTCGGACGGGCAGGACTACTTGGCGATAGCCACGCAGATGGCGTTGCAGCATCGGATGACACAGAGGCGTGCGTCTTAGGGATGGCGGCAGAGGTTGGGAGCGGCTGTGAACCTGTGATGGGCGCGAGGGTGTACGTTGTGCAGGTGCAAGGGTAGCAAGGTTAGGGGTGCGTTGGACAGGGGCAAGACAGTTGGTGCGTTGACGTGTTTCCGTTGGAGGATGCTGTACTGCATGCGTGTAGCATGCTGAGGCTGTGGTTGCTGCATTGTCCTGTGAATACCGGTATGCTGCTGCATCGGGGTGTTGATGGTAGCTCCTGGGCAACCTTTGTGAAGTTGCAGCTTCATGTGATTACGTCCCTGTACGACACACCTGCTGCCTCGAGTGAGCAGTGTCCAGCCGGCGTCTGCATGTATGCGGTTCCAGCGCACCGTACGTCACCCACTGCAGGTACGACAGCAGCTGCGGTTGGCCGGGTGCAGGAGCAGGAGAGGCAGCCCACAGACGTATCCCGCAGGATTGTTTATGCCAACGAGCTGCAGCTCAGGCGGGACTTGCGCCCATAAGGCAGTTCCATGCTTGGCTGCACGTACGAGGAAAACTATGACGGTTGCAGGCGGTTGGGAACCAAGTCACACTTTGCTTTAGGGAGAGGGGTGTAATGGCGTCGCCTCCTCGAAGGCGCTTCACGGCAGGGGCTGCACCCAAAGTCGCAGGCGCGGATGCGGTAGATGTAGGCAAGCGCGGCACCAAACTGGCAATTGCCAGCATGGACGACCGCGCATCTTCTGTCGTACTGTTGTACGGATATATAGCGACTAGTTCGCTGCTGTTGGTTAATTCTGAGACAAGTACATGACGTTGAAAGCGATTCCTAAGTGTTTCAGCTACTACAATTAAAGCGTTCAGTTGAAAGCAGCGACCTCACAAGTAAGCATCACAGACAAGGAATGGATATCAGCATTATCTTGCTTTCCAGTTGAATATTTAGTTGCGCTATATACCGGTATACTTGACGCACCTTTCCTGAGGTACCCTCCTTTCGCTCTCCAGCTTCGGGATGTGTTTCTAACGTTATAGAAGAGCAAGGATGACAGATAGTGATGAGGAGTCCATAAGCGAATCGGAGGAGGAGTATTCTTCAGAGGTGAGGTTCGCCATGGTCAAGTTGAAATCGAGTTGTAAGGCCGCGTCCCGCAATGCAAGGAATCACTTAGCTGCGGATACTCGAGGCGGTGCCGAATTGCCGCAACGAACATGTTTTCCTTTGGCACTTTCCTCGCGTTTGCCTTAACGGGTTGGATGTTGCTGTTCGGAGGAGGCCCTTAAGTGTCGCCAAACAACATGATGTCAAGGAATCTAGGTTAGCTTTGCAGTATGCAAACGTATGCGGGCGCCTTCGCTAATCCAGCAGTACTCCCGCCGTCCCGCGTGTGGGGGGTTTTCAGGTCTCTTCTCTCCCGCCATCCTTACCTTCGCGCGCCTGACCCGCATCTCCAACACAGGAATCCTCCGGAAGCGATGAGTACAGCAGCAGCTCCGTCTCCGGCGAATCTGAGGCTTCGGATAGCCTCAAGGATCGCCGGGACAGCCATGGCAGGGCATCGGTCTCATCCAAGCAGCTCAAAACCATGATCACCAATAAGGCAGTGCTGCAGGTGCGGAGCAGGCAATGACCGCGAAGGCGGGTTGGGATATTGGCCATGTGAATCGTCGAATGGACCGCCCGAGGCCGCTTTTGCTGTTGGCCCTGTTGCCCTGTTCCTTGCATGTGCAGTGCCCCAGCAATCATGTCACGTGTGCGTGTTAGTCACGTGGAGTCGCCACACCCTTCAACCAGCGCGCCTTCAACCCTGGCCCCTTTGGACTCTCCCCTCCCGCGGTTCTCCAATCGTACGCTGTCGTACGGCTCCTTTTTGCCTTTTTGCTGCCAACCCCACCGCACTCAGCGACCCCACCACCGCGCATCCACCACTTCGCTATTCTTTTGCCAACCCCGCCCCGCTCAGCCACCCCGCCACCGCGCTGTCCCGCCCGCACACAGGAGGGCGAGATCCTGGACGCGCGCGTGCCCTCCAAGTTCCCTCGCAAGCCCATGGTGGAGCTGACCGCCGGCTCCAACGTGTGGTACCAGGGGCGGGTGGTCAAGGAGAGCGCCAACGAGATCAAGATAGTCTACACAGTGCCCAGTGAGTGTCCTGCTGTCGCCTGACCCGCTCCGCCAACACAGCCCACACAGTGCTCGGTGACGGGGGTGAGTCATCCCCTGCCGTTGGTGCCGCCACCGCCGCATGCATGCTTGCAGCTCATGTGGCGCAGGGGGGAGGGAGGCTACCTGGCGCCTGCACCGACGTTGGCGCACGTGGGATATACCATCGGTATCAAGTTACCGGTACCCTTTCGCCGCCTGTTCGCCTGAAACCTATGCGCCTTGCTTTGGCAATCCTTTGACCCCTGCATACGACCCAAATGGCACAGACGCCCAGGGCCGTCCCAAGCCGCATGTGGAGTGGATGCGGAAGGCCTCCGCTCGCATCTGGCGGGGCTCCTACAAGTCGCACGACTGGCGGCATCTGGGTCGGGGCGCCTGGGAGCCGCGCAGGGCCCCCGCCAAGGGCAGCCGCAGCAAGCGTTCTGGCGGCGGCGGAAGCGCCTCGGGACGGTCTCGCAAGCAGCAGCAGCAGCAGAAACACCGCAGCCGGAAGGATAGTAGCCGTAAGTAGCGGACGCTTGGGCCGGTGGCCAGACTGTTTTACTAGTTCTCTTGTTTTGCACGCGAGGATGGGAGAATTGCCATCCCTGCCGCCGCCGCTCCCCATTCGCCTCCGCCGTGCAACCCACATGGCCCCTCTTGTTACCCCCTCCAAATCCACAGGGGACACAGACTCCGATGAGGAGGAGGACGGTCCGGATGAAACCTCCAGCGAACGACCCAAATCGCGGTCGCACCCACACGACAAGGGCGGCGGCAGTCAGCGGCGGCGCCAGAGCAGTCCGGACGATGACGCGGGCGCAGAGGAGGTGGGCGGACCCATGGGTCGGGCGGCCTCAGCGGCGGCGGCGACAGGCGCTGGCGGCTCTACAGGTGTGAGACTGTCGGCTCCGCGGGGCCTGCGCGTTGGGTAGCTGCAGCCGCTGCCTTGTGGTGCTTTGTGGTGTTTTGCGGCATGTCACGTGTGGCGGTTGTGAACATGACACAGGAGGCCATTGGACTGGGGATGGCATGGATGGGTGGTCACGCTTCCATGTGCTTCTGCCACTGCCCATGCGCTGCCTCGCAGGTCACGGCGGTGCGCGTCATGTTGCAGGCAAGCAGTCCCTGTTAGGCTCCGAAGCCGCAGTAGCAGATGCATTAAGGCGAGGCGGCGGCGGTGGCGGCGACGCTAAGCCCCGCTCGGGGACGCACCAAGACGGCAGCGGCAGGCACCCGGGGCGTGACAAGGGCGGCAAAGACGCCTCCGCGGCTGCTGCTGCTGTGGCGGCCGCAGCCGCCGCCGCCATGCAGCCCCGGGTTGTTGCTGACGCCGGCGCGGACGTGGAGGAGCAGGCCAGCGAGCACTCCCCGGATAATGTGGCGGAGTCGCCGGGGGGGTTCCTGTGCGACCAGTTCTCCACTCGCTGCACCCCGAGTGAGGAGGAGGGCGCGGAGGGGCGGGGGGCGGCGGGGGCCGCCGGTCAGCCGCCGGATCCCAGCTATGACCCGCTGGCGCGCTGGTTCCTGGCGCACTACAACCAGCTGCAGGCTGCAGGTGGGAAGAGGGGCCGAAGAGGGACGCAAATACCCGTTGCTGTCAGTAGGAAGAGGGGAGGAATAAGTGGCGGGGTCGTAACCTAGAGAAGACACGCGAGGCATGTATCGGGGGGCTACGGGAGTTCGCTTCTAACACACCCTGAACCCCAAACCCACCCTAACCCCGCAGGCACCCTGGCGTTGCTGCCCGGCGGCATGTACGAATGCGGCCGCCTGCCCCCTGGCTTCACCCTAGACCCCGCCACAGCCCTTATCGTCCCCGACTGCCTCAACGGACGCAACGGTGGCGGAGGCTGCGGTGGCGGCGGCGGCGGAGGCTGCAACAACGGCCAGCTGCCTCCCGGACCTCCCGCAGCCCACCACCCGCACTCCCATGCTGGCGCCAACGGCGGCTGCCTGCACAGTCAATACAACCCAGCCTCCGCCAACAATAACAACAACAACGCGCCCGTGGGTCGATCCGCGGCTGCATCCCCGGCGCCGTGTGGGGGCGGCGGCGGTGCAGGCGGTGCTAGCGGTTCATCCACACCCGCGGATCACCATGCTCCGCAGCAGCAGCAGCAGCAAGGGAGGAGGTCCGGGGACGGCAGTGGGGCGCCGGGAGCGGGGCGAGGGGGCAGCATGCAAGCTCCGCAGCAGCAGCAGCAGCAGCAGCGGAACAACACTACGAAGCAGACGAGCGGAGGAAGCAGTAATGGACCGCGGGAACGTGACCGGGAACGGGAGCACCGGGATCGAGGAGAGCGAGATGGGACCTCGGCGTCACCGACGGCGGCGGGCGGGGGCGCGAGTAAGCGACAGGCGGCGGGCGCAGCGGATGCGGGCGGGGGCGCAGACGCGGGGACAGGGACGGGCGGCAGTCAGGGCGGCATGGCGGCACACCTGATGAAGAAGCAAAAGCGTGCGGTGATTATCTCGGATAGCGAGGACGAGGAGGGCGATCCGCCGTTGCCGCCTGCAGCCCCCTCGCAGCAGGGGGCGGCTGCGGAGCCTCCAGCGCCGCCTGCCGCATCCGGTCAGCAGGGCCGCTCGGCAGGCGCTGCGGGGCCGTCCGGACGGACAAGTGTGCATGGTGGGGCGGCCACGGCTCCCAGCATCAAGCAAGAGCAGCAGCAGCCTCCGTCGCGCGTGCAGGGAACAGCGGCCGGCGGCGGCGGCGGCGGAGGGGGATCTGGTCGTACTGGCGTTGCGGGTAATGGTGATGGGGGAGGCGCTGCTGCACAGGGCGTGGCTCCGGGATCAGGGGGTGCTACGGCTCGAAGCGGTGGCGGCGCGGGTCAGAATGGAGGTGGCGGGGCAGGCGTGTCGGGACAGGCCGCGGCGGCAGGTGGCGGCGCAGAAGGCACCACGGGGACTGGGCGGAGTGGTTCTGGGGCGGCTGGGGGAAATGCTGGTGGTCTTGCTGGGGGTGTGAGCCGAGGTGGCGGCGGAGGAGGGGGGCTGGGTCCAGGCGGGGGACGTGGGGGTAGTGGGAGTGCGGCGCCGGGGGGTTCGGGAGGCGGGTTGGGTGCGGGGGTGAAGAAGGAGCCGGCGCCTGTGGCAAGGCCGCGAGCCATCACCACTATGGACCATGACTTGTGAAGAAACCTCTGCGATGTGACTTGGGTTTGAGGACTTGCGTATGCGTCGAAAGTATGTGCACACTGCCATTGCAGTCTGTAAGCATGCACTTGTGTCATGGCCAGGTCATCATGGCCTTGCGGGGCAAATGCCGTGAAAGGGCGCACAGAGAGCAGGTCCTGTAATCTATCAGCATTGGGGAATGCACCTTTGGGAAGGCGCTTGTGTCAGACCTAAAGGGGTATGCAGGCGATGGAAGAAAGGGCAAAAATATGCGCTCTTTTTAGCCACGGACGGGCTAGGACAGGCCCTGCACGTGCAGGGCATCGGGGAAAAGGCAAAACGATCCTACCAGGGATCGAACCTGGAATCTCCGGTTCCGTAGACCGGCGCTTTATCCATTAAGCCATAGGACCAATCAGTTGTATCCAACTGCTATGGGCTCGGAACTTGATGACTAACAATGATTCGGGCTGCATATATAGCGTTAATCAATGTCGTACAATTGTGGTATGTGCCGTACATCTTCACACACCGTCGTATGCCGTACGTACATGTCACATGTCATGCAGGTACCACGCCGTACCACACCACGCATATCTGTGTTACCCGAAGGCGAAGTACCTACGCCACTTTTGGTAGGCAGCATCCACATGCACCCAATCTGGGTCCTATCCCGCATTGCCCTGTCGTGACCACCATCATCGCTTATGTGCGATTGCTGTGAGCAACGCAGCAACATATAGAGGAGTGGTGCCGTACGAGACCAGCGAAACCAACCTCTCGTGTGGGCAACGACAATGCCGGAGTGCCCATGGATGCCACCGTATACTTGCACTGATGCTTGTCAAGCCCGGACCGGACAGTTAATGACACACACACACGCTGACACATGGCTTATTTGTGGGTAGGCGCTGTACCCCCGTTTTTGTCCCTCTGGACTTTCCCAAATGTCCTAGGCGTATTCACGTCAACGCTGCGGGCTTCGTAGCCTGCAGTAGCGCAGTTGGCGTGGCAATGGATGAGCGCGTTGTACTGCCTACCAGGCTCTTGCGCGTGAACCATGGGTCATGTACAACGTAGCATATAACATTCCTTGATTGGGTATGACCTTAGATATGTTTGGGTGCATTAGAAGCCAAAGGGACTCAAGCTAAGGGAGCGCGGGGTGAACTATGGGCAGTAACAGCCGGTTTCAATTATGTGGTCACCGCTTGCTGCGCGGCTCATTTGCAAGAATTTACTTTATGTAAGTCATAGGAATTATACGAAGTCCAAATGCCACTGTCTTTTGAGTAGATGTAAGCTGTACTTAAGCGCGTTCGGACGGCGCCTCAGCAATCGCCTTCGCATGACCCCTCCGTAGCCGTCCGGCGAGGTTTAATTTTTCATGGCGCCCACTCCGCTAACAAGTGCTAGAGCACGCACGCTTACATTTGCCTCTACACGAAGAACAATGGTCAGCGTCGCTATGAATTTGCAAGCTGCGCCAGCAAAGACGGCAGTAAAAGAGGCCTGCAGCTGCAGCGGGCGACAGACGTATCACGATGACATGGCCAAAACGTTATATACCGAGGCGGACATTAGCAAGCGCGTGGTTGAACTTGGCCGGTACGCGTGGGCGCATCCATAGGAGTAGGGTGTGGCGGCTGAAATGCTTTCCATTAAGAATGCACTCCAACATATCGCTTTTTAAACATATGCAGACAAATAGCGCAAGACTATGAGGGCAAGGCGCCGCTTGTTTTGGGGGTAGGTAACCATTCAGGGGAATTTGTTGTTGTTATGGCCCTTGGCAGGTTATTAACCAACTTCTGTGCGGTTACTGAAACATGTATCCTGCATTCTGGTTAGTCCTTGTGGGCGAAAGCATAAGACGGGCGTTGCATTCATGGCTTGTAGGTGCTAAAAGGCAGCTTCATGTTCTTCTCCGACCTCGTCCGGGCTGTTGAGCCCTGCCCACGCGGCCTTACTATGGACTTCATCCGCGCTTCGAGCTACGGGTCGGGGACAGAGTCCTCGGGCGATGTGAAGGTGGGCAACCCAGGCATGCACAGCAAATAGAATGGCACAACGTCCGCGCTGTGGTTGGGGGTCAGACGCATATTCCCTGCCCCCCTGTGCTTCCCACTTCTTCCTGAACACTGAAACCAAGAGTTGTTACCCACGGTATTCACTGTCCGCAGCTCAAGACGGATCTGAAGCGCGAGAAGGTGGAGGGCCGGCATGTGCTGCTGGTGAGGATGAGACAGCGGCAGGGGTCGCGAAGCGCTAGGACACACACAGCTGCCTCCCACTTTCTGTAGACCCACACTCCCGAACATGGGCATGTAGCTCTGTGCCTAGCTGCTCTCTCTCGGCCTCCTCGCCAACCCTGCGCACATCCTCTCAATCACTTCCCCCTCTTACCACGCCCCTTCTCTCTCCGTAAACCCTCACCTTCCTCCCCGCCTCCCGCCCGCCCCTCCGCCCCTCCCGCCCGCTCCCCCCAGGTAGAGGATATCGTGGACACCGCCCTCACCATCACCACCGTCATCCGCCACCTGCAGGAGTGCGGAGCCGCCTCCGTGGCGGTTGCCACGCTGCTGGACAAGCACGAGCGCAGGCGGCTGCCGTACAGGCCCGAGTACGTGGGATTCGTGGTGAGTGGGATGGGGAACGGTGGGGGGAAGGAGATGGGGATGGTAGGACTGAGCTCGATCGCAACAACCGTGTCGTACCCTGAAACCCCATTACCCCCCTCAACCCCCCTTCCCTCCCCCGCAGTGCCCCAACGAATTCGTTGTCGGTTACGGACTGGATTTCGACGAGGAGTACCGCAGCTTGCCGTACATTGGGGTGCTGAAACCCGAGTGCTACGCACACCTGGGGCTTGATGGGGCGGAGCCGGATGGCTCGGGGGACAGCGGGGATGAGTGAGCTGCGCGCGCGGAGAGGGGAGAGGAGAGGGGATTCTTGAGAGGGAGCTCTAGGGAAGGGGAAGGACAGGACGGGGACGGGGAGGGTGTAAGACGTCTTAAGGCAGTCATGGTAGTGAGGGGGGCTTCATCACGAAAGGAGTGGGTGGAGGGATGCGGGTACCCGGAGTGGCATGGTGTTTGGGGCTGCTCTGTTTGCTCGGTTTGGGCGGTGGGGTGTGTCTTTGCAGGAGGGCGGTTGTAGATTGTATTAGGTAATTAAGGAGACGGGGCGGGGATTGCTCATTACAGCATGTTTTCGGCACAATGGATTGCTACACTGTGACTCTTCTGACGACTTGCGTTCTGTTTCGGCTATGGCCGGTTAAGCCGGCAAGGCTCCGGTCTCTCCCCTTTCCTTAGGCGGGCGACTCGGGAGGGGTCTATACGGTGCGGCGCGCGTGCAGGGTGCATGCGAGGGGGGTATGGAAGCAACCGTATGCGTGCTTTGTGTTTTGTGGTTTCCCCGGCTGGGTACTCCCCGGCTGAGTGGTTACCCCTCCTCCCCGGGGGGTATGGTCCGGTATGGTCTTTAAACCCCCCGGGGGGTCAAGCTGGTTTGACGAACCAGCCTGGCCAACTTGACGACGTGTTTGTTACCGCACTTGAGTTCGCGTTCGCAGGGCCGGCCGCAGAACGCACATGGCTCGATAGGCTACACGAAAGGCGACTGTTGGTATCATGTTGGAGGGAGTACTGCTAGTTTTGTAGTTTGCGATAGACCTTGTAGTGTAGATATGCTTCTTATGATGACGTCCGCCTTCTTCAGTCTTTTATAGAATGACCACCGTACCGGTGCAGGCTGGCTCTGTGGCTATAGGGCCAAAAGCTGCGTACCGGAACCGAGACGATATGGCTGACGTTATGATGATGGTGATGAGATAGGTGTGTTCTGCACTTGACGGACTTCAGATGATACGCTGAGAAGGGCGAGTTGCCTTGGAGGGCGCTGAGAGCCCCTGCCAGCAGCGAGCGCGAAAGGAAACCGCTGATGGGACGTGATGTGCGCATGCGTTCTGGAAAGCTTATGAACTTAATAGGAACATCAAAGGAAAGGAGTTGATACGGGGGGGGGTTGATACGCTGGCGGGTGCGTAGTGGGAGGGCCTTGCGGGTGTGTTGCTTTGGGGAGGTATTCCGTTATCCTCGGTATCATTCTGGGAGTGATACATTGATGCGCAGCACGGGTGCGCTCCTCTTGGGACCGACGAGCTGCAGATAGCGTCATGTTGTTGTATAAACGCGCACGTTGCATGGATGGTATGCGCGTGCTACCGGTATTCGTGCGAATGCGGCCTCTGTGCACCGCACCTGTGATGTTGGAACGGTCTCGCAATCCCTGCTGTGGGGAAGCTTTGCATTTGAAGTTGAATCTTTTGAGGAATCCAGTCTAAAGAGCCTGAACCCTTTGCCACGGCCCGGACACACGTGCGGGCCCGGTGTGTGTCCGGTCACATGCGGTTCACATGCGAACCTCTCCCAACTGCTTGCTCTTGTTTCCGCTCAACTACACACGTGAGGGCCCGGCGAGGGGTACGACGCATGCGCATGCACGACTTACCACAAACATACCGGTAACTGGACGGCGTCTGTGACAGCATACAGACAACATACCTTGTCTGTGCACGCAACAAAACCCATCGGGGTATACAAAGCCGTACAAAGCGCTTGCCAATCTACACACCTACAGGTACCCTATCTTTCTTTCTCTACAACACCTTCGATACCTACAATACACATAGCCGCCGCATCGCAGCACAGCAGCCGTCCCAGGAAACGAATTGCTGCAAACATGTACCGCATGCGGACAGCATGCACTGAATGCACTGCTATGCACTATACTACTGACCAGATTGGTCAACGCTGCTGGTGCCACATCACACCTGCCGCACCTATCTGGAGACGCCACACAATCCTGCGACTGTTGTGTGGCCGCACGAGTGAAGGACACCGCCGCGATACACTTAATTCATCACCAACTACCCAACGTTTACCAGATATCATCATCCTGTCTACAAGCCGACAAGCGAATGTGTTACCTGCAAATCACCCCCACACACGTCGTCTAGATGCAGTTCCCCCAATCCTCCGTCCCAACCACTAAACCACCACCCTCACCCCCAGCAGCCGCCGCCGCCGTCGCCTGGGTCACCTTCATACCCCCAGCTCTGGCCCCCGCCACCCCCGAACCACCCCCCGCCGCCCCCGCTGCTGCCCTCATCCTCTGCATGATGCCAATGGGAGCATGCACTGCCGCCCACGCCATCGCCTCCTCCACCAGCGCCGCCCACAGCTCTGGCAGGTACAGCGCCCCCGCCGCCGCCACCGCCGCATGCGGCTCCGTGAGAGGCCGCTCCGCCCAGCCGCCGTCGCGCCCTCTCACCGCCCACAACTCGTCTCGCAACGCCGCGAAATGCCGACCCACCAGCAGCAGCATCAGGTCCCGTCGCTCCGACCATAGCCCCGTTCCCGCCAGCGCCGCATGCAGCTCCGCAATGTGAGACTGCAGCTGAGCCAGCGCGGCGGTGTCGGTCGCACGGCTAGCTGCGGGGTGCGGACCTCCGTTGCTGGTGCTGTTGCCGCTGCTGCTGCTGCTGCTAGCTGTGTGATTGTAGTCAATGGTAGACTGCGGTGGTACCGGTGGTACCGGTGGTGGTGGTGGTGGTGGAGCGGGCGGCAGTCGCATCATGGATGCCAGCGCGTCCAGCAGCACCCGAGTGTCGAGCACCGGGGAGCAGGCGGCGCCCCCGCAGGCGGACTCCAGCTGGTGGAGCTGCCGGGGAGGGGGGGGGAGAATACCCCGGGGAGGGGTAAAGAAGAATACTGAATTATAGGAAACCGGGTAGGGTCAACCGACGGCGCCAGCGGCGCACAGCACTGTGGAGGATAGCCGCACCCACCCGTACAGCCCCTCAGACCTTCCCGTATTACACATACAGCCGCACCCCTTCCTGCATTACCAATTGCGCGTAACGAAGAGCCCTCTTTCTTCCCAAACCCGTTCCCGCACCTGCTCGCATCCATGCACCACCTTGGCCACACCCGGCTCCTCAAGCAGGCTGCGCAGGCTAGCCAGCAGCGCAGCCACCGCAGCCTTCCCAACAGCGCCCCCGCCGTACAGCCCCCCGCATGCCGTACAGTCAACCAGGTAAACGGTTGCCGGCCACTCAACGGCTGGCAGCCTATGACCGGCGGCGGCGGCAGCCGGCGGCGCGTAGATGGATAGCAACGCTAGCTGCCCGGTTGCGTACTGTACGGCAAGGCCTACTTGCGAGCAAGCGAAGCAGTGCTGTAGCATGGCGGCTAGCTCGGGTCCGTACGGATCTGCTACCAGTTGCAGGGCGGCGTAGGGCAGAGGGGAGCCCTGCCAGGCGACGTCGGCGGCGTCGCCGGCGTCGGCTGATTCGTACACGGCCAACAGGAGATCCGTGTTGTCGCCCTCGCCGCCGCCGCTGGTGTTGTTGCCGTCGGTGTCCGCTTGGGGGCTGCTGCTTGGGTTCGTTGGCATGGTGGCGGTCAACAGCGGTGCTGCCGCCGTCGCTGCAACCGCTGCCACCGCCACCGCCGCCTGTGTGTTCGAGGCTTCCTCCGCCGAGGTAGCAACAGGTGCGGTGCTAGGCTGGGGCGCAGGTACGGGAACCGGGACGGGAATAGGCAGCGGCAGGGGCCCGTGGGGGTTTTTGACGGGTGGCTGCTGTGGCGCCGGCGGAAGCTGGGAGGCTGCTGTTGCCGGGGAAGACTGCGGCGGCGGCGGCGGCGGCGGTTGAGGAGGTGGCGGTGATGATGTTGATGCGCCGGCAGAGGCGGTGGTGGCGGCGTTGCTCGCTGCTGGGGTTGCTGTGTGTGCTGGCGGGGGCGGAGGCTGGAGAGGTGGCGAGGCGGCCTGCGCCGTCGCAGTCCCCGCGGCGATTTGCGCAGCCAAGCGCAGCATGGTGCTGTGAACCAGCCGAACCACGTGGGTGCTCTTGCCCTGCAGCTCCACCTCGAAGACGTCGGGCTCCTCGGCACACAACGCTCGCAGGTTGTGACGCAGGCGCGTCTTTCTGAGCACCTTGGGTATCTGCGAGCCCAAGTGAGCAAACAACAGCTCATGGCGCGGGGGCGGAGCAAGCGCCAGCAGCTGTGCGACGCAGCGTTTTGCCAGGACAGGCTCCGCGCCTTCCGCGTCCTCGGAAAGGCCCTCGGGTAGGGGAAAGCGGCGGTCTATTAGGGAGTCCAGACGCTGCCATGCAGGGGCCGGTGTGGCTGTGGCTGGTGTTGCAGCTGCCGCCGCCAGGTGAATCCCGGCAGCTCTGAGGAGGGCTGGCAGGTCGAGCTCGATCACGCAGTCCGAGCGGTGCGGAAACACACGCAGGAAGGCACGGTTTCCACCACCACCAACACCACCAACACCACCACCATCATCGGACGTCGCTGCCGCGCCGTCCAAAGCGCTTTCGTCAAGAGCACGGCGAATGGCTCCCTTCACGCTGCCTCCGATCGCTTGGACCAGCGGATGCTGCAGCACCCCTGGAAAGGCCTGGTGCAGCAAAGCCGTCATTTGAGCCTGCAGGGGCGACAAGAGTAGCATACTTGGGTAGCGCGGCTAGCACGGAAAAATCCAGTAATGGATCCAGCAGCGAACTTAAATAATGGATCCAGCTGGAAGAAACGGTAAGTGGATGGATCCGGCTATAAAAGGAGGTATGTCTTCATGGTAGCACAGTAGTGCTCATTTATTGATTCCTGAGACGTGAAAGTGCAGCCTCTGGCTTGATGTACATGATGCAAACAGCAAGTCGCCGCGCCCGAAACGCTGAGCACCGAAGCCCGCCATCCACGCCCACGCACCCAGAGCATGCTGGCAGGCCCGGTGGGGCCCTCCTCCACTGCGACCAGAGCCATCGCCGCCCGCCGCTTGAGGCGCGGCACTAGACCCTTCCCGGTCCAGGTCCGGGCTATAGCCCTCACCACCTCCGGGGGAACAGCTGCCGCTGCCGCCGCCGCTGCCGCCGCCGCTGCTGCTGCTGCTGCTTCTGCCGAGGGGAGCAACATGGCCAGTTCCTGGCCGGGTTCTGCTGCTGGCGCCTGCAGTGCCGCTGAGGCTGCGGCTGCCGCTGCTGCCGTCGCGTCGTCAACGACGCTGGCAGCAGCAGCCGCTGCCGCTGCAGCTGCGGCGGTGGCGGCGGCGGAGCCTGGCACGCCGCTGAGCAGGGCTGGCAGGTCTAGAGCCGCGATATCATCCTTCGCGCTTTGCCCCGGAATGATGCGGAGGTACGGCACTCGGCGCTTTCCGTTACCGTTACCGTTACCACCGCTGGGGCCCTGCTGCCCCTGCCCTTGCAGCGGCAGCGGCAGCGAATCCCCTTCACCTTCCTCCTCCTCCGCTGCTTCGTTCAGCCGTTGGCGCAGCGTGCGGCTAGGGGTGCGGGACTTGAGCTCGGTCAGGGCGCTGGACTCGAGTTTGATCAAGAGGGGGATAAGCTTGACCTGAGTCGGGGTAAAAATAAGGAAAACTGACGAACTGAAAGACGGTGGGGGGGTGGGGGCCGGATAGGCGCGGGCGCGGAGAAGCGGGTAGCGTGGGCGAGGGGAGGAGGCATGTAATGGAAGCAGTCATAGAATGCTGCCCATGACAGTGCCGCCTATGCAAAGCATGCCCTTCAGTGTTAGGGGCCATTATGCTCCTGTACGTACAGTGTCGCCTTCACCCGGTCCGCCCCTCCCCAACGGGTCGCTAGAGTTCCTGGCACCGTGACCTTCATTCAGACCAGGCATCTCGCCACGTCCTCCCGCCTACCATCAGCATGGCGTGCGGGTGCCCCTCGGCTCCGCACTCCCCCACCGCCGCAAGCAACACCGCAGCGCGCCGCTTCACAAGAGCCAGCGCATCACCTTCCGGCCATGCAACCGCCGCCGCCGCCTCCACCGCCGCCGCTGCCTCCACCACCTCCGCTGCTGCACTGTTCAGAAGCTCCAAATCCAAGCTCACCACATCCGCGGTGTGCCCCTCCACAGGGCCCACCACGAACACCCCCCGGCTGTCGCCATCCTGCAGCAGCTTCTTCAGCTTAGGCCAGGACGCCCCTGCAGCGAACGAGCTTTGAAGCCATGCAGGCGCGCTGCTGCCTCGCAGGTAGGCGCCCAGGCTGGAAAGCAGTGCGGCATGCAGACCCACATCGGGCTGCGGGCTGGCAGCCAGCCACAGCGCAGCAGCCCGCCGCAACTGCATGTGCAACGGCAGGCTGCGGGGATCTGAAGACGTCGGCGAGCCATCCTGACCGCCGAAAGCGATTTCCGCTAGGACTTCAGCAGGCTTGCAGAGCCGTTTCAGAACCGGGATATCCAGCTCCACAAATTCCCGGCCCCCTTGCTCGGAGCAGGCAAATAGGTCGCGGCTGTCAGGGCTGAGCAGCAGCTGTAAAAGCTTGGGCCACTCATGCTGCGGGTCGAGCCAAATGTCAGCGCAGTTAAGGCGCAGGTAGTGGCCGAGGTTGGGCAGTTGGGCGCGGTAGGGACCCGTTTGGGGGTAGGGGCTGGTGGAAAGCCATGTGGCTATGGTGCGTCGTAGCTGGGATGCAGGTGAGGAGTCAGGCCAGGCAGCGAGGATTAGCGCCTTGAGGTCCGTGCTGTGCGCGGCCATGGCGAGAGGGATGTGTTGGTGGCGGGCTCAAGGGAGTTGTGAAGGGCTATCTGCAGAGCTCGTTTAGTTGTTTCCGCCGGTTGCGAGATGGTGCGGGAGAATGTCTCGTCGTCGTGGATACGGTACACCTCCAGCTACCCGACGCGCCTCGTATGGGCCTGATAACTAGTTCATAATGCCGAAAGACATTACTATTGATCCGCGTGGGCGTATCAGGCCAACTGGGAAGCAATGCGCTCTAGACGGATGACGAGGTAGCGGAAGCCTCTGTGCCCGATCTATGTTGACCGGAACTAAGATACATTTGTTAACGTAGAGGGTTCCTTGTAGGACCCAAACCGCCTCCAGATACTTTGACGCTTTGTTCACGGGTCGCCGGCGTACCGTACAGCAAAGATGAAAGAAAGACAGTTGCACGAGTCACCGCTGCTGCTGCGCTCAATGTTCCGTTCACCTTGGCGGAAGTCATTGCTGCGCTGAAGTCTTTGCGTAATAACAAGTCTGGGGGTTTGGACAGAGTACCGGCTGAATGTTTCAAGTGTGCGACGAGAGAGGTTGAGGGTAGAAGGATGTTTGTTTTAGCCCCTTACCTGCTCAAGCTACTAGAGCATATCCGCAGCACGGGGGATTATCCTGTGCAGTTTGAGGTCTCTGCGCTCACGCCCATCCACAAAAAAGGCGATGTGATGGAGAAGGGTAACTATAGGGGTTTAACAGTGGGTGGTGTTTTGTCTAAGCTTTATGCGTTTATGTTGGAGCACAGGCTGTCTCGTTGGGGCGAGCTGGTGGGAGCTAGGTCGCCGTATCAGGGAGGTTTCCGACGCAAGCGGGGTACCTGCCACAACCTGTTTTTGTTGCGACATCTGACGGACAAACATAAGGGGGGGCGAGATGCAGTTGACCCCCTGTTCGTTTGTCAGATTGACTTTGAGAAAGCGTTTGACAAGGTGCCACGTGATCTCTTGTGGTTAAGGTTGGAGGAACGGGGTGTGCATGGCGCTATGCTGGAGGCTCTCAAGACTTGTTACAACAAGGTCATGATGCGTGTCAGGGTAGACGGAGTGACGGGGGATCCTTTTGAATCTTCGCAGGGAGTCAAGCAAGGATGCCCTCTCAGCCCTACGCTTTACGGGATTTTTGGCGAGGGGTTTGCTGACTATGTTGACGCTAAGGATAAGTGGCTCCCTGATGCTATGCGCGCTAAGCAGCAGACTCCCCATGCGGATGGCCGGCGTATCCCGTTGGAACTGTATGCCGACGACCTCAGCCTTTTCGCTACGACGCACAGACGGCTGATTGTGTTGCTTTCTGATTTGAGAGAGTGGTGTGAGGCCTTTGGGATGCGGGTGAATGTCCGTAAATGTGAATTGATGGTTTTCCACCCTCGTGCCAATATCCGCGAGGCTTTTGCTGCCCTTTGCCCCGTGGTGTGGACTTCTATTGAGGGAAATGCGCGAGTACCTATGGTTATTCCCTGGGTACAACGAGCCCGTTACCTTGGTTTGCACTTTGGTCCTGGCACACCGTTTGTTTCCTGCACAGAGGAACTGTTGACCTCTGGCCGACGTGCTATGTTTTCTCTTCAGCGTAAATTAAAACGCCTAGGTCTTTTGGTCCCTGCTGTTGCAGTTAAGTGCTTCGACGTGCAAGTCCGCTCCATCTTGTCGTACGGTGTCCAGGTGTGGGGGCCTGATGTGGTGCTGAAGCTAATGACGGACTGCGAGAATTCCGCGAGGTACTTTGACAGATCCTTGCGGGACCCAATGGTGCAGTTACAAAGGGAATTTCTTCGGGAGATTGCGGGTGTGAAAGTCTCGCCTGATAAGTTGCTGTTTAAGGAGTTTAACCAGCGCCCCTTGCATGTCTTCTGGCTGGAACTGTTTCTGAGGTTTTGGAATGACCTGGTCAAGCAGAAGGACACGGTCTACCACCAGGCGTTGCGAGGTGAAATTCGTTCGGCTCTCAGTACTGAGCATTATGATGGCTGGGGTTCTAAGGTGTTGAAGATTCTGAAAATGTTAGGGACGGATTTGACGGCCTTGGGGGGTGAGTTGGACTTGAATGCGCGTGTGGAACGTATTGCTGGCACGGAGCTAAATGTGTCTGCTCTCACTAAAAAGTTTGCTGATAGAATGGATGCGGATTGGGAGGATAGGAGTTTGGAAGATGACCCGCGGCTTTTCAACCCAGTAGACCCCGTACCAGGGGTTGGAGTTAAGATGTGCAGGTACAAAAATTGGATGGGTGACCCGGTTGACAGGGGGTACATTACTCAGCGGCAGCATGTGAACCTGATGCGTTTTCGGCTGTGTGTGTGGGGCATTGAAGCCAATCGCCCTAGGGGTAGGCAACGAGTAGCGCGTGTCTGTCCTATGTGTGCCGTGCAGGGGTCGCCGGGGAGAGTGGAAGATGAGAAACACATCCTCATTGAATGTCCCGCTTACGATGATTTGCGTGATAAGATATGGGAAAGTGGTGTCTCACGGGATGCTGATATGATTGCTGTCATGGGCATGGAGAATCAGGCATTGCTTGCTAGCGTAATCACTAGCATGCGAAGTCGCAGGATTGCGCAGACAGGGTTTATCATATGATTAGCGTTCTGTTTGTTTGTCTCTTTTGTTTTACTTTTCTTCTTTTGGTTGTTTTCGCGTTTTGTGCTCGCGATCCATGAGCCTTCTGGCTCGGACGGATCTTACGAGCTCGGTACGAAGCTTGTAACACATACATACATACATACATACATAGACAGTTGCTGTCTTTCACTCAATTTACAGCGCGGTATGTTTCGACAATGTTTGTGTGCGTTGAGCTTCCTACTACTGCTTTCCTTACCAGGACATGCCCTCGTACTTGCAGCCCGGCAAGACAACGTCCATTTTCTTCCATTCCTATGCACATCACTTTTTGCCATAACATTTGAGATGAAAAGGTTGGCTTTTACATACCACACCCCTTGCGCAACAGCCATGTGTTGCCATGTTGCCATGTTGTTGTTGGTCGCGTTGCTCGGTTTCCGTGCTCCGTTGCGTTGCTACCGGCACGTATGCGCGTCAAACATCATATACACCGTGTGTTTGCGCGCCAGCTTAGGTGCTGATAGGTGACAGCCTTCCTGCGCATCCGATGACCGGCTTCCTGGCCATCTGCGGACGTTGAAATGACGTGCAGCCGGTGCGGCTGAAGAGCAGGTGAGCATCGGACCCAGCTTCCAATCCTGATCTGGACCTTCAAGTCCATTCGTCACACACGCACGCGCGCCTCAGTATACCGGTAGTGGCTTCATAAATGAGTGAGCGCACACACGCTGTTGGGTATTACATGCGCCCGCTTCGTCGTGACAGCCTGCGCTACTGTTGCTACAAACAGAGTCCTGCAACCGCCACGAGAGGTGCACTCATGCGGTTTGGGAAGCTATTGCCACGGGGTTCAGCCCGCCCTCTATAGCATTTCGTTTGCCACCACCCCTAAACACAACTACGCACGCAGGCAAAACGGTCACGCATGGGTCGCAATTGCAACAGCCAGTATTTTCGCACCCGTGGAGATCACGAAAACTTCCCATAATTAAGGATTAGCAAACGCTGCATAATGCTTGCTGTACGGCGGCAGCCGTACGAATTGCCAAACCGCCAGCACAATACGCTCGGAAGCATAGTATCCTTATTATACCTGGTCATAATGATAATAGTAATACTGTTCTTAACCTGAGGTGGCCTTCTTGGGTGGGGGCCTGGGTGGCGGCGGCGGTGGCGGCCGAGGTGGCGGCGGCGGTGGCGACCGGGAGACTCCTAACTTGGACGGCGGCGGGCTTGGACTATCCACGTAGCTCCCACTCCTCACCTCATCAGCACAGTCGGGGTCCTCTTCGTCCGTTAGCCCGTCGCAATCTGGCAGCGGTTGGCGGTTGGTGATATAGGGTTCAGATATAGGGTTCAGTTAACCGTTAGTTTCCGGCTATGGGTACGAGCTCAGGGTCCAGGGTCGGGTTTGTGCTTCCAAAAGACAGTGAGGGGAGCACCTTGGAGAGTTATGACGGAAGTAGATACCCAGGATATGGTTACTACTTGTATTTGAGAAAAACTATCTACTCAGGAATACCGTACTAAAAATGACTAAAAGGTCAGAGCCACAGCACGTACGTACGGAAACAGCTTACGGCTCACCATTGTCAATGCCGTCCGTGCATCTTGAGCCCGACTCATTGGCATCCACAAACCTGTTGGGTACGTTAGGAAGGGCGATCGATTGACAAATCACGAGCGCTGTAAGGAGCCCAAACGCCGTAAAGCCAAAAGCACAGGCATATGCAGTGGGCAATGCAGGAGCTGGTTTGTAGAGAAGAGGAGCAGGGTGGCGGCACAGGTACATGTTTATACATCAGCGGGCAGGGCAGGGCAGTGTTCCGCCCTGCTGGTGACGTTGAACCCTGCTGCCTCCGCATCCAAGATAGCCCATGCATGCAGCCACTTGCGCACGTCACAGCAGCCCTATGCCACGTGCAGCACCCGCGCGCAGCAACCCCCCAAACCCCCTCCCACCTGCAGATGCTAACACTGACTGAAGTGTCGGTTTTCGACAGCAATGTGATGTTGAGGGCACCCAACGGCGCCGCCTTCAGCGCCAGGTCTGGACGCGCGGTTGCGTTGATTTGCAGCAGCGGATTGTAGATCCAGGATTTCCGTATACGCAGGGGACCTGGATCCAACGGAAGGGAGCCGCCGTACGTGTCCAGCAGGCCCAGCAGGTAGGTGGGGGTGATCCATGGGTCGGTCCGGGGCACCGCCACGCCGTCGAACTGCAAAGAGCCGCCGGCGGCCGAGCGGGCACACATACACATGGTGGGGTGCAATCCGGCGTCAAAGCACACGTAAGGAGGCGGTGGAGAGGAGGCGACATACATAGGGTAAGAATTAAAAGGCAGGGCAATTTTGGTTGTAGCCCGGCTGTCATTTCATTTCATCTTTACTTGGACTCATGCCGTGAATGAAGGCGCTACATCTGCGTCCTCGCCGTTCCCTGCCGTTCTTCACCCCAAACCCAACCCCACCTGATGGAGATGAACTTTCTTGTGGTATGCTATTGGCAAACCGCTGTCAAACCCCGGGGCGGCTGTCCTCGCTCGATAGCTCACGTACAAGGCCCGCTGCCGGAGCGGCTTGCCGTCCCAGGCTTTGCCATCGTCGTACATCTTGATCCGCAGCATTGCCTTAACGCCGCCACTCAGTCCGAGGGCTGGTAGGGTGTACTGCCGTACGTCGCCTGCATGGGTGCATGGATGCTATGGGTGCATGGATGCATGGATGCACGGTGCCGTACAGTAGACAAGCATGTACGGTACATGTACCGAGTCACGTGTACATCTCTCGCTGCGTACTGGTTATCACATCAACATGTACGCAACAATACCCAAGTCCAAGTAAGCCCACCGAGTCAGCTGCGCTGCCTGCCTCGCTCACCCGGCACCATGTCTGTGATGGTCAGGTTGGCGTCGATGTCGGAGGCCCATCCCGCCTTCCAAGCCTGAGAACCACCATGGAACCGAGACGAGGTTTTGTCGCTCCCGTTTACCGGCACAGCTATCCTACCGGCAGCGGGTTGGACTACTGCCAGCAGACCCATGGGGCGATGGGTAGTCGCGTCCAGGATAGCCACCAAGCCGGTAACATGGCATGACAGTTTTACCATGCACATGCCAAGGTAAATGTCCCTTGCGGTCGTGTTAGGAGGTGAACCACGAACCACACATGTTTTTACCAATTTACCAGACTACCACTTACAACCAAGAAGCGAAATATTAACTCATGTGCTCACTGCTCACATGCACAACTAATGCCATATTATACACCCAAAAACAGGTAGCTCACCCACCTGCGGCGCATTGGTGCACACCATGCCGTCTGCCACCCCTGTCGCCAGCTCGCCCGACCCCATGGGATCAGGCATCTCGCCGTACGACACCGGTGTGCCGTCCACCAGCAGCCGCTCGCTGTGGTACAAACCTGCGGACGAGATTGAAAGATTTTACATACAAATCGATAGAGTACAATACTTCCGGACGACATGTACGGCAACAGTAGGAAACTTGCAAGGCTAGCCTAACCGAACAAACAGTTGGCCACATGCGCAAGTTTCAGGCATGCATGGCAATGGTACCGAATGAATCGTCATACGGTGGTGTAGGATGGGATTAACATCCTAATTATGCTACAACATACGGGTACATCCAGATAGCTTGCAGCAACAACCCTCCCGCCCACACACCTGTGTTGTGCATCATTTCCTGAGGAGGCGAGAAGAAATGTATGGGGGCAGGCAGGAGGGACATTGCACGTTACATTTCCGTCTCGAAGGATTACCGGACGTTTGCAGTACAAGCTGCCCGCCATGTGAAACACCACCACTGCGACATCACGCAGGCCGCTGCCCCCCACATGGATACTTCCTTCAGTCCGCAGCAGCAGCCAGGCATACAGGCCACCTCATCCTCATCCTCATCCTCATCCTCATCCTCATCCTCACCTGAAAGAGAACCGGCAGGTTTATGTCGGCCGTGTCTGACATGATGTAGGAGTTACACTGCGTGGTGGGTGGGCAGCCGGTGTTGCCCAGTCCCATCCAGGGGCACTGTGGCATGTTGGG